GTACGAGTGTGGAGATGGGTACCCGATTGGAGCACACTCGGGCTCGGGGTACACCAACTTCGGGGAAAAAAGAGGGACTCACGGGGATGTGGAAACTGTTGTAAGTGGATTTAGAAAGGGTGGTGTGGAGGGTGTGTTGTATTTGGGGCCCCGACTGATCCAGGTCGGTCGGGGTATTGCATGGGGGTGCTTGATACCGTGGGATGGTCCTGGGCAAATGCATGAGTGGGATCCGATCTTATTGACGAGCGAGGAAGAGGGGAAGAAGGAGACGACTCTGTTCGGGTGCCGCTGCGTAGTGGCGTGGGCGTGGGCCCAATTCGCACGTCGGTGATCCTTCAGCTGAATTTGGGGGTACGTGTACTTGGGGGAAGAGTATATGCGAACAACTGAGGAGCGATTATGCCGATTCCCCGTGTGCAGGTGTGTGACCAGGATAGTGAGGGATTGGAGGTAATCACGAATCACGGTGACAAGGGGTTTAGGTTCCTGAACAGCAAATTGCTCAAAGTTCCGGATAGAAAGCTATACTCCTAACTTTGGGTTGTGCGCTGTTATCAAAAACGGAGGGCTATAATGAGGCGACAGGTTCGGAGTTCGCCTAAAACCCGAAGGGCCAGGACGGATATGTGACGAGAGACACGGGTGCTTGGCGCCGGCTAAAAGGGAAATCAATCAACGGCGGAATGGAAGGTATCGATGTATGAATAAGCGTCTTGGGATTAGAGTGGATTTTGCTAATGGTAGTGCGCTCGGGCGTCAACACTTTCCTGTGTGTAGTCGGCTCTCTTCTTATAATATCTTGGGAGGGGCACAGTTTATTATAGCTAAAAGTGATGGAAGATCAGTGGCAGGAATAGGTGGGATGGCCGTATCCAGTTCTCTCAGGTCTAACCGTTGACTCACACCTCCACAACTGCGTACACTTTTTATGTACTTGACGTAAGGCAGTCTCTCGTAGTACGAACTAGAAGAGACTGACGTCACTAGGTACGATAGGATCATAGTGAATGGGAGTGTCAGGTAGAGGGGAGGCAAACAAGGTTAGATTATAGTTCGATGCCGAGTGGGTGTGGTTGAGGAAATTAGGATTACAGCGACGGGACTATTGGTTTTGAGACGGACTCGGGGCAGGGGTTGGAGAGCTCCCCATTTAAAGGGCAATACTCATAGGGTTAAGTGTCTATTTCTTTAATCATGCATTAGAATAACCAATCTGCGAGCCGTTCGACCAAAACAAAAAGAGGCAACGGGGGATGATGAGTTAAGTCTCCCATCTTAGTTCCTCAAATTTTTCTCTCTTCGTGGGGGGTACATTTGGAAGATCGATATGGCCAGTACTGATTATGGAGTAGTAATTGGGCCCGTATTCTTTCAGGCGAAGATATCATGAAAATAGCTGTAATTTAGATGTTGCTTACAGTGCGTTTCTTTGGAATTATGGACCGCCCTACCTTTGATGTTATGGGGTCGGAGCAATAGTGGATGAGAAATTCCTACATCTAGTTTGTGTTATATCCAGTAACTGTTGGTGAATGTACAGAAGAGCGGCTGAGGAACACTGTTTGAGTGTCCAGCGACAGGGAGTGGAATGCAGTGGAGGGAGGACGGTCGTACCCTTTGTAGATCTTTGCGAATTAGAGGATGATACTGGAACCATGAGTTTCCAGAAAGTACGTATAGTGCTGGGTCAGCTGTGTTATCGGCCCGTGATCAAGATATAGCGTGAAAGTGGTAAAAAGATTGAGATGGTGTGTTAGTGAGCGCCTTGCAACAGACAGAAATAATTCCAGGAATGGAAAGCAGTAGATTAGGAGGAGTTCTAGTGTAGATGTATGAGACTAAAGGGGGGCACTTGCCCAATTGAGTATGAAGGAGCTATCTCAATTTGTTGAACAAAAATTGTTCTCGTTATGAAATAAGGAGTAGAATTGTCGTTCCTTCCGAATATTTAACTACGGTCGTTTCCTGCTCAAACCGTGAGCGGGAAAACCAGAAAATCCACCAAGGTGAAAATGAAAGTATTGCTCGATAAATATTTTACCCATGCAATGGCAATAGTTTTATTGATAATCTAATATGGAAAAATAGAGTAATTTACCTTATATCACACTCTCTCCCAATAGCGAGGCTAATACAAGGCGCTTAGGTGAAGGAAGGCAGGTTAAGACACATTTCCCCTTAAATTAGCTGGGAGCATGCAACAGACCTCTGTTGCGAACAGACAATATAGAAAACTTAGGTCTGCGGGTGGTCCTCAATGTTGCGGGCTATGTTTTAACAAGGATACGTACTTTAATTAATAATGTAATTTTTTCTTGTGTGACCGCTGCCTTAGTTTATTTGGTTCAATCTTTGTTCTTTTTTTTGTCTTAAGAATTTTCCATTTGTGCGTGAGTCATAACTTATTACTGGCCAAAATCAGAGGCTAATTTGTTATTAAATGTTTTCAGAAATTTCCATAAGACTGGGCAAGTACCTTGACAGGAAACTTGTGGATCAGAAGGGCACTATTTATCTCGGATACCAATGGAAATGTCCAAATGCCCTTGGGTACAGGTGGGGGCTTTCCCTCGGTGGCCAATATTTCGGAAGTGGTGGTGTCCTAGAATCCTGTTACCTTGAAATGGAATTAAATGATGGCTTCCTTGGCAAGCCAAACACACGCGTGGGGAAGACGGATAGACAATGTTTGTCTGTGAAAGAGGGGAGCATCAGTTCCTCTTTTCGGTTACTGAACAGGCCGGAGGAAGACCTCACGAAGAGGAGGGGTCTGAATTGAGATGGGTGGGGTTTTTAATTTCCAACCACAGGGTCTGGTGGTTGGCACGTTGACTTTGGTTGATCTGGATTTATTTTTCTCAAACGTAATTTTTATCTTCGTTAGTCTTTACAGTGCTCACGCTCCATGGTCTCATGATTTCGAGGAGAATTGATCTGGAGAGTGGCAAATCCCAGATGGAAGTTTGAGAAAAGAATATTGACCCGAAGAGAAGAGAACATAGATTCTTAAAGCCTTCACAAGGAGAATATGTCTGTGAGTCGAAAACAAATATGGAGAACGTAGTTTTTAGTCTTTAGGCAGCAAGTATCTTTTTCGTGTTTATGATTATCGGTATGGCCTTTTTCTGGGTGCTGCTAATGTTTTAATTCCCTAAATCACCAATCATTAATATATGTATAAGTTGTTATAGTATTTATATATATATATTAATACTATATATATTAGTACATATATCGAGTTGGTTTATATAGCTTTATTGCCTGCCTTGAGATTGTCGGATTCATTCAGATAGATCTTGATATTACAGAATCCCTAGTGCTTAGTCAATATTGGGTTTTTAAGATATGGGTTTCTAATGGGAAACAGCTTTTTAGAATTATCATTTCCCTGGTGCTTGTTTGTAAAGCCATCAAGCGAAGCCTTCTTGAAATTGGGCCAGGAAAGGAGAATGCCAAATCAATGGGGACAAGACTTCCAAAATTCGAGAGCTTTGGCGAAAAAATCCAAAGGCGGAAAAGATTCACATCCTTGGAGAGCGTCCAATGAAACTGGCCCCCAGAGAAAATGAAGGGTTTATTTCTGCTGAGCTTTTCTTAAAGTTCCCTTGCACATAATTGGGTTCATAAGTGGCCCATAGAAATAGGTTTTCGCTTTTTTAAACAGCGTAAAAATTTTTAAACGGTTACTCTTTTTTATTCGCTAAAGAATCCTTAACCTTTGTTTGGGCCACGGCCTTGAAAGGGGTTTTGGGGAATTTTATAAAAGCACTGTTCACCTTTTGAAATAACCTGGAAGGGCATTGGAAAAGACCATTAGACAACGCGAGACCCTTTCTCGGAACTCCAGACTTACCAAGAAAAAAGAGGCGCCCCCAGTTAATGACTCAAGATCAATTATATATATGATTGGTTTATTATACTTATTGCCTGCTTGAGATTTGGATCATTCATAATCTGATATAATCATCCTATCTATCAATTTTTTAGATATGGGTTTATGGGAACAGCTTTGAATCATTCCTGGTTGCTGTTGTTAACCCCAATAAGCAAGCTCTTGAAAATTGGGCAAAAGAGAATGGCATCAATGGGGACTTCAAATCACTTTGCGAAAATCCAAAGGCAAAAGAATTCACTCTTGGAGAGCTCACAATGACTGCCAGAGAAAATAAGGTTTCTGCTGCTTTTAGTCCTTGCACATAATTGTCAATGGCCATAGAAAAGTTTCGCCCTTTTAAAAGCTAAATTTAACGTTTCTTTATCCTAATCCTTACTTTTGGCAGCTGAAAGGTTTTGAATTTATAAAAGCTGTTCACCTTGATCCTGAGCCATTTGACATACAACGCGACCTTCTCACTCCAACTTACAAGAAAAAGAGGCCCCAGTTGCTCAAATATTACCAGGTAAGGGGTCTTAATGAACCTTTTCAATTGTTCTTGAGTTTGTTAAATCTGCATCTGTCATGGACAATGCATCCAAAACCATTGCAAACATCCTTGTTATTTATACTGGGACATGGACATTTATGGTCTTCTCTGCATGTTGGCATCACAATTTATCTAAATCATGTAAATTTAATTGACATTCTTAGCTTTTAAGGACCATTCTATAAGATTTTACAGTTATACACTGACCCAAAAATTCTGTGCACAGGATATTATCGCCAACATGTACAAGAGCGCAAGCAAGCCTAGTGCCTGAAAGGAGCATCTTGCCTGTTGCATTTCTGGACTTTGGTTTATTCATAGAACTTCATACTGCCATGGACGCATTTCAGTACAAGGGGAGCCATTAGTTGTGGTACTCGAGACAATCAAAATCCCATCACTTTCATGTGGGTTTCGAGTATAAGAGGCAGGATATTTTATAGCCATTAGGGCATTGGCTATTGCTGTTGCGAGCAACTTCCTTCATTTAGGTTGTAATAATGAATAATTGATGAAAAAGATATTAACAGAATAATAATATCATCAAATATTATTAGGAATGTACATGAATCATTGATGAACTCTGGGTAACAATTTTCTTTTCTTTGAGAAATAAATAACAAAGTCGTGTTGTATCGGTTTATTGAGAACAATAAAAACAAATTTCCAACTATCATTTTCATCTCATTTTGTTCTATAGAAGTGAAGGGCGAAGATAAGCCCCTAACTGGCAAGGTAATGGACTGTTTGGCTAGTAGCAAAATAGCAATTAATCTTTTTCATCAAATTGCTTCTCAGGCATCGCAAGACATCTATTGTCAGAAGATCCCAGTGATAAAGAATGATATTGTAATGCAAGTAATTCCTCTCTGCTATACTTCAGTCTTTGATCTGCTTCAGAAAATGACAGGAACTAAGCAAAAGCAGAAAACTCGCAGATGTGGAATATTATTCTAATAACAATATGTTTGATGAAAAAGGCATTGATACCTATAAAAGTATTAGACATTGGCCTAGAGACAGGCATCTTTTCCTGCTTCCGGTTCACCTGTGAAGGTCTCAAAAGTATTCGTGATGGGGATGGACGGTTAGCACTAGTTTGATCTGATATAGATGTACTGAGGAGTTCATGCCTCACTTCAGTTACTGGATGTTTCTTACAAAATGCCGATATGGCCTCCTCAGTCAAAAGCCAACAACCCCTCAGGTCTAGCATTTTCAGAGCTTTTGGGGGTCTGAATAAGTCTAGTCCATAATTTGTCACCACAGCGTCACAAATGGCAAGATTTGTCAGCTTTGATAGAGATGATAAATGGTAAAGTGTAGCGTCAGAAAGGGAAGCACTTCTGAGAGATAGGTGCCTCAACTCTTGGAAGCTTGATACAGGGTCTAGGGCTGCATCCCTGACTTGGGTATGCTCCAAATTCAAACTCTGCAAATCACTTAGCTTCTGCAAAGCTGTCAGCGAAGGAATCAAATTTGTCTCTGCACCTGCCTGGTGAATGAAACCTGAAATGACAGAACAAAAACATAACAAAAGTTACAGAATACTCTTAAAATTGGAAAAGAACATAACAAAAAATGAACTAGTTTATCACTAGGTTACTAAGAATGCCTAAAATTTCACCTTTATTAAACACTCGTATTAGAATCCAGAAGTCTTACCAAAGGAAACAATTAATTTCATTCTAAGAATTAATACCTTTGATGTTTGTATTGCTCAAGTCAATAGCCTTCAAGGAAGGCATCATGCCAATATGTGAGATGGCCAAATCATCAATTGGAGCATGAGATAGTGATAAAAATTCAAGCTTCGGGACGTGTTGTGCTAAAATAGCTACCCCATTAGAAGTAACTCTAGTTTTGCTCAGATTTAAATTTCTCAAGTTGGCTCCAATACATGCAATCAGTTCAACCGAATCATCTCCCATCATGCAAGAGCTAAGATCCAAGTGTCCCAGCACTTCCATACAGGGTAAGAAGTAGAATCCCTGAAGGGATGAATTGGACACGTCCAGAAAAGATAGAAAACTTCGTTTTATATGTAAAAACACTTCAGCCTCATTTGCAAATGTGGCTCCTGAGAGTACGAGTCTAGTTAGAGGAGCTTTATTGCCATCACCTTCAAGTATAGACTCAATGGCACAGTCGCTCAAGTTTAAGCATTCAAGAGATGGCATGTTCGGCAGCCTTGTAACACTAGTCCAAGCTAAGTTGAGAAAACTAAGTTTGGGAAACCGTTGGAGAGCAATGACCCCTTTGTTGGTTATGTTACTTCCCCAGAGGTCAAGGTACTCTAGCTTTGTCAGTACCTAAATAACAACAAATGTTGCAAGTACAATCAGAAGAAGTTGCAGTGAATAGATAATCGCAAGCATTCAAATTTAATACTGTTCACATTATAACTCGTAAATTATTGTATAATGACTTGCATAATTCTGTTAGAAAAGAACTCAAAAACCGAAACATTATGAACCAACTTCAGACTACTGGATTGTAATCATCACATTCTGTTGTCGAGAAACCCAACATGAGCATGATATTTTGGTGAGGTAAAACAAAATAAGAGATACAGATATAATTTTGTCTGTCAGCAGGTGGGTTTAAGTTTTACATGAGGACATCTTGAATGGTTTACATTCACCATTATGATTTAGGCATTTAAAACCAACATTTTAAATATGCATTTAGCCATCAACAATAGAGATAAACAAAACAGGCATGTAGCAGCGACAATTACCTGTAGAGAACTCAATGCCACATCAGTGACAGGTAAACCACCCAAATCCAAGAGAGACAAATTTCTGAGTGAGGAGAGAAGTGCAACCCCATCTGCAGTTAGACCTGTTCCAGAAATTCGCAGTATTTCCATTGTAGAAATTGATAGAAGATGCCTAATGCCAGTATCAGTAACCTTAACACATCTAGAAAGGTCCAACTCCTTCAGACTAGTCATCCCTAAATCCAACAAAGACACACATATCATATAAACAATAATCTCTCTGCAACCCAATTAATTGAAAAGAAAGTGACAAAATCACATTTGATGGGCAATACCAGTTAAAGCCCACAGTGCAGAACTATTGATTCTACGGCAATCGGAAAGATTCAAATAACGTAAGTAACGAAATGCTCCCAAATATGCCATCCACTCTGCGTCTACAGCGCTTTCACCTCTCAGGTCAACCACCTCCACGCTTTGTTTGAAAAGTCTACAGTACCAAATCCAATATCATTTTATGTTCCATTATTTCATCCTCAAAATTCTGGGTTCTAATTCAGTTCGACATTGCAAAGATGGAAACTTTCTTATTGTAACCCGTAAAAGAAAAGATAAAACTATCTTGACAACTTACTCGAGCAAAGAAGGGAAAAGGATGCGGCGGTGTATAAGGCGGCCAAGGAGAGCGTCAGCTAGAGGAGAAGGGATGCGCTCAAGAGACCGCCGTTGGCGCCTCCATTTCTCAACACTTTCTCTACTATCACATGCTGCTTCTATGCACATGCGCACCAATCGGCTCTCTGTTTCCATCTGTAGAATTTGATTACCAATCTGTCTGCTGCTTCTCCTATAATCAATCTTATTGATCTCCTCCTCTGAGCCAGCAATGATACGACAGTATGATCATGAAAAATGAACAAGCAACCGATCTCTCTGCCCCTATCAAAGGGTCCTGTTAAAACCAACTGTTGTTTTTCTCTTTGATGTCCCAAATAGATTTTGTAAATTTGTCTTTATAAACTTCAATTTGTTTTTCTCTTCAATTATGTAAGCAACCCACGTCTGAATCCTATTCAATCCATAATTAATGGGCTTTAGGTCCATTTATTTGGGCTTTGACATTATGGATTTGTACATTTCTTTGAAATGGCCTAATTCATAAAATTGCCATAAATTTTAAAATTTTTGTGAGATTCATCATCTTCTCGAAGTTACAATTTTTATTATCAGTAAGCACCTACAAGAAGATTGATGAATTTTTAAAAATTATTACACAATCAACTAACTTCAGAAGCATAATATTTTTTCTCCAAAAATTTTAGAGTACCAAAGAGATAAGATCTTAAAGTTGCATTTGTTGATATGAAGTCATTCCATTTTAAAATCTTTTTATTAATATGAGATGATTCAATATTATATTCCTGTAAAGGCTACTGTTATGTTAGAAAGAAGAAGGCAAGAAAACTGACAAATTACATTATATTGTTCAACTGATGACAAATGAAATATCTATTTATAAAAAAACTTTCAATATAAGCAGAAAAACTAATAATAAATAAAAATTTTGATTAATTTTGTCAAATACTATCTGATAGGAATTGAGTACCAAAGAAGAACAATATCGAAAATACAAGAACATGCAGACATATTAATCAAAATATGCCACCTATCTTTAGGGACTCTTGCTGACATAAACTTCTGAAAAGTCTTGAAGAGTCATAATTTCTATTTCAAACTTTCAAGAACACTTTCTATTACTATATTTTCCTTTTCAAGTTACAAAGTCAGGCCAAGAATTTTAGGTGGCTAGTTTTGTCATCAATGAGATCGAACCCAAAAGAATCAGAACACACATTTCATGGTCGGATTATGTTTGTTAAAGCAACTCTGAACCGCCTCATCACGTCATGTGAAATTGCCATGTCGAGTTATATTTTGCCTGGTTGCTGCTGGACCAACTCTAATCCCCAGGAGCACCAACGCCACGCCACCTATTTTCTCCTTCTAAATTAGACGACTCCCGCCGAAAAAAAGATCAATCAATTACACTCGAGGACTCATCCTTTAGCCACGTGCGCACACCTTCAACGTAGTCCGTCCACGTTATTCCTTCGAAAATCCACCTGACCGATCAACACAATTTCCGCCATTTCCAGTCACGGATGGCTAAGTGGCTGGCAATTATCCAACTCGCTATATATAAAGTCAAATTCTTCACTCAATTTTTGATTCATAGATGCGGTGGCCGCTGTGGCAACTACAAGAATAATGTCCAAATCGGAGCAAGTTACAAGTAGAAGAAAAACCCATCTCAAAAGATCCAACGGATGTCGCAGAGGAGAGGGTATGAAAGAAATGAAGCCTGATTTTTGCTCTGCCGGTGACTTTTCTCTTGATAGCGGAGGAGAGTTTCCAGTGAACAAGAAAAGAGGGTCGAAAGAACTAACCTCTTGCGAGGCAACAGAATTTGGTGGAAATGAATCCAAGATTCATGATGGCCACTCTAAAGAACTAATAAGTTGTTTTGATTACTCGTCAGACAAAGAGAAGAAAGTGGCGAAACCTATGGGAACAGTAATGGCTGGCTGTGATAAGGAGGAACGCGTAGAAGGGAGTATGTCCTGTGAGTCGCATGGTTCGATATCGGTAATTGGGCGGCGGAGAACGATGGAGGATGCTGTTACGGTGGCGGTAAGAATCAAGGTTGGTGAGTTTGATAGTTATGATTTTTTTGCTGCTTATGATGGACATGGCGGAGCAAAGGTGGCGAACGCTTGTAGGGATAGGATGCACCAACTGTTGGCGAAGGAGTTGGAAAAAGGGAAGTTTTTAGGAGACGTGAAGGGATCAGGTTACTGGAAGAAGGTGATGGGTGTGTGTTTTAATAAGATGGAAGACGAGTTGAGTGGCTATGGAGAGGACATGGAGGCGATGGACTGCCCGGAAAAGACAATGGGGTCGACGGCAGTGGTGGTTATGGTGGGGAAGGAAGAGTTGGTGGTAGCAAATTGTGGGGATTCTAGAGCAGTTTTATATCGTGGAGGTATGGCTATGGCCTTGTCTAATGATCATAAGGTGATGTCTGCATCTTACTTTACCCAAGTTTACTCATAGCTTATTTTTCTGAAAGCTGAATCTTGTGTCAAAAGTGAAATTGTTACTTATTACAGACATAAGGAACCTAAAATGTTTGTTGCTTATTTACCAAGTCGTCGTTCAGCCTGACAGGCCCGATGAACGTGAAAGAGTGGAAGCAGCAGGCGGAAGAGTCATAGACTGGAACGGTAGCCGCATCCTAGGCGTACTCGGAACTTCAAGATCAATAGGTATTTTTACACCATTTTATACACACGAAACAAATTATCTATGCACTTGTTTTTAATTTTCTTAATTTGATCATAAAGATTCTATCTTTTTATGCAGGAGATCTGTATCTGAAGCCTTTTGTGACATCAGAACCAGAGGTTACAGTAACTGAGCGAAGTATATCAGACCAATTTATCGTGATAGGAACAGATGGGTTATGGGATGTAGTTTCCAACGAGGTTGCTTGTGAAGTTGTGAAGAAATGTTTTGATGGGCATATTAGAAACAAGAGATTCTTGGATGAGTTTAATGGAACAAGGGCTGCAGAGGCAGCAGCGATTCTAGCCGAATTGGCGATGGCTCGAGGAAGCAAAGATAATATCAGCGTCATAGTAGTTCAACTGGAAAGCCCCAAATAGCAGCTGCCGGCCCGCCCGCCCGCCTCTTTCGTTACGCCAATTTTGTTTATATGTATTTTACCTTTGGGCTCTGTGTGTATTATCGTTGCGTTTCATTTTCTAAATTGTGGTTAAAGTCGGCTGGCAGCCTGTGTGTGTAATCTACAAGATTCAAATGCGAAGGGAGCAAGTTTACACCCTGGGGCTTGTTTTGCTTCAATCTTGGAATTGGAATGAAAATGAAATAGATAATTAGTTTAAAATTCAAAAGAATTATATTATTTCCTTAAGTTGAAGTTATTTAAATATAGAAATATGGGGAAAAAAATCAAATTCAGATTTAGAATTATATTTTAAGAATTGAATTTGCAAGTTATTTAGATATAGAAATATGGGAAAAAAATCAATTTCAGATTTAAAAAATTATATTTTAAGAATCCAATTTTAGGCATAAAAAAAATTTGTACGTGTAAGGTACAAGTCAAAGATAAGTATATATATGGTCTGATATCTTTCTAATGCTCTAAAAACAAATTAGCATTATTTCTTTACTTTCAAACTTAATCACGCGCTATATTATTAGTTTTAACTAAATTAGAAATTCAATAAATTAATTAAATATTTAAATTTTATGAACTGAATTATATTTTAGTATCCTTTTAAAATTTTTGTTGTATTCTTTTTTTTTTCCATAGAGTTTGAATATTAACTATAATTTTTTTTAATTTTTTCATATATATCTTTAAATATTTTAAAGGTGAAATTTTAATGATTCTTTGATGACTTGCCATACACTGCAATATCGAGACTTTTCGAAGGCTTCAATGGCTTCAGGACTTGTTTCTTTTACTGCATACGCATTGAATTTCTTTTATATAAATTAGACTAAAAATAAGAACTGTTGTTTTTGAAACACCCGTGAGGAAATTAACACTATAATTTGAGATGAAAAAAATAAAAAATAAATCAGAAAAACAAGATAGAACTTCAAACTATATTCATACGGGAAGTTAAAAATTGTTGCAGAGCTTACAACCCAAAAAGGGAACATTCAAAGCTGTTTCCAAGTACAAAGAAAGGAACAAGACTTCCATTTAAATCTATTGAGAAGTCCATTTTTTGACCTCTTTTAATCTTCTCTCTCTCTCTCAAACATATCTATATGAACTAGTGAAGTACTGAAGAGGAGGAGAAAGAGGATGAGCACTTTTCTTTTTAATTGTCTCTTCACTCCTTTCTTCCTCCAACATTCCGACCTTATTTACCCTAAAATCACTAAACCCTAACCAGATGCCAAATCAACAAGATGAAATTCCCAAATTTAGAAGAAAAGGTGTAGGAAAAAAAAAAAAAAAAAGACCTTTCTGGACTGCATTTTTTTGTATAGCTGCACAATTACATTATATCCCCACAAGCTATGCCAACCTGTCTCTTGTTTATGTAATTGATTTTACTTTCTTTTCAGGCCAAAGTGTAGCTTGAAACTGAGACATCTGCAGCAGAGGCTGAATGAATATAAACAAACTCAAGACTTTTTCCGGCAGGTAAAGAATTGAGCCATGTCGGAAAAGCATAAGAATTTCCAAACTTCGTGACACCCCATATCGGGCCATAAAGCTTAGATATTGAAAGCTTGAGGTCTGTCAAAGTCTTAGCAGACTTGTTGGTCACAATAGTAGAATATCTGTAGTAAGTTTTTCCTTTGGCATTCCATGAAGTTGTCATCTTCTGCTCTATGGAAATTGGGGCAGAATTTGAAGCTGGAAAATAATCTGAATTAGATATTCTCGTCCAAATTTAATGATATTATCAAAAAGAAAAAATTCATTAGAAAGGAAACAAGAAAATACCTGGAGCTGGAGTTACTTTTGGCTGTGGATTTGATTTCTGTTGGCCAGGAGCTGGAAGCACCACTGTCACATAAGCAAATGATCCTTGTTATTACAAGCAACAGAAAACCCATTTTCCAAGTCAATGGAATTAGCAAAAGCAAAAGATTAAAAACAATGGTAGCTTAGACTATATAAATATATATATATATATATAACCTGGAAGAAGTTGGTTATAGCCCCCATGACCACCATTTAGTCTTGCCAATATCCCAATAATAGGAGCATTGTTGTAGGTAGCAGGCTCCGTTTGCTCATAATTGTCTCTTTCATCAGCAAAGTTATCGTAGGCATCAGGGCCACCGACAATAGCACCAGTAAGGAGATTAGGATCACTTGCTTTCCTGCCATACCAAGTGGCATAACCACCTCTACAGCTCACAAATTTAGAATCAACCTTAATGGAAACAATTGAGGAACCGCGGTGGTGAACTTGTCTTGGATAGTTGTTTCCATAACCCACCATATAACTTGTAGCTCTTGGGTTGTCTCCAAGAATATAATCTACCTGAAAGGGTTAACACATTGCATAAGATCAGATCATTTATCATAACAACAAATGAGATAAATTGCAAATTCCAATAAATTTTACCTGAGATTTTGCAAAAGAGATAAGCTCGGATGGCGCAACATTCCCAGAAGCACAACTCATGCTTCTACCAGCAGAAGCAAGATAATCAGAGTAGACAGTAGCCAGGAAAGAAGCACTGGTCACAAACTGCAAATTATTCCATCTCTGGCGGAAAATGAGGCCACCAGGAGTTTTCTGAACATTCCGGCTACCCTTTCCAATGCATGAACACATGAAGTACTCAGCTTTCTGTTGGTACCTCTCGAAAACCGGTGCATAATGGCCAGCTTTACCTTGCATCAAGAACTGCAGTGGTAACAGTACATAAAAGTAAGTCACCGACAAAATGTAACATCAAACTATTAATGGGGAAAAGGGAAATATTACTGAGATGATCAAATAGTAAGAATACCTTGGCAACAAGAGTTTGAACCCCGGCATACTTCACATCCCAGCCAAATTCAGTCATTCCCCATCCAGTTCCACCCATAGAGTCACCATTGTTTCCAAGGTAGCTCAAGTAGTATTGATTGTTAGTTGCCTGATATAACCAGGCAGCTGCCCAGAGCAACTCATCCTGTAATTTCAAGAACAAGATCAATTAAATCATCAATTTCTAAAATCAAAATTTAATTTTTCTTGTTCAGAAAAGTTTAATTTGCTTACATTGTATCCACTAATGGAACGATAGTATTTCTGTGCAACAGTGATGCTGCTGTCATACTTGCCTCTATATTTGTCTGCAAAATCAAATAGCTGAAAATACAAAAAGGGGCAAAAAAAGAATCAGCGGCAACTCATGTACTTTAATGAAAATTAGAAGGATAAATTGGGAATTAAAATACTTTTAAAAAGCTAGTCACAACAAAGGACGAAAAGGAACGACCGACAGTATCCTCACGTGAGTAAAGAAATAGTAACAAATAACTACTTCCGCTATTTACGGGTAGTAACACGTGGACGGTTTAGATCTGGGAGTACAAACAAATCTGTACGGTAAAAAGACACTAGGCGTGATAGACGGAAAAAAGCGTACCCCCTCTCCATGATCCAAAATGTGCGCCGAAAAATCTTTTTCGCGTTTAATTTCTAAAAAAAATACAGTGCGAAGCAAATTTAATATTGGGGTAAACACGGCATCGGGTTGTTCAAAATTTTTAACCCATAAACTCATTTTCTAAAAATTATTTTTATTGCCCTTTGCGCTAATTTGCGCCATAATGCATGAAGTCAGGTTAGTGACTAGTGAATGTGTTTGTTATAAATGCACCGCTATCCTACGCAGCCAAGTTGCAACGACCCAACCTGACAAGGCAGGCAGGCAAGTAAAGTCTTATAGTACCAATACTATTTACTAAGGGTCTGTCCTGCTAGCATGCGCAGCCATCACAAAATTCACTAAAGTACGCCAAGCCTAGCAGATGTTAAACCAGTAAATGTGGGCACTAGCAATTACCTGATGTGCGTGGGCGAGAAGCTCATTGGCGTAGGCCGGGTTAGTGCGGCGGAAAACGATGGAGGCGGCAGCCATTGCAGCGGCTGTTTCACCGGCGAGATCTGACCCAGGATTACTTGGGTCGATCTTGTAAGCCCGCCGGTCGGTGGTCATGTCCTCTGGTCTTTGCCAGCAATAGTGGTCACTGTTACCATCTCCCACCTAACCCAGAAACAAACATCAATCAATTGGCCATGTGCTATGACGTTAAATTATTACTAATAGCAGTTATCAATTAATATGGAATTTGTAGGGATATCAATCCTGTTAACCGAAAAGATAATCTAGTTGAAAAGGACAAATAGAAAGGACGACTTAATAAAATATTAACGAATAAAATAAATATTGGAGAAATTGGTTAGATCGAAGGTCAAGTTGGTTTGGAGTAATTAATATAACAGTGCTTGCTTGAAATGGGTTCAAGTTAAAATTATAAATTAACACCAAGTCATAGCAATTTGAGATCTAATTTTATCCTTTTCAATAAGAAAACAGAGCAATCTTGTTCAATTTGAAAAGAATAAATTCCACAGTACAGCAGTTTGGTAGAAAAAGTTCCACTAGCAAGTTGAGTAGAAAAGGAGTGGTTTGAGAGGCAAATAATGGAAAGAATAATAAAAAAATGGCTTTGAAAAAGTGAAAGCAATAGTGTGAAAGGTACCTCCCCATAGAGAACATAGGGTTCCGGATGAGCTTTAATGAAGTAGTCAGTTCCCCACTTAACAGCAGCCATGGCATGACCAAGTTCACCACTAGCAGCCATTTGTTTCCCATACTCTATTATACTCCAGGACATCATTGTAACGGTAAAAGCCATAGGTAATCCAAATTTTACATTGTCCCCTGCATCATAATATCCACCAACAAGATCCACCTGCCATTCCAAACAAACAATTGTAACGGTGTTCACTGTTTATGTTTGAAATTTAACGTAAATTAAGAACAGTTAAAAAAAATAGTAAATGGTCAAAAACCCAGTTGGATTTTTGAAAGGAAATGCTGGTTTTAAACCTACCCCACTGGCTTTACCATCGTTTAGACCAGAATTTGCTCTCCAAGTGACTCTCTGGTTATGGGGAAGATAACCAGATCTTTGAGCTTCAAAGAAGAGAATGCTTTTGCTAAGCGCTTGACCATAGTCATGGCCAGCCAAGGCAAAAGGAAGACCAAGGAGCAACAGCAGAGGAGCTATTGAAATGAGCCTGAAAAGCTTCTCCATAAAGAACTTTATATGTAAAAAAACAAGTGTTTCAGTTAAGAAAACCAACCCCAGTGGAGTATATAAGCACAACACAGAGAGAGATCTGTTTTGCTAATTACAAAAAGGGTTAAACTTAATTGCCACTAATCTACACAAAAGAGTAGATTAATTAAGGAAAAAATGGCAATGTTGGTACGATTTATCAGTTAAAACTTCTGATAAATCCACCAGTAAGAGAAATAAAGAGAAGAGAAGAGAGAAAAAGAGAGGAGTTAAGGATTGGGAGAAAGCAGGGGAACTGAAGCCTCTATATATTGAGGAGGAAAGGAAGGTAGCAAGAGCTAACAAATTGGCAGAGCTCAATTAATGAAATAAAAAAAAATATTTTTTTCATATATTATTTTAAATTATGAATATTTCATAATTATTTTTCTCTTTTGGAAGACTGCAAAAACAGTTGAGAAAAGAACAGAGTCATGTGGGTGTCCTTTGGCTCTTCACTGGAAGGGTCGGTGCGGATTTATTGTACTTGTGAAATTAAATTTTTACTGTTACAACCCAACCCATGAAAAAATACAATTAAGGAACCAACGGGTTTTTTGTAATTTCTGTCTCCATTTTCTTAGCAATCCGTACGACGTGACCCATATCTAATTTTATTCTCTGTATTTTATTTTTTAAGAATTATTGAATAAAATTTATTTTATAACATTTTTTTTAGGTCACACAAAATAGAGGAATATACTTATTTGTGATTAATATTTCATTATTTGAATATAGGGGAACCAATGCAGGTATAATGACAGCCAGGTGGCCAAGGATTTACCAAAAGGAGAAAAGAGGAAAGTGAATAGCAGCAGAAGAGTCAAAAAGCCGAAGAAATTGTCTCTCGCATGTTCCCATACTGAATTGTCAATAATGCCCCCGAAGACCACTTCCGCTAAAGAAAAGGGTTAATGGTCAATGTACACCAATTGAGGTGAAAAGGCAGGGTTTAATTTTAAATCAGTAGAATATAATTGCAAACAATCATTCAAATTGGGTAATAATCACTTAACTTTTTTAAATATATTTTTAAATATAGCAAGTGACCATAATAAGCTTGACCATAAACCACTAAACAAGCAAGCTGGTTCCAAAGGTCAAAGCCAAAAGATGATAATAATAGTGGTTTTAGTAGTAGAAATATCAATGGGAAGCACCATAATTAATAATTTTAAATTATGAATTATAATTATTGTAAAAGCTTATACATATAATAAGAAATTGACAAAGAAAGAAATGTATATCAACAACCAATTAAATGCAATCTATAAAAATCTTATTTTACAATTTACAAAATTTGGCCTTTATTGCCAAAAAAAATAAAAAAAATAATAAGACGACAAAGTGAAGCATGTGAGATACATCACAACATGTGGAGAAGGTGCATTATCATAATTGACCACTGACAATTATACATGAAGACGATCTATTTCAGTTCATATGTTTTTATTGATCGACCATGCATTTAATTCTTTCGATCGTTTCTTCTTTTTTCTTTTTTCTATTACAGTTAGATAGTTGATGCTAAACTAAAGCTCAACAATTCTCTGTCGGATCAATTACATTACTTAAAATATTTAAGTTTCGCTTGTCCTGAAAAGTAAAGGATGAGATTCAAAAGAGTTTGCATTGCAAAAAATCGAATTTATGATTTAAGTTATAATGATCAATCTCGCAAGCGGTTTTTGTAACTAAGCTATCCCATTCAGATTAATTTGTATTCCATTATATATAATTAATTACGTTTATAATGTAATTATTTACATTCATGCTTCAAAGTTCAACTGCAATCACGGAATAAAATTTAGAGAATAATTTAGGAACAGAGTCGCAGAAGATTGACCGGTAACCGGGATTCCAATCACCGACAACTTGACAAATAACCTGCGTCCTCACTATCGTTTAATTTTCCTTACCTGGAAACATTAATATATTTGTCACCGACAGCACCCGGTTAAAGTCATTTTATTTTGGGGAGGTCAATATATATGGCAGTTTTGTAAAATCTTCTTAAAATTGTGCACTGCTTTGTCCTATTATTTGTAATATTAGTAATTTTTTGGTAGTAGGAGAAAAATAAAAAATAAAAAAAAAAACTACAAAATGACAAGCAAAGATGTGGTCAAAAAACAGGGTCCCATGCCACTACGCTTTATTCCAACCGCAATCAACGGTCTTCTCCGCCGAATAACGGATAAAATCTTAATTTTTATTTTTTTCATTTTTGCTTTACTTTATTTTTTATTAAAAAAAGAGAGTAAAAGTTTGAAAATAAGAGTTTTAAAGAAAATTAAAAAGCAATGGGAACAGTAACTCTTGTCACGTACATAAGTCAAAGAGGCAAGCCTCCGCAATGACCGGTTGTCGCCGGTTCTGCCACGGCGACGACGATAGCACTTTCCTTCCCATTTCCCAATCCTTCAAGTACCGGCTGTCGGTTGTTCCCACATATTACCTCCACTGGTGAAGCCAGTCGAGCCAGTAAATCCATAAAAATATCAAGATCTCGCCACGTGGCATCTAGAATTTAATGGGTGTGGACTGAATATGGATGTAGACGATCTTGCAAAATCAGAGGTTGGTCCCTTACCTCGCAGGGTATAAATGGTAAGTTAAAAGTGAAGAAGGCAAAGTGTTAGTCAAAGGGTAGTAAGAGGGCCAATAGGTGAAAATGGTTGGAAATTGAACAAAGCTTCTAATGGAGAAAAAGGAAGTCTCTTTACTTTTCTTTCTTGTTTGTTGAGAGCTCAGCTAACACAGTGCCCCAAAATAATGGTCACTGTTTTCTTTTTTGTTCTTTGAGTTAGGCTTTCTTTTGAAAGTTGTGGGGTATACCCACTAATATCAAATAATTGTATATTAATAAAAAAAAAAACTCCCCAATTATTCAAAGTTCTCATAGTTTTTGATAAATGGTAGCATTTCCCTTAATATATATATATATATATATCGGGTTTTATTTTATTGGGTGCTAAATGTTTTTGTTCTAAGTTGTTAATAATAAGAAAACTAACAAATAGCTCGGATTGAATAAGGATTAGACTCTCATTCGTAATAGCTTTTCATATAATTTTTAGTAGAACGTTATTTTTATTATTTATTGTGTTCGAAGTGCAATATTTATACTAGTATTTAAAATTTAACAGAGTAAATTATGAAATATTATTCTCTTTAACGCGCGTAGATATCGAATATCTGAGTGTCGTGGGCTGTACAAGATGGGGTAGTGACAATAAAATGAAGCAATATGAAGTCTGATAGGGAAGCAAAGGATATGTGAGGGCTAAGGATTGGCAACATGTGCTTTAGGAATAACATATAGTATGTGATATGTTTGATATCTTTTAGCCAATGTCTCTTTCTTGTATCTCTACAGGGGCCACAAAATACATTCCCTGTGGCTCTGAGAAAATAAAAAAATCTTTAAAGAAGATGCTGTTCTTTGACAACAAGTTCATATACCTTCTCTGTTTCAAAATAAAAATCATTTAAAATTTTTATATAATAATTAAGAAAATAATTAGTTATTTTTTACAAATAAGTTTTACATTTGTAAACGGAAGGAGTATAATAAAATTAAGAGTAGTTTAACTAAAATATTGTTTATTTCAAAATCAAAATAACTTGTAAGATAAGAGTAATATTGAAAAATATCATTTATTATTTTTAAAATACTCAAAATAATTCATATTTTATGAAAAAATGATTATTTTCAGACAATTTATATTTTGAGAGAATTGATTTTTAAATTTAATTAAAAAAAAAAAAAAGAAAAGAAAGGAAGGGCGTGAAAAGGAAAAGCGAAAACGTGATGGAAGTAATTAGATATTCCCCTCTTTTGAGACAATAAATATGGTCCGTTGCCATAATTGTGGCTTCTAAACTAACCAACCTCAAATAAATCCGCATGCAATGGGACCAAAACCCTTTTACCTTTAGCCTCTGTTACTGTACTATTGGTGCAGGCGTAGTTAACACCACAAGTAAAAAAAAAAATATATATATATATATATTATATATATATATATATTAACATGCTTGGTATACCAACTATGAACTTTTGGACCCACGCTCACACGTGCAAAGAAAGCCCTTGTGAAAGACACATGGCCCCTGTAAGAGACACATGGCCCTATTTTGATCTCAAAATGATACGTGCATGTCTCCTAGTGAGAATGATAAGATGGGAAAGCGTTTATGGTTGAATTGAAGGGACCCTTACCTTCTGCTACCACGCTCCTTACAAAAGCCTTTAAAGGACATTATGGGAGATAATATTTCTAAGCCCCACGGATCCTTTTTCTTTTCTTTTTTTTTTTTTTTTTTTTTTTTTTTTTTCCTTTCATTTTTTTTTTTTTTTTTTTTTTTTTTTTTTTTCCTTTTCAATTTTTTTTTTACATTTATTATTTTGCTTTTTCTATTACTTCACTCATTATCACATTTTTTTCGTGACACTTTTTTTTTAAATTAAAAAAATAAAGAAAAATCATACTCTCCGTCCATAAATATAATTCAGAATATTAAAAATTTTACATTTATATGGATATATTAAACACATAATTCTTTCTTAATAATATGAGATAAAAGATAATTTAATTAAATTAATGATCTTTCTGTTATATTAAGTATTAATCGCTTTTTTAATGATTATTATTTTTTTATCAGTAAAATTAATTTTATTTATTTATATATATTGTCCAGAAAACCCGACGGGAGAAATTACATTTTAAAATTAATTACAGTGTATTGATGATAATAGATTTGGAAATGTAAAATGAAATTTATTGAAACGCCGCCGGAAAGACTTTGTTTTGCAAGCGCAAATCAAGGTAAATTCCCATCTAGTACGTGAAGGCAAACCAAGGTCCACTCGGCGAGATTAGCGAGTCAATCACGGACAAATCTGCAGAGTGGGATTTAAACTTTAATTACTTTTGATTTATTAATTTTCAAATTTTCAGAACAGCTTTTGTCCATTATAATATGTAAGAATTAATTGTGATAAAAAAAAAAAATTCCAATCATATTAAAAACTGTTTTGATTTATAAATAGACATTTTACATGCTAGTCACAATCATAACCCATCATCGAATGTGGTCGTGCTATTGAGGTAATTGACAATAAAATGTTCCCCCATTGGCTTGACCAACTCCTGACATTTGGAACCTAGTATTTACCCCAACCAAATTCTATTATTAAACTATATTGTAAATCTTTGTCCGTAGCCCCCACAACATAACATTTATGCAATCAAAACCTTCTTTCCTTGCTTTTTTTTTAAAAAAAAAAAAAATTTTTTGTTCACAGAAAATTTACATTATTCAAAATCATCATTTGGGTCATTTTCACAGTTTGAAAAGCCATAATATTCATACCATACACACATAATCAGTACTTTTTAAAAATATATAATTGGCCATGATTATTAGCACTTGACAAGGATTTGTTAATTAATTAACAATATCATTCAAGTGAAAGGTGACTTAGGATTGATTCACTTGTCTAGTGATTATATTCACTTTTAATTATTTTATATATTGTAAATTCGACCATTAATTATCTCTTACCACCATGCATAAAGATTCAAATTATATGACATCATGGGATGGATAATTAAATATTACAAACCATTCACTTAATTGTTAAACGTATAGAAAGATATTTGAATTTGAATCTATAACGGTAGATGCATAAATATTTTTTAATTAGCTAAGAAGATGCTTTTACATTTGCTATATTTTTACTTTTTCTTATCCTATCTTAGCAAGGACTGAAGCTGCCAAATGTGAAAGACATAGGGAGGATGAGCAGAAGTAACTTCCTCTCATCCATGGCGGTACAAGTAAAGAAAGGAACTTCCACTGTTATTGCACATTGAGCCCCACAAAGATAAACACAGTATCCCAAGTTTCTTTGGACTCTTCCGGCAAGGATTTTCCGAAATGAGATATCTCTGGAGAGAGAAAAAGAAAAGGAAAAGGAAATATAAAAGGCCGACACCAGAATCCCACCTTCCTAACGTCCCCACTTAACTCCATTGGATTTTTTTGTCCCAAATCTGTTTTCACGATCATGTGCACTTTCCCTGTGTTACGTGCTCCTTTGCCCTTCTCTGCTCTAACTACCAATCTCTTGTAATTCTTTTTTTTTTTTTTTTTTTTTTTTTTTTTTTCTTTTTTTCCCGCGCTCTGTTTTCTAGTTAATAACTTTTATCTTGCATTCCATTTTGAGACGAGCTTATTTACATCCATTTTTTTTTTTTTTTTTTTTTCTTTTTTCCCGCGCTCTGTTTTCTAGTTAATAACTTTTATCTGCATTCCATTTTTGGAAGACTTGAAGTCTTTATTTACAAGGTCAGTCCATTAAATCGGCGACTCGGTAATAGAGAAATTAAACTCGAGAATACCATAAGAATGTCATGTTGAGTGAATTTAAGCCGTCACTCACCGGAATTTCCGTCGATCAGTGTGGGACCAGACGCCTCAAAACTGCCACGCTCTAATCGCAATCAACGGTGATGTTCGGGCCCTACGTATCCGTCAATACCGGGACACGTGTAAGCTCCAGAAGGTGAAGCATAACTTGTTCATGTGAGTGCACGTGACATCTGACAATCAAGATATGACCCACCACGTGCATCTTAATGCATGTAGGCTAGTAACGTAACGAACGGAATGCGACTGCACGTGCCGGGTCTTCGTGGTCCAATAGCTATAAGCCACGTGTCACAGGCGCTCACATGGCTTTGACCACCGGTTTGTTGGCCGTATGCGCAAAATAGTGGGTTAGAAGAGAAGTGCAAAAAAAAAGAAAATAACTCAGTTTGTGCTGTGTGTAATCAAATTATAAAATTAACTCTAATAAGAAAATAATCAAGCACAAAATGCATAATTAAATTTTTATTAATAATCTATTTAATATAATGTTCATTTTGTCTAAATAAATTGCAAATGATTATTACTAATTTACAAGATCTAAGGAGTTCCATATGATCATAAATAACAAATGAAGAAACGAAAAACGTTGTCGTTTTGGTAGAATATTGGACCGAGTCTGGTCCAACCCAATACATATACTTATTTAAAAGGCCCATAAGGGTAGCTTGGTCAAAGAGCTCTACAAGAGAACGGATAGAAAAAATGAAAGATTTTTCCATCCCTTCCTGTAGACTGTCACAATCTAATGAAAATTAGGCTTCAGAATGCACAAAATCTGATACCCATCAGCATAAATTTCTGAGCTTCGAGTTTAAAAGGAGATGGCTATTAATCGGAGAAAATGGGGCATATATTCTCTGCTTCAGATAAGAAATGCTCCATCGTGCAAAAGCAGATTCAAAGGATGATATATAATTGAAGGAATCTCATTCACTCGCTTGCTATAAATCATCTATGGTGGCTTTAACAAGTGGCAAGAATCAACAGAAGTCGAGAAAGCTTAATAGAAAAATACCCCATTTGCCTCAATCGCCATGGCATCTCTGCAAATCCAAAAACCTGAAGAGGAAAATGGACCCAAAGAACAACACCAGGTGCAGCACCATGAATCAAATGACACAGTTTGCCATGCAAAGAATGAAATAAAAGTGAAAGACAAGAAGGAAAATAAGGAGAAGAAAGAGAAGAAAGAGAAGAAAGAGAAAAAAGAGAAGAAAGAGAAGGAAAAGAAAGAAAAGAATGGAAAGAACGACGGTAAGAAGAAAGAGAAGGATGGGCACAAGAAGAAGAAGAACAGCAGCTGTAATAATAATGACTGAACTGAAGAATTGCTGAGGAAACAAGGTAACTAAGCATTATTAGCTAATTAAACTGAATTCTGATAAAAAAAAAATATTAACTCTTAAATTAATACATCACTGTATATAATTTTCCAGGATCTAATCAGCTCTTTTGTTTCTTCAACATTTACAAGATTGTCAAAATAGAGTGCCTGGAAAAATAATCTACAAATAAATGAAGAATAGAGAAACAAATGGAAAAAAATTATCTTGATACACAAATAAGAGTGACTTAATGTTGGCTTGCAGTGTCCTATACGTGACATGATGTTCTGTAATGTGTTTCATGAATAGTAAAGACTGTTTACGTATATATAAAACACTAATCCTTGATGGGTTTTTATACAACAGTAAAACCAACAACCCTTGAGATGACCATGTTTGACTGTTTGTGTTAACGAAAAACAGAACTTGTATACATGAATAATAGCAAATCTTTAGCGGGTAACCAAGAAAATTGAAGCTGATGTTCAAATGTCCAATTCAAAATGAAGATGAACAAGGAGAATATTAAATGAAAGGTACAATGAAATAGGTCCATTTAATTTTTCCGTTACCCAGGCACCATGAAAACGAAAATGAAGGCTTTCATTGCATCTTTGTGGAAATCCATCAATTTCTTTAGTTCCGGAGAGAAATATCCAACAAAGTGAAGTCCTTTACTTCAGAATTACAATGACCAGAATCTATATTTTTTTTTTTTCACTTTGTACAGATATATTAGACAATTTCTAATAATTCAAAAAAAAAAAAATCTAATACTTACTTTATTTCATAAAAAATAAATCTTTTCCACCATGGGTTAAAATTGGACCTAAATTTGGCCCAAAATGGAACAAAAAATTTAGTTTTTTAAAAGCTAAAAATTAAATTCTGAACTTTAAAAAAAATGTATTTCCATATGATTTTTGAATATATGCCATTATCAAGTTTTTTCCATAGTTAATAACCGTAAACTGTCGACTCAAGTAACGTATCCTAAATTTTCATAAGCGCTGTAAACTGTATGCAATATGCATGAAGGGGAAGACGCAATAAGCAATACTTGGCCTTCTTTCAAGTATCTGTATCTACTGGGGGAAAAGAAAGATAATCTATGGGGAAAAAGAAGTTCATGAAAATGGAAACTATAGTGATCCCGTCTTGTTTTTCCCCCTTGTTTTATAACTACGCTAATCTTTCCACCCCTCCTTGCTCAACCGGCGCGAGGCAAGGCCTTTAGACGAAAGGCTTGGCGTAACGGGTAGCGTTGGTGTCTTAGGTGCCTCCTCATCGTCCCAATCATCACCCCAATTGTTATCCCATCCATCGTTAAGTTCCGACTCTGCTTTTCCCACACCAGAAACTGGTAGATCCATGTCTAGTCTTTGATATTTAGAGCCACTGCTGGAAAGTTGCTTCCTCCGGATGCTGATACACGTCCAACCTGCTGCGAGTATTAGCAGTGCAGCACAGGCTAAAACAACAATAATAGGGGTTTGTGACTTGAAGTTTAAGTAAGCAGACTTATGAGAGCTATCAAGCTCCTTCCCCACGTTGGCCATCACATGCTTTATATCCAGGTTGCAATGACCATTCCCTGCCCTTAGGACAATCAAGTTCCCGCCTCCTCTATCCGTGATAGAGACCTTCACCTGAAAATTTATATAAAATCACAATGAACTGTGTAGGTCAATAACAAACTCCTTTGTGTTGAACATCTGAATGGAAAATAAAGTAATTCTACATCAAAAGAAGAAAGCTAGAAATACTGACCACATTCACAAGAAGCCTTCACGCACTACTAGAAGGCACACCCTACTTGCAAGAGCTAGGATATATATAGATAGATAGATAGATAGATAGATAGATAGATAGATAGATCATTGAGCATATAAGAAGAAAAACTCTATTGATGACCAGTTCTCACTCTTCCACAATATTGTAACCGAAAATTAGAATAAGTGCTCAATTTTCTTTCTTGGTATAAAGCTCCAAAATGTGGTTCCATAAACCTCAAAATTGCAAAATCTTGTTGACTAATAATCCATGTTCGAATCACATATATAGACCAGTGATCAGATGTTATTTGCAAGACAAAGTGACTTCAAGTGGTATTCTTCGCCATGTCTCACCCAACTAATGTTAAGGAGGTCACAAAATTTGTTCACTATGAATATGATCAACAAACTAAGTTTTGTGTGAAGCTATGTCAACATGCTACATTTGAAACTTGTATCCGATTTATTTCATATTTTAAGGTTTTCCGGAAAAAGACAAGTTCCACCCTTCTAACCGAAAATCTAGAAGGAAATGGATGCTTATCAATACGGGATAAATATCAACTATTGGAGCCAGGAGGATTAACCCCAAATACAAAAGACAGCGGAAGTTCTTCCACAATGTTTTCAATTAAATATTATTGTGTACAAGTACCTTTTTATCTTCCTTTGCTTGGAGCTGAAGTTCTGTTTTCTCCAGTTCAACAAAATCCGGAGCAGAAATAGCAACCTTGAGAGGTTTTTTCCCTTTATTCTGAATTAAAAGTGAATATTGTGGATCTGGTAACAAAAAGAAGCAAATCCATACATTTTAGGGAAAAAATCCACAAACTGAAGAGATAATATAAAAGATCTGGAACTTATACTTCAGTGAAATTCATGCTTATACCATATCACGACCTACTACAGCTGATAACCCCTAGACTTGACTTTCAGATTCTCCTAGAACACAATACAAGGATGCATATTTATCAAATGGTCCAAACTTAAATGAATTATTAGTTGGATTATTTGCACTGATTTAACAGCAAAGAAAACCCTGACTTTGTTTGCTTATACATAGACAACAGTTTGAATCAGGTAAAATGATAAAATCACTAGCATTAGCAAAACCAGGATAAAACATATATAACTTAAGAGAAGCTGACACATACCATTTCCTGGAACTCTTAAACAGGCAACCAACTTATTCTCCTCATCCATGCACTTGTTAGACGGATCACATTCTTCAACATGAGGAATCTTTGATGCAACCTCTGAATCTCCTCCACTGCTACTCTCCTTAGGAACGGTCTTCTGTTTCTTAACATTATTTTCCACTTGTGATTTCTCATTCAAATTAGTCTTTTTATTATCAACATCCTGAACTTCCGATTTCTCATTCAAATTACTCTTTTTATTATCAACATCCTGAACTCGTGATTTCTCATTCAATTTATTCTTTTTATTGTCAACATCCTCCGCTTGTGATTTATCATTCAACTTACTCGTTTTATTATCAACATCTTCTGCTTGCACTTTCTCATTCAAATCATTGCTAACCTTGTCCATATTATCTGTTCTTATGGACCCAGATTTGCTACTCGAATCATCATTATTATTATTACTATCACTATTTCTTGTCATATCATCAACAACATTCTCTTTTAATTTATTCACTTTATTTTTCTTTTTATGAGTTCCTGTAGAATCAGAAACTGAACCCGATTCACCTATTTGCTCAGTTGTACTACCTATATTAGTTGATTGTGGATCTACACCGGTCTTTGCACTCGCATTCACCTATTTCAATAATCCATAATTAAAAGATCACATAATGACATATTTGACAATACAAAACACTTAATTAAGTTTAATTCCTCATCAGTTACCTTCCAATCAAGAAGAGAGCAGTCAACGGCAAGTAGCAATAGAATAAGACCCAGACAAAGAGCATGGTTTGTTTCCATATTTTGATATTAACCCAATTCTTTATTCTATAAAAAGACTCTGCTTGCATAAAATTCGAGCAATAAAGTTTACAAATTGTAAGAGTTCAAAGAATGAACCACGGAATAGTAAAGACAGTGAAGAAAAACTGACCCAGAAGAAGATACTGTGTTAGTGCCTGTATTTCGTAAGATTCTGCTTCGATTCTTCGATACAATCACTCTGCTTCTCATCGAGCTAAACTAAGAGAAGAGAAATTTGGTATGCAGCGAAGAACTTAAATCTTTTAGGGCTTAATAGTTAAAAATTACAGCAGAGATGCACAGCTAGAGTGAGGTTGACCCATTAATTGTTTTTTTTTTTTTTTTTTTTTTAGGGCTTAATAGTTTAAAAATTACAGCAGAGATGACAGCTAGAGTGAGGTTTTGACCCATTAATTGTTTTTTTTTTTTTTTTTTTGAACTTGTCAATGCCGGTTCTCTTCGGCCTTTTGCTTTTTTTTTTTTTTTTTTTTTTTTGAACTTGTCAATGCCGGTTCTCTTCGGCCTTTTGCTTCTACAAACCGCACCGGTTTATAGTATGATTAGTTTTCTTGCTTTTTATTAGAACGATAGCAATCGAAAATCTCATACTTAAATCTCATACTTAGAAATTTTTTAACCCATAATATTATTTCGGCTCATTTAATCTCGCAACAAATCAAAAAACAAGAAATTTTGATATTAAAAAAAATTAAATTTTTATTAACAACTAAAAAGACTGAAAAGCAAGTGGAAAATATGCAGTAAAAGCAGCTTGCTGAGTACAGAATATGCTTAACCTCTCTGAACGATATAGAATAAAGCAAATATGCTCTTGTCCAAACTCCAGAAGAGACAGCATTTGCAAGCAACTTCAGAAATTCTATAAAACTAATATGCAATTTTCTTTTAATATTTATGAATGAGATACTAATAATTTCACAAAACCATACATTTAATTTACTTTCTTTATTTGAAGTATTGGTTTTTATTTTTATTTATTGGCCCAATAATCCATTTTGGGTCCATTTCAAATTTGTTGAGAAGAGATGACATTTGGGCTCTCTTCTTTCAGGTTTTGGGTCAAAGTTCAGTGATGGCTCCAAGCCACCATCTCTCATTAGCCCAACACATACTGTAGAAAATGCGTATATTTATTATGTTGGGCCATAATAGTTCTTGACCCAGAGGCTGAAGCTTAGGTTTCATATTCCTTCAATACGAAATAATTTCAATTCTTAATCTGTAGATATACGTTTTTTACTGATGGAATCACCTCTTTGATAATTTTTTTTTATATAATTTTATTCTGATATTAAAGTTGACTGCCATTAGGGAAGCCTTAAATTTCTTTTTTTTTGCCGCAAAGCTGATCCAATCAACAGTTTATTGTCAGACTCAATTACATATAGGATTGATTTGCCTAACTAAGTCAATGATCCTATCGAGAGTATTTCTAACCGTAAATTATGGAAAAAAAAAATTAACAGTTTTTCGAAAAATCATTATATATAATTCCAATTGTTACAGGCTTATAGCTATAAATAGGCCAGCCTGGCTAGCAAATACTCAATTTCTACTTGAAAAACCTAATTCTGAACCAAGTCAAACCCATAAGACATGACACATGAAGTTTGACATTTTGCATTATATAGAATGATCCAGTCTCTTTGAAATCTCAGTTAGTTAAGTAATTATCTGAACTAATTAATTAAAAGAACTAGTTGACGTCTCCTTCTCAATCATAGACACTTCCACGTGGCATTGGCGGCCATGCACGTCGGTGACGTTGGACCTAATAAGTCAACTTACCCTCATTTGAAGGGTTCCATACGAGTAGTACAAGTAGCAATGCCAATGGAAGTCTTAATCTTAATACAGTACGTACCACTTACGAGTAGAGAGAAAAAAGGGTAATTAGCAGAAAATAACTAAGGTGTCAAAAGTCTGATTTTTTTATTAATATTTTAATTAATGAGATCAGCAAATTGACTTATTTATAAATATAATAATCAAATATCCACAAATGAGGAGTGCCAGCTCACTGAAATGAATATAGATGGGGACATTTCATACCTATTTTTCTGTTTCTGTTCACCGCTATCTTTGACTCTTTTTGCCTCCGTTATATAACCTTTCTGTTGCTGCAAAATGTCTTAAAACTATATAATTACATTTACAACGTAAATGATTAAAAGCTAATGTAAATTTACTAATAAATGACTGAATTGCTTAACTAAACTTTATCTGTAAGGTTAGTAATCCAAAACTTACATTCAAAAATATTAAATGTGAAAGTTTCAGAATTTTTCATAATTTGAATATATCTAAATTAAGACATATTATTATGTTCTGAGCATACCCTGCAAGAAAAAGAATTAAGACTTTGTCTAAGAAATACGCTATCCTTTCATATATACAAAGGCAAGAAATGTAGGGCCAAAAGCCACACCAGCAGAGAAAATAACACCAATGAGTCAAGATAAGGAGGGACCATTTAAGCTAGAAAGAAGATAATTGAGAAATATGTATTTATATATATATATTCTATCTTTTTCTCTGTCAAACTTTGATGCAGAAACAAGTCTTATCAATGTAGATGACGCCAAACCAATCATCTTCTGAAAAAGCCGACTCTTGTCAAAGAGGCGGTGGATTCATATACAGATGAGTTTCTGTTTTTGGGTTGAACTTGCTAGAAGTTGGAGTGGACACAATTATGACTTTATGAACCATTGTTGAATTTTATGAGGCCAAGTCATGTGAACTTGCTTCTGCTGCACTTTTGGAGGATTCTTTTAATGTCTAATCTTCTTTTCAAGACCTTTTAGGTGTGGATGGATACTTCTTAAACTCATTTTCTGTTGAAGAAAATAGTAGGAATAATAAATACCAAATAACCTAATTAGTTCTACATTCTGTCTTCTGAAATCAAAATTTTGGATGTTCTTTACATAATAATAGTAATTAATGGCAACGATAAAGACCTTTTTCCTTTTTTTTTTTTTTTTTTTTAGTATTAATGGCAACGATAAAGACTTTTTCCTTTTTTTTTTTTTATTTTATGTTACTTCACGAATAGCTTACATATCTTTGTGTATGAGATTAATTTCGATGAGGTTTGTGCTTGCAACCTCTCCATGAGGTTTTTTTTTTTTTTTTTTTTTTTTTTTTTTTTTTTTTTTTTTTTACTTGGTTCCAAGCATGCTTTTACAATTTTTAGAAATTTTACTAATTTTGAATATGAGAGAAGAGAGAAGAATTGGTGGGTTATTAGATGAAAAATGGAGAGAGATAATAAAAATAAAAACATATTATTTTTTACAATTCTATACCAATAGGGTATAATTGCAAACAACTTTCAAATTGAGGTATAATCCATTGATTTTAGAATAAATCGAATTGTAAAATATCGTAAAATTTGGGTATATTAATTCAATTTGGCCAAAAAAAGAAAAGGTTATATATATATATATATATATATCAATTCTGATTGTATATGCACCAGAAGAATAAAGATAAAATTTGCTTTTAATAGGCTTTTTTTTCTTCTTTTTAAAATTGAAAAGTTGCATTATTGTTCTGATTGCCATGCAGGACAATTTAACCGTCTTTTTGATAACTTTCATTTTCTAATAGAAATACAGTAAACCCCAAAACCAAAATTAGTGAATTAATGAGAGAATTTGACTTTTTTTTTTTTTTAAAGTATTTGTCTTGTTATTCCCAAAACCATTAGAGAGTGTCTCTCAAAAAAAAAAAAAAAAGGAGTTGAAGTACCTTTCTTAGAAATAAATAAATAATAAGAAAATTAATACTTATTCCGCATTCTCGCCGAAAAAAAAAAAAAAAAAAGGAGTGAAGTACCTTTCTTTAGAAATAAATAAATAAATAAAATTAATACTTATTCCCATCTGGCCGTATCCCTTACCTTTTGGTTTTAATTTCATGACAAACTCAATAAAGGACTTGCAACATATCTCCATCACAAAAATCAATTATAGAAACACAAAAACTACCTCAAATCAAAACTGGGGACCATTACTACTCAGCTGGTGACAAAGTCTCCTGCTTAGCATTAAATGGGCCCAGGCCCATGTGAGCCACTCACTGAGCTGACCCAGCCCGTCCTATATGATCGCGACCTTATCTTCCCCGTATGATATCACCATGACGTCAGGATCCTATGGCTCTGCGTGTAAAAAAGCCACGCATGTTTAAGTTACGTGAACGAGAAAATCAAGCTGGATCACGAGAATTTGGGAAATTGGAAAGCAAATTCTCTTTATCTGGAATGAGAAAGTGACACGTGGACCTGATGGCAGCGACGTGTCTGGCTCAGGAGATAGGACCAGTTGGATAGTGGACGAAGTCCTTATACAGACAAAACAGACCTTTTTGTAAGTCAATCTAAAAAGTTGCAACTCGATTGCATTTGCATTGCACCTTAGACTTAGTCCACCTTGTCTGAAAATTTGACTCCTCCCCTTTCTTGCTCGTTGCTCCCTCCGCTCCAAAATATAACTCCTAAAATTTCTAAACCCACAGTGTAAAATTTCTATACATACCTCTATACCCACAATGTAAAATTTCCTCTCTAATGCTTAAAAGCTTAACATTTGGAGCCTCCGATTGCACGCGTTAGAGCCAAAGTTGGAAAAAAGATCAAAAGAAAAAAGTGTGAAAAAATGTAGAACGTGAAGATAAGGAGATATATAGATATCATAAGAACATGAAGAAGATTTGGAAGAGATAGAACAGCGCTGTAAATGAGGATTGGACTTTGGGAAAATAGTTAGGTTTGTTCACATGCACATGTTAGAAACCCGTTTCGTTACTTTAAGGGCCATCCATTAGAGACGTGTCCATTTTCACGAGCTCTGTCTTTAAGAAAAGCTACAAACTGCAATATTATCTTTATATGACCTTTACGTCTTTAATGCACCACTCTGAGTGGGGTTCCAGTTTGGTATTGATAAATCGCTTTCTTTCTTGTTGAGATTAATCACTATAGTATTTTCTGCCACCCTCTCTCGTTTCTCTCCCAAGGAAAATGGCTAGCTTGCTTCAGGTCGGCTTCTTTTCTTGCAATTAATGGCTTCCCCATTTTCATCTGCTGGCATTTAAGTTGAATTTTGGCACCAAGTTCAATTAATATTAACGAAAACAGTAAATTTTACCATAACCAAAACTGATAGTGGTCTGTAAAGTTTGCATCTTTTTTGTATACACAGATCTTTATGTTATTGCTCGTACTAGACAACGCATAAAAAGACCTTATGCTGTATATATACGCAAGCTATGATAAGTAGATTAGATTATGAAAAAGTTTGTCTGGTAAAAATTTTGTTAATGTGCGTTAATGTTTTAGAGAGGAGGCTCAGTCAAACATTGACACACAGAATAGTTCTTGCAGAAATAATGAACTTTTGACATTTGAATTGACAAAGTTTCCCAACAAGTTCTTATGTTTTATTTCTTTTTTGAAGAATGGTTGATCATTGCTTGTTGATGCATTTAATAATAGTACTTTATTATCTAATACAAATACGGAATGGGAAAGAATATCTTGATGTAAGATTAATATCGTTTTCTTAATACTATTCATTGATTTGATTAAGGATGTCACGAAAACATAACATTTTCTTTCTTTTTTTTTTTTAAAAAAAAAAACTCATTTTTGCAGACAAAATTTCAATGTGTAATTCCTACCTTGAAAATATATAAATTTACTTAATTATATATAAAAAATCAATTATTATCGCCATATAAATATATAAAAATTTTAAGTGGTAATCGACTATTTTCAAATTGAATATTTTTTAATGACTAATTACCCACCTTTTAATTTCCATGGCCAGGTACTAATTATGTGGCATTCTTAGCTATGAGTGGGACTGGTTGCTCTCATATTACCACATATATTCTTTTCTTATTTTTAAATTAATTTATAAACTTGTGGATTTCAATCAAGGTTTAATTAATAAGAATATAATTTTAATTCAATTTTTCTCCAATGAATTTTCTGGGTTCCAAAAAAAAAAAAAAAGAGGCAGCTGAGCTGAGCTAGATGAAATATTGAAATTTCTCCAACGCGAAACGGAACAAACGAGAGGAGGAACAGTGTCGTTTGCAGAAGGAAGACGCGTGGCAGATACAGATATAAATGATTCTGTAGACTTCAAAATCTCTCCGACTCTCTACAATTAATAGAAAAAGGGCCTTTTTAGCAATTAGCAGTACGTGTGTACGCTGTGGGAACCACACGGAGTCAACATTTTGATTTCCCTTTCGCCCTTTTTCCTAATTATTTTCCCATTTCCAGTTAGACAGTAACTAAAGATTAGATATTTTTCTTTGGATTTCCACATTGTCAAATTTACCATTTTAGATATTGATGTAATTTATTCTTTCTTTTGTGTTTTTGGCCGGTAATTTATACGTAATAATGAATTCCAATTTGAAATTTTTCACTCTTACACTATTTTAGAAAATCTCACATTTCTTATCTTTAGATTACTGAGAAGATCAATTAAATCCTTAACTCGTAGCGGAATGATGGAATAATATAGGTAATAATTGAATGAAGAGGGCAGTTTAGTCATAAGAATTCAAATTTTCGACTGAGTTGGAAATGTTCAAAAGCTGGAAGCTGTCTGGATGTGAACATAATTGAGGAGTGAGGTCTCCTTTACTCCGCGGCTATAAATATTTCAGCTTTGGACTCAACCATAAGCTAAATACAATGCTTAAAACATCTTCTTTGAAACAACTATCTGCCGCTCAAAAAGATCTGATTCCCTTTTTCTACTTTGCTACCTTTAATGCTTCCCTTTCTCCATACCCACCCTGGTAGTGGTTTTCAGTTTTTCAAATTTCAAATTCAATTTCTTTGTTTTTCATCTGGTTTTGTTTTAACCCATTAAATTTCTGCAGATCACCCATTTCATTTAGGTTTTTTCAATTTCTTGCTTTTCTCTATTCTTCTGTTCTTAGTCCATTTTGAGTCTAAAAGGAAAAGGGAGAATTTTTTTTAGTTCCCTGTTTTCCTTCGCATTCGTTTTCTTTTTATATCCTCTGTTTCCTTCTGAACAGAATTGCCATGACCATGGAAAGACTGCATGAAAACATCGTTCCTTTTGGATTCACCAATGCTGCGGATATTAGGTCCTCTCTATCGCAACTCATACTAGCAGGAGGCAGCAACACAATAGATTCAATTTTCTCTCATTGCCCTGCAGCAACAACAACCATTGATAGCCCTGTTTTTGAGCCTTTAGGCTCTTCAGTCTATCTCCGCCAAAGAGATCTCTTGCAAAAATTTTGCGAAGAAAACAAAAAGAGCACTAATTCTTCATTTTCTCGCAGTTTTCTAACGAATCCAATTCAAAGTTCTGTTGGTGCAAGCAATTATTCATCTCCAAACAAGAAGAAATTATACAGGGGAGTGAGACAGAGACATTGGGGAAAATGGGTGGCTGAAATTAGACTCCCTCAAAACAGAATGAGAGTTTGGTTAGGTACTTATGATACAGCAGAAGCTGCAGCTTATGCTTATGACCGTGCCGCTTATAAGCTTAGAGGCGAATATGCAAGATTGAATTTCCCAAATTTAAAGGATCCAAGCAAGCTAGGATTTATAGACTGTGATAAACTAAACGCTTTGAAAAGTTCAGTAGATGCCAAGATTCAAGCCATTTGTCAAAAAGTGAAAAGAGAGAGAGCCAAAAAGAGTGCAGCGAAGAAAAATAATGTTGATGCAAATATTAGCGATGGTGTTAAAGCAGTGAAATTGGATTCCAATTCTTCATCTCCTTCTTCATCATCTATATCGCCTAATCTTGTTTTTAATGATAATTGGTATGGTGAATTAGTTTCACCAACTGTTTCTGACGACGGGTTTTTGATGTGTGAGAATTCTGCCTCCTCTGTTTCTACAGAGTGTCCAGTTATGGCACCAGAAGACATGGAATTTGAAGGTTGTTCGCTTGCAAGACTTCCTTCTTTCGACCCTGAGTTGATCTGGGAGGTTCTTGCCAATTGAGACACATTTCTTGATTGAGTCTAAATTATGAAACTAGATTCTTGGTTTAGAGAAATACATGTTCTTTGCCTCTGCTTTCTTATTTTTCTTAGTTCTAAGTGTAAATTGTAGTTTCATTAGAATGATCTAAGTATGGTTTCTAGTTCTTTATTTCCTGTTTGGTTACGAATTTTAGAGGTGGTTTCAATTTTTGGTGAAGGGTTCTCCTTTGTTTGCAGCTTGGCCTTTTTATTTTTGTATGAAGGCATTGAAGAAGAATATGATCATACTACACTCGTACCGGTGTCGTATGAGTAGTCCATGATCTTGAGTTTGTAGTTTTTACCTTAGCAGTAATTCAAAGAATTTTACATCTTTTTTTTACCCTTTTTGTTGCTTACTTGTGCATTTAGGATCAGTAACAAATGTGTGCTTCTGAATCTGCGTTCAACAAAAGTTAGAGTTGTTCATGTGTTCTCATTTTCCCCTTTGTATGTTTTGGGACCCAAAAGGATCTATCCTGTTCTGAGGGGATCACAAGACAGATTCTTCTTCTTCTTCTTCTTCTTCTTCTTCAGAGGTGAGGGAGCAAGAAACTTGAAACAAGCTCTAATCACTTTGACTATAATATAAATAAGTTACCCCTATGTAAACAAAATAAAATATAAACAAATATTTGAGTTTCTTGTGAACCAAATAAAAAAAAAATGAAACTTTATTTCAATAAATGCGTCCCATTTCATGTCCTGAGAGTGAATCAAATGCAAAAAGAAAATATTGATTCGTCTTTTCTTTCCTCCATACTTACTTCTTAACGAGACAGAAAAGAACTTGTGTGAGAAACAACAGGTGGTCCTCATATGCTATTAAGCAAAAAAGACAGACAAATGGCTTCTTCGATTTAGCCCCATTCCTTTTACAAGTATGACAATGCAATCAATGCAGTTTCTTACAGTATCTTTTCTTTTCTGCCAACTTGATGGTACATTAATTTGGGAAATCAGTAGCAGAATTGCATATGTAAAATTGGTAACCAGAAATAAAAATAGAGAAATTTTTATATTTTGAAGGAACAAGTGTTTCTAAACTTTGAAAACGGAAAATATTTTTGGCACAACTTGTGTCAGATCCAATTTAAATCAAAAAAACTTTGAAAAACTTTTAGCAGTTTAGATATTACTTATGTTATACTAAGGATGTATTTTTGAATGTACCCAGATTGCGTCAAACATAACTCAATGCCATTTAATAAAACTCTTTCAAAAAATACTAAAATTTTGAAAAAATACTAAAATTTTGAGAAATTGGAAGTTCCATAGCTCCCAATTGTATAATCAGTAGATATGTACTTGTCATAAATGTAATCATTTTAGTTTTAATTGGTTTAATTTGAGTTCAACAAATAATCTTCTGTTAACTGAAAGTAAAAATTCATATAATTGTTATTCTACTAATTTTACATGCATCATCTAATATATGAAAATTTCTCTTGAATTGGGAGGGTAGGAAATGGGCGAATCCTATATTCTTCTAATTGGTATTAATGGGCCTATCTTCAAAAGCAACTGGCCCTTTATGACAGGTTAATGGACTTTCAGTTACAAATGCGCTTAGCCCATCATCAACTGGGAAAAGCCCAGGGAAGAAAGCCCAGATAGATAACGTCATACTTTTAATTAATTTAGTGCGAGTTATTTAAAAGTCCCTAATGTTTTTCTTCATAAATTGGTAATTTGGATACTAGCTTGCACGACACCGTTTAATCTTTGGCAATATCAATATTTGGTTGCGGCAGAATTTGTACCTCCACTCCATCTTCTATTAAAAATCTCTATGAGGACCAGAGACCAAACCCTCTAGAAAGTACGGATAAACAAGATTAAAAAAAAAAAAATATTGCAACTTGCCATTTATTACAAATTTTTAAATCATTTTTTAAATGAAGAAAATGATGAGATGGGAAGCTCTGGACCTTTCGCTATTGGAGGAGCTGCCAGTGGTGGCGGTGCATTTTGGACGCTTCTGTTGAGACCTCCTCCTCTTACTCCAATTTTCTCTCCCGATTCAGTCAATTAACTGAATCTCAGGTATTTTCGGCGATCGTTTGACCTTTTTCCGGTCAGGAATTTACCCTGTTTTTGCTGAAGTTACCTGGATGGTGACTAGTGATTATATGACCGTGAACAGCAATGCGTTTAGCAAGATGGAAGACGACTACATCAGGAGGCACCACAAGCATGAGGTTAAAGACCACCAGTGTAGCTCTTCTCTAGTTAAACACATCAAAGCGCCAGTTCATCTCGTAAGCCTTTGGTTTTCCGATTTTTTAAGCAAAATTTCTGTTTAGGTTAATCGATTTATTGTTTGTAGATCCGATGCTATTTTATATTATAATTGATTGTCTAATTTATCTGGATTTTAACTTTAGGCTTGTTTGTAATATAGTGCTTGTGGTATTTGAACAATTAGGTGTGGTCTCTGGTGAGGAGATTTGATCAGCCGCAGAGGTATAAGCCTTTCATAAGTAGGTGCATTGTACAGGGAGACCTTCAGATTGGTAGTGTTAGGGAGGTGAATGTTAAGTCGGGGCTTCCAGCTACCACTAGCACTGAACGATTGGAGCTATTAGATGATGAGGAGCATATATTTAGGATGACAATTGTTGGAGGAGATCATAGGCTTAAGGTATGAACATTTTGATCATTTTTTGTGTGTATTTGTGGCGTGAGTTTGATTTGCATTCTTGAATGTTGTCGAATCTCTCAGTGTTTGAGGTGTTCAACAAAGCATTGGTAGGAACTCAAAATTCGTCATGAAATTGATAGGATTGAGAATTCGATATGATGCAAATATCAGTCTATAACCTTGGCTATGAGAACTTGTGGTGTTGCATTACTTCGTGGATGGAAAGGCATTTTTTCTTTCTCTAAGATACAGTAATAATTTGGAAAATTTGTGCCACAAGTTGCTAAGTTAAGTTTTTGTTGAGTAATAAAGTGATCTAGTTGCAGCTTGCAGGGACAATGAGATAAGAATAATCATGTGAAACTTTCCAGTTTGATCCACTTGGGAAAGTCAAAATGTTAAATCATCATGGGTTTCTATGATTTAAAAACTTCCAAAAGAAATTTGATTTTGACAGAACTATATTTTTGTTTCATGTTATGACATTCACTAGATAATATGAAATTTCCTATGATAATCAGCTAGAATTATTCAGTGTTTTTCCTTCTTGAAATTTGCATCTAAGGATGCTTATTGAATCTTTACAGCATACACAACTTTTGCAGCAGATTCGTTATTTTCTGTTTGCTGGCCATGTTTATAGGCTGATAAGTTTGTTTTGTTAGTTCATCAACCTGTGATGGTGAGCTCTTCCTTTGGCCACAGTCCACATCATAATCTTTAGTATGAAATATGCTGCTCCTTACTACCTTATTTGACTTTCAAGCTGCATGTGGCCAGGCCTTCTTGATTTGTTTCAAAATGTTCCAATATAGTTCTTCCATCAATTAAGACACTTACTCCTCAGCTTAATTTCTTCAAATTTGCAGAACTATTCATCCATCGTTACTGTCCATCCTGAGGTCGTTGATGGGAGACCGGGGACAATGGTCATTGAGTCATTTGTGGTCGATGTGCCAGATGGGAACACCAAGGATGAAACATGTTACTTTATTGAGGCCCTGATAAAATGCAACCTGAAGTCCCTAGCTGATGTATCGGAACGTTTGGCTGTGCAAGACCGAACTGAGCCCATTGAGAGGATGTAAGGTATGTGGGGCAGGCTCCAGTGCCAGTGCTTCTGTTCATGTATGTGCGAAATGTGAGGTTTATGTTTCCAGAAGCTGAGGAAAGTTTCACATCCTAGAGGCAAAGTCAAGTTTTATTTTCTTTACACTAATGCACATTCTCTTTTCACTATTTGGATATCTTGTCTATAATAGCTGACAATCAAGGTCACCTATGGTCATACATTTCCTTAATGAAACAACAAACTAGATTTTCTTTCCTGTGGTTTTCCTATGTTTTAATAATGGCGTTTGTATCGACCTCTGATTGTAAATATGTATGGATGGGGTGAATTGTTTACATTTATTTTTCACATTCAGCAATGAAATGCATGCTTCTTGGCATAGTCCATATTCATTTGCTTGAAAAGTATTTGTTCGCACATTTCTATTTGTTATAGGTGGGGACAGAAGACCTTATAATCTGGTGATTTAGGAGGCGCTTAAAACTGTGTATAATGTGTTTTACGCTTGTTTTTAATGCAGAGTCTCCACCCTGGGAAGACCAAATAGCTTGTAAGTTGTTTCTGTTGGGTATGACCGTATATATAGCTTTCTTTCTGGATGTTGTTTACCGTTCATTATGCTATGTAGATCCTCAGGCTTGGACACCGATAACAATGCAGAGTCTCCAAAGTTAAGGAGTGCAAAGAACCATTGCACTTTTAGTGGGGTGGTGAAGGTTGAACTTTGTGTTGCCCCAGCTGTGACGCAAAATGTTAGGCTGAAACGCTGATAGGATTTTCCTTCTTTCCCCCCATTCATCCTCTCCGTGGTTCCCCTTTCTCACCTTATTCTAGTGAATTGAAAAAGACCTGTCTTTCCAACGGATTTAGTAGGAAAAAAACGAAAGTAGTACAGTGGGTTAGGATTTTCCATGTTGTGGTGCATATGTTAAAAGTAGGATAAGGTTCATGAATAGCATGTGATCTACATTGAAATGGAGATTGACATTTCGGTTTCTGCAATCTGGTCTTTAGGATCAGTTAAACGATGATGAATTCCCTGATCTTTATGTAACTCGTCCCTTCTCCATTTCTTCTTTGTATCTCTTAACTCTGAGAATGTCTATGTTGTTGGTTATGTTAAGATATTGTCTTTTAACCACTGAAAATTGTGAGACATTTAGTTCCACAAACAGTCTCTCGTCCATGAACCATTCTTCCAAGTAGCAAAAATAAATGATCGCAGGATTGATTTATTCTGAAGGCATGTTGAAAAATGAGAATTAGTAAAATACAGTCACAAGGATAGATATTAGCAGGAGAATCTGTAAAATTAGTGACCCATGAGTTTGGTTTTTCACATTTGTCACAGCCTTTGGTCTATAGTGGTCCTCGCTTTGCATAAAGCTGAAAAAGTTTCAAAGAACCCAAATAAAGAAATTGAAAGAAAACAAACAAACAAACAAAACAAAAGAAAAGGGGTTAAAAGATACCGGCAAAAGTGTAAATATTGCATAACTCGTTATCAAATTGCGCTTTTATTTTCTAAAATTGAAGGAGAACATGTCATTATCATCTCTAATTTATATTGTCTCCCTCCATAGATATATAAGTCCTTTAAGAGTAATTTTTTAGTTGCAGATATAAATAGTTTTGGAGGGTTTTTGATGATCTTAATGAGTAATTAATGATTTTTTTGCAATTTTATTCTTACATATATCAAACACATTAATTATTTTTACAACTTTTCAAAACTATTTTTAGCTAAATTAATGATGTGAGATAAATAATAATGTAGTCAAATTAATAAATATTATATTATTATAATTTAGAAAAATTAATTATATTTTTAATTAGCATGTAAAAATTTTAAATGATTTATATTTGTGAAGGATGAAGTATACTAAAATTGAATTATTTTTTTTATTAATTAGACCTAATTGTAAATAAACGGTAAATGATGTCTGATTATTTATTAGTAAAACTGGTTCAAGCAGGAGCTAAATGCAAAAAGCCAATCGACGTGAAATTATGAATATAAATATGTAAAAAATAAAAGCACATTTGCTTATGTATCATAATACCAACACATTTAAATGTTAAGGTCGCAAAAAAAAAAAAGTAATATTAAAATGTTGAGCTGGTAAGGAAAATAATTTTTATATTATTATTTATTTTATCATTTTTTATGAATATTTTTAATTCATCAAGAAATAATTGTGAATAAACAAATTGATATAGTTGTTTACAGATAAAAATCAATAAATGATCAATAAAATATATTTTAAATATAAAAATAATATAGTACTGCTCATGATAAATAATTTATACAATGTATTAAACCCTGAATTAGTTTTAACTAATGGCAGTATAATATTGAAAATAGTAATTTTTATTTTTCTTCGAAGGAGTATAAAACTAATTAATTTTAATATTATTTAGATGGAAGTTTATATTCGAACCAAGTGAACTAAACCGACAACGACAGTGGTCGGGAATGCGTATTCCCGGTGTAAAATGGGTCGCAAGTAACGGTAAATATAAAATATTAAATGCACCCATATCTATCTAACTAGCTGCCTCTCCTCAGTCCTCACTAACTCGACTCTCTCTCTCTCTCCGTTCACGGTTGAAGCTCGAAAGAAAGAGACAAGTACTTGCAGACAAATCTCTGGTTTCATGGCTTCTTTACCTCCCTGAATTGAATCTAGTCTTAGATTCCTTATCTTATATATCTTTGGTGGTTTTTACTTAATGCATATTAAAATCACCCATTAAAGCAATCATCTTGTTCTCTTCTCCTTGTTTCATTTCCAGATCTATCATTACAAACTTTGATTTTGTTTCTTTCCTTTTGTTATCTCTTCCTCAAAGCAGTTTTTCCATATTTCTCTTTGACAGTATACATATAGAATCTTTTTCAGGAACCTCATTATTTTACTCTAGATTGAATTCGCCTCAACACTGTACAAAATTACCAAAATGTCTCTGCCGTTGCTCCCTATTTTTCTCTGCTTTTCCATTTTCGTTCTCCTTTCGAGGCCTTTGGCAGTTTCCGGAGAGGTTACGTGCTCAGGGATAGTTCCGGTGAGATATAGGAACGACAAGATATCGATTACGGATTTCGGTGGCGTCGGAGACGGGAGGACACTGAATACCAAGGCATTTAGCGAGGCAATATATCAGATTCAGCATCTGAGAAGGAGAGGTGGCACGCTGCTTTATATACCTGCTGGGGTGTACTTAACGGAGAGCTTTAATCTCACCAGCCACATGACTCTTTACTTGGCTAGAGGTGCTGTTATCAAGGCCACTCAGGTAACTATCAACTCTGATTTAGTTAATGAAACCGAAGGATTAGAAATATTGAATATGGTTAAAGATTAAAGACTTAGAATTTAAGCACTCATCTCAATAGTGTAGAGGGATTTCATTATAATTAGTATCACTCAGCGAAACTGGATGGTACATAACTATTCTAGGCGAGTTAGATCATTTTGCTTTCTTGCTCTTAGATCATTTTGCTCTTTCAGGGTGTTAGCTAAGCCTGAATAATCTGAAGGGAGAGATGTACAAGAACTGTAGTGGGTCCGGGCTGTGGAGCAAGAAAAGAAAAATAAATGGTGGGGCTTGTGAAAAATGGTTGCATGTGCATGACATTTATAGGTGTTAAACAACTAAGATAGTTGGATGTCCGACAGCCAATTAGCTGGCATGTCATGTCGTGCTCTTTCTTTCTTTTTTTTTCTAATTCGTTTTCAATAGAATATTAAGAGCTTCACTACCATCAAGTGGATGTGGATCGAATTCGTTTTTTTAAGATGAAATGAAAGTAAGCCTGTTTGTGTTTATTCTCAATCTTGAACTAAATAGTACCAAAATAATTAATACCCTGATAATGGTGTTGAAAGAATGGATATTTATGAGGCTTAGCAAGTAATGCTAGCTTGTTTCTTGTGGTTTTTACCTGTAATGGTGTTGAAAGAATGGATATATTGATGAGGACCAAAATCCATCTTAGCAAGCAATGTTGATGAAAACATGAAAATGTACTAAGAGGAGCATGTTTGATGGGGGTTCTAATTGTTTTGAGAGGGAAAAAGTGTGAGAGGTAAGAAGAAAGTTTAGCCATCCTTATTATGGTCTTACCTTTTGAGTATATATAGGAAGCAGCAGGTACTTTTTAACTGAGGTATGTACTTCGTTTGGTCCATATCAGATATCTATCCAGCATCTTGTTCTTATGAGATTTGTGTAGTTAAACCCATTGGTAAAAGGCTTCTTAAGTTCAGCTGATTGCACACATTATATGTTGTGTTGAGTGATTGTAATCCTCTATATGATATTCCAATAAGAATGCATAGTCTGCCTGAGTGACGTGGCTGCTTGTCATTGACTTTTCTTCAATTAGTTTATTGTTTTCGTCTTCCTTATGTTTCAGGATACTTCGAATTGGCCTTTAATTGGTCCTTTGCCATCTTATGGAAGAGGAAGGGAGCGCCCTGGTGGAAGGTATGTGAGCTTTATTCATGGAGATGGACTTCGTGATGTCATAATCACAGGTGGGTGTCAACTATTGCGCAGCAAAGTTTCCTTTGTATTGTGCAACAGATCTGTATGTGAAATGTTCTTATTAGGTCTATATATGTTTCTCACCCATATTTATATCTGCCTTCATTTCTGATGGTGAACCTTTTGTTGTTTGTATGCTACTTGCATAACAACTGAAAAAAAAAAATTCTTTTTGTGTAGGTGAGAATGGGACAATTGATGGACAAGGAGATGTTTGGTGGAACATGTGGAGGCAGAGAACTCTCCAATTTACAAGACCTAGCCTTGTTGAATTTGTAAATTCCAGAAGCATAATCATATCCAACGTGATCTTCCGAAATTCTCCCTTTTGGAATATTCATCCTGTTTATTGCAGGTAATAGTTGAATATATGCTTTTACATTAAGGTTTCTGTTCATAAATACTGAACAAATTGACAGTGCTGGGGACATCACATTGTAGATTGGTTTTGCTGCAACTACAATCACTTTATAAGCCAGTGATGGCAAAAATTTAATTCAACTTAGTCCGAAACTAGTTATGATCGGCTATTTGGATTTGCTGTATACATTCCCTACAGCTTAGAGTTATAGTTTCAGTTCTAGACTTGGGCATACTTTTGTTACATGCATATAAAGTAAATGGATAATGTTCTGTTTCCCTGGTCATTGTGAAGTTTTTTCATCTGATACATGCTTACTTGATCATTGCAGCAATGTTGTTATCCGATATGTTACCATCTTGGCCCCACATGATTCACCCAATACTGATGGAATTGATCCAGGTATGTACTTCGAGTGTTTACGGATATGTAACCAAGGAAGACACTCTCTGTGATTTGTTTAAATTTTTATTTTTTTTCCATTTTACAATCCATCAATGCAGATTCAAGCTCTAATGTCTGCATAGAGGATTCATTCATATCTACTGGAGATGATCTTGTAGCTGTAAAAAGTGGGTGGGATGAATATGGTATTGCTTATGGTCGTCCAAGCTCTGGCATCACTATCCGGCGAATAACAGGATCTTCTCCATTTGCTGGAATTGCAGTTGGAAGTGAAACCTCTGGTGGGGTGGAGAATGTCTTTGCTGAAAACATAAACCTCTATGATATGGGAGTTGGCATACATGTGAAAACAAACATTGGTAGGGGTGGATTCATAAGAAACATTACCGTTTCTGATGTCTACATGGAAAATGTTCGAAAAGGAATAAAGATTGCAGGTGATGTTGGAGATCATCCAGATGACGATTATAACCCAAATGCTCTCCCAGTTGTTAAGGGCATAACACTTAAAGGTGTTTGGGGGGAGAAGGTCCTTCAACCGGGTTCAATACAAGGTGTGAAAAACTCTCCTTTTACCGGTATTTGTCTGTCGAATATCAACCTTCATGGCGTGCCAGGACCAAGATCTACTCCTCCATGGAAGTGCTCTTATGTAAGTGGGGCTGCTCTTGAGGTGAGCCCATGGCCTTGTTCTGAACTAGCTACCACAAGTCAGGTTGGTTCATGTTCTGATCACATTTGAGATTCTGTTATTCTTTTTCATTCTGTTTTGAATAATAAAAATCATGAATTTGTGGTTCTTAATAGGAAATAAATGTTCATTGGCCTCTATCGAACTTGCAAAAATCCTTGCATCGTAATTTCCAAATTCTTCCAAAAAACTAGGAGATTAAAAGAAGGAAGAGTTACATAAAATCTGACGAAGCAATATATCCACTCAAATATCCATAAAGTCAAGTAGCATAAAATGCCAATATACAACACAAATATATAGCTAAGTACAATATCATATCTCCTGTGTATAACAACTATGAACCTACGCACAAGTAGGATCATTTACACATCTAACATAGATGCATCTTATTTACAAATATAAACGACAGTGAAGAAAAAATAAATAAAAATCAACAACCATGGTTTAAATAGATCCGTCAACATATATGTTGCCTTAAAAGTGCTCTAAGAACTTGCGGATCCCCTTCAAAAACCCACCATCATGCTCGTGACGGTGACCGTGACGGTGACCGTGACCGTGACCGTGACCATGCCTTTCCTCTTCTAGTTCTTCATCGTGGTGGCGGTAGCGGTGGTGATCGTGATCGTGCTCGTGATAGTGCCTTTTCTCTTCCAGTTCTTCGTGATCATGACTTTCCTCTTCTAGTTCTTCATCGTGGGGGTGGTAGCCGTGGTGCTCGTGCTCGTGCTCGTGCTCGTGCCTTTTCTCTTCTAGTTCTTCATCGTGATGGTGGTTAGGGTGGTGGGGTCTGTCATGTATCCCTTCTCCCCTCTGCTCGTCGTTGATTAATGAGAACCTGTGTCCGCCATGGTTAAACCTTGTCCATCGCATTGGGATCGGACGAGCTCTGCCGAGAGACATCCGATCGAAACCTAGATCCTCATCTCCAGAAAGAATCATGTCCTTCCCATAGGAAATCTCCTGCGGGCCGTCAAAGCGTGGACCACCCCATGGCTTATTGATGTGGCGGCGGCGGCCGCGGCATCGATGTCCACGACGAAACCGGATTAATGGAAGTCGGTTGATGGGACGGAAGGATAGAACCGTCAGTGGCACCACCTCCGACTCAGTTTCGGTCCTTTCAGATTCTGGTCTCTCTTTGATAGGCTCCAGCTCCACCCCTCGTTTATTGACGGCTTCAGTTTCTTCCGGTTCAGTGTTCGGTTTCTCGCTAGGGAGGATAATAGTAGCGGCGGCCTTAGGGTCTGACTCCGTGACAACGTCATTTGCCGGCGGATCTAACGGCGAATGCGCGTCAGCGAAGATTAGTAAGAACAAGAGAGCGGTTGCAGCGAAGGTGACGGCTAGATTTCTGGCCATTGTTACGTGTTTGAAAATAAAGATGGAGAGAGCGAAAGCATTATATAGGAGAGAGAGTTTGGGGACCAGAGCGGGCACGGCAGGTGGTTTCGTGGAGGTTTGACCGATGCTAGAAGAATGAAATACGGGCTGCGGGAAAGAGGGGATACCGACCACGTGGATAATTTGCGGTTTGATCCTGTGTTTTGTTTAAGGTATTCTCACACCGATAAAGAAAGAGATGGGCCGTATATTTCACCGTTTTTGTTGAATCTGAGCTGTAACTTCTAACTTCCAAGGTGGGACCATATGAATCTGAATTTACTTATTTGCCATATTATTTTGCAATTATATTGCTGTATATTGTAGCTTTTGATAAGTCCAATTCAGTAACTATCCTTTTAAGACCGTGCAACACAGAGATGGGACAATATCGTAATCTTCCAATCCTTTGATTAACCGCGTGGAAAGTTTGTGCGTCATCAAGGACGTCAAGGATGAGGGCGTTGACCATGTATGGTGTGGATATAAATTTTTTTTTTGAAGAAAGCGAGTGAACATAATTGAATTTTAAATTTAAATTTGTTTATGTGGAAATGCGATGTGTTTTATAATTGCATCTCTTAAAGGATTTTAATAGAAAAAGGGATCAATATAAATCAAATTAGTTTAATTTCTGAAGCTTAAAAAATAAAAAAAAGTTCAAATTTTTATATCAAACAACAATTGTCAATTATCTATTTTGGGACGAAGGGATAAATTATTTTTTTTCCGTGTGTTTCCAAATAAAGCTATTTGTTTATATTAGGATTTAAAAAACCCAAAACTATCAACAAAAATTATAACTAATAATTATTTAATTTTACGTGAATGGAAATTATTTAATTTTTCTTTGGAGATTATCTTTTCTTTTTTTGCTTCTAAACAGGCAAGAAGAGATGTTGTGGGTATTTAGGCCCTTATTAAGTGGAGAGAAAGGCCCAAGTTTCTTTCTGCACAAATTTAGTTTGGCCATATTTAGACAAGAATGTTAAAATTTTATTGTAAAAGAATGGCCGGTCATGATTGAATATAGCGAAGCAAAGAGCAAAGCATGACAGAGACAAAGAATAGCCGGTTGATGGAATGACAGAGACAAAGAATCCATGAATCTAAGCTTCAAAAGATACAGTCAGAAAATAGAGTTGTCTCCAAAGCAATATTAGCCAATGAAAAACATTAGTGAAAGCAAGAGTTTCATTAACCAATCAAATTCATTTTCACAATTTCAACAAGATTCCATTTTTGGACGTTAATGTAATGTAAGTTATGTAACCCAATATCAAACAAAAACAGCTAGCTCCAAGCATTATTAATTCGATGCATTCTAGAAATTAAATAACACACACCAAAAAAAAAAAAAAAAGCTCTCAACCAAACACAACACCAAAAAAAAAAAAAAAGCTCTCAACCAAATAACACACAAAAAATCCCAAACCAATCCAGTTTTAAAATTCTCTTCAAGACTCAAAAAAAAGGAAAGCAAAAATGCTATCAAGAGACCGTTCACAGCTAAACCAGCATGGAGTCCTAGCCGTAGAGCAGATGGAGTTTGGCAATTAGCTGCAAGTTATTAGAGGTCCATTCTGAATATTCTGAATTGCTTAGTAAAAAAAAAAAAAAAAAAGCTCTCAACCAACATAACACACAAAAATCCCAAAACCATCCATTAATTCTCTTCAAGACTCAAAAAAAGGAAAGCAAAATGCTATCAAGAGCCTTCACAGTAAAACCCAGATGGAGTCCTAGCCGTAGAGATGGAGATGGCATTAGCTGCAAGTTAGGGTCCATTCTTGAATATTCTGAAGATTGCTTAGTAGTTGGGTTCGAAGATGATTTGCCTTTAGTTTTTTGTGGTAATAATAATGAATCTCAGTTGACTTTAAGGGAGGTTCTGAGGGCATCTGTAAGTGTTATGGGAGAGAGTCGATTAGGAATGACACAGAAAGCAGTATTATTGGAAGGAAAAATTTATGCTGTGAAAAGGTTTAGAAAAGTGAGGGTTGGTAGACGTGAGTTTGGTAAAAGAGTAGAGAGATTGTCTCAGGTCAGCCAAAAATGTGCCTATCTTGTTCCTGTTACTGCTTTTCTGTATTCAAAGAGGATCAAGTTTGTTCTTTGCGATTATTATCCCATGGGAAGCCTCGCTGACTTGCTTTCTGGTGAGTAAAATTGTTAAATTTTTTCTTTCTATTCTAGTTTTTGCTCGATCTTTCTTTCTATAATCGATATAGGTCTTAGGATGTAATGAATTGCTATAATGTCCTGCAATTTTCTGACAAGTATTTCAATCAAGGTGGAAGGGAATTAGGTCACACTGCCTTGGATTGGAAGCAAAGGCTAACAATAGCCATAGACATTGCAAGAGCAATTGCTTTCATTCACACAAGACATCCTCCATATGAAAAGAACATGCAAATGAATGTGCATGGCAACGTTAAAGCCTCTAATGTAATGATAAAGAACAACCTCACTGCTTGCTTATCGGATTATGGTTTCGCCCACTTGGTGGAATCCGATGAAGTTTCCGATACATGGCAGCAGAAACCACCTCCACAGAAGCAGCAGGAAAGTCCTTACTGTAACAAATGTTGTCAAAAGAGTGACATTTACAATTTCGGAATAATATTATTGGACATGCTTGGAGGATCCACAGCTTCAGGTGTAGTTCATTGCATATTAGACAACAAAGAGGAGATTAGAAAAGGTGCAATTGAATATTTTGAATTTGTTGTGGAGGGGAAAGAAAGGCAGAAGGCTATGAAGGTTTTGGATATAGCATTGGCATGTGCAAACAAGTCACCCGAAGACAGACCTTCAATAGAACATGTTTCAAAGGTTTTGGAAATGTTACTATAATTAAGAAGTAAGTTGCTATAAATATAGCATGGAGTTTTTTGTTAAACAAATTAATTATGATTTATTGTATTATTATATGGAATAATTAACTATATATTTATATATATGAAATAATTATTCTAGTCTAATTTACTTATTTTTGAAATAGGCTATATGAATTTGAATTTCAACGATGTCGATTCTTCTTCCCTATACTGAGATTAAAAAAAGAAATTTTTTAGATTGATCTTCTACTTAAATTAATATAAATAGTATCTTAACTAATAAATTAGTTGGAATCACTTAATTATTGAATTATTGAATTAACATGAACTTGTAATTTCAAAAAATTGATTATTGGAAAAATCTAAAAACAAAATTAATATTAAAGATTCTGTTTAATTAATTGGTGAGTATATTTGAGTCTCACGTGTGGGTTCCTCAAGGAAGCAGGAGATGTCACGTATGGACTGAAAACCATGTGATTACCGACATCTGTCAGTATCTCTCTGCTAACCTCTCAGTTTCTTTCTTTCTTTCTTGTATCCAATAGAAAATTCAATTTCTTCTTCCAAATTCCAAATATACAGCGGATCTTTCTGGCTTCCCAAACTGTCCCCCATTCTTCAATCACTTTCGTTTTGACACGTGGAGATGTCAGATCGGTTAGTGGCCACTATAACAGTGCACCTTCACATGCAAACATCTCTCTCTGCATCTGTAAGGATGATATGCATATGCCATTAGGATTTTAGAGGCTTCTGCCAGTCCAACTAGTTGCTCCTTTTGTTCCCTTCTCAAAAGAAGGCTCTCTACGATTCTTAGCTATCACTGACTTGTAGCTTTCTTGACACTGTTAGATTAATATTATCTTTTATAAGCAGCAATGGAATGTAATATTATCCAATAAAAGACGTTTTTAATGTAAATTTAAACTAGAATTATATTCGATTGCATTATATTATATTTTATTACAGCTCACCGGACATTATCTAAAATTAAGATTATTATGAATTCAAAGTTTTACTACATATCATTTTGTAACCTAGGAACCATGAAAATTGGAACTATATATATTTTTTGTTGGATTCAAGTTGGAGCATAGAAAGAAACAGAGAAATGAAGTGATGTCTTTTAGAAGTATTGTCCTAATTAAAATAAATAATATTTATTTTTCTGTATTTCAAGTACTTTGTACTGTATCTAACAAGTACATGTAATGTATCTATATCACAATCTGTTGCTCTGCATCATAGTCCATATAATTAATGATGTCTCTGACCATTCAAACCGACCATGCAAATTTTTTATCTTAAAGATAATTAATTCATTACCATTGACATTTTTAATTTGCATCATAAACCTATAAACATTTAAATTAAACAGTTTTCTTTCTTTTAGTTAATCTTTAGGGTCTGTATCAACTAGCTAAGAGTAAGAGGAACTTTCTTTTTTCTTTTTTCTTTTTTTTTTTTTTAATTCTAAGGCACAAAGTACAAGATTGAACACAAAAAAAAAAAAAAAAAAATTTAACTTCTAAGGCACAAAGTACAAGAGTTGAACACAAAAAAAAAAAAAAAAAAAAATCTAGAAATGAGATGTTATGAAACATAATTAACAGTTACTGAAAAAAAAAAAAAAAAAAAAATCTAGAAATGAGATGTATTGAACATAATTAAAGTTACTGAAATAGTTGACTTTGGTATAGGTAACATGTTAACATTAATAATAACAAGCACTACAGTTACTTTTTTTTTTTTTAATTAGCCTATATATATATATATATATAATGTATTTTAATATTTATCATGAATTTAGTTAAGAAACATTTTGTGAAGAAATTTAATGATGTGGGTGGCCATGTGGGGAAGTTGTTCATTTGACTAGATGATTATGGGTAGATTACATAATTAATTCATTAATCAAAGACATAATTAATAATTAATCCACCTATCTTTTGATCAATCTTTTATTTTTCCCTTCGAGATTTGATTAATGAAGTCCTAGTGCGTGCGTGAGTGCATGGCTCTCTTTATTGGTTTTAGCACCAAAGTTACATTTTTTATTTTTCTCACATAATATATCTATATATATATATATATATATTAGTCAACCAAATAATTAAGATGTTCACACTCTCATCATCTGAGTCCACGAAAAACCTAATGATAACAATGGTGCACGAACAAGCAACACTTTCTGCACCCGCCATTATCCTTAGCTCTCCCATATATATATATATAGGGTTGACCTTTGACTTATTCCCACAAACAAGCGTGTGGATTAACATTTTTTAAGGACAGCCACGAACCCTAGGTGGGATTCAAATGCGAATCCCTTTCCTTGCATTATCTACTGCATTTCTAATTAATAATTTAAGGAGATAATATTATTCTTGAGTTTTGTAATGGTATTAGTGTGATTAACACTTCTCTTTTTATTTATTTATTTATGGGAAATTATCCCATAGATGCTATGGTTATTAGTTATAATTAAGAATACAAAATTCTGGTTAACGAAGCTATACGTGAATAAAAATGAGTTTACCAACTAAACTAATTCTTGAGATTTTATGACGCTCAATGTTTTCATAGCTTTATGAGTTAAGATTATAATTTTTAATTTATTAAGTTGAATTACAAAATTGAATTATTGTAATGAAAATAAGATTAACTCATTGTTATAATGGAGAGCTAGTTCTTCGCTTTAAAATACATGAGATTACTAAACATATTATTAAGAATTTTCATTTGATTGGTTAAAAAAAATAAAAATAATTTAATTTTGATTGATCATATTAATTTTTTATTTAAATATAAATTCTATTCGGTAAAACAAGAAATTATATTTTATACTATATAATGTATAATATTAAATATGATTATACTATTTACTTCCTGCTTTTTTATAATTGGAATTGGAAGTTTTGAAATCGAAACTAGCAGTTTTGGCATCATGATCATACCTAGCATGTACTCAATATAAAGTTTAAAAAAATTTAAAATCCATATAAAATTTTAATACATAATCATTGAATTTCATACATCCAGCTAAAAAAATGTGTAATTTTCAACTTGTGTTAAATTTACTAATAAAAATGAGACGTTTCATCTCTAAAATGGCTAAGGATCTTTTTCTTTTCCTTTTTTTTTATCATAACAAGCCAATAAAGTCCAAACCTAATGACCAAAACAAAAATTCTTTACATTTGGGTTTGAAACCCTCATCCCTCTTTAATTCGTGACCTCATTGAAGAATATTAAATTTCTCACATAAGTAATTGAAAATGTTGCAACCAAATATAGAAAACTAACATAATAATTGAAGAATATTAAATTTCTTTCAAGATAATAGATAAACATTGCAATTAAATATAAAAAAATCAACTTGCACTTGACAACTCTCAAGGAAAGAACAAGTTATATCAATTAATTGTCCATATATTTATCATAAGCAACATGTTATGTTTTTATATAGCAAGCTATCCATCGAATATAGATATTCTTCATCCTGCAAAGCAAATCTAAGATTTTATTATTTCTTAAATAACTTATATATATACATATGAATTTCATTGGTTTAGTTCATGGGTGTAACTGCTCTAAGCAAATTAATTCCATTAATATAGACACGGCTAACTTTTTTTATAAAAAAGTAAATAAATAAATAAAGGAGGGAAGACTTGTAAAAAGTAAAAAGTGAGTGAAACAGCAAAAATGACAAGGGTAGAAAAATATTTTTACTGCATAGACCCTTCCTTTTTGAGGAAAATGTTAAGTCGTAATAAGTCCAAGTAATAGCCTGCTACTCATTATAAATAGGAAGCTCAAAGGCACGTTAGTGTACGTGTATCTATCAATAATTAATTAACCAAACTACAAGGTGAGGAGGAAGAAGAAGAAGAAGAAGAAGAAGAAGAAGGCAATGGGAAGCACAAGAACTGAGTTATACTTTGTTTTCATGAACTATGATCCTGAATATGAACGCCTCCGAGCTGATCGGTAAGTTCTTTGCACTGTCCTAATTATTAGCTAGTAGTCTCTTACGAAATAACTAAGCTAATTATATAATTAGATAGATCTTTTTTGCTCTTGAAAATAATTGTATATAGAACAAAGAAAGGAGCATACGAGCTTGATTTGTACCTAAGTAGGAAACATGACGAGTTATTGGCAAACAATCTTGACCGTGGCACCTACAGAAAGACTCTCTCTTTGGTCATTGTCGATGGCTTTGCTGTAGAGATCACAGAAGTTCAGGTAATCCTTTTCTTTTCTTTTCTTTTCTTTTTGACTTCATTAATGACAAGTCTCTTTTCTGGTTTTTCATTTTTCATTTTGTCTGCTTCTCATTTTTCTTTTTTAAAACAGGCAAATGTGCTTAGATCTGCCAATGGAGTGAGAGTTGTGGAGAAGAACCAGGAAGTTGCTTAGTTAGCAAATTAAGCAAATGTGGAAATAATATTGAAATTATAAATTAGTGGTTTGATAGTAACTCATGAGTTTGTAAAGTAGTGTTTTGTAACTATTGAAGTCCTACTTCTTGTCTCTGTTGTTTGTTAAACCCTATTCTCTCCTTCAATGAAATTCGAAATTGAAATATATTTTTTGGTATTATTAAGGTATCTCCACGCTCGTTTAATGGTTAGATGATAGACTAATTTCTTCGTGTTAGATCATTGTTGTATTGACAGAGATAGAGAGTTCAACCCCTTAGGTTGAAATATTTCCCCTTGGATACATCTTTCTTCTTGTTTTTCAATTTAACCTTTAAGTAATTAGCTGCACTACAATAATAATAGGTATGCATCAAAAGTTAAAGGTTGATAGAAGTGGATGGATGCGACTGCTCTTGTCTTTATTTATCAACTTCAACTTTACCCTATCGTCTGTTGGTCATTCGTTGCCACTTCCTTGTTTCTTAAACCCTATATAAAACACACACAAATAATTTAATTATCTAAATATAAAATATAAATACTGAAAGGAAAATCCATGGACTGACCCCATTGTCTCCACCCATATGAACTACCAAATTTATATAAAAATTAATTAAGGTAGTATATGAAAAATTATTTTATTTTATGTCATTATATATAGTTTATGCAGCAAATACACAAATAATGTGATGAACAGTGGAGAGATTCCTATAATTTAAATTGATGGGATAAGACAAGGAACATAGTTCAATAATTCACATAAAAGGGCAACCTTATCTACTTAAGGTTGTAAAGGAAAAAGAGAAACATACCTAGAATGGTTCAATTTTTGCGATAAGAATGTGTGTGTGAGGGTGACAGAGAGAGATCAGAGAAAGAGGCTTGGAATTGGCATACAGATGGTTTATATATGTACATATGCTATTTGGAATTTCGCTACCAATTTCACCTCTTTACCTACATTTTTTTTTTTTTTTTTTTGGAATTGGCACTTACAGATGGTTCTATATGATGTTTACATTACTTTGCTATTTGGAATTTCGCTACCATATTTCACCTCTTTAACCTACAGATTTTTTTTTTGCATTTTTTTTTTTTTTTTTGGGTTAATGGATGGTTTAGATTATTTGTCCTTTCTAATGCCAGGACCGTTCCAAGTCGTTATTTCTCCAATTACAGAAAAAAAGTTATAAAGCACTGTTTAGAATGTCATTAGCGGTCATTTGTCAGCGAGTTTATAGTTATTCCCCGTCGTCGAACGTCAGGCCACAGAATGGGCTCAGGCCCAACTCTCGTTTATTCAGTCAATGATTTCTCAATTTTGAAATCAAATTTTGTTGGTCTCGGGCCTCTTTGGCCTTCCTTTCTATAACATCAGGAGTAATAGAAAAGGGATAATTCTTCTCCTAGGATTTAGGATTAAGGATTCAAAGTCGAGACTTTTCACTTAATTAAAAAAATTATATGGAATTTATGTAAATGAATTCTCACCTCCCCAAGTTCGAAAACAATGGATGTCCCGTGCATGAAATGGCAAGCGTTATCCACTCTTCCTAAGGACCTCTGTGTAAACACTTAACTGATCGTTTCAACCAGAAAATGTACATACAGAAGCCCTTGAGGGAGAGTGAGCAATCAATGCCATTGTTATTGTCGTTCTTGTTGACGATGGATGATGATCGATGATCGATGATAAGCTTTATAAACTTCAAGACAATTATTGTTCACTCTCCCTACTGACCTCCGACCAGCGAAGCTTGCCATTTCTGGCAATATTTCCGCCGGAAGCCCTTGAGGGAGAGTGAGCAATGAAAATGTCTTGTTATACTCTTGATTGATGATGAAGCTATTCTTGATCGATCGATTGCCATGAGCAAGCCACTGCCTGTTGTACTTCCCACAGGGGCTCCTGCCCTAACCAAACCCTAGTCATGTTTGCTCAAAAGTTAAGTTCTTATTAATTATATTAAAAAAAAAAAAAAAAAAACCCTTAAAAAAAAAATTAAAAAAAAAAAAAAAGAAACCCTTTACATTTAGAGCAAATTTATGGGCAGATGATGCAGAAGCCCTTGAGGGAGAGTGAGCAAGCAATGCCTTGATTTAAAGATTCATTTTCCTGTAATTTGCTTGAAGAGGATTGGCCATTAAAACCCTTTTTATAGGCCTCTAAAAGATGTGGAGAAAAAATGTAGGAGGAGTAATAAACAATGTGCCTAATAATTTTGTATATGGTGGGGTCCTCATATCCAGACACTTGTCATCCAATGGCTAACCAGATACCTCAGTTGATATCCTAGACTATAAGTGCACAGAGTCAACGCGTCAATGAATGAAATTTTACATTAAAACGAATCGTTTGGGACCATTTCTTGGCTCTTAAGAGCCATGACAAGGCAACTCTGCTGTTGTTAATTTTAAAAGAATAATATAAAGTTACAATTAGCTAGCTAGGATTCGCATCTTAATCTTATCTTTAGTACTATGTCAAGGACAAGATTATTATTATTTTTTCCTTTTGACATTCTTTAAATCCTACCTTTTTATCTCTAAACCAAATGGCCTATCTTTACAAATTGGATGATAAAGATTCACACATTGCACAGACACAGTTCCTTCCTACATGGAACTTGTGACACATTTTCATACATTGTATATGATGTGTACGTAGCCATAGTATATGATACCTTCCTTCCTTCCTTCCTTCCTTCTCTTTATTAAATTATTATTTGGCCAATTCTTGTGTCTTCATTGTTATTTCTAATGCTTACAGCTGGTCGCATGATATATATTCTTAATTTTTAATTTCATTTTCTTTCCAATTTCTTTAAATTTAACGTTATTTTCTCTATCAGACAGTTAATATTAATCAACTTGGAATGAATTTGGATTTGGGCAATTTTCATTGCCAATTGGGCTACAAGTCCAATTACACTAGGTAGGCCCATGAGCCTTATCACGCCAAAGAATGGGCCATGTTCTTCTTGCACGTTACGTGGCACCGCGCATCATCGGTGGCGCCAAAATCAATATCAGGCGCCAAATCTCTTCTCCTGCTGGAACTAGTGCGAGTTTTGGATTTCCGAAGATTTCTTTTTATTTTCCTGATTTTAGAGTTAAATTTTCGAGGCTCTGCAATTGCTAGCAACTGGAATACACGAATGGCTGACTCTTCGCCTCCGTCAAAGCGAAGCCGAAAGAATCAAGATGAAGATGCAAACGACACGTCACCACTGTCGCCGGTGATTGTCTTTGCTCACGGTGCTGGTGCTCCATCCTCGTCCGATTGGATGATCAGGTCTCCTTTTCTCTTCTTTATTATTATTAATTTCAAGTTTTTCTGTGTACCAAAAAATAGGTAAGAAATTGCAGAAATCTGTTGAAAGTAGATAAATTTTTCGTTGAATTTATGCAGATGGAAGAACATGTTGGAAAATGTTTTGCAAGCTGTTGAAGTGGTCACATTTGACTATCCATGTGAGCCAATTTCATTATTTTTATTTTTATTTCTAAGTTTAGTGACATAAAAGAAGTTTTAGAGATTGTTTAATATATCTATGGTCATTGCAAGTCTAAATAAATGAATTTCATTTTGTTAGATATTGCTGGTGGAAAGAAGAGGGCTCCTCCCAAAGCAGAGAAATTGGTGGAGTTCCACAAAGATGTTGTCAAAAAGGCTGTTGCTAAGCACCCTGGTCATCTACTAGTTTTGGCTGGGAAATCAATGGATTCTAGGTATGATACAAGCACTTGGCTTTCTTTGGACCAAAAAAAAAAAAAAAAAAAAAAAAAAAAAAAAAAAAAAAAAAAAGAAAATTCTGAAGCAATAATACTATACAACGAGATTTAGAACTGTTTATCTAAAAAAAAAAAAAAAAAAAAAAAAAATTTCTGAAGCAATATACTTACACGAGGATTTAGAACTGTTTTATGCTGACCTGAGTAGTTTGCTCCAGCATATGAGGCAATTTGGTGTAGTCATTGCTGTGTTTGTTCCTGGGCGGTGGGGGCCAAACATATTAATAATTGACACATATACAATATCCTTATGGGTTCCTGTTTTTAATAATTTGTAATGCTTTAAAGCACTGTAATTCTTTAGGTTTATGGTTGTTGAGTAATGGAAAGACAAAAGGTACATACTTTATGGGATTTTCCCTATTGATTGAGTTGTATATAAGCTTCTATATTCATGAATAACTGTGTTCTGTTGTGCAGCCATTTGATCTTGCCTATTACATGTTTTATAAAAGTCATTTATTTACCTCTAGATTCACAGTTATAGGTAGGAGATTCCATAAATTCCAGCAAACCAGGTCACAAAATTAAAAACTCTTTTTGATTTTGATTTTTGCTTGTCGTAGAGTGAGTTGCATGGTTGCTGCTGAGGTTGACATTGTACCATCAGCTGTAATTTGCTTGGGATACCCGCTTAAGGTTTGCAATTATTGGTTCCATCGACATCCAAGTATTTAGTATTAAAATGGGAACATAATCAAATTAATACAACAATTTTCGGTTCCTTAATTTTTCAGGGTACAAATGGAGCTGTGAGAGATGAGACGTTGTTGCAACTTGAAGTACCTGTATTGTTTATACAGGTAGCTCTTTTGATTTCAACCAAGATGACAAACAATATTGTTGCTTTTGAGTCACAGTTTGCAAAGCCTTATGTGAAACATTGATTTAGCTTTCTGTTTAAGTAAATCTTTTAGTTATATACCCAAAACGCCCAGAGCTACTTTTTTTTTTTCTTATAATTTTTGCTAATACTATTTTGTCTATTTGTGCACGTACTTCTGTCGCGCTTCATACTGTGAAGGGTAGCAAAGATGGGCTTTGTCCCCTCGAAAAGTTGGAAATTGTCCGCAAGAACATGAAACCGTTGAATGAGTTACATGTGATTGATGGTGGTGATCATTCTTTCAAGATTGCCAAGAAGCATCTTCAAACAAATGGTTTAAGCCAAGATGAAGCTGAGGATCTTGCTGTTAAAGCTGCAGCATCATTTGTTTCCAGGTGTCTTAAAGGAAAGTGACATTTCTACTGTTTTGAATTTTATCTCCCCCTCTTTTGACTGCTGGGTTCTGTAAATTATCATATCCCAAATTCAGGATGCTCAGACTAATATGTAGTTTTCTACTTGTCAGCCAAGGTTAGCTTTTATTGTTCCTAAAAAATCTCTAACTTTTGTCAGGTGTAGTATAGGCTGCACATATTATCATTGTGGTTGGTTATCTGCGCTGAATTTGCAAGTTTTTTATATGGCTAACAACTGTTGTCAGATTGAAGCAGTGGTCGTGGGTCAATCTTCTATTTCAATTTGGCTGATATAGTGGAAGACAGCATACAGATTATACATGTGTCAGTGTGTGTGTGTGCACGCACGTGTGCATATATACTTCAATTTTTTAATCAGTTATTGATGCAGTACTCATACATATACAAAACTAACTGTGCATTTGGGTGCCTGTTATGTTTTGTGGTCCTTTCAAGCACTACCATTTATGTGTTTATGGTGTGTGGGAGTGGAATGTATGAGGTTTGCATATTCTCCTTATTCATCTTGATTTTGAGTTGGACATTGCAACATCAGCTTTAAGTTGCTTGGGACACCTGCTTAAGTTTTGCTATTACTCATGTACGTGAGTTCCCTTTTTCATTAACATAAACAGTCTAACATGATTATTTCTAATATGCTTGATTTGGTGGTCTATAATAATTGGTGTTCTATAGTTTGATTACTGTGAAGAATTGCTTCATTAATACTGAAATGGAAAGGAGAGGAGGTGATAAGTTCACATACAAGCTGAGAACTTTTAAGACTTCACATTTAAATGACCCAATCCTGTACTTGGGACTTCTGGGACTTTAAGGTTATAGAAATCTCTCCCTCCAATTCTCTGTATTAAATCTGAGGTATTATTATTTTTTTAAAAATTTATTCTCGCTTTCCTCCTAAATTTTTATGGATTTCAGGCAGCTGTGAGACGTGCATTACCATTCTTATCTTGCTTTACGAAAGTAGAAGAAAGAAAGAAAGCATTTTTGAACATTGATTTCCAATTTGAAAAGAAATTAGCTTAGTTAATGCTTTATTTGCTAATTAGAATATGACTTTCGTGTTGGTTTGCTATGAAATCTCAATTATGGAATAAATTTCGAACTCTTGATTTATTAAAGCTTTAATATTTATTCATTAATAAGATAAACCTCATGTAGCTGCATATTTAGCCCAAATACACTTCACACTGGCATATCTTTTTAGTTTTCATTATTTCTTTATTATATAAATTATGTAGCCTCTCCTTCTGATTGATCAGTCCCAGCTTAATTCTGCAAAATACAAAACAAACAAGCAAAAGGTCAATATTCGGAAAAGAAAAAAAATCTGTAACCATTTAATTATTATAAAACAAACAACACTTGCCCTCTTTCTGCCACACTTTTCACCATCGCTTTCACTGTCGCTGCTGCTGCAGCTGTCGCTGTCACTGTCACTGTGACCTGAAATGCCATCTTTGATCTTCTGGAGCAGACCCCTGTTCCTGCGCTCGCCATTGTTCCTTCTTGTCTTTCCATGGCAATTTGTAACGTTACCAGTTGCATGGCCCTGAGCAGTTTGGCCATGGAAAGCGGTTTGGCTGGAGCAATGGGTGTGGGTCTGGGTCTTGGTGACTGGGCGTTGGGTTTGGCACTGTGGGGTGTGGTCTTTCTTGAAGGAAGAGCCAACCATCTCAGACATTTTGTGGCCAAAAGAGTGGTTTTGGTGGCCTTGGTTGTTGCAGGTTTGCTGAGCTGGTTTGTAGCACTGGACTGAGGCCATTTTTCGGTATAGTGAATATGCAAAGAAGGTTTGTTTTAATTTGTGTGTTTGCTGTGGTGTTGTAAGGCGAAATTTGAAGCATATATGTAGGACTGGTGTGAGTGGGAGAATAATCCTTTTAGCTTTCATGCATGCTTTGAATCTCTTCTTTGCAATGCAATATACATATATTATCACATATTCTTCGAGTCTAGAAAATTTGAGAAAAAAGAATGTTATCTTTTTAATTTTTTAATCATAAATTGCTTGTCGAATAAATACCATTTTTAGTTTATCTTTTTCATTTTATTTATATTGAATAAATTATGTTTTGGTGAATTGAGAACGTAGATTTAGAATCTGGTTGTGGACAGATTCCAGATCTTGAAGGAATATGGTTTTTCAAGTCATTTTTCTGGATTCTCATTGTTTTTTACTTTTACAGTTGAATAGAAATGAAAATATTTTTCTTTCTTTTTCAGTTATCTTTCCTTTTAATGCCAGAGATGAAAATAATTAGTTTATCTATCTGCTTTGCTGGAATTAACTAATTTGTCTCTCTATTTTTTTTTTTACTTTTTATACTTTTTAATAGAAAAAATACAAAAAATTGACAGAATGATAAAATAAAGTTACAAAAAACAATAAATATTAGTATAACCTACTGTGTAATTGTCAAAATTTATTTTCTTAATGCAGACAATAAGAGTCAACAGAGTTGCAAATGACCAGTAACTACAAGTCAAACCAATTTCTTTCGCCAGACATTCCATTTACTGTTTCTTTCATCTCCCCAATGTAGATTTCTATCCATCTGCATACAAACAACAATTAGCTTTTCTTTCTTTCTTTCTTTCTTTCTTTCTTTCTTTCCAGACATAAGATGATATTCTAGCTTCTCCTTTAATTACTATATATAATCTTAAAATTCTCAATATTCAAGTTCTTTTTGCTTAATTATATCGTATAGCTGTATAGAAATTTATGAAGATGGATGAACGTCCATGGAAGAAACAAAAGACCTGTTCAAGTTGCCGCTCAGAAGGTAATTAGTTTCTTATGTTCATCATTTCCGCAACTCTTCTAATCTGTTTAATCATTCTTCTGCTGGAATAATCCAAACATTACTGTTTTTCTTAATTTCTTTAAAACCCAACTGGTTATGTATACAAATATATAATGAAAAATAGCACATGTTTTGTTAATTTCTTGAGATTTTGTTCTTGCAGAAGTGAGCAGTGTCGAGTGGGAGTTCATCGAAATGAGTGAACAAGAAGAAGATCTAATTTACAGAATGTACAGTCTCGTTGGAAACAGGTAACTTTTTTGTTTTTGAAGTTGTTTTTTTCGTTTAACCAAATCCGGAATTCACCCGCTTCAGAACAATAAGAAACAGGAGAGTTAATTAATAGGATTAGATACAGAACAGAAGGTAATTAAATTAATTGGACGTACATTTGTCAGTATATATGTACGTACATGTTTTTGTTATATAATCGTACATATACAGTACATGTACAGTGTACTAGTACTATCACACACGTGCTCAACACTTACCTACCAACGTTTGACTCGTCAATGACAATAATGCACATCATCCTTCGTTCCACTGGGAGTTGCATTAACGCGCCAAACTCTGATAATGAACAAAACAATCCTCCATTTTTTTTTTCTATATATAAAAGACAATTTTTGTAGTTTCCTATTAATTAAATCTTAAAATAAATAAATTATTATTTGTTTCCACATGTATTAAACAACTCCATATATAACTTTGATTGTCTTAATTTTTTTTAAAAAAATTATATTTAGATTAGTTTAAAAAATAATTTAATATGAGTTAGTTGTAGCAGCTCTCTTCTTCATGATATCAAGTGTTTTGATGGTCTCAGGAACATAGTTCTGAAAATAGCAAAGTTCTCCGATGGATGCATAATTAATTAATTAATTAATTAAAATTAAAGCAATTAAGAGCCTGCAGATTAATGATTAATTATTTAAAATGAACTTTCATTTAACAGGTGGGAGTTGATAGCAGGCCGGATTCCAGGGCGTAAAGCAGAAGAAATAGAGAGGTTTTGGATAATGAAACATAATCAAGAATTTGCAAATAAAAGAAACCAGCACCAACCTAGCTACTAGCTATGGTCATAAAACCAGCACCAATCTTTTTTTTTTTTTTTTTTTAAGCTAAGGCCGTGATTCCAGGGCGTAAAGCAGGAAGAAGATAGAGAGGTTTTGGATAATTGAAACATAATCAATGAAATTGCAAATAAAAGAGAATCCAGCACCAACCTAGCTACTAGCTATGGTCATAAAACCAGCGACCAATTTTTTTTTTTTTTTTTTTTTTTTTTTTTTTTTTTTTCCTTCTTCTATTCTTTTCAATATATGCATTCCTATGATTCCTTTTTTTAGTTATTAGAATTTGTAGTTGTTAATTTCAAAATTAAGAATGTCATATTACAATAATATGAATTATTCATTTCTAGCAATTTAAACATAAACACAAAAACTTTTCCTATATTGGAAAATCAAAATTGCAATTTACTTCCCGGAAAATTGATTTGCATACGAAACATGGGAGGAAAGTTTCTTGGAAGCATATTTTTCAAGAAGTAGGGAAGTAGGACATCTTAAGTATATATATGAAGTTGAATTAGTCAAGGATCAGAAAAAACATTTCTGTTGCATTGCATGGTGAAATCCAATAATTTCAATTCAAACACCTAATTTTAAGTTAGAATTATTAATGACTTAATTAATTTTGATTAAGAGTCTAACCCAGGTTAAGTGATTAAGAAATAAGAAGTTTCTGTGCCATTTTACAACGTAAAAGTCACCTTTTCTTTTCTAAAATGAGAAGAAGAATAGGTCAAATTTTGAACAGACACAGCAGGAAACTGTTAAAAAACAGTTACTGGAGACTCAATGTATACAATAGAAGTTTTATTTCTGAAAATTAGAGGATAATATTGTTTTTTCTTAATATAAATAATGGGATTTCACTTTCCAGTTTCCACAAAAACGCGGTTGCAGAAATGATTGTACATGAGGAACTGATTGAAGGCCAACCAAACCAACTTTTTTGTTTCTAAAACAGAATGAAAGAGGGCAAATAATTAATTAATCAATTAATTAATTTTAAAATTTGAAATTCTATTTGTTTTGCGTCATAATTTGGCTGTAAGATCAATTAATAACAATTTACTTGTAATTACAATATGCATGGCTTACGAAATGATATCTAGAAGCACTTAAAAAAAAGTTTATTGCGTTCGTGATGATTTAGATTAATGACGATCATGGTTCTCTTAATATTATTTTGCTAATACTAATAACAGAAAAGATGATTGGTTACCCTTTCTTTTTATTTATTGGATGAGAAATCCCTAACAACCTTTAAGCCCCACATATGCATCTTTCGTTGGCCTTGAATGAGATAAGAATAGGAAGCCATTGGTCAGTTTTTAAGTGAATATTACAGTAATCTATATAATTATGGAAAAAAATATTGTCCAGACTGGGTAGATGTCTCCACTCATGGACTAAATAAAAATACTCTCATTTCAATAAAAATTTTTAATTTTATTGGTTTGATCCATAAGTGAAGATATGGATCTGGTCTAAATAAGTTTTTGCTGTAATTATATATAAATATCTATAATTTAGGATTCACTTGCCATAATAACTTTGTTTATGTAGTAATTAAGTGGGTAAACACACGCGGAAATGAGGTTTGAATTTTCTTGGTCCACTGTTCTCTTACTCTTACTCTTGAAAGTTTGACCTTCTAGTTTCATATTTGGCATTTACCATATATTTTCTAAGTCTAAACTCCAATCATTCCAATTTCATCAAAGCAAAGTAAAAAAGGACCCTTTCAAGGGAGAATTGGTCAGCACTTATCACTTGGACCTCTACACTCTGTTTCTTTTGATTCTTAAATATGACCATAGACTAGTCTAAGCTGAAAAACTCGTTTTCTTTGGTCAATCTTCAAACTTTCTACATTCCCTTTACACATACATATATAAGCATATCTCTTCACCTTCACTTTCTAACTCAAACCCAACAAAGCTCTCATCTTTCAACGTTTCAGACAGTTTCATATTCTCCATGTTCTGGTTTTTCCACTTCTTTTGGATCCTACTTTTGCTGATAAGTGGAAAAGCTTCCTTTTTTGAACAAACCCAGTACTTTTTTCAAGTTTAAAATGTGCTGAAGTTGTTTAGTATCTGTTAATTACAGACTGACTGCAAGTTCTAGAGCTCATTAGTTGCTAATATTGTTCTTAATTAACTGGGCAAGTGGAATTAAGAAGAGATGGAGAATAGTTTGAGCTGGGAGCAAAAGACACTTATCAGTGAGCTAATCCAAGGAATGGAGTTTGCAAAACAGTTGAGGAGACATTTGAATACGTCATCAGTTGAAACTAGAGACTCTTTAGTGCAGAGGATTTTATCTTCGTATGAGAAGTCTTTGTTAATTCTTAATTGGAGTGGGTCAACTGGGCAGCCCCAAAGTGTTGGAGTCAATGTTGGGAATACTAATAATAATGTCCCAGAGTCTCCTATATCGATGAACGGAAGTCCTGGAAGTGATGATTTTGATGGGAATCAAAATGATGCCTCAAAGAAGAGGTGAGGAAGATTCAGCTTAATTATAGAACATAAAGAGTTCTCATTAATTCTCGCATTTTTATAGCTACATTGATGACTATGGTTATGGCTAACTTGGTATTATGATGCATTTGCAGAAAGAAAATGCCCAGATGGACAGATCAAGTTAAAGTCAGCTCTGATGGACTAGAAGGACCCCATGATGATGGCTATAGCTGGAGAAAATATGGGCAGAAAGATATTCTAGGAGCCAAATATCCAAGGTTAGCAAGCGCTCTTTTTTCTTTTTAGTTAATTTGGCTCAGGTTGAATTTTAATCTGGAGATCTAATAAGAAACTCTGACGTTTTTGCAGAAGCTATTACAGATGCACCTACAGAAATACGCAGAACTGCTGGGCTACAAAGCAAGTGCAGAGATCAGATGAAGATCCCACCATTTTTGAGGTCACATACCGAGGCGTACACACCTGTTCTCATGGCCAACAATCAGTTCCACCACCTGTATCACCGGAAAAACAAGAACAGAAACAAAACAATAATCAACTGCAGCATCAAGCACAAGCAACCCTTTCTAACTTTCAAAAGAGCCTGAGAGTTAAAACTGATGACTTGGACAATAAAGAGATGGAATATCCTTTCTCTTTTCCTCCTACATATGGAGGTGTAAAAAGTTCAGGCACTTATTCTCCATCGTTTATATCTCCGGCCACACCTGAACCAAACTACTATTCTGTTTCACCATTCCAAATGAACAATTTTATTGCAGTTCAAAATTTTCCCCAGACTGATTCCGATTTCACTGAGATAATTTCTGCCAATACTTCAGCCACCAATTCTCCGATTGTGAACCCAGAATTCTCACTTCAGTCACTGGAATTGGATCCAAATTTTCCATTTGACACACCAGGATTTTTCTCTGAACTTTAAGACACTGAAAATAAGAAATGACAGAGCTATCTGCTGGGTTGCACTTACCACAGTAGCCTAGCTTGTATTACACACAAGTAAGGATAGGATGCATGTAAAATGGAAATAGTTATAATAGTATTGTCAAATTTTGGAATTTTCTCACAAATAATAACAATAATTACATGATTATGTATAAAAATCTCTATTGAAATTAGATAACCCCAATACTCCATTGCAGACAATGGAAGTAAGCATTTTCAACAATTTGCACGAACAGCATAGCAAAATCTATGCATTTAATGACACAAAAGGGTGAATTAAACAGAGCAAAATAAATGAAATACATAATTCTAGGTTCAAAAAGGGCAATCCATTCAACAAATGTTGACAATGATCATATGATATCTCAAGCGGTTGGTAAAAAGCTAGAACTTGATGTATTGCCTATATACTTGTGGTTGAGCATCACTTTGATTAAACAGCAGTTCCAGGAAGAATTAACGCCACCTAAAATGCTGCACGATCTGCAATGAGAATTATCTTTTTATTTATTTTTTAGAAGAGCATAAACCGCTGAATTAGATAGAAAATGCGCTATAAGAAAGTAATGGAAAACTAATAAAGCCTGTGTAGTGTACCTAAACAGAAGACTTCTCTTCATTTTTGATTGCTGGTTTTTGAGTATCTTTTGAATTATTTCTAAGAGCTTGCCTCAGCCCCAATACGATGAATAAGTTGGTTAGAGTAAGAAGCGATTCAGCTCCCCCATGTAACCAATCCACATTAGACAAGGAAGTTCCATACTGCACTTTTGCTGTCTCAACCACATAAACATCAAGTCTCAGTATCATGTTAGGAGTTGATAGTAAAACATGATATATTCTAAATAGATCTTGCTCAAATGGAGTCTTTACCATAAATGCCAGCTGGGACTGCTCAAATTTTGCAAGAATTGAAGACCATCAGGAAGAAAGTTAGTATATTAGAACAAAGCTGCAGATAGCAAAAGGCATCCAACAAATTGCAGAGAAATGCAGTAAGTGTTATACTGATGGCCAAAACAATTATACAACATTTCAAGATTCCAACAATTCTCCGGTTTCAATCCTATTTATATTGCAGCATGCCATTTGCTCCATTTGGTTCATCAAATTTCTTCTCATGTATCATTTTTCCTGTCAATTCTTTTACATTGCAAGAAGAATTCACAAGTTTCTTTTAACCTTGAAACATTACTTAACATTTATCGTTTACTTTGAAGTTTCTAGAAAATGTTAAACTCAAATGAAATCAGCTAATTCCTAACCTTATCTAAATTGGAGATTACACATAAAATTGAGATCCAAACAAACATCTACGATCAAAATAAACGTTCAAAGAACCAAAAACAAAGAATAACTCACTAGTGGCTCCCACAAAGGCAAGCAAGAAGTAGAATCCAAAAAGAGTGAGCTTAGGGGCAGACTTAGATTTAGTAATGAAGTACAAGAAACCAATGTAAGGAAACAGAGAGAAAGCAAAGAGCTGAGAAGCAATGCTCTGAGAATCAATAGTGGGTGCCCATGGATCTACTGGAAACAACGATGCATCACACACAACAATCCCTCCTCTTTTCTTTCCATTAACAAGTCTTGCTTCTTTCCAGACACTGACTTTTTGGGGATTTTGCGAAAAAGTCGAAGTAGATGAAGAACCGGTAAAGGAAACAGGAACTAAAGAACAGGCTACTTTGCATAGAGGCCGCGAACTAGATATCATCTTTACAAGTGAAGCTTGCGGATTTCAAGTCTGGCACCAGAGAGCAGAAGAGAGCATCTACTTTTGTTGGTGGACCAACAACGAATTTGGTTATAAGGAGTAGTTTGGGCTTAGTGACGTCCATATTTGTGGTAGAATATTTTATGGGCCCTTACTATCAATGGCCCAATAAATATGGATCCGGAGTGTGTTGGCGTTAGTCAAGTTAAAATACTTATACGAGATGTATAGTTTCGAGGAAAGACTTATTTATACCTGGTGTATAAGCTTACTCATGCATTATCAAATTAATGAAAAATAGTTTTTTTTTTATTAAATGTGGGATAAAATAGTAATAATTTTTTAAAACAACTTTTTTAATTGACTTGGGATATGGATAGTTCATACACTAAATGTAGACAAGTCTTATCTAAAGTTTATATATATTTAAACCCGGCGAAATTTCTTTTAAGTTACTTTACAATATTGCAATTTTCTCTTTTATATTATTGGATTTTTGTGTTTAGGAATTATTTTTGTTCAATAAATTTTATCTAATTAATTTCTTATTAGATGACAAGGATCTTTCTCCTTAACTAGAGGTCTTGAGTTCGAGCTATAAGTATAGAGTCTCTTTAAATACTCGGATATCTAAGATTAACCAAAAAAATTTTAAACATACCAAACACATAGTATTATTTTTTTTTTCAAATAAAATGTCTTACAATGCTATTCTCATATAGCACCATTTGATCATGACAATCCATATAACAATAGAACCATAGCGTATAGGAACCTTGATCTAATGGGAGTAGAAAGAAAATTTTCAAATTAATTAAACTCCATCATCATATGGAAATGAAGTGGAATCTAGCCACTCATCACCATTGATGAAATTTGGTACAGTAAAATCATAGGCATCATAATCATCCATTACATGGTAACCTGACCAACTCACTCTATTATCTGTTGCAGAACCGGGTCCTTTATTATTATACTCTCCATAATATAAAGAATCTGTATCTTCATCATCATCATTAGTCCATTTAATCCATCCAGCTTGATCAATAAAACCATCAATGAAGGAATCAAGAATCACTGTCCTAGAGTACACTTTCCATGGCCTTCCTAAATAACTTCTAACAGTTTTGTTGTTAAACGCAGATTTTAGATCTTCTGTCGCCACAATAGAACATTTCTGTATCGAAATTCCAGTGTCCTCGTCGGAGCTGTCTCGAGACTGGGCGGTGAGGACAGTAAATTGGCCTAGCATTGGCATTCTAGAAATAATATGACAACCTTGAAAGATTACAGCTGCATTTCCAAATATGTAATCTATAGTACCTGAAATATCACATTCTCTATAAAATTGTCGAAACGAGTGTACATATAATGTGTCTTGGTATCCATTGATTGTACACCTATATAGCGCTGATTGGTCTGCGTTTACACGAAGAGCAACTGCTTGATGCTTCTCTGGTCCGGCGGTATTTTCAATTGTTATATCCCTGGCCAGAAATCCCTCGCCAGAAACAGCTGCAATGGTCAGATTGATTGTTTAATGATGAGGCTATAATGTTTGATATAAAAGGGCTTAATAATATACTTACCAAGAGTTGCAGAACCGTAAGTAGTCCAACCATCACCTACACTTCTGCTACCAGTAATGAACGTGACTTCCCTTCCATCTCCAATCAGAACAATATTAGGCTTGTTTCTTGGGATCTCCACATTCTCCTTATACAGACCTCGTTTAACAAAGATTATTATTCTGTCATCACTTTGAACTGGAGCAAACTTTATAGCATCACTAATGGTACTGAAATTCCCATTTCCATCGGCTGCTACAATAATAACTTGACTGGGATCGTATTCATCACCATCATCACTCTGCAAAATCCGACGATCTTTCTTGGATATCCATTTTGGAAACCCTAATAGGCGTCGATTTTTACGACCCTTTTTACGACTTACTGGCTTAGGGAGCATTGAAAGAGAGTTACTGACATGCTTATAAGTACTTATCAGTGAATCCACCAAAACAGGCTTTAACGGACCTGATGCAGAATCTAGTCCTTCTAAGCAAGTGTTTTTGTTTGTTAGTGCTGCACTAAGGTATGTTCTTGCATCGGATAATTTACGATAATCACCAGCTTGAATTCCTGAAACTGATATTCTTTGTAAAGAAGATAATGTGATCTGGTGCAGTTCTTGGCAATCTTGAATTGTCCCTCTTTGCTTTTCAATAATATCATTATTTGACCCACCAATATTCAAGAATAGATTGGTTAGGTTTTCGACTTCTGATATTGCAGTTTGAAGAGTGTGCAGAAGATAAGTGATTAGGTTTGTATCAATGTTTAGAGAGATAGAGAGCTTTAACGAGTCAAAACAAGCTTCTGGGTATGGTCTGTTATTGCAAAAGTCTCTAAGTGGAGAAAAATGGGTATGTTCTAAAGATGTAAAAGAGGAAGCGCTATTGAGAGCTGATATGGAAATGAAGAAGAAGAAAAAGAAGATCGAAGAAAGTAGAAAGAGGATATTTGGTAAGGAAGCCATTAGAGTTGATCTGTGTTGCTTAATTGGGAGTTGGAAATGAATGGCTAGTTAATATGGTGCTTATATATAAGTTGGAACATATTATATATATATATATATATACACATGTTAAATTACATAGACAAATATTAAGAGAATGTTTCAAAACGCGCGTTAAAATTAATTAATTGGTTTAATTTTTGTTATGAACGGTAATGGTAGCATGTTATCTAGTTGTTAATTAATTTCACTAATTTTTTATAATAAGCATGTAGCTAGAGCAGAGGCATCAATGGCTGACTACACTCTGTCAGCTATATATTTAAGTATATAATTTGATTAAACTAGAATAAATAAATATATATAAGTATATTCACCAAAATTTCCAACAATAGTTTACCAGATTTTGCATATCTCAGTCTCCATGATTTGATGAAAAACTAAATTATTGGGTTAATGAAAAGGATTTAAATTTTAAACTATATTGTTAATTATTTTATTCTTAATTAATATACAAATGTTTGTTAATCAATTAATTAAGTAGTCGTTTTCTTTTTCCTTAAGAGTTTGGTGTAAGAAATAAGGAGAATAGTAATTAATTAATATGAATCATTCGACATGGATGGTTTTATTAAATGTTTTTAATTGCAAAAGAAGGTTCTTAGACATGATTTTTACGTCTGTATAAACGTATGTAGTAATGCGAAGCATGATCATGAACGTAATCGAAAACCAAGATTTTTTTTAAAAAATTTTTTAGTTTCTGAACAATGTTACAGGTTGTTCAGTAATTAAAAATTGTGACACGAGAAGCATCAACATTCGACTAAACTTTAATTACATAAATTGAAGTAATTACCAACCATATCTGTGATCACGTACGTACTCTTAATATATTTGTATATATTATTTGATTTTATGTATCCCTATATTCATGTATGGATTTTGACAGTAAATCATCAAAGATTATTATTTTTTTGATTTATTAGGAGGCCAATAAGCCGAAAGAAGACCGTGGATGCACAATAAAAGGCAAATTCTTTGTTTTACTCATCAAACCAGTGAAAACTCTTATAGTCGAGAGTTCTTGAACCTGCACTACAGTCCTATCGGTGCCCCTCCGGAAGCATTTAGTAGTTTTGGCATTTCATTTTGAGACTATAATATTTCGTCTAAGACCTATAGGAACCAATGAAATCATTTTTTGGCCATCTCATGCCGGAGCTTCCAGGCCGCAAAAATCTAAAAATATACTCCTTTAGTCTTAGAAACCCTGTATGAAGGCATGTTCCGAAACCGATATCGTTTGTACACCTGATGGGTAGCTCGTATAGGGTTTCCTAGGTAATAGTTTGGAGTCTCGTGGTCAGCGCAACATGCCTATCTCGCTCGCTCGATGCGTCACTAACAATTGCATTCTGCAGTTTTGGTTCAATATCTCTCTGTCTGTTGTTTGACATACCAATTTGAAGCTATAATATTTTGTCGAATACCTGTAGGAAGCATTGAAATCATTTTCGGGTCATTCTATACCAGAGCTTGCGAGCTCGAAAATCCAAAGATATACTCCTTTAGTCACAGAAGCTCTCTACGAAGGTTTGTTTCGAAGCGAATATCGTCTGTACGCCTGAGGGGCAACTCGTATAGGGTCCCGAATTTTAATATAAGAATAGTAGATATAGTCATGATGCAATAGGTTAAGTCCACTTACTTAGGTGAGAGTTTGGGTTGTCGTGGTCAACTCGGCATGCATATCTTGCTCGCTCAATGTGTCATCAAAATTGTATATGCTATATAAATTCATGCTCAAAATCGGTACCACTCCGGAAGCATTAATATCTCACTGTATGTTGTTTGGCATGTCATTTGGAGACCATAATATTTCGTCTAAGACCTATAGAAACTATTGAAATTATTTCCTAGTCATTCCATGCCGGAGCTTTCGATAGCAAAAATCCAAAGGTATACCCCTCTAGTCTATGAAGCCCTGTATAAAGGCCTGTTCCGAAGCTGATAATGTCGGTACGCTTAATGGGCAACTTGTATAGGATCTTCTAGGCGATAGTTTGGAGTTTCATGGTCAACCCGGAATGTTTATCTTGCATACTCGATGCGTTATTAAGAATTGCATATGCAATATAAATTCATGCGTAAAATCGGTGCCAATCCGAACACATTAGGCAGTTTTGGCTCAATGTCTCTCTGTCGTGTTGCTTGGAACATTATTTTGAGACCATAATATTTTATCTGTTGACCTGCACGAAGCATAAAAATCAAGCTTAAGTCATTCCATGCCGGAGCTTTTGGGCTCAAAAATCCAAAGATATAGCCTATTTGGTCTAAGAAGCTCTGTATGAAGGTCTATTCGGGAGCCGATATTTTCTGTATGTCTGACGGGCAGCTCATTTAGGATCTTTTAGACAATAGTTTGGGGTCTTGTGGTCATTCTGGCATGTCAAGCTCGTCTGCTCATATGCACACAAAAATCGGTATCACTCTGGAAGCATTCCGCAGTTTTGAACCCAATATTTCTTCCATGAATCTTAGTATGTGATTGCAACCACTGCCTTTAATTTGTCAATAAATCACTTCAACACTTACAGGGACATGCGATAAGATAGTTTCTCCCCAAACTAGACCACAAGCAAGAGTTACTACTTCCACTTTGCCATTATCTCTTTCGTTATTGCTCAAAACCTCTTTCTCTACCAGCGTTTTTCCTCTTGTATAATCCTTTGAAAAAGATTTGAAATTTCTCTTTAGACTCGTCTGGCCATGAACAAGTCTAATTTTGATGTAACGAACGAGAAAAAGAAAGAGAGAAAAAAATACCATCAAAGAATTGTTGCCAGAAGAAAAGGAGAGATGAAGAGAGGTCCAACAAGATTCATCCATGCAGGATTTGAAAGTAATCTCATCTTCCTTCAACGGCCAAGTTGCCAATATACTTGCAGTATAGATGAGATGCTTAACGCTCTTTGATCTAATACAAGTTTCAACTATGTTTTTTGCTCAGGCCACCGCTGCTTCAACAGTGTCTTTGTCCTGTTTTTGAGCATTCCAACAACTTATGTTTTAGTAAATATAAAAAAAAGTACTTAAACTAAAGATGTAAGAGTACTATTTTTTTTTTTGTCTTACCATTGTTGTTTAATTATAATTTATACATATTTTTTAACCATATAGACAGTAATTTGCCGGTAATTAAGGCTAATAGAGTAGTAGTTTTATAAATATTACCTGAGAGGTTTTGTTGGGGTCATGACCGATAAGAACTGCTTTGGATGTGTCTTCTGCAATTCAAACAAAAACCATCAAGGAATTAATAAAACAGGAACTGAGTTACAGAAGGAAAGAATTATTAAAACACAGAGAGAGACCCAAATTTCTCAATATCGCATGGACGATATAGCCTTTCTCTAACATATCCAGAACCTCCTGCATCTTTATTGCGGTATTAACATATAATATTATGTTTGTAAAAATTTCATAAATATATTAACATTTTCAAAATAATTATAATTAAATAAATAATTTTTAATAGTCATTTCATCCAAGATCAATGCTTTGTCGATTTGTGGAATGAGATTATTATTGATTAAATGTTTCAACTTAAAAGCATTGGCGTGTGTGTTTTGTCATGATAAAACGTTTCAACTAATTTTTCTGTCCAATTGTATCTATTAGCTTGCTCATTGTTATTTTTGTTTTTATGTCTTTTTCGAAGCTTTTATTCTGCAGGCAACTTTGATAAAATTAAACAGCTGGTGAACATAAATGATAGGCATCTTCTTGAACCTCACAATTTCAATTTTTCACCAAATAGTTTTAGCCATTTATGATTTATTGAAAACAAGCCATACGGATAACAATAAAAAAAAAAGCCAGTAAATGAGTAACAATTATTACAAAATTAGTATTAACTAGAGATCTCCCACTCGCCTTCCAAATTTCAAGCTCTCATCCAAAATCTTCTCTAAATCATATTTGTACACGAAGCCCATTTCTGTCAACTTTGAAGTATCCAATATGATTTCTCTCTCTGATTCTCCCATGAACCTAAAATCAAAATGGAATTCTAATAAGCAAATTTAAGAATTGCAGTGCTAAAAATAAAAAATGAAAGAAAGAATTATAATTACGCAAATAAACCAAGTTTAGGCAAAGTAATTAAGAATAATACTTACTCCTCATCTATCTTGATTTCTGGGTAATTTTCTGAGAAATAATTTGCAATTTCCCTGCTGGTTGTTTTGGTAGCTGAACAGATGAATCGACCTTCCATTGATGATTTTTCCATGCAAAAAATATGCGCTTCACAAACATCATCCACATGCAAAATAGGAATTAAACCGATTACTTGTTCCAGGAATCTTAACGCATTATAATTCTCTAAACTGCCTTTAACTTGTGAATAAATTGCTTCCACACTTCTAGGGACATGGGATAATATAGTTTCTCCCCCAACTAGACCACAAACAAGAGTTACCACTTCCATTTTACTATCATCATCTCTTTCGTTGTAGCTCAGAACCTCTTTCTCTGCCAGCGTTTTTCCTTCGACATAATCCTTTGGAAAAGTTTGAAATTTAGACTCGTCGAGCAATCAAGAAGTCTAATTATGTTATAACGAACAAGAAAAAGAAAAAAATATATATACCATTAACCATTGGCTGCCAAAAGGAAAGGAGAGATGAAGAGGGGTCCAGCAGGATTCATCCATGCAAGATCTGAATGTAATCCCATCTTCATTCAATGGCGAAGCTGCCAGAACAGATGCAGTATAGATAAGACGCTTAACGCTTTTTGATCTAATGCAAGTTTCAACTATGCTTTTATCTCCGGCCACCGCTGCTTCAACCTTGTCTTTGTTCTGTTTTTTAAATTTTAAGCATTCAAAAGACTTATACTTCAATTAACTTTTCTTGTATTTCCAAGAACTGAAAAGGCAGTGTTCTCTAGAGCTAGTTTGTTGTAAATAAATAAACAAAATTAAAAATATAAAATAATAAATAAATAATATAATCTTAAATTAATACCAAATAGATTAGTAAATTACCCCAGAGGTTTTGTTGGGGTCATGAAACAAAGGAGTAGCAACATGGAAGACGAATTGACAGCCATGAATTGCTTTCTCAAACTCAATGGGCTTGTAAAGATCAGCTTGAAATAGGAACAAGTTTGTGTTTGCTTTAGGTAAAGACTTCAGAAGACCTGTTTTGGAAGTGTCTTCTGCAATTCAAACGAAAACCATCAGAGAATTAATAGACAGATACTCAGATATAGCAGGAAAGAATTAGAGAAGAACAAAGAGAGAGACCCAAATTTCTCAAAGTTGCATGGACGATATAGCCTTTCTCTAGCAGCTTCTTAACAAGCCAGGAACCAAGATAACCGGAACCTCCTGTAACGCATACTTTGGTGTCGCGTTCCATCCCTTCTTTATCTTCTTTTTCTTCTTCTACAATCGTTTGCGATGACGAAATATGAAAATTCTATTCTATTTATCATTATTGGAACCTTTTTTTTTAAAAAAACTTGATACACAAGGGTATTTCTCCTTTGGTTTTCTCCTTTATTTTTTAATTTCAAGTCTCTCAGTTTTTTAAATTTTTATTTAGAATGGAGAGAAATTGAAAAAATAAAATTCAATGATTCTCTTTTTTACAAATTAATTAGTCATTAGAATACGGAAATAGAAATGACTTTACATTTTTTTTAACATAAATTTTGATATTACATAAGTCCAATGTTTTTGCACAGTATCCATTCAATGTTTTTGCAATTGATAAGATTGTCCAATTACGATATCCATTTCCTTATCAACAGAAAACCCGCATATCCGTCTAGTGCAAGTTTGTCCCAAATTACGACAAACAAGTTAATCTCACGAGATGGACAGATGCATAAGCAAACACAATGTGACTAGTTTTCCGTCGGCCTTTTTCCAGACCCAAACAAAGCAGTACCAATGAACTTTGTTAACCACCAGAAAAAATATTAGCATACAAAAAATAAAAAGAAAATTTAAATCTTGAACGTTTTGCAGATTCAGATAATCCTCTGCTCTCAGCTGTTATCAATTTAGCTGAAATAAGCAGAATTTTAATACAAAGAGTAGGTCTAACTCGAATCAAATGCAGCTTGCTCATGCCAAACGCCATTCAAGTTGGATTGCCAGAGTCTAACAAACCCATCCGTTCCTGTGGTTGCTAAGGTCATTCCACTCATGTCCCATTCCATCTGCCACACCTGATAATAGACAAACATCATATTCAATAAAATATGCTCTTGAAAATAAAACAAATTCAACGAACAGTATTCTAGTAGCTCTCGGCCCATCAAGGTTAAGGTCACCCTATTGCAGATTATAAGTCTCGCTTGTTCCAATTGAAAAATCGGATTTCTGAATCCAATTTATACAAAAGCCAAATGGAATATCTCCTTCTTTAGGTCAGGGTTCATTAAAACATAATAGATTTTACCATTTCCATAGAGTCAAACATTATAATTGCGTAGAGGCATTCTAAAGTTTAGCGTTAATATGATACCTCGCCTTCAAAACCAGAGAGTAGTGCAACTTTTTCCACTGGAAGTCTTCCATCCAGGTCAGGATTCAATCCAAGATGCCATATTGCAATTCCCTTGTGAGTAGCAACAGCTATTACTTCATATGGTCTACATGAAATGCAACCAATACTTATTATCATATATCACGGTGCTATCATAACTTGTACAGCACAAGTAATATCAGAGGTGCAAGGACATTGCCAGCATGAAGCAAATGGGTTAGGACTTTTTCTCATAATGAATTGTCCATGTTTTGGCACCCGTAATTCTTCTTTTACCAGCATTTGTTGAATGTAATACCTTCTCTACAATAGCAGCTAAGTGTGTTTTATTTGTAAAGCATACTGCACCACACAGTTTCATTTTCATAAACGAAACAGATAATCCATACCGGCCAATGTTGGTCGCCCATGCAACAGCAAAAACCTGATCACTTTTATCTGCAGGCAAAGCCAACTCAGCAACCGGAAGCCATCGTTGATGGGCCTCATCAAACTCCCACACCTGTGGAAATCCAGCACCCAATTAGTTCAAGCAATATTATAGATTTTCTTATTACTCAGGAAAATGGAAATTATTCAGCATAATAACAAAACAAAACTCTTTCCGTATAATGTATTTCCTTGTCTAATCTTTACATAATCATCAATGACAACTGGTGCGACAAATTGTAATTCAGACTAAAACAGTTATTTTGCATGAAAAGTTTGTTAAAATTAAATCAATCCAAGTCCTATCTGATCCTCATTAATAAAATTTGACGAAAAAGAAAAGGCCGGATTTATCTTCAAATCCATTCGTCCGTTACCTACCTTAGAGGAGTTCAATTGTGGTGTATCTGAATTGAAACCCAGAACAAAGCTTGATTCCTGGTTCTCACCCCTTTTTGGATTCCAAGAAATAGAGGCAGAAAAGCACATCGCCCTTCCAAATGTAGATACTGAATCAATAACATTCTGAAATTCAGCCTGGTCAAAAATAGAAAAGGGAGAACAATAAGAGGAAAGAAGTCTTTAACACAGGTTGGATTTAAATAAAAGAGAACATATGAGAATTAGAACCTGAAGCTGCCAATTCTTTAACTCCAAGGGATCCAAGAGCTCATAGACTTTCACATGACCATCGGAGTATGCCAAAACCTATAAACTATACAAATGATTATTCATTGAATAGAAATCCTAAACATGAAAAGTGTATAAAAAACCTGTAAAGAGCGATCCACAGGACTTCTAAAAACAATAAGCCGTATCAATAAACTGCATACTTGCAGTGACATATATATGCCCTGAAAATCTATCAATGTTTTTTATTCTATTATAATAAGCCAATTGCATCTTATATTTGAATCAGGCAAAAAACGTCAAAACGCACCATTTTCAAACTTGTACATAAAGCACCAAATTGGACATCTAACACTTTATTTGCTTTGCTTTGAAAGCTTTTGCAATGCTTCCATTGAAGAACTGAATCTGGACAATAAAAATTGATAAGGCAGTCACAAAATGACTATGCAATAAACTTTTTTTAACATCCACCGAAATAGGCATAATACTACTAAAAAGCTTCACCATTTAATGTCATTATGTCAATACAAGCGCATAATAAACCAACTAAATACCTTCTACGACCTCTTCCCACAAAAACAAACTTCCATCACCACAAATGCAGGCCACTGCATCACCATGTTCAGGTGGAACCCAAACAACCTTCACAATGCCAGCCTCATGAACCTAAACCAAGCTCATATTAATCAAAAACACGACAATCAACACTTTCATCAACGAAATTTGCACAAATTTACAAATCTAAACGATTTGTAGCTGGGATGTTGCTAGCGGAGGCCTTATGAAGGACCAGTTAAGAGAATCAAGAGCTCACTAACCCTAATTTTGGAGGTGCACGTGAAGGAGGAAGAACCGGGATCACGAGAATCAAAGATAGAGAGGCTCCCATCAACGGAGCCAGTGGCCAACCTCTGCCCACAGTAGTTCCAGGCTGAGCATGTCGTGCCATTATCTAGCGTAGCCACTGATTTTTCCATCTCCGTACACTCCGGAGCTTGAAGCACGCTCTCTGGTTCTAAAACCTCTCGCTCTGTCTATAGGGTTTTCTCAGGCCCATTAAAATTTTATGGGCTGTATTTATGGTCCAGTCCATGAATATGGACAAAAATTTGATGCGTGGCCCAAAAAAAGATCGCTTCAGGTTCACCTTTGGGTTCTTTAATTTTGCTCCAAAGCACTTTTCCTTCCTTCCCTTTGCTTATTTTGGAATATCCCTCGCACAAATTTCTTACTACGACCGGTATATAGATAGTCCTAATAATATTTTATTTATTTTTTATTCCTCCGTTGCCATTGATCATTTAAAAATTTTTTCGAAATTGAAATCCATCCATAATTAAGTAAAATTTGCCTTTCGTATAAATTTCTTATCTACACCCGGTATATAGATGATCCTAATAACACTCTATTTATTTTTTATTCCTACATTGCCATTGATCATTTAAAATTTTGTTCCGAAATTGACATCAATCCATAATTAAGCTTACTCTTCTCCTGTTACTCATTTATTTTCTCCCATTTCTAATTTAATTCGGATTTCTCTTCCATGGTTGACCAATTATAATTTTCAATTTTGATTAGAATTTAAATATATAACATTAATTCGTTAACAATAATTTTATAATTCAAAATTTTTGATAATTAAAGTTTGGAATATATAATATAATGCTTGTTTGATGAATATTTTCAAGTTTAGGAAATATAAATTTTATAAGAATGTGAAGATTAATTATTCTATTCCATAGAATAGTGATTTTTCTTTTCCTGTTTTACTTATAGCACCAAATTAGTCCTTAAACAATTCCTTTTTTTTTTTATTCTTTGTGAATAAAATTATTCATTAATATGTTATTCCTACAATATGTAATTAATTATTTCTAGATAATCAAAAATATTAAGAATTATTCTTATTTTATTCCTTAATAATTTATTTTCAGGTTGAGACAATCCCTAACGGATAGAAAAGTAAAAAAAAAAAAAAAAATACAACTTGCATGCAAAAACAAACATAACCCACTACTTTTTGTGGTTCTTCCATACGTTTACTGCATCAGCTAAGGACTTTGTAGAAGACCCATCTTGGCTCAAAACCTTTATAGCACCATTTTGAAGTTCTTTCATTTTGTTCCTAAGCACTTTCCCTTCTTCCCCTTCAATAATAGCCTTTGCATATTTCGCAATATCTTCACTACCCACTAACCCATTTTCATTCAATTTCACTCTTAAAGCAACCTTCAAATCCTCAGCTAACAACACTGCGTTCATTTTCTGTTCTGCATAGAGTGGCCATGCAATTAAAGGCACACCATGAACAATGCTTTCCAATGTTGAGTTCCACCCACAATGGGTCAAGAACCCACCGGTTGAGCCATGGCTCAAGATTTGAACTTGTGGAGCCCAAGAAGAAACCACTAGACCCACATTTTTGGTCCTATCCAAGAACCCTTCTGGTAGAAAATCAGAAGGGTAGTTACTGTTAGTGTTAGTTAAGCCGAAGTAGGTTGCATTGACAGCTTTATCATGTGCGCACCTAACAACCCAAAGAAATCTTTTTCCACTCATTTCCAAGCCCAAGGCTAGTTCATTCAACTGGTCATGAGAAAGGGTCCCGCCACTTCCAAATGAAACGAACAACACTGATTCCTTTGGTTGCTGATTTAACCACTTCAAGCACGGATCAGATTCATCAACAACCTCTGAACCGGTCCGAATGAGCGGTCCAACCGGATAAATTGGAAACCCATGGTGGTTATCCTCCATTAAAGCCTTAAAAGCACCTTTTTCTAGATCTATGAAACTGTTAACTAAAACACCAGCAACCAATAATGGATACTGTTTGCTAATATGAAGAATCCTTTTGTATGCATCATCATTTCTGTCCTGAAGCATGTCAACCAGATCTTTCCCTTGAACCGGCACACATCCAGGAATTTTGAACGGCTCAAGTGAATCCCTATACTCACAAGAGTACATTTGATCAAGCTTAGGCAAATGCAGCGTAAGAGATAAAGCCATGGCAGTTGTAGGGAAGAAAACAAAAGGCAAAACGTCGAACTCTTTAGCGATTAATTCAATAGCATCCGTACCAAAAAGATCAACTACTAGGGCTACAACCCGAGTTGACTCAGTTAAAGTCTTAAAAGACCGACGAAGATGAGAAAGAGATCGAGATAAGCTTAATAAGATTCGATTCTCGATCTTAGCTTCAACAGGAAGGTCATCAAAGCTCACTGGAGGAAGAAAAATGGAGGATATGGCGTTGGGTAAGCGTTGAAGGAGTTGCCTCTGCGATTTCATAGGCGAACCATCATTAGGTATAATGAAGGTGACTGAAAAGTTGTGTTGGTCAATGAGTTTTTTGGCTAACACGACGACTGGGATGAGATGACCCATCCCTGGAGTTGGCACAATGGCTACGTGGGGTGGAGCTTCTTGGGTAGTATCCATGGTGGTCACTGTGTATTGGTCTGTGAAATATTGAACAATTATAGGGTATAGGAACAGGAATAGGACCTAACTCCACATAACTAATTCAAGACATATATAAAACGTGTATTGTCTATGATTTGCCAACAATGAATAATAAATGAATTTTCACACGCTGGAATCAAATGTAGTTGTAACAAACAAGTCCTAAAATTTCGAATAAAATATTCATTAAGCCCTGTTTTATAAATCAGGTTAAGACCGACGAATTACATTCCGGCCCACACGAGACATACTTCTAGAAGTGTGGCCGTTGAGCCCAAATACTCTCCCTTCTTTACAGCTTGTGAAGCCCAAACAAGCTATTTCTGGGCTTCCGTTTCGTTAATCCATTATTATTTACCTTTCTCCCTTTTTATTTTTACAAATAAGTTATTTGTGATCACTCTGCTCTTACTTCAATTTTAGAAGAATTCTTCATTTTTTTATATATCCATTTCCATTGACAGTGAAATTCCTTAAATTATTTATTATTTAAGGACTTCATTTGAAATCAGAAAATAAATAAAAATTCCTGTATCATATTATTTCCTTCTCTTTCTTTCAAATAATACAACTTATAAAATCTGCGATCGAATGTTAATTAGTGGCTGCAGGACCACAATTTTTGAACAACAGTGAGAAGGTAGAGTTAGAGTATTACACTAATAATTTCTTCCTAGACTAACGATAATGATTGATTGCTAAAACTGAAGATTTCAGTTATTTATAGACTTTAAATTAATTATGGACATACCAACCGTTTGATTATAGATAAATTCAGAGTATAATATATATATGTATCTTAGTTATATGTTGAAATTTATAAACTTCAAAATATTTTTTTTTAGTATATGTTAAACAAGTTCGGTGTTCAAAAATGGCGGCAAACAATATATTCACCTCCACCAATTTCATTATTATTTAAATTGATCATAAAATGTTGGTCAAAGTTCAAACACTAATTAATTTAGCATACCAAAAAAAAAAAAGAAAATTAATATAAAACATCCTATTATTTAAACGTAAAAAAACACAAAATTTAGAAAAAAAAAAAAAAAAGGAAGTCCTATTATACAAAAACTATTTTCATATGATTATTTATGGATTTCTAAGCACACGAAATACCGATCATTGAAGTAGGCGCTGCCGCGAAACTTCCGGAGTTACTTCTCCTAACCAACGAGTTAATCTCCGGTGAAAACCCACCAACGTCAATCTCCGGTACTTCAGGTATAGTGGAAAGAGCGCCGGACTTATCATAAACGACGTAGTATTCATCGCCAGGTCGATCTTTGAAACGAAACAAGCCAGTAGGATTTTGTTTAGACTTAAACATGGACTTGAGGAACTTTTGGAGTGAACGGGAAATCTTGGAGGGTTTCTTGGATACAGAAGGAGGAGGAGGAGGAGGAGGAGGAGGAGCTACACCGGCTGCCACCATGGCAACTCTTCGGTCCGGTAAATGAGGCATAGATAAACTTCTAGAATGAATAGCTGAGTAAAGCTGACGCTCAAAAGATTTGAGTTCAAAAGAGTCGTAAAGAGAGCTCCCACAGTCCCAAACAAGAGACTTGTTATTGGATTTTTGGGTTTTTAATGGTTCTTGAAATTTTTCCATAAGTAGATGGAAACGAGAAAAAGAAGGGATCTATTAGTAGCAGAGAAGATTTGGTTTGGTTTTGTAGAGGAGATTCTAAAAATGGGTTAGGTGTGGGATGAAATGCGTTATTTATGACAAAAAGGAAAGAAGAGGGAAGCGTTGCAGAGTTCACGGCAATGCCATATGAGCCATTGAATTCTCCATTTCCATGTGAGTGAGGTTAGAGCTTTCATATCTTATATCTCTGCATTTATTGTGATATAGTCTGTATCATCTTTCCCTTTCTGTATACAAAATTACTATATGAAACGTCATCATATGGATTTTTTATTTTTATTTTTTTGTCCTTTAAAGAAAATGAAATTGGATTTGAAGTTATGTGCATTAAAAGAAGACAACTAATGCAGTTTCATAGTCAATAGATGATAATAAAAAAACACTTTAAATATTGATTTTTTAATATTAATTATTTTTTAATAATTAGATATTATTCAATCAATTTTGAGAACGACCTCTCTTATAATTTTAACTTTTCTATTACAAATTATTTTGATATATGACTTTATATACACATATTTATATATACTCAAATTTTTTAATTTGTAAACATGGTAAAATCACTTATTTAATTTTATTTAAATAAAATTAAACTTTTTATAATAAATGAATATAATGAGGAAACACTCTCAAACTTTAGCTAAGAAACATAAATACTTCTCGTTCAGACCAACTCAATTGATAAGTTTTATTAGTTTTTAATATTAATAAAAGAAAAACGATGAACAAAACCGTGTAAAGTTGATGATTTTCTGTTTCCATGATCATAGGAAAAAAATAAAATTACTTAAAAAGAATCATGACGTGACTTTAATCCTATCCTGATTAAACGAAAATGTTAAATGTTAACCATACACGTGGCTCCCATTACTGAGTACTTGCGACTAAAATCAATTAAAGACTCAAGATTTAGGTTGAAGAGATTGTAATTAAAATAAGTAATTCCGATAGGCAATAATGGTCTACGTGTGTCTCAATTATTAATTCACCAGAATAATATTACGTGTCCACAACGCATATTAATATAAAAGCCATATTGGTTAGGATTTGTAACCAATTATAAATCTCTCTCTCTCTAGCTAAATAATAATAATAATAATAATAATAATAATAAAATTATTATCATATTTATATATAGTCCTTGTTTTACATTTTTTTTTTAATTGCAAATCTATTTTTTAAAATATATATATAATTTTAATTTAGTTTAGGAAAACAGAATACTTTACAAATATAATAATATAGTTATGGTCATGTATTTTGGTCCAGTCGGTGACCCTTGAATTTAAGTAAATTGTGTGCTTGAAGTCAATAATGAAAGGGATAAAACGTTCGCACTTAATGTTATATATTCGAATATCTAAACTCAAATATAGATATTTGAGATGAGCGAATTATTTTTATAAAATTAAAATTTAATTTGTTGAAAAAAACTCATAATAAAATATAATTTTAAATTTTAAGATGAGATTAATCTCATACGAAAGAATAAAAAAATTATAAAAGATTCATATTTTTTTTATAATTATTTGTTAGCAATTAAAACATTAATACATAGCAATTTTTATTGAGTAGCGTGACTTGCATGGACATGTTTTTATAATTCATTTATTAAAATATATTGTTTTGTTGCCTGATTCTACTTGTGTTGCCTGGTGCCCATAAGCGAAAATATTCGCAAACATCCCATGCTCGTCTTCTTACTTAATAAATTTGAGTTATTTCTATTCCGATTAATTTTGTTGATAAATAATTTTTTTAATCTTTTTAAAGCACCTATATATAATTTTTTTTTTTTTTGAAAAAAATTAACAGCAGATATAATCAATTCTTGCATAAAAAACAAATAGGACGAAAATGTTTTGGGATTTTTCTTTTAATCGCTAAACTATTGGTCAAACTTTGATTACCTGATATCAGTGTCAATTGTCAAAGTAGTTTTTTTCTAGTGATGACGTTGAAATTAGCATACCGGCCAACAAAGGCATTGAATTAATAGCAAGCACTTGCAAATGATGATTAGTCCAGATAATTAAGCTGATGACTAATAAAAAAAAAAAAAAAGGTTTAATTTTTGAGCCCTATTTCTATTTGTTGTAGTCTAGTTAATTATTATATATCAAATAAATTATATATACAAGGGAAACTAGTTTTTGAAATTTTGCATAATTGATAATTTTGTAATGAAATTCTAACTAATCTCTATAAAATCAAGATTAACGAACATTAATATATGTTGTGGAGACGATGGGTCGTTCCATGAATTTTTCTTTCTTTTGCCGCATTTTGTTAAAGGGTTGAAGGGAAAGGTGCATCAAGCTATTTGCAAGAGCCAATTTGCAAATGCAAATCAAGTGAGATCTTATCGATGTAAAAAGTTGATAATATATTTTGACTCGTTCAACTTCTTAATAAATAAAAATATATATATACACACATACCAAGAAACTAGCACAAAAACACACAAGAGTAATGGGCCTCAATAATTACAGATAGGACTTTGGTTCACCTAATACATATATGATTATAGAAAAGAAAAATTTTACTGACTATCCAACAGTAATTGGAAAGTGCCAAAATTCTCCTTCAAGTCCCTTCAAGTTGACCTCACCAACCCACCTCATAATTTGCCAAACATTGTAGAAGGGCTTCACTTTTCACCAAACCACAACTAAAGCCACAAATTCCATGATGGACATCCCAGAATTAACCTAATTGCTTTTACATATAGGACCACAATACAGATAGAAATCAGAGCAATTAGTCTTTCCATTTAACAGTAACACAGACGGTTCAGGTTTCACCTGATGAATATTAACCGTAAATTTTTAACTGCCAAAATGTCTCTTTAGCAATAATAACCTCAATTTACTATTGCACATTTATGTCATGGAATAAACTGTACAAAGACTCTGATTCATTTTTCTCTTGCAATGTCATGTATATCATCACATTTCTCTTATTGACAACAAGAGGTATGCTATGCTTTCTTTATGTTTAAGGGCCTAATCACCCATTGCACAGCCAAAAATGGCCAGGTGATTTATGTGCACTCTTTAATCGACCACATCACTACTAAAGAGCTTGAACTTTTTGGCATCGAGGACCATTTTTCTTATAGAAGAGAATGCACCCACGATTCCTGCTCCAGAAAAGACAATTATAATAGAGATATTGATCCAGTAGGTAAGGGTAGATTTTTGAGGCTTGTGGGTCATGTTGTATAGAAGCATTGGGAGGACAAAATCTAGAGGGATGAAACCTAAAGCTCCTACAATACCATTTATATCTCCAAAGAATGGAAGCATGGCTGCCATAAATCCACAAAATATCACATAAATAGATCGAAGAATTAGCCTCGGAATTAGGTTCCTTTTGGAGAACATTCCTTGATTCACATCAGCTGAATTCTTTTCCATTATCTCATAAGCTACTTGAGAATACACCTGTATTTTGAAACCAGTGAAAATATTATTAAGGCCATTTTTGGTTCTCTACAGGTTAATCGAAGATGACTCTTTTAAGTTTATTACCAGGCCAATAGCAAAAAGCTGAAGCAAGACAAAAACAACACTGAGGCCGAGAACCCATGTTGGAGCTAAGGAAGGTCCCTCATCTGGCATTAGGCTTTTGAGGATATTAGAATTAGATTTGTTTCCGAACACCCAATATCCAGAAACTGCAGCTGAGTAGAATGTGACCAGAATAACACTATAACACATAATAAGGCCTTTTACCATCTTCCCTGTAGCAGGGGGAGCCAAAGTTGCCTGTATTGATGGGAACAGAAGAGTTAATGGTCATGTCAGACCTCATTCAGCAGTTAAGATTGTGCAACTTCAATTCAGTTGGAACCATTAAAAAAAGACACATCCTTCCATAGTATATATATGGAAATAAGAGCTAGAACGATTAAATAGATTTAAGAATCCGTAGCAAATGTGATGATTTATTAAGGAGATGAAGTTACCTGTATTTCAGGCAGTATTCCATTCCCAAATATAGCAGCTATTATGGAGATGGAAGCGAAGGCATTGAAGACTCTAGCAGACTCGAACGATTCTAGTGAATATTCCCTTGGAGGGGCATTTTTTGAGAGACCTGCATGATAAATGTAATTCACCTTAAATAGAAGAAAATTCTGCATGAAAAAAAAAGTCTTCTAGTTCATTGAAGATGAAAAGTAACCACAAATAATAATCTTTAAATAGATGATCCAACGAAAAATGGAGTTCAGCTACTTTTGGCTAATAGCAGGCTAGTAATCAATTTGACCAACAGTTGAGGGCCAGAGAACAGTGTACTAGTCAATCTCAGTATCAGAAATTTAATTAAGTATGCTGGCCCATTTTTGGCTCCAAATGTGTCATTTCAGATGTGAGCATGTAGCAAGGTGGTCAGAGCATGGGATGCGAGAGGGAAGGATGGTCCAGGATTTCATTATTAAGGTATTCTTATTTATCTTACTGTCAAAGAGCAGAGAAGGATGTGTTTTTAACATAGGTTTTAGGAACAATACAGAATGGTCAGGAGGACAACATCACCACCACAAGAGGAGAGATACGTGTAATAGAAGAAACTGTCAGTATAATTGGTTGTGTAATGATGGGCTTGCTTAGAAGGACTCATTTTATTCACTTCTATAAACACTTTTGATTCTATGGGGAGTAACTATCCTCTATCACATAATTCAACCCCATCCTTATTGGCAATTCACTTTTCAGTCCCCAATAATGGGAAACAGAACTCTTCACGAGGTAGGAAGTTTCCTACAGAAGGACAACCTTTTAGTCTCCATGCAAATGATATTTAAGCAACAGATATAAATGAGGATTGAAGGGATGTGGTACCTGCATGAATACAAGCACCAACTACAAGGAAAGTGTAGCCCAAACTGAGAAATAGTGAAGCCATGTTGAGGTGTCTTAGTGAGTGGAAGGTTGGAAGCTGAGAGAGAACTATCATTACTGCTGTCACCATTGCTATGAACTCGTACAATTTCAGGGATCCATTCGGAGAAATATCCGAGTACATGATCTTAGAAACCCAAACAGTGGATATCAGAAACAGAGTCATTCATTAGGCTAATAAGAGAATGAAAAATCCGGTATTTTTTGTCCCATGTAAATTAATAGAAAGGAATGAGCCCTTGTATCAAGAAGTCTTCAAAAATCTTGCGACTAAGAGATAATAATCATTTTCCATATCAAAATTTTGCCCTCAATGGAGGTTCTGTCTAGTGTTGTTCCCCAATATGGTATTTTTTTTTCCATATCCTTTCCCTTGCTGGTTTCACATCAATTTGCATCACAACATTTTTTTCTCATATTGAACAATGGATGTTCTTTTCATTTGTCTTTGCGTAATGGGAAGGTTAACATATTCAGACAAAAGATAACTACAGGTCTTGAAAAACACCAAATTAAAGTAATCAATATAAATGGGATGGCCCGCAACGCACAGAAAGAAGCGTAACTGGTTTGCAAACTAAATCTCCTTTTCCAAAGAAATAAATAGAGCTTGGCAAAAGTTAAAAGTTGGATTGTATTTTTAGAAAATACCTGAAGGCATTCCCCTCCAAGCAATATTGCTCCTGTACTTATTCCAGTATTGATGGCTGCCTGAATGAATATGACAAAATAAAACATCCATCCAGTACCTGCAGTAAGGAAAGAATAGGCAACTCTCCATCAATGGAAGGCCCGCTCAGTAAAAAATCTAGTCAACAAGTCTTTAATACAGACTGAAATTCATAATATGTTAAGCAATATAGTAGATTCTTTTTAGCAAAGAAGATAAGCATCAAGATAGAAAGATAACAAATATGTGGCAGCAAAAAATGAGCTGACAACTTGAAAGAAAGAATTTTTGCTAAGGTAAGGAAAGATTCAAGTGGCACACCAATGAGCTGACTGCTGACCTACTATAGCCTAAAATAATCTTGAAAAGAAATGAGTCATTGAGTTTAATCAAAATAGATACTGCAACTTCTCAAATTGTGTATGTAGTGAGGAAACCAACTATTATTAATTACTCAGAATCTGATAAATTAATGTGAGATTTAAATATATGTGTTTATATATCCATCTTCTACTTCTCCAAACACAATGATTCTTCTAAGTTCTAAATAAATAATTACCACGACACATCTCATATCACAAAAATCCAGATGTTTAAGCCACAATCTGCCATACTATATATTGGGCAAGTTCTAACACCAAATGGTCTGAACGTCCATCACAAGTAGTAAAAGAAAATGGCAAAACCAATTGATTACTATTCCTTAAATTAAAGATCAACACCTTGTGACCTTTTTTAGCTACTTACTAAGAATCACGTTTTCTTCCATTAACACTTTATTTGGATAAAGGAAAAAAAAAAAGGAAAATAAGGAGGAATTTTCTTTTTACTTTCTTTCTCTATAAGAATATAATCAAGTAAATTGAAGAAAAAAAAAAATTTTCCCTGCTCCCTCATCTTCTTTCTTTTTTTTGCCATACAAAGAAACTTTCCCACCTTATTTATTTTCTGAAAGGTTCTTGTTTGTTACTACGACTTCTTTCTCTGTCGCCTGCTAATACTACCACTACACCCAAAATTAAGTTATGTTAATGACTGGGTGCAACCCAACCCAAAATTAATTAGTGATTAAATGTACACAACCAAAGTCTCCCTAAAATCAATGCTCAAAAACCACGTGGACGGTAGTATCCGCTCAAGTTTCACGAATCCCGAGAATACCTCTCTCTTGAAGGATCCGAATTTTGGGCTTATCACTTACCAGAGAAAGAAACTGCCAACCCAGTACTTTACAGTTACAGAGTATCGGCAAACATGAAACAATCAAGGAAGAAACCAAATTCCAATATCCCTCGATATTTTTTTTTCTTTTAACAAACAAACAATAAATAAATTGTTAATTACCTAAAACATCCGCCGCAAGTTCGCGGAACCGTATATGACGGCGACCGGCTTTCTCACAGTGATCGAGCACCTTGGACATGAGATAGTAAGAGTAGAAGGTCACCACTCCCATTACCGTCAAGCATAGGAACCCTAAGCCCCACCCTAGCCCCCTGAATGCGTATGGCAACGTCAGTACTGTAGGTCCTACTATCGCCGTCGTCAAGTGGAACCCCGCGTGCCACCACTGCCCTTTTTTGGTTAAGAATTAATCATTACTAAATTAATGGCGGAATGCTAACATGCGCTTTCCAATTTTTTTTTTTAAACTAAAAGGAAAACAACTAACGTTTTTTTTTATTATTATTTTATTTATTTTTTTTTTGTACCTTTTGATTCGAGGACGAAGACTGCACCGGCATCGGCTTCACGGCTGGACCCAGAGAAAGGGTCGGGTTGCGGAGGATAAGCCATTCGAAATGGAAGCTGATCAGAGTGCACAATTAAAAGAGAAGCTAATCGGTTACTAGAGCCTAGAAGGAAAGTTGGTGATAGATAGTTATGTGAATGAAAACTAAAGTGCAACCATAGTTGCCGCCCTGGGATGCTGTGATGACAGTTATGTGAATGCGAGAATTATATATATATATATATTAATTTCCTTGTATGCAAAAAAATTATCTGCACCTTGCCAATTTTTTGTTGATTGATGACGATGAGATGACGGACAGGATTGAGTAAACGAAATAGTTTGCCGTTTAACGTCTTATTCCGTGAAATTACATTATCACTCCTTCCTCTCCGCTTGCTGGATTGCTTGTTGTGAAGGGTGATTTGGTATTTTCAATGACTGATTGAAGAGTGAAAGCAACTAAAGTCCGCCAAAATCCAAGACTTCTTTTTTCTTTTTCTCTTTTTTTTATTGTAATATTTAAATTCAAAATTAGAGCTGAACATACCTTGCTTGGTTAAACCATTCAAAGTGAACAAAACCAAATCATTTCGGTTCAGTTTTTAACTCACATGGTTTGGTTTTGATTTTCATATAAAAAATTGAAATTCCTTTTCTTTGTTCAGACTGATCTGTTCCATTTTGTGCAACTTGCTAAATGCTCTGATAGTCAGCAGTGAGAACACATCTGAACTAAATTCATTCAATTGATAATCTCAGAGTTGACATTCAAATTTAAAAAGACAGGGAAATAATTGCTAGTTAGACTAGTTCAACAGCAACAAAGAAATTGGGATTAGTAGATGTTCAATAGACAACTTGAACATCATTTAACATCGAAACAAAGTTAATGCTTTTCCCTAACTGCCCAGTTAAGCTTTAACATCTGAGGTTGCAGCAGATTTATTGTACTCTTCCATTTCTTTCTTGTATACTTCCATGGCCTCAGCAGCTTTAGCATTCCAGATTTGCCTGTCTTCTTCACTAAGTTCCTATATAACCCAAAAACACAAAATCAGACATTTTCTCCAATGTTAAAGTTAATAATGGTTAGTGTTTCAAGATATCTACCTTCCATTTTACAGAAATCATTGCATTAAGGGTAGAGTTGTTAGTTCCAGGCCTTTCGTGCGTTAAACTTTTTCTTGCTTCTTTGCTGGAGCAGAGAAAAACCAGCACAATTCAGAAACTTCCATTGAAATGTATTTATTGAGTTATTCTTGTTTTTGCTTTTACCTGAACAAAAGGAATGAAGATGCAGGCTTTTTAGGCTTGTTAGGGTCAGGATTCTGCTGCTTCTTCTTTTGACGATTCTCTTTGGTTTTCTGCACATTATATTATTAGTACTCAATCAGCCACCAGAAATACACCCAGTAAAGATATTAAAAGGCAATGGCTTAGGAAAATATGTAATCAAAATGCGACCTTGATTATGTTTTCTGTTTTCTCCTTCTTCTTAAGAAGCTGTAAGGCTTCCTGTTTCTGAAGCTTTAATAGCTCTTCCTCTTCTTTCTTTAAATTCATAGCTTCTTCATCCTTCATCTGCTTGTAAGCCTCCATTTCTTGCATATACTTTTCCTTGTTCTTCTTTGCTATCTGCATATTTCAAAAAGATCTGATGAGAAACCATATTGATAAAGCAATTTTGCCGTCAGAAACCATATATTTGAAAGGAGAAACAAAGCAAACCTCTTCATAAGGCCTCTTCTGTTCTTCTGTCATGCTCTTCCATTCCTCACCAGCAATTTTTGCCACCTGCCAAAGTCCGAATTCCAAAAGTCAGAGAATATAAATTAACAAAAAATATTCACTTTACAAATAATGAAGGGATCTTAAATTACCTCTCGAACATTCTTGTTCTCTGCAAGCAGAGCAGCCCGTCTGTCGCTAGAGAACAGGAAAAAAGCTGACACTGGATGCTTTGGCTTTAATGGATCCTTTTCTTTCCTGCAAATGAACATGAACAAACTAATCAGTAACTCTACGATAAGAAAAAGGTAAAGGGGTGGAGAGAGAGAGAGAGAGAGAGAGATGGTGATAGGATTTACTTTGTCTTCTTGTTCTCCTTCTCTGCTTCTTGTTTGAACTGGAGGTATTGTTCAAGCAATTCCATTGCCGTCTTTTGCTTCTGCTCCTCTTCCAAAAGCTTCATTGCTTCAGTCTCTCGCTTCTCCTTTGTAATTACCTGCAGATAAGCTTCCTTTTCAATCTGATACTTCTCCTCGTAAGGTTTCTTTTCCTCTGCACTAACATTCTTCCACTTTGCCCCTAATATGTTTGAGATCTCTTTGAATTCTGCATCTGGGTTCTGTTTCTTCACCTACAGAACAAAAACACCCCCAAAAGATATTTAGAGTCTAAGGACCAAAAAGGTTCAATCAAAACTTTAGAATCCATTATCTGTCTCTTTTACCTCATTCCACTGGTCTTTGCACCACAAGATGTAAGGTGGAGATGGCCTTTTCTTTTCTTGGCCGTCCTTCTTCTTTTTCTTGTCTAGGTCCTCCTTCAATGATTGAACGAGGGGGAATGTCTGCAACAATTTCAATTTTACCAAAAAAGTCTGATTAGATTAAACCCTAAAAGCAACCTAAAAATTGGAATTTTATGATCTGTTTTCTCATGTGAGGGAATCAAATTTAACCATTTTAGGGATTTTTCGGCAAACAAACAGGGGAAAAAAAATCCAAAAACCCTTTTTCTTGACGGCCAAACAGAAAAATTAAACAAAATAGAAAGGAGAAACTAACCATGTTGGGCTTAAATTCCTTCAATTTCTGCAATTTCTTCAACTCCAAATGTAACTTCTCTTGTTCTTTGCCTTTGGTTTCGAGCTCCTCCTCTTTTGCTTTCAACATCTCATCTTTCTCCTTCAGTAGCTCCTCAGTCTTCTCCTTCTCTAGCCTCAACTTTTGAAGCATTTCTTGCATTTCTTGCATGTCCGTTTCAAATGAAGAAGATGATTGCTTGGTTTGCTTAGCCTTAGAGACCTTGGCCTTCGCTTTCTTGGACGAAGAGCGAGGTTGCGAGAGACTCTCATGGTTCTCTTTTGAAGGATCGGTGGCTAATGCTGGAATAGCCACGGGAGAGGTCGCGGAGAGCTTCTGTGCCATGATATTAGCCTCATTTGTGGTTGGGTTTTTCTGTTTCAGAGCTCTCCTGTTGTTTCTCGGTTTCTTTGTTGGGACTGGCTCAGCATCCATGGATAAGGCAATTGCAGTATCAGCCATTTAGAGAGATAATTTGTTTGTTAGAGCAGTGGTGAGGCTAACTTGTGGAACTTGTTCAGGTAGCGAAGGGGGTTTATACTGGGGGGGAGAAGAAAAGACTGAGGAGCGCAACGGTTGGAATTTTCAAATTCAAAATGAATTTTTGAGATTTAATTTGGGGTTTGAGGTCCGGTTTAGGGTTCTAAATTTTTGACCGTTATTGGGATTATCTGTATTTCTGACCATTAAGAGATTTTTTACCATTAATATATCCTTTCTTGATATAAACATCTTGAATACTTCTCTAAGAATTCCACACCAAAAACACAATTATTATTATTATTTTGTATATGAAAAACACAATTTCATAAATAATTAGTAAAATAAAATTATTAATTAATGTTTAATTACAGTTGCCACTGTTAGTAAATACTAAAACTAATTGATGATCCAAATGGGACAGTCAGTAGTACGCTATGATCTCAATGAAGGGGGAGAAAAAAGTAAAAAAAGAGCAAAAGAAAAAACCAAGACAAGCTCATAGTTGCATAATTATAAACCCTCACTATATAAAAATAATCATTCATCTCCACCCACCAGATTTTGGTATAAGAAAAAATTATAATAACAAACATGGTTTACAAATTACAGTTAAGCTTAACTCTCTCTCTGCCTCTGCAGCTAGAATAACTTGTATGAATGCTGACAGAATGGTCAAAGCCCATTACAAATGAATCCCCTGCTGGAGTACAGACAACCACTGGCAGCTATAATGGAAAAAGAATGAAGGCAAATAACTGTTTCTAGTATTCACATGGTAGGAATTTGCCATTGGAGTATAAACTTCCATTGAGAAACATTACTAGTGTTTGTATACTCTTGCTAATATTCTCAACTGTTAACTACCATCTCCATTATCACATCATTCCAGTAGTCAATTGGCCCAGGCAAGCACCAATGTAAACAGTCATTCTGAACTGTAGCATTTTTGTTCTCAGCAAATGGATGAAACTGTCTGTATGGACCAGGATGCCCGTCAGGCCTTGACAATAAAAGATTTGTGAAGTCGAGAAGTTTAAGATTTACTCCATTTTCAGTAGCTTTTGCTGATGCTTTCTCAAACTCTGCCAATTCAACATCGTGCAGAATCCTGTTCAAGTCCTTGATTGTGATCTCGCCTTCTTTGGCAGGTGTTGTTTTGGGACAAGTCCCGCCGTTGTGCCATTCTCCGTTCTCAAAATGATCAGGAGTTGATGTTCTAAAAAAGATCAACCCTTTGTGTTTAGATGTTGCAATGAAGTTCATTGCATGCCGGAGGGCTTTCTCATAAGCAAAGACAAATCCCTGCTCTGTGAGGTTCTTTCCCGGACATATATGGCAGCCTGCTACTGTGTCATTCTCATGATAGATTGCAGCTTTAAGGAACCATTTTCCAGTTGAGATGATGGCATAGTCCAAATTTTGATACAAATTTGTCCAATTCTTATCAAGTTTGTCAAGTTGCAGTTGAACTTCTGCTGACGAAACACCATTATTATCTTCAAATATTGCTGCTTCTACAAGGAAAGGGGACCAGATATTTGATATGCTGAAGTTGTAAGAAGGAAAGTGCCACCTTTTTGATTTGTATTCCTCATCATGATAAACTTCAACTGGCTGTTCAACCTAAGGACAATAGAAGCTCTTGATAAAGTAATGAAATTAAAATGAATTCCAATGCCAAGAAAAAAAAAAAAAAAAAAAAAAAGGTAAATGAAATTAAAATGAATTCAATGCCAAGAAAAAAAAACAAAAAAAAAGACAAGTGCCGCCAAAAGCCAAAAAAAAAAAAAAAAAAAAACAAGTGCCCACCAGTTTCAGAAATCAACTCTGATTAAAAATTTAAAATGCACCTTGAAACTTTTATATATTGGCATAGTTTGTGACTTTGTGACATTAAACAATACTATATGGGCATCCATAAATTTCTTCAATGAGTTTCCATTTCCTTAATAATATCATGCAATTTACAAAAACATTGTAGATAAGAGGGCCAACCCCATTACTTGAAGCCTTCCAACCACTATACATCAAATATGATTTGGCATCAGAGGGTAACATTAAGCAAACTAACTGTTGATTGTGAACTAACAAATGAAAACTGCAGATCATGAAAGAAATTAATTGATGAATATTAACTAAACTTGAGAGAATTCACAAAGGACAAATAATAAAAATCCCTACAATGTGCCCTCTCACATTCATGAAAAGGAAAAAGAAGAAGAATGAATGGTTATCCATTTTACACGAAGCAGAGCATCTGCTGAATGAAATAGACCATAAGAAACTAACAGCATGGCATAGGGATTGATCAGTCATCCATCCTCACCAAATCAAATACAATGAAATTTCTAAAGAAAGCAAAATAATGATAAAAAATGTTGCTGGAACCAAGTTACTGGGTAAAACAAGGATCAGAACTAAACCAACTATAATGCAAAAAGAGGCAAAGGAAGACATGTGCAAAAAATCATGGATGAAAAGAAGCTTGAAACTAATCAAACGAAAACTGCTCATTGGCATCAAATCGTTGAGGATCAAGGCAAGGGGATCAAATGTGAAATACAGTTCAATCATTCAAAACCAAATTCACAAATACTAAAACAAGTCTAGAACTTACCGTTGAGAGCATGCATAACAATGACTGGACATGGTTGCGAGATATTGAATCGCCAATCAATCCCCATGTTCTATGCCTCATCAACTCAAGAAATCTTTGTGCATCAAATGGAGGTAATTCACAATTCCTTGGATTCCACCTCCAGAACAGATAACCTGAATCTGGTCGTCCATTCCTCATGCAATTTTGGTGACCTTCAATCGAAGGGCAGCTGGCATTTGTATAAGTTGGGCCTGACGGGTTGGGAATCCAATCCCCAATAAAAAGATCACATTTTCCTGAATCAAGTTCTGCAAAACCAAAGTAGTTTATTTTAAAGAACCGAACTAGAACTGCCCTCCTCATAAAATCAACAAAATTTGAAAAAGATTGTTGTAGAAAGCAAGAGAAAGCTACTAAATAATAGATCCCCGCCAAACATCTAGTGTGATAAAATCCATCAAAATCTCAAATTTCAAAAAAGAACTTATGATATTGCTTAGATCTCAATCCAAGCTTCAAAATCACGAAAACCAGAGCCTACACTTTCTCAGTTAAGAGTTATTTCACTCCCACCCGACTCAATTTGCCTGACATTGAAAAATCAACAAATAAGAAACTCAAAGCGACCAAACTTGATAACCTTTTTGTAGCGCCTCATCTTCAGTATCTGATCCATTAAATAAAAGAGATGGATTTGGAACATCAACAGCAGCAGGTGGGTTTGGAATTTCAACTGCAAGAGGTGGTGACTTTGGAATATCAACAATAACGGGTGGTTCTGGGATATCGACTGGAGGAGGAGGATTGGGCACAAGAGTTTTATCCATGAAAGGGGTTTCTAAATCGGGTTCAAATCTAGTAGATTGATAGAAGAAGAGTCTAAAAGCAAGACCCATTAAGAAAATTGCAACTGATAGCTTGAATAACCAATTATTGTAATTGTTAAGAGACCATAGCCTCCAAAGTAACTTCATTTCCTTTCACTGCTCTGCCTTTTTGCTCACAACTCTGCGTCGATTTCGAAGATCTCGAGCTCAATGAAGCAAAGGAAAGAAATGGTGGGGATGTTAAAACTGTTCAGCGTTGGAGTGGTTTAAGTGACCGACAAGGAAGACACTGTCATTATACGGTGTATTCCATAGACCATAAACATGAGTTACGTTATTTGAGGGAAAGGACAAGACTGCTCCAGAGTAGGAAAAACTAGAAGATGAGTGTTTATAGCTGGCAGTCCTTAACTGCCTGGGTCATTGGATTTTGTCAACTTTAATTTTCTTTTTCTGTTAATATTCTTCTGGTATATATATGTTGTCATAAAAAAACTACTAAATTCTAAAACATAGAAAGAGTGATTGAATAATTATGGATTTAGTAATACTTTATAATCCAAATAATTAATGATTAAAAGTTCTGCTTATTGTAATAATTATATTTCATCCATTCCATGTACATATATAATTATATATCTGTATATATATTCATTTTTTTATTTATCTTAAAATATTTTCATGCATTCCCATGTACATATATTGTAATTATATAATCTGTATACTATAATCATTTTTTTTTATTTATCTTAAAAATATAGTTCTATTCTTTTCAAAAAATTATTTTTATTAATCTTAAATTTTATAAGAATGGCCTTGACACTATAGGTTAAAATTGAAAAATATATAATATAGTATATATATATATATATTATTAATTATCATGTTTTCTCACTTAAAGTATGTTTTTTTTTTTTTTTGTTCAACTTTATAATTACAACGACCCACAAGTACTTGTGTTACTGACGCATTTTAATAAAATATATATTTTTTATTAAAATTATTTTCTAGATTTGCATTATTATTATAAATAATTAAACTTGGTAATTTGTAATATTCCAAATTTAATTAAATAAGTATACGTTAAATTATTTTGTAATTTTAAGTATGATTGATATACAACAATTAGCAATAATTATGACACTACAATATTTTTGATAGAAATGGTTATTTTATTTTTTCAAAAATATATATTTTTAATGAGAATTCATATTGAAAATAATAATTGATATTATAAAAGGAAGAAGAAATATTAATTTAACTTAATATATAATATATTATATATATATAATATAGCTATTTTTTTTTTTTATTCATCTTATTTTTTAAAAAGGGTGGAAATATATATATAGTTTATCAACTTCAAAGTAAATTACAAATCAATCAGATGACCAGATGCAAAGTGTATGTGTCATTTATCCCCGAATTACCAACACAGAACTTTAATTTTCAATTAATTGAATGGGTCCTACCACCGTGGGGGAAAAGGGGAAAAATTTTTTTTTATATATATATATATACATATTTTTTTTTTTATTCATCTTATTTTAAAAGTGGAAAATATTATATAGTTTATCAATTCAAGTTAAATTACAAAATCAATCAGATGACAGATGCAAAGTGTATGTGTCATTTAACCGAATCCAACACAAATTTAATTTTCATTATTGAATGGGTCCTCCCACCTGGAGAAATTTTTTTTTAAAATTCTAAAAAATATAAAAAAAAAATTATATTTGGCCCTCTAAAATATTAAAAAAATTTCGCTCGACATCCCAAAATAATTGTATTTGATGTAAAAATATCATGTTTGTACAAGTATTCTTATATATGTATGTATCTCAAGAATTTAGCATAGCTTTATGGCATCAGCAAAACACATACATGTAACGTATTAAGGATGATTGCAGCCTTAATATTTACAACTAAACATGGTTATTAATCCAAAAATGTCACTGATCAAACCCTCTTCTTTGGAACCTTCATCCCGAATCCTCGATTCAGCTTTTGGATGCTGCTCAAAATGGAAAATTTAATGTAATTAGTATGTTATTTGATACATTGAATCATCAGAAAGCTTGTTTAAGGATCTTTAAATTTATGATTAAAAAGAACAGCTTAGGACTTACGTAGGGGCAAGTTTGCCCAGACTTTTTAGCTCTTTGCCTGACTCCTTGTCAATAACTCTTCCCGAAATTTCAATCTTATAGAACTTATCTTTTGTTGTTGGTAACCCTCTTCCTGCAAGTAGGTCTAAATCTTTCTGATTAAGCTCTCTCCCATTGACAAAGACACCCGTGTTCCCCGCACCGCAGTTTTCTTTCATGGGATAGTTAAATTCTTTAATAAATGGCTGCATGACATCATTAAAGCTCAGTCCACAGAAATAAGCAGCAGTAAACTTTGTTACTAAAGAGAGAAATTCACAAATGATCGAAGATCAATTTATCTCACAGGAATTATGCCAAGGCAAGGTTGTCCCATCAGACCCCAGAATCCAGCTTGAACATCATACCTGGTAAAGGCAGATTAGTACTAATTAATTGCAACCAAGTTTAAATTTTAATGACATATTTATAGAACTAACCAGTAATCTCCAGGATGAATCGGGCCGGCTAGCTTTTCAGCACTTTTCACCATACTGTCTGGAATAGGTTGACCATTAACAAAAACATTAGCTTCTTCTTCCTCCATGTGTTGGTCAGGTCTTGAGAAATCCCTGAAGCTCTTCTTGAGGAGACCTACCAGGTATGGTTCGGTTCCTTTGTTGACCCTAGACCGACGTTCTTCTTTGCTTACTTCCATAGAGTCCTGAGACAAACTAGTATTTAGGTACTCATTGAAAGAAACTTCCACTTCAGTTTCTGATGATGCATATTTGACAAGATTCTGCGGAGAAGTACTGTTATCAAGAAAAAATTTCTCTGGTTCTGTTCTGTTGATTTTGTTTCCTTCCTCATATCTGTTCACTCCATGATCAGATGAGGCATCATACAAATGCTCTACGAGAGGGGAACCTGAAAATGTTGGAGATGTATTATCTTTTTTGTGTAGCTCAGGAAAGTAGGAAAAATCTCTCTGAATAGTCATGCTATCCAGGCTCTCCTCTTCATTGGAAGAGACAGAAGATAGTGAAGAAAGTCCCTGCCTTTTCTTATATTCACTTGAGTTCGGCTCCTTGACGTCTGATTGGATATTTCTTTCAAAATCTGTCGAGTGGAAGTCATAACCCGGACTATCGAAATCAACGGAAAAGTTCATTCCTTCAGTGCTAACACCACCATCAGGACTCGAGAAGACTTTTTTTGAGACTTCACGAGAGCCATCATTAGCATCACCCATTTTTTGATTGTTTTGTTCAAGAACAGAAATAAGTAGCTGCTTGTTCCTAATTTCAAGCAAGTACACTATTGAGCAGGCACCACATTGCAGCTTCTGCTGATTATTCTCCCTTATTTTAAGCTTTCTTGGAAGTTTTAGCAACTCAAAGCAACTACAGCATGTTACAAATGGGGCGCCACCAGCAACAGGATGGCAAAGACGCCTATTTCTCCGGGATGCCACCACCGTTGTCCTCGGAGCACTCTGGTAAAGAACATCCATATCTGAAATGTCACTTGGCCATATAGCATGTGATTGAGGATCTTGTGAACATAATGGAGGAGGATTAAGATTTTTTGAACCAAATGTGATGGGATTAACATGGCGATTGAAGTTGGAATTAATTGGGTCCTCCATGAAATTTTGATTTTGTGAAGAAATTTGTTGATTCTTGTGGTAGCAGTGGAAACAATCACAAGAAGTAGATTCTTGATACAACATTCCACGGGGATAAGATGCAAATTGTGGTTGTGCCCGATATTGACCAAGCGGTTGATGGGAATTTACCCTGAGCATTTGTAGCTGAGTTGGACCATTATAAACTGGAAAATCGTTCATCAAATGCTTTGGAGGAAAATAAACGTCATGCGAATCTATATCATGACTATTATTTTGGAATTGATCGAAATGTGGGGATATTGGTGCATGCTCGTGATCTGGAACTAAAGTTTTCACTGGAACCTTATAGCCAGGAGGAGCAAGTTTGACACCAACAAGGCTACCTTCTCTTTTTTTCTCAGATACAGAATCACTTCTACGGATTTGTTCGTTGAGTTCATCCAACTTCCACAGCAACTCAGCTCGATACTGTTCTAAGTCTGTATAACTGTTTCCATATCCATTAGTAGGAGATCTTGAGTAATAATTTGAAGGTCCTTCATCAGGATAAGCAAAATGTGAATATGGGTTTGGATCAATAGCCGTTTTGAAGTTTCCATAAGGTCTCTCTAGGCCATCCCCATCCAAACCCCATGCCTTTGACCTCAAAGGCCTAGCAGAACCCTTAAAATGGGCTGAAACTTCTGCAATATCTTTTGCTTTACTCGAGTTAACAGGCTCAGATCTACTCATGTTCGTCTCATTATCACCATCGCTAACCCAATTGCCAATTGGGTGCTTTAACGGTAGCCTATGTCTATCATTATAACCAATTCCTTTCTGTGCACCATTTTGATAACCCACAATCTCATCTTTCGCAATCCTATTGATATTATCAATTGAAATATCTTTATTTTGTGTCCTTGAACCACTAATCAAATTGACAGTTCTTTCCCCAAAGACTCCCTCTTTTCTCTTATCAGGAAAACCACCATCACTACTCTCCCTCTCCGCCTCTGACAAAGTCTCCAATTTCTCAAAATCCTGTTTATCCCTCTCCTTTTCAAGGGACACTTTCTTCTTTGCTGTACCATGCATAAAATACTATATTCAAACTCCTATATTAAAACATAAATAATGACAATAATAATCTTTCTATTAATTACCTATAACAAAGTATAAATTTTAAGAACTTACTGGCAAAATGGCAGTTATATATATATAGAGAGAGAGAGAGAGGACCAAATTTATTTGCTTCCTCTTGATTCTCACTTTCTCAATAACCAAACAAACTTGCAAAAAAGAAAAAAGAAAAAGGAAAAACCCACAAAGTGAAAGAGAGAACTAACCTCGAAGAAGAGCGCCACAGCCACCGCACTGGTACACAGAGAAGTTAGGAAGCTCTGGCAGAAGATTATCACACTTTGGGCAACGAACTAACCGAACTTTCGATCCTTCAGCCATCAACAAACCTTAAAAGTACGAAAGACCCAAAAACCAAGAAATAAATAATCTTTGGAACTTTGAGGTTTCTCAAACTCCCATAACTTATAATTTTTCTTTCTACGAAAACAAACAGAAAACATGAAAAAGCGCCATTTTTTAAAAAAACAAAGCACTGTTTTGCTTATAGATAGAGTCAAAGAGAGAGTTTGGAACTTTGAATTCTAAGGCTAACCATATAAGTGCAGGTTTGGAGAGAAAAGGAAGCAGAAGAGAATCCCTCTGCGCGTCCCAACTTTTTCTTATATTGAAATGAAGAAGAAGGGTTGCGAGAAAATAAATTGTAAGATCTGAGCAAATGCAGTGCACGCTTTTATCTTGACTTTGTGTGACTTTTCTTTTATGCAAAAGCTAAAGCTAGAAGCTTTGTATGAGAAAAGAAAAACGAGTGAAGTATATTGACGTGACATGCTTCATAGAAGAAGAAATCAACGAACAAGTTTAAGTCATTGACGTAGTTCTTTTTGTTACCAAAACAATAAAAACGCAGAAATGTCCTTTTATTAGGAAAAAGTAGTAAAGGTACAGAAAATGACATGAAATGTTACTTATTTGGTTCTATATTTTTAAAGAATTTCAGAATGAAATTCTCAAATCTTGCTAACCAATCACCATTGCCATTTTCAAAATTCCATAAGCATTTCCTTTTCTGCAACCTATATATGTTTTTAAATTCCAAAAACAAGTTGTAGTTAGCCACTCAGCAAAGAGACCGTGTGGATAAATTTCTCTTCTTTTTTTCTTTTCTTTTTTAAATTTAACTTTTTAATTTGATCAAGAATAAGTCTCATTTATAGTAATTAAATTATTTATTTCAATACGTGCTATGTTCAAAATAATAATAATTTTAAGCAAATTGTGAAACTGTGAGAGGTCTTAAAATATATATTTTTTTAGTAAAATTTTGATTGAGAAATTTTAAAATTATTTTGCTATATTCATAAATAAAATAAACCATAAGTCAATCAAGAAAAAAAAAAGTTTATTAATTAGAAAAAAAAAGTATGAGCATCAATTTTGATAAACTCAACGTAATTAATTTATAATTACAGACAGATTCACTCAATTGGTTAAATTAGAAGTGAATTTTATAATAAACAATGTAATACATTTGAAATATATTCTCAACTAGGAATATAAATTTAGACTTGAAAATCTGTGAATAGGTCAACAATTTTTTTTTTTTTTTTTTTTGAAGTGAAAATCTTTATAATAAACAATGTAATACATTTGGAAATAATAATCCTCACTAGGAATAAAATTTAGACTTGAAAATCTGTGAATAGGTCACAATTTTTTTTTTTTTTTTTTTTTTTGAAAAGAGGTCAACAACTTTATATTAGTACCACAAAAAAAAAAAAAAAATATATATATATATATATAATATACTAGAACGTTACAGAATAATATTATATATAGAACGTTACAGAATAATATCATTTCTCCATTATTTCTCAGACCAAAAAAAAAAGGAGAAAGAAAAATCATGAATGAAACAGCTGGGTGGTGGGCCTTTGAGTTGATGAAATATAAGTGAACGTGTAAAATATATAAATAATAAATGGGATTGGGTCAGAGGCTAGTTGTTGACCGTAAGTTAGTTTGTTGGTGAACCGGTGGTTGGCGTGGACTCTCCGGTTGCTTTAACCCTTCCTGGCCCAAACTGGTTGACTGATGGGCTAACGCTTTAAAAAGCAGAGACCAAACCTTTTCAGTGTCTTTCTTATGTTGGATAAAGCGGTTTTGACAGTTGGAGTGGAAAAAAGTTTGTCTAAAGCCTACTCTAATAAATTAGGTCATGTGATTCACTTATTTCTCAAATCAATTTAATAAAATCATTTAATACAAATAAAGATATTGATATATATTTTTATTCATAATTGTAACTACAAAATTTTTAATTTTATTTATAAATAATAGAATTTTATTGATTTATATTAACAAAAAATGAATATTTTTATTTATATCAAATATGAAAAATAAAATTTCAAATTAATTTCACAAAGTTTTCCATGACCACATTTTTAGTTACTTTAAAAAAAAAAAAAAAAAAGAAAGAACATGTTATTATTTTCAAAAAAAAAAAAAAAAAAAAAAAAAAAAAAAAAAAAGTAAGAGAGAGTAAGATAAAAATTTCCTTCATAATAACAACATAATGAAGAGAATTATTTGCTTACATTATTTTCTTTTCTTCATGTGGGCAGCTTTACTTTTTCCTGAAAAAACTAAAACACCTGCAAGAACTAAATATGAGCTGTTTGGTCTTATGATCATTTCTTGTTATCCTCTTCCAAAAATAATTCCTGACTTTGAAAAGCAAGCTCTCAGCCACTTTTCTTTAACACCCTTTTCTTCTCTTTGTAAAAGGAACCTCTTTGATCCACAAGGAAATGGTAAGACCATCACCTGCCTGTCGATCACATGACCGACTGAAACTATTTCATACGAATCGTATAAAGGGCTCCCGCAATCCCAGACTATATCAGTATCATCTTCTTCTTCTACTTCTGCTTCTGCTTCTGCTTCTGCTTCCTTTCTCTTCTCCTCCATGTCCATATTTTCTTTCAGGAACCTAAACTGTAATTGTTAAGTACTTAATACATGCTTTAGCTCTAATTTACGTTTCTTGGTAGGCAATGCCTAGTGGGTGTCACTTGAAATTGCCAACCATAAACCCATGACGTGGATTGATGCGGTACGCGTGGATAAATATCATTGGGCTGGACTTAGAATTTGGTAGAATTGGAGAACTTTATTTATGTTTTATTGGTTAATGCAAGGCCCAAAAGGCAAAAGGAATTTTAGAACAAGAGACTGACCATATTTTTTATTTATTAGCTCCGTTAAAGCCCAATATTAGTTGATCCAATCAAACAAGACAAGAGTACTTGATTTGCCAATCAAGCCTTAGTTGTATATCCCATACCTTATTTTTGTATAATTTGGTTAAAATTTTTAGACATTTTTTCCTTAATTTGCAATTGAAAGATTAATATTTCCATATATTCACATCAGTTATTAATTATCTACAAAAGATGGTGAAAGTAGTAAAACACGTTTCAATTCGAAAAACGATCTTTACAGTGTGAGAAATGAGATAACTATAAATCGTTAAATGAAATTACGTTATAGAAACTATTATATAGAAACAGCGCATAATATTCTTTTGGTTTGTTGTGCTTCTTAATAGATAAAATAAAATAAAAATACAAAAAAGAATCAAAGAGAATAAAAAGCTTTCAGAATTGTGAACCATGTTTAATGCTTGAAAAATAACCTATAAACATAGACCGGTCCTTATCAAATTGTTACCCTCTCGTAAGTTGCAGGGTCGAGAATTTTCTTTAGTTTATGATAAATAAATAAATAAAAATATCGAAAAAAAGACCTGTAATTAGGCAGGGAATCCTTTTTTTTTTTTTTTTTTTTTTTTTTTTTTTTTTTTTTTTTGTTATTGGAATTCAATTTCTATGTTTAATGCTCTGGCTGGCAATTGTTTGTAACTGTGTGAAGAAGTCAGAATATATATTTGCCATGTTTCCTTGAATTTGTTTTAATTACAATATCCTAGTAACCTTAACTACCACAACATTAACAATTTAGACTACTGGTTTGGGCTCTTTTTAAGGAGTCAAAATTTAAGTTACTTGTTACTATTTATTTTTTTTTTCAATTTATGTATGGTAATTAATATAATCAATTATAATTATATAAAAATTTATAATTTTAACCTCCGATATCTATTGTATTTTAAAAAAAAATAATAAAATAATCTTACGAATATCTATTATTTATCTTTCTTACTATGTGGTTGAGAATCCTCTCTCTTTTGTTTGAATATTAATATGAAAAAAAGAGTTTTTTTTTTTTTTTTTTTTTATGGAATCAATCAGTAATGCTGCTGCAATTGGACTGTTGTGAAAGAGAATATCATATTCCATGTTCCTTGATTGTTTAATTACAATATCCTAAACCTACACAACAAACAATTAACACTTTTGGCTTTAGATCAAATTAATACTTGTACAATTTTCAATTTAGAGTATTAAAAATCAAATATAAAAATTAAATTTAACCCGATATATTATTTTAAAAAAAAAAAAAAAATCTTACGATACAATTTATCTATTGGTTGAGAACTCTCTTTGTTGAAATAAAAGGAATGACTATTTGAAACTCCTAAAGGTCGAAATGCATATGTGGCTGGAAATTGCAAGACTTAAAATTGGATTTTGATGTAGAGAAGTGTCTCCACCAACAGTTCCTTTTCATTGATTTCCAGGAAAGGAAGATGTCATGTGTGTTGGGTATTGACAAGTCCAAAACTCTGTGGACCTCAAGCATCAAATGCCCTATTGCCTTGGCTTCTAGAGAGATATTGACACTATGGATAAAAAGAAGAAGCTTATCTTAAAGTGAACTTTATTAATCTTACTTATTTTTATTAAAGATCTAATCTTTATGACAAGAATCAATTAGAATAGATAATTCAGTGGCAAAGAGCACTTATTGGATTGATAATCATGATTTGGGTCATGCATTCAATCCCTCCGCCGTGCAAATTCTCTCTATTAATCCCTTTACTTCTGAAGACGAACGGAGATTAATCAAATTTTGTAGAGCACAGACAAAATTAGAGTGTTGAGTGAATAAAATCACTCGATTGGTGGCAAATAATTGTCATAGTGATACTAATTAAAGAAAATGAAGAATCTTAAGTCTATTTCTATTATTAGTTAAGCAAAATATCCATAAAATTGAATCATTAACTCTCTAAATAAAGTGTGAATAATTGACTTTTTTTTTTAATTTATAAGAGTGGAAAGCCGGAAGTTTGGAGTTTGAATTTTCATATTTACAACATGGTTTGAATATAAATTTTTTATTTATAAGAGTTTTTATCAAATTAAATTTTTGATTGAATCGCTCTTAATATTGTCTAATCTCTTTTTTTTTTTTTTTTTTTTTTTTTTTTGTTTTTTATCTAAGGATAATTAGATCCTGAGATAATAAATTGACGAGGCAGGAAACGGCTCCACCATATAAGGAGAACCTCAACTCGACCCATTGACATAATGTTTTTATAATCAAAAAAAAAATTTTAAAAAATTACCCAGATTTAATCCGAACCCTATGAACCGGTTAATTGAAAGACCAATCAAGACCTACTTATTCACTATTCATAATTTTGGTTTGGGTACTTTAATTACCACCTTAATAAATGCTAAGGTAAAAAAAAAATTGGGACCAGAAAAAACCAAATTATTTGTCTTTTTTTTTTTTTTTTTGATTATTTCACTAAGAGATTTAATAGACCGAAATAATATGACGAGGCATAAAATAAGAGACTCAACTCACCAAATTGACAATAATTTTTATAATCAAAAAAATTTAAATTCCAGATTTATCACTCCTTACGTTAATGAAAAGACAAATCAAACATACTTATTCACTATTCATAATTTTGGTTTGTACTTTAATGACCACTTAAATAAAATACGGTAAAAAAAAAAATGAACCAAGAAAAAACCAAATATTTGTTAATAAAAATAATATTTTTATTTTTATTTTAAAAGTTGATTACTAAACAAGAACAAAATGATTAATACTAATCCAACCACTCTTCAAAACGCGGCGCCTCTATAGTCGTTTCCTTTCGCGAACACAAAAGCATAATTAAGCTCACCCGCGGGTTTTACATATAAATTGCTAAACCTCATTTTACAATTAAATATTATTCTCTCTCCAACTCAACCCTTTTCCTTTATTTCTCTCGGCTAGCAACGCCTCCATCACCGTCTCTCTCACACAAATGCGAACTAATATTTCCAGTGAAGAAGAGCACCCGCAATAGGAGTATATAACGCCGGAAAGTTGACTTAAGTTCCGGCGATGGCATCGGAGGACGTGAAGACCGGTGAGTCTGCAGTTTCAACGATCGTGAATCTGGCCGAGGAGGCTAAGCTAGCAAGAGAAGGAGTTAAGGCACCAAGCCACGCCTTTCTCAGCATCTGCAAGTCCTTAATCGCTGGTGGAGTCGCTGGAGGAGTGTGAGTTCTTCTCGTTTGTTTTTTTGCTGTTTCTGCAGTATGGTCGATCTGTTCTTTTTTTTTTTTTTCACCTTGTTGTTGAGGTTCTGTTCATATTTTCTTTTATTCTGGTTTTGTTTTGATTTCGTTCTTGCTGTTTTTGGTTAATTACTGAGTTCCACTGTTGCTATAATTTTGTATCATGCAGCTCTTTGTCATTTTTTTTTCTTTTTGAATTGTTTTTTGCTGTTTAAGTTAAAAATGGTAGATTTTTAATCTTTGATTAGGAAAAAAAGATGTCATTGTTATTTATAATAAATTCATGATGAAGTCTTTAATCCTTTTTGCATAATTTTTTGGCTTCTTGAATCAAGGTGGGTTCTTTTTTATATACAATATGTAAGCATTTCATCAGTTTACTGTATCCCTGGTTTCTTGATTTTCATGCCAAATTTTGGTGCTTCCTTTTAGTAGCAGCAGTATTCGTTTATTGTTTATTTATTTACTTTTTACTTATAGATTGATAGATCACCTATCAGTGTTTACTGGAGTGTACGATAAAGGAATTACCTGCAATTTCATTTATGATGTTATAAATGTTTGTTGGGTGGGGAAATAGGGCTCTAGTTAAAGGTTTGCTGAACAAAGAACTCGTTATTGTAATGGGGTTTGCTGTTTGTATCCATTTCCTTCCTTCCATATATCCCTCAAGAAACGTGGTATTTTTTTTGTACTACTGTTGTGCATAAGCATGGTTATTGGTACAAGATTCTTCATTGGGTGAGCGTGCTTGTAGAAAATTACAATGAAATGGATTACCTAATGCTGCGTCAATGTTATTGTTAAATCTATTTGTACTATGAATTAGCTACTAATTTTCGGCGTTTTTGATATTTCTTTTATTCTTTATTATGCTAAATGCATGATATGTGGCCATGTGTTTCAGGTCACGTACTGCAGTTGCTCCCTTAGAAAGATTAAAAATTCTGCTCCAGGTAATTTGTAATAATTTTTTTTCCATTAAGTTTTAATTTAATATGATTAGCAATTACATTACTTCCTGCTTTTGTTTTAGTGAACAATTTTACTGCATTCTGAATTTTTTCATAAAGTTCTGATTTTCTGTATTTCCAATAACCTTGAACTTTGTGTATTTTTTGGGCTTGGGAGACAGAGGACTGGGGAGAATTTTAGGCAAAATTTAGCAATGGCATTGGGGAGAATGTGTGAGATATTTGCTACAGTTCTGATGTGCCCCATGCTGTTTAATCAGAGTAATAGGTTTTGCTTTTGGAATATGCAGGTTCAAAATCCACACAGTATAAAATACAATGGTACAATTCAGGGCTTGAAATACATATGGAAAACTGAGGGTTTCAGAGGATTGTTTAAAGGCAATGGCACTAATTGTGCTCGCATTATTCCAAATTCAGCAGTCAAGTTCTTTAGTTACGAGGAAGCGTCTAAGTATGCTTTGGTGCTTCCTTCTCTGCAGTTTTAATAGTTTTGAAGTTTGAATCATTGTTTTGTTTTGCATTTTGTGATCCACATGTTTAGGGGAAAAGTATCATATAGGTGTCAATATTTGTGGTCTTCTTACTTAAACTTGTTCTATCTGTGGTCATATTTTGCCTAATTTTAGTTTTCCCCCTTTTTGCCCCCTTTTTGTTAACAGGGGTATACTATGGGTTTACAGGCAGCAAACTGGAAATGGTATGGCTTTTACTTTGTTCCCTTTCTTAGATTACTTTGTTCCCTTTCTTAGATTACTCAATTATGTAGTTGTAAACATTGCTCGAGATAGAAAACCACTGGGTATTTTGTTGTTCATTATTTAATATGCAACTATAACTTCAATCTTTCTCTTGATTTTCTATGTTCTTCATGCATTAGCTGTCTTTCTTTCTTCATCTCCTCCTTTTTGACAAGTTATATGCATATTTTTCCCCTCAGTTCTTGTGATTTATATGCTTTGATTTATGTGAAAGCAAATAAAATAGTATTGGAATTTGAAATTGCGGAGGGTTGCACATGCATTGATAATATACCTATTTTGTGTGTGGAGACATGCATGAAGAGTTATTTGAGGTTAATGAGTATTCCTCTGCATTAATTCGTATCAGTGGCTCCATGATTGATGAGGAGTGAGGATATTTTGAGTTCGTGTAATCATTGATCATTGATTGTATGAGTTTGCAATGATGATAATGATCATGATAAGGCCGTCTTAAATCATTTATTTATTTATGTTGCCATTCTCTTGTACAGATGATGCTCAGCTTACTCCGCTTTTACGTCTTGGAGCTGGTGCATGTGCTGGAATTATTGCCATGTCAGCAACTTACCCAATGGATATGGTTCGGGGTCGACTCACTGTCCAGGTATTGCTTGGAATTAGATCTGTGAGACCTACTCTCTGTGGGTGTAATAACTCCATGTGCATTTTATCAATTTGATGGCTTAAGTCTTTCCATACATTTTTGCAGACACAAAATTCTCCTCGCCAGTACAGAGGAATCTATCATGCTCTGTCAACAGTCCTTAAGGAAGAAGGTCCTCGGGCTTTATACAAAGGCTGGCTGCCTTCTGTCATAGGAGTAGTAAGTAACCAACTAGATTCTAAGTGCATTCGTTTAGCATTCAATGATGCATGTTTACGTGAGAGTCAATGTTTGATGCATGTGGATATTTTGTTTAGCTATAAATTCCAGTTTGGTCAGGAATTAGAACTGAAGTTTCTACCTCCTTTATTAGGTCATACTTAGTAAACTTTTTTAATCAAATATTTTATGCTGAGCTTGCATACATGCAAAACTTAATATCTACTCAAACAGAAAAAATTTGTTATGATGCTTGTAGGTACCTTATGTGGGCCTAAACTTCGCCGTTTACGAATCACTGAAAGACTGGTTACTCAAAACGAATCCTTTCGGACTAGTTCAAGACAATGAGTTGAGTGTGACAACAAGGCTTGCATGTGGAGCTGCTGCTGGAACTGTTGGCCAGACAGTTGCTTACCCTCTTGATGTTATCCGACGAAGAATGCAAATGGTAGGCTGGAAGGATGCTGCTTCAGTTGTCACCGGTGATGGGAAGATTAAAGCACCTCTTGAATATACTGGTATGGTTGATGCCTTCAGGAAAACAGTTCGGCATGAGGGGTTTGGAGCATTGTACAAGGGATTGGTTCCCAATTCAGTAAAGGTCAGTATACGTTATTTCATTTAGATAAATTAAGGGGGGTAAAAAAAACATTAGAGGAGATTGTTAAATCATAAAAATGCTATAATATTTCTCCTCCTGATTTTTTAGGTGGTTCCTTCCATAGCAATTGCATTTGTGACATACGAGATTGTAAAGGATGTCCTTGGAGTAGAGGTGAGGATATCTGACTGAAGCAAAGATGAGTCTAAGAGATATTCGAACTTCTGTTGCCAGAGAAGAAAGGAATATTAGGAGAAAGTAATTTGGGATTTATCTGATCTCCAGCTAGCGAGGGAAATTTAGAAGCCAAGTTTTAGACCCATGTTAATATTCCTCCCTTCATACTATCTAAACCCTTCTTAGCTTTTTAGATTTCTTATTCATATATGCTATGGCAATAAGTATTTGTGAGGAAACGATGCACCCTGTTGCATTTCAATAGGTTTTTAGTGAATTTAAAGTTACTCTTTGCCCAGTTCTATCTGCGATGATTGATTGATATTTTTTAGGTATTGATTTTATGTTTCTCTCCTTTTAACTAATACTTTAATTTTTCCTTCGGTTTTAAGAGGGGAACTGATCTATATAATAATGGTTGCTTTGTTGATTATTGTTCCTGTTCATGGTTTCTTGTTGAGATTAAATTTAAGTTAGTCTACTAGGCTCACATCGCTTTGAAAATTTGAGATGACTTTCAGCATTTTGGACTCTAAAAAAGTGTTTTTCTTTCTCACGACATAAATTGAAATAATTCAGTATATGCTAGTGTTAAGAGTTCTTAAAACACTTCCATGAAGATACAAGATTATTGTGCTAAAGATGAGTTTGTTAATCATTAGATTTTAAAATTATATGTCAATCAGGTCTTTTCAAAGTGATTTTTTCACTTATACAAGGAGTTGAAGGTTGTTGTGTAGCACACGGGATACGACAAACACAAACATAAGCTCATGCAACTGTAAGGCCCTTAACTTCACCCAAATGAGAATAATATTTGTTTATTCTATAAACTTCTGAGAAATAAATGGTATCAACTCAATTTCATAAAATCCTAAGGAATTAGGTTAATAAAACTACATACACTCAAACAAATAATCCAAACACGAAAGTCATTTGCAAATCATTTGTGCCAAACAATCTGACCCTAAATCGCGGGTCCCTTGTATTAATGGTAAAGCAAACCAAAATCGTTTTTTCAAGCGCAATCCCAAAGCATAATAATGAATTCTATACAAACTAATGTTGACGAATCAAATGCAAACACTGTTCCAACCATCACCCAAGAAATTTGATATTGACAATGCCCTTTTTTAAAAAATTGAAGCAATGAAACATTATATGCCACAAAAATATCAAAATGAATATACCGGAATAAGAAAAGAAATATTAAACTTCTAACCCGCCCTCTGGCCTCTCACAGCAGGCATCTTGGAGAGCATTTCTCTGAGATAATCACAGCGACTGCGGTGATAATCAATCCACAAACACAGTTGCCTTATTGCTTCCCTCTTCTCCTCCCCCAGGTCTAATATATCTTCATCCTTAGCTTTCATTGTCGTCTCCAATGCAGCCACTTTTTTCTCCATTTGGTTCATAGCTTTGGTTAAATTTGCTCTCTCTCCTTCTTCCTTGCTCACCTTAATCTCCAATTGTTCAACCTTTCCTTTCAATGCTGATTCACGTTCTTTTGTGCCTTGCAGTTGCACAACTAGCTCATCTAGTTCTTCTCCTAGTCGCTGCTTCTCATTCTTCAACTCAATTACCCAATTTTTTGCAACTTGAATCTCACTTGACATTTCCACAATACATTGTGTATATCTGTTGCAATCTTCTTCAAATTTTAGTGTCAAAGCTTCTGCTCCTGTCAAAGTATTGTTTACTTTCTCTGAGGTATCTGTGACCATCCTCTGACAAGCTTCATTAGTAGCAGCTAGTATTCTGGACAGTTTAGCAACTCTTTCCTCCAGAATTTTCTGCTCTTGCTGGTATTTTTCTTCTGCTTTTCTAAAACTCTCTTCCTTCTCAGATAGTAATTGTTCTGTGACCCGAAGCTTTTGGTTTGACAATCGGAGCTTAACTTCAATCGTGCGAACATAATCAACCAAAGTATTGAGCTCATCTCCTTTTACTTCAAGATCTCTTTTCAGGTCCTCAACTGTTTCTTCCAGTTCTGCTACCTTCTCATCTTTGGAACCAGCTTTCTCACGGAACTCTTCTGTCATTTCTTCCACTTTCCTTTCAGCTGCTTGGAGTTTTTCCTTGCACTCCTCGAACCAATCTTCCACTTGCTTATGCTCCTCACTTAGCTTCCTATATGCTGCCTCCTGCTCTGCCAGCAGTTTCTGCTGATCTGCGATTTGGCTCAGGAACTCAGTCTTTTCATTTTCCATTTGTGTAAGGCTTTCTGCAAATTCTAGTTTCTTTTTCTCAAGCTCTAACTGCAATTGGGTTTTCTCAGCTTGCAATGAATCTAATTCTAGTTGCAGACTGTTAGCCTGTGTAGTTAGGGCCATTATCTGAGCAGTAGCTTCATTTTCTCCTTTTTCATGTCTCTCATGGAGGTCAGAGAGCTCAAGGCCTCGCTCTGTTGATGCATTTTCCATTTCAGAAATTTTATTATGTAATCCCATGATTTCCTCTCGTAATCGTCTTCCTTCTTCAATTTCAGTTCTTATTTGTTCTTCAAGCTGAGGAGTCTGGTTGCGTAGAGTCTCCACCTCCAATTCCACGTCTTTTATTTGTGCTGTCAAACTTTCTTTCTCTGCAAGCGTTTGCTGATGGTCTTTGGTCTTGCCTGATATGTCCTCTTTCAGATTTTCTATCTCAATCAGGTATTCTGAAATTTCCCGGGTCCTTTTCTGCAGTTGCACTTCCAATTCAGCTTTCTCGTTCTGTAAGGAGTCCAATTGTTGTTGTAACCCATTAACCTGATCAATGAGACCCTTGACCTGAATTGATGCTTCATCACCTTTAATAACCATCCGTTCTTCCAACTCTGCTTTCTGGGCACCTAAAGATTTCAAGTCGGCTGTCAGAGTGCTCATCTGTGCTCTCAAACTTTCTCTCTCTTCAAGGGATCGCTGACAATCTTCTGTCTTGTCTGCTATTTCCTTCTCCAGATTTTCGATCTGAATCAGGTGTTCTGAAATTTCCTGAATCCTTTTATGCAATTGCACTTCCAATTCAGCTTTCTCATTGTGAAAGGACTCCAATTGTTGCTGTAACCCATTAACCTGATCAATGAGACCCTTGACCTGAATTGATGCTTCATCAGTTTTAACAACAATCTGTTCTTCCAACTCTGCTTTCTGGGCACCTAAAGATTTCAAGTCTACTGTAAGAGTGTTGATCTGTGCTGTCAAACTGTCTCTATCGGTGACAATTTGCTGATAATCTTCAGTCTTGCTTGCCATTTCCCCTCTCAGATTTTCTATCTGAATCAGGTATTCTGAAGTTTCCTGACTCCTCCTCTGCAGTTGCACTTCTAATTCAGCTTTCTCATTGTGAAAGGACTCCAACTGTTGTTGTAAACCATTAACCTGATCAATGAGACCCTTGACCTGAATTGATGCTTCATCACCTTTAATAACTATCTGTTCTTCCAACTCTGCTTTCTGGACACGTAGAGATTCCAAGTCTGCTGTCAGGGAGTTGATTTGTGCTGTCAGACTTTCCACTCTAGATAATGCTTCTTTCTCATTATCCTCAAGTTTCTTTGCAAAAGCAGAAAGTTCTTCTTCTCTCTCTTTTAAAATCACTTTTAGTTCAGAAATTTGAGCTTCTAGGCGCAAATTTTCTTCTCCCAGTCGTAATGCTTCAGACACATTGCTCTCAGTTTGCAGCTCCATATCTCTATTTTTTGCTTGCAATGATTCAAGCTCCAGCTCCAGGTCAGTCAACTGCGCCTCTAATTTTTTTATGTGAGCTGATGATTCATTCCCATGTGCCTCATGCCTCTCTGCAAGAGATGAAAACTCCCGTTCCCTCTCACTTAATTTCTCCCTTAATTGACCTGATTCAGCCACAAGTTCCTGCACTGATTTCTGTGCCTCGTGAATCTCATTTGAAATTTCTGAAATCTTTGAGGTTAGAGAAGCATTCTCTTCGTCAGCAACTTTCAAATTGTGGGTAAGATCTGATACATTCTGTTCTGCAGATTCCAGTTGTTGCTTTGTGCTGGAAAGTTCCTCCCTCAGAGTTTCTACTTCTTGCCTCAATGTTGCTTTTTCATCCTGCAACCCATCAACCAAGTTTCTTAAGTCTTCAATAGTCTTCTCTAACTCTTCAATTCTTCTCACAGCAGTCTTTTTCTCCATGAGTAGATCATCTCTCTCACTTTCCATATCTTCCATTTTTATATTCTGTACCGAAATTTCCGAGGTCAACGAATTATGTGCTGCCTCAGAATCTGTCAATTTTTGGCTTAAATCTGAGACTAGCAGCTCTGCAGATTCTAGTTGCTGCTTCGTAATGGCAACTTCTGCTCTAGCACTTTCTAGTTCTTTTCCAAGAACAGCCTTTTCTTCTTGCAGCTGATTAGCAACAAGTTTTAAGTCTTCAATTAGTTTATCTCCTTCTTCAATTCTTCTAATGGCAGTCTCTTTATCCAAAATCAAGTTGTCCTTCTCTTTGCTAATCTCCTTCAACCTCTCATTCAATTCTGCTTCTGTATTGCCAGAGGCCTCTAGGTTTTGCTTCAATTCATCATTCTCAACTGAAAGTTTAGCTTTCTCTGAATTTAATCTTTCAACTTCAAACTTCAAATTTGAGATGATCTCTTCTGCTGCTTGTACCTTGTTTAGAGCTGCCTGATATTCCAAATTCAAAGCTTCCTTTTCTTCAGTGGTGAATGTCAACTTGTTCTTCAGGTCTGCAATTTCTAGATTTGCTGATTCAAGTTCTTGTTTCCCAACCTCTGTTATTTTCTGATACTCACTTTCTAATTTTCCATTTTTACTGCTTTTTCCCTTGGAAGAATAATCAGATTCTGAGTCTGAACTTGATGAAGAAGATGTGTCTGTTCCTCGTTTGCCATGAAATTTCTTTCTTAGCTCTCCTGTCAGATGATCGTATTGTTGATAGAGCAATTGGTAATGTCTGTGAAAATCCTCAATCAGCTCAGCCACAGGCTCTTTTTTGAAGTTTTGTGCAGAGATCCCATCCTTTTCTTCGTCATCTTCCTCTTTAAGAAGCTTCAAGATCTTTTCTACTTTGTCTTCAACCTCTGCAGAAACCAGAAAATATTTCAACATATGAGGAAAAGTCTATATTTGAACATCAATCAAACTAAGAAGGAAAGAACTAGCTATTTGCATGACATTCAAATCACAACTTAAAGAGTAGCTTAAGCTAATTGCTGCTATACTTGCATGTTCCTATTCTAATTCCGTTGTCACAGACTATAAAGAGAAAAGAAAGGTAATTTTTATAGCCTACAAAAATTTCTGCTCATTGATAGAGACTAGTCACCTGTTCTAGTTCCTTTTAGCTGTTCATCTTTCTCTGGGTCAATGTGACTCCCAAAGAAGGATTTTACAGAGTCTCTAAAACGCCGCCTGGTCATCTTCTCTTCAAATTTTCAGTCAACTTTCCTTGACAAGAACATTAAGCTTGCACCAAATGCTTCAAATCTGCAAAACATGATGTAGATAAAACTTCACATCTCAGAACTTCATAATTCAAAAATGCATTAACCTACGAAAGCAGCTTTCTCATAAAATGTATACATGCATAAAAAGTTAGAATAAATGCCAAAGCCCCAACAAGAGACCTGATGGATAAAATGTTGGGGAAATGGGGGTGAGCTCATGCAAAGATCCTGTTGAAACATCAATATATAATGTCTAAGAAGTTGTCACTGAACAGGTAAGATTCCTTGCAATATCCATCACCAAGAATTTTATGGCTAACCTTCTAACAACCAAGTAGACAACTGAATATTCATTGACATATGAAGACATTGCATACAAAGTTCAAGCTTTTCCATAACCACTAGACAGTGGTACAATCTATTCTAGGCACAGGATACTGTATTCTTGTTGTTCCATTGGAACTTCCAACTAATGGGCAAAAACAAAAAATCCTTAAAATGATATTTGGTTTTAAATTCCCATTTTAGAAAAATATACATATAATCCAAAATATGCCATAAACAATTGCATTGGAGCAAAGGAAGTTGCCATCCTCATTTTTGTATCCGATTTAAGATTCACTTATTTGTAGATCCTCAACAGATCATTTTGGTAATAATAATTTAGGAGGATTAATCTAAAATATGCCATGAACAGTTGCATTGAAGCAAATGAATTGCCATCCTCCTTGTTCTATCCAACGTCAGATTCACTTATTTGTAGATCCTACCTTTTCCTTTCTTAACAGATCGTTTTGGTAGTAATAATTTAAGAGGATCTCAAGTACTCGATTCTTTTTTATCTAAAAAACAAAGAATATGATTTTATAAACGTTATTTTTCATTTCATCCTTTTATTTTCTTATTGTTCTTTCAACTATTCAGGTCAAGTAGCGAAGGATATATTAACAATAAAACATAATTTCATTAAGCAAATTACAAAACTCATAAACTGCCTAATAGTTTTATTGTTAACAAGAGCACACCACTGCAGATCTGGAGCCACCTCATCATCACAAGGAGATTTGTTTTTTGAAACAAGAAAAGACAGCTATTATATCAAAAAAAGTGAGTTGTTATTTTTGTTATTTCCTATTTTTGTAAAAAGAAAAAGAACACCATAAATGGAAATGGCCAACCAGGGAATGCCGCGGGGACCACCGCGCGTGAATTGCACTTACGGTGGAGATTGGCCTCGGCGCATTCGGCGGCCCAGCTTTCAAACGGAAAATAAGCATTTCTAAACTGATAATTTAAAAGACAAGAAAATCCATTTTAATACCTTTAATTACTATGTTTTTCACAATTGAAAGCTACCTGCAAGTCAAATACAAGGAGTTTTCATTTACCAGGAAATTTCTCCTTTTTTGTTCACTTTCCACTGACAAGTCTTCTTCAGCAAGCCTCAGTAGGTTTCTGCAATTTTCCAGTATCGAATCAATCAGCAGAACAACAAATAATCAAACGATCATGATTTCTTCGATTATACTTATTTTAAATTTAAAATAAAGTAAATAAAATAAAAAACGAATCCAGTTGAACTAACAAAGCTAGACACTATAACTCTATAACGCGTGCATGAAAGCTCGATTACTCAATTTCCATTGATCCGATAAACAAGAAAACTTCACTAGAAATCAAGTTAGAAGCAAAGTTATTTCATACAGAACCAAAAAGTTCAAAAATCAAAGATCAAATCGAGAAAAGAAAAAGAACAAACTGAAAAGACTGACAAGGTAAATATAACTAATCAGATTTATAATCACAAAGATTACCTCTAATTCAGGGCTCAAAAAGCTCGATTCCTGCAACGAAGAAGAGCCTAAAACAATACGCTCTAAAAGGAGAAAACAAAAAAAAGAGAAGCAGTATCTCCAATAAGAGAGAGAGAGAAGAAGAGAGAGATTTGTTTCTATTAATTAAAAAAGAATTAAATGAAAAGTGGTTTTGTTTGGATTAGAGCGCTCAAAAAACGACTGGTACAGCATTTGTAGCTTCAATTGCAGGAGGGATGGAATCTTTGGAGCTTTCTCTTTAACTAAATACCCTTATTGTTTACTATTTTTTATTCAAAATGCCATTTTCTTTGTTTTTTGCTTCTTCTTCAACTTATCGTCGTTCAAATCCGCGTTTTCACGATTTATTTATTCTATCGTGCGAGAAATGGCGCGAGTGGAGAAAATAATTGGATATTCGTTGGTCCCACCACGAGTTTGTGCTCCCGCGCTGGTTTCTTATAATGTCTGTATCTGAAGTTATTATTTCCTGCGGTTACTTCATATGGAAACTGCAGTATTAATTTTAAACTTACAGTTCTATTCGCTAACGGCTTTTCACACATGATTTAGAGTTTGAGGGAATTTATTATAAAAAATGGTATTTCCTTTAATATTTGATCCATAGTTAAACAACAGTGTCTAAGGGCAACAACCTTTTATACAGTGCTTAGATTTTAAGGGAGCTATTATGAAATTTTTATTCCCTTTAAGGTTTAATAGTTGATAGTTAGTTAAACAGTTTACGGCTAAGATGAGTAGCTATTCAAATAATTAATTTTATAAAATAGACACTAAATAAAAAAAATTACTAACTTTCAATTAATAGAGAGTGATCTGTATCCTAACATAAACTTTACTGGTCAAGTCAAAAATTTAAAATTTGTAATTAATTAGAGATGGGTATATTAAAAAAAATCACTAATAAAAATAAAACAAAAATCTGAAAAACTTATAGTAAAATAATAAATTTCATAAAAGGAGGATGATAACATTAAGTAAGAACCCAAAAAAAAAAAAAAAAAACTCTAAATCACAACTTTCTTATAAGACGAGTGATCTGTAATCCCTAACATAAACTTTAACTGGGTCAAGTCAAAAATTTAAAATTTGTAATTAATTTAGAGATGGGTATATTAAAAAATCACTTAATAAAAATAAACAAAATCTGAAACTTATAGTAAAATAATAAATTTCATAAAAGGAGGATCGATGAACATCAAGTAAAACCGCAAAACAAAAAAGACTGCATCTCTGGCTTGATTATATATGCTGATTTCTTGAATTTTACATTCAACTTTGCTACTAGCTGTCTTTGAGACGATCACGCGATGGCGATGATAATCAATCAATACATAGCTTGATCTTAATAGCATACCCTTTTTTATCAAATCACCACAAGACTGACAAATCATCTGATCCCTCTTGTCAATTGCTGCTCTAAATCTTCTAACTCTTCTCTCAAGTTGGGCTGCAGTACTAGCAAGCAATCAAAAAAAAAAAAAAAAAGACTGCAAATCTCTGCTTGAATTAAATAAATTAAGCTGATTTCTTGAATTTTACATTCATCTTTGCTACTGCTTCTTTGAGACGATCACAGCGATGGCGATGATAATCAATCAAAATACATAGTTGTCTTATAGCATCCCTTTTTTCATCACCAAGACTTGACAAAATCTGATCCCTCTCTTTCAATTGCTGCTCTAAATCTTCTACTCTTCTCTCAAGTTGGCTGGCAGTACTAGCAGCATCTTGCTTGCTTGGTTCCAAAACGGCTGCGTTCAATTCTGTTTCCAGCTTCCCCACTTTTTCTCTTAGCAAGAATTCCTCCTCTTCTAAATTTTCCAAATTATGTTTCAGTTTCTTTATCTCATTGTCTTTCTTTGTAATCCAGTTATTTACAATCTGAAGTTCATCTGAGATTCTTGAAATGCGGTTTATGAAATTATCATTTTCTTCATCTAATTTTCTAACCATCAAATCCAGTCCTGTCAATATATTGCTTCCTTGTTTCAATAACATATCCTTCATTTTCTTGACCTCAGCTTCATATGTTGCTTTCTTTTCGTTTAGTTGTTTATTTTCTTGGTCGAGCTTCGCTTGTATCTTCTTGCAGCTCTCTCTTGTTTCAACATGTATTTGTTCTGCAACTCGGATTCTTTGGGACAACAAACGGATATGATTTTCCGTTTTCATTTCAAACTTTGCTGCTAATTCATCGATCTTCCTTTCTAAAACATTATGATTTAACCTAGTAGAATCCACTGATCGATATCTTGGGGATACTGTAGAAGATCGTTGTCTTGGAGATATGTTTGGATCGATATGAAGTGACCTGGCAAAATCTAGTGATCGATGTTTGGTTAGCCTATGCTCTTTATTTTCTGTGGCATCTTCACTCTGCAAAGAATCCAACTCTCGTTGTAGACTATTAACCTTTTCTTTTAGCGCCATAATTTGAGAAGAAGCTTCATTTTCCTCCAGCCTATCATTTTTTCTACTTTCTAAAAGTTCTTCCAATTGCCTGTTTTTCTCATGTAGAGAATTTACTTCCAATTTCAAAATCTCTTTCTCTTGCGGCAATCCATTTTCAGATGTGGTCTTTCTTGCTATTTCATCTTTCAGCCTTTCTATTTGAATCAAGTTTTCACTCATTGCTTTTGTTTTGATATTCAATTGAAGTTGCAATTCAGTTTTATCCGTTCGAAAAGATTCCAATTCTTGCTGCATAACTTTAACTTGAGCAGATACTTCTTTTCTTTTACTCTCTTCTTCAGCTTTTTCAAGGCGTAAAGAGTCTATCTCCACTTGCAAATTCTTGATTTGTCTCATATTCTCTTCCATTTTATCTGTCATTGCGGAAATTTCATTTCCTTTCTTTTCTGATATCAATTCAAGCTCTGAAATTCGAGTATGCAGATTAGCATTTGTATCCCCAAGAACTCTAGCTTCTTTTTCTTTATCTTCAATGTTTATTTCAAGATCATTTTTCAAGCTGCGTACAGATTCTAACTCCATCCTCAAAACAGTTAGTTGACCTTCTAACTCCTTTATCTGAGCTGAACCCTGAGATTCATGAACCTTCACGAGTGTCGAAAGTTCTCGTTTTCTAGCCCTTGGTGATTTACCAATAAAGCTCATATTTTCTGGACTTCTCGAGGCTAATATAAACTCCAGCGCATCTGCCTGAAAATTTGCAGGACTCTTACCAAATGCTCTTTGTCTAGTATTTTCTATTTCCTCAGATGAGTAATACTCATCTGATTCAGAGCTAGACGAAGAAGAAGAAGATTTCTCCTTCCCTTTCCTCGCGCGTCCTCGAACTCTTTTTTCCATTTCTCCTTTAAGATTATCATATTGTGCATTCAGTGCTTGATATTGTTTATGAAAGTCCTGAACTAGTTCAACAAGTTCTGATCTTTTGCTTGAGTCTTCTGGGACTTTTCCTTTCTTGTCCTGGCCATGGGTCTTAATAAGTTTCAAGATTCTTGCAACTTTATTTTCAATTTCTGCAAATGTTTAAAAACAGATGAGTGATCTTTTTTTTCATATGTTTTTAAATCATAACAGAAATTATTGCTTGCAACAGAAAATTGCACCTTTTTTACTTTCTTTAGTATTGGATTCCATTGCTTCTAAGTCCTTCAAGAAAAAAAATAAATTACGAGTAACTAATAAACACATGTAACCAGAAGGATAGGAATCAATTCGATCCTCCTTAAATTGCAGGTAGCAATCCAAAATTGACATTGAAAAGAACTACTATGAAATAGTTCCCATAATGTTAAGCAGATGACCCACAAATATAAAAAAATAAGAGGCCTTAATAGATTGCATTCATATCCTGGTGTGTGTATTATGTGCATAAGGATTTAAATGTCAATTTCAGAGCCACCAGCTCCATGACTTTTTTTTTATACATTGAATGTTAATATATGTATATAATAAATAGCTGGGGACAACTTGTTTACAACCTTAAATAAAGGATTATGATTAACCATTTTCTTTATCTTGGTGTATTGCTACCTTCTTGAAATTTCATTTTATGCATTGTCAATATTCAGATATGTTTTATCTGTAAGATTAGGAATTCAAAACATAAAGCCGAATGCAAAGAACACGAGTGAACAAAAAAACTCTCATTTGTGGATGAAAAAGAAAAAAATAAAAGGGAAATTAGCAATTATTTTGTAATAATGTGTTGAAAAGGAAATTATTATCACAATTTAACTAATTAATCTAAATCTATTGATTCATTCAAACAATAACACGAGAACCCTAAAAGCCAAGATTAAATTTTATTTTCTTGGAAACCAAAAAATTACCTGAGAAAATGACAGAATCTCTTATGCCTGAGTTGGATACAAATAAGAACAGGAAATTGATTGAAAATTAACAGTACTCTTCTTATTTTCCTTTCCCCCAAGAAAAATAGAAAGGAAAAATAAGAAGTAATTTGTTAATTTCTTTTTTTTGTCGTAGCAAGACAGGAGTTGGAAATTTTGGCGCTTGTCTTATATAAGTACCCTTCGATTTTCACGTTACTACAATAAATTTTGAAAACCACCGAAATAGAAGCAAATTCTCGCGATATTTCATTAGTAGTAATTATTCGCTGCTCATTAGGTACTGCCACCTGCAATATTTCCCGCTCTTAATTTTTTTTCCCTGTTTCCGCTCACACTAGATTATCAATCTTTATATGGTAAATTGATTATAATTATTGCGGCTGCTTTCATGATATTTAAATGTTTATAAGAAATATTTTTAACAATTCTCAAATATTTATCATATGTTTTGAGTTGGAACGCATGTTGACGTTGATGTAATAATTTATATAAATTAATTTAATATATTATTAATAACAAAAAAAGTAGTTAATTATATATGATTTGATTGGTCTTTCTAATTATATAAAAAAATGAAAAATCTCATATTTAAATTCTCTCGATCATAAAAATTTTCTATCACTTTATGAACGAAGGAAAGGGCAATCCTCATAGCGAAGGTGTTATATCTATCAGTAATATAAAAAAAACAAGGCAATTGGCTCATGATGGTCAATAGAGATGAATAATATTCGGTTCAAATTAAATGATTAAATCTAATCGACACATTTCGATTCAATCTGATCGACATTTTAGAAGTTTGGTTTGAATAGTAATAACTGAACAGTTTTCGATCTTTGGTTCACTTACGCAACTAGTCAAATTGATATTTACGCTTAAAATAAATGATTTGGTTTAGAATTACCAAATCAAATTCAAACCAATTTGGTTCGGTTTGATAATGAACTGATTTTTATGATCCACGGTTTGGATTCAATCATTATGAAATTTATTTAGTTAAATCGAACTGAATCAACTCAGTTCAATCCGGTTCGGTTGGGAAGAAAGAGACAAAACAGAGCACAAGTGCAATGGAGGGCTAGCAAGTAAATAGGCATGTTTTGTTTTAGGGTTCACATGCAATTCCAGGTAATCATTTTGTATCTCAGCACCTTTTGTGGAGTCCAAAGTGAAAATAGTCAATATACTAACTATTAGAATAAAAATTTCTTCCTTTAATTTGGGAGCCTCATTTTGTTTAATAATGTGAAGAAATTTAGGATGTAGACAATAATAGCTACATGGAGACAATCACCATCAACCAATTGAATAATACAACAATATTGGATTCTAATAAATAATTTTTTAAGATACCGATTAAAGTTGATTTAAAAACGTTAAAAAACGTAAATTTCACGGTAGAATATTTTAGGTCATGTTCAGTAACAATTTTTAAAATAGTATCAAATTTTTGGCATTTCATTATGATTAATGGATAATTGACTTATTTCATTTTAAACTACCATATAAAATTTGATGAGAAAAAATGACAATGAAGTTGCTGGCTATGGGGTTCGAACCCATGCGCACTTATGTGCAGAAGATCTTAAGTCTTCCCCCTTAACCTCTCGGGCAAACCAGCTTGTGTTGAGGAATGAAAACAATCTTATATAAACTAATACTAACCACTACAAAATTGAGCTTTAGAATAAGCATACAGCAAAACTCAATAATTAGAAACTTGGACTGCGCCCAATAGACTCAAATACATAGACAGCACAGCTCCAATGGCAATAATGCCTTTCATTGCTTGCCTCTTGAATCTTGACGAGGATGAGCTATACAATAATATCACAGGCCATCGGAATTTGGACCAACCTTTCCAGTTCTCCACGAAACGTTTGAACTTCCAATTCTTTGTCCACAGAAAACAGCAGTTGAAAAGCGCCAAGCAATTTCTTTTAGTATAAAACGCTGCTGCTTTGAACCAAACACACCGTTTCCCATTATCTTCCTCTCTCTACTGGTACGATCTTTCATCTGCCTCGCAGGGCCTTATTTGCAGAAAAGTAAAAAAATTTGTTCTTTCTCTTTTGGACACAGTGGCTGTATTGTGTATAGTGACCAAAAAAAAGCTATCTGATACGGAGTCGGGTTCTTTATTACTTTTCTTCTTTAATTAATAAAAATGAATGGATAGATAAGCCAAACGCCTCTGCTTTAATCTTATAAAGGCCTTTGCTTTTTCACATTGCCTGCCATTTCTTTCTCTTCCATGCCAAATTGTGACAAGCTTTTGTTGAAAGTGGAAAATAGTGACTTGCTTTAGTTAATTTTGGCGAGTTTCTGTTTGGTTTTTGGACAGAAGTGGCTCGCAGTTCTCCGGGAGGAGCTGATATGGATCTCTGTAACGTGGTTAACGAAAATGCGAATACGCTGTCTATACCAGAGCTGATCGCGTCTTTGAAATCAGCGTTTCAAAATAAATACTTATCAGAAGTGGAAGCAGTTTTGACTTCTAGAGAAGAAAAACTGACTCGCGAAATTGAAACCAGGATAAAAGAGATCGATTTGCTTAAGGAAAAGCATGAATTGCTTGAAGTAAAATGTGGAAATGAAATATCTGAAAAAGTAAGGGCAGAGAGGGAACTTGAGGAATGCAAGAGAGTTTGCTTCGAGCTAAAGGAGTCAAATTCTCGGCTAACTGAAGAGCGAAATGAGTTCAACGATAGATTAACTGGTATTGCTCACGATAAGAAAATTATTATTGAGCTCAAGAGAAAGAACTGTGAGTTGGAGTGTGCGAAATTGAGGGCTGAGGCTGAAATTGAAGTTTATAAGAAGAGATTCGAGGAATTAGAGATCCGTGTTGTTAGGTTACAGAAAGATTTGATGCTGTTGAATGGTGTCGAGCCATTGGGTTCAACTAGTGCTCGGCTTTCTAGGAAAGTTTTGCGATATAAAGATTCAGGTGAAAGTCATAAAAGTTGTGAAAGAGATAATAATGTGAAAATTGAAGTGGATGCTAAAGAAAACGTGCATTTGGAAAGAGACAATAGTCCTATTTTACGTGGTGGAGGTTTGGGTATTGCAGGTATTTCAAAATTCTTGTATTTTTATCTTTCTTTTTCGCTAGCTGATATAATATTCGAAAAAGTAATATTTGCTTGTATTTTGGAGTTACAGGGGAGAAAGAGATCATTGGAAGCGAGGAAGTTGAGAGTGGACCAAATGTTGGAAAGAAAAATGAAATGCTTGTGAAGAAAGTGCATGAGATTGGCTCTGATGTGAATGTCAATTTGAGGAAAAATGCTGGCCCTGGTCGTCGACCAACAGAGAATGTAGATAAACTCATGGGTACTACAGGTATTACATAATTTTCGGATTTGTATTTGCTATTTGTATTGAGGAAAATTCTAAGCGCACACACTTTTTTTATGAATTAATGATAGTGAAGACTTCAGATTCCTACATATTCAGGAGCAATTCTAGAAGGCTGCTGATAATATTAGGCACTTTCTAGCTGTATTAAAAAATTTCTGTTTCCCATAATTCTTTTAGTAAATCTTTCTAGATAACTTGTGTTGATGACATTGTACCTTCATACTAGGCAGTGGAAGACCTTTACCAGAAAAAGTTATTATTATCTTAGATAGTGATGATGATTTTGCTCCACGTGATGTTTCAAGTCTAAGAGAGATGGCTACCCCAGTATCAAATGTGCATTCACGGCAAGCAATTATTGAAAATGGGACTGAAAAAATGTTATCAGTGGACAACGTGCAACCTGGGAAAGCAGTTATTGAAAATGGGATTGAAAAAGTGCTGAAAAGAAAAAGGGCTTCATTTCAGGGTATACCTATAAAGGATGAGGAAGATACTTCCAGTTCCCCTGACTCAGAAGAGGAACTGGATTTTTCTAGCATTATGGGGATGTTGCAAAAAAGGCATGTAAATAGATCCCATACAAAGTGGGAGTCTGAAGTACAAATGATTAATGAATTTTGCAAAAATGGAGAACTTTGCATGGAGGCTGTTTGTGCTCTGTATAGGCAACAGAAGCAATCCTCTGCAAGAAAATCATTTTCTGGATCTTCAACTTCTCAAACTATCAGTTTTAACAAATTAGCTGAAAAAAGGTATGTGTGAAAATCGCTTTCTAACTTTTTTTTCTTGATTCGAAGTTTCAGTAATGAGTAATCATAATTGCTGTTGTCAAAATTGTTTGTTAAAGAATAATGTGATCTCATTTTTTGCTATAAAGCCATTTATCTTAACAAAAACTTGTAAATCAATTCCAAGATGAAGCATGCTTTTCTAAATGAAAGCAGATGATATATATATGTATAGAAATGAACTGGTCTTGAATAGATTTGCCTATGGAAATCTTCTTTCCGTTTATGATTAGCGGATTAGAGTCTCATAAATTATTTTTTGTTCTTGGAAAATAAGATGAAATTTTTTGTAGTCTGGAAATTGTATAGGAGATGTGTCTGTTGAGGATTTGAAGTTTATATTCAATTCAAGGGATGATCCTTGTTGCAGAATCTCTCGGCTCTGAATGCTATGAATTAGAGGCTGAATGAAGAGAAAGGGCTGGGAAATTGTCCAGTTTTTAGCATTAAATGATAAAGCAAATTGGGAAATCTGACCAGACTATATTATTATCATCAAAGATCTTTGTTTACTTTCAAATACTCTCCCAAGCATGTGATTTATACTTCTAGATGGTGTTTGTGACAAAAATGTTCGCAAGATAAGCATTAGAAACTTTTCAGCACGCCAAAATGAGGGGAGGAGAAAAGCTAGCTAGGAAGGAGGAACTTACTAAGACAGAGTTTTCTTATGCTCATGTCTTTCTAGTTTCTTCCTTTGCCGGGAAGGTCTCAAGCAAAACATGAAGATCTCCGCTTATCATTTTGTTTCAAATAGGTGTGCTTTCAAAATTTTTGGCTTATGCATCTTTAAATGCTTGTAGAAACATCATTACGCTTGTTTTTGCCATGGATGATGCTTACCTCGTACGTTTTATCCCCCCCGAAAGAAAAAGGAATCAATGTTGATATTTTATAGTTGTAGCCTTGATAACTGAAGGACAACTTTCTTATTTGTATTGAATTCTAGGAAATGAACTACACTTTTCCTTGGTTGTATTCTTAAACTGCCGTTACTGATTTACTTTTATTTCTGAACAACAGAACACCAAGATTATTATGTATTTGCCATCAGGAAAACGATGCCCGTGTTTCTTGAGTTATTTTAAACTTCCGCTTCATGTTTTGTTTTTAGCTCGTCTAACGAAGATGTCATATGCATTTCTCCAGGTGTATTACTTTGGCAGAGTTTCTCATTGATGGTAATCCACGAGGGAAGTTGAAGAAATCAAAAGCAGAGTTGATGGCACATGATCCAAAGGGCCTTGATGACTGCTTAAGAATTGCAATGGAGCACTCTCGGCGGTTGTTCGAGATATACCAGAAGCAAGAAGATCCTCTATTCTTGAACTGAAAGACTAATTTTTTTGCTGTTGTTGGAAGTTAGTTTTGGTTCTAATTGCATATCCGAGCACCTAACAGGATTTGATCTTTTGGGTTCTTGACATCCCACCCTGAACCTTTAGTAGTAGTGTAGATGACCACATTACAAATACATTTTTGAGCTTCTTCCCCACGTGGGAGAATTGAAAAGCAGAATTAAGGGATACAATTATAATGTTACATACATTTAAATGTTGATTTTGTGAATGAATTAAATAAAGGTTGTGTAGTAAATTCCGGTTGTAGTAATCAAAACTATAATTGTTTAATGCATAACCCGAAGGATTGTACAATATTGGCTTAATTAGCAAGTGATTAACTATTTATTTTATTTATTAATCTTCAATTATAAACTTAATAAAGTACCTCAGAAATTGCTTGTAATAAAATAAAATAAAATAAAAAAAGGGTAAAATAACTCAAATTTTTGGAAAAAAAAAAAAAATAGAGACTTGAACTAAGCCCAATAGACTCAAATTCATAAACAAACAGCTTTGATAATGGGTCCGAACTATATAACACTAACACAGGTCAGCCATTGGACCAGACCTTCCGGTTCTCCACAAAACGTTCCCACTTTCAAGTCTTTGGCCATATAGAACAGCTTGGAGGCGCCAAAAAATTTCTTTCGTTCTACCAATTAATTACGCCGTTACATATTCTGTCTACCTGGCTTTTGGCACAACGGGGTTCCTTTATCTTTTATGGTATGTAGTCGGGTGCTTTCTGAATGACCAGATTATTCGTTCCCACGCTAAACGCCTCTGCTTCTAACCTTGTAAAAAGTCTCTGTTTTGTTGAAAGTGGAAAAAAGTGATCTGGTTCAGTTAAGTTTAGCGACATTTTGTTGCGTTTTGGGATAGAAATGGCTCGTATGTCTCAGGGAGGAGCTGATATGGATTTCGGTGATGTTAGTAACGAGAATATGAACTCGCTCTCTGTACCAGAGCTGATCGCGTCGTTGAAATCGGCTTTCCAGAGTAAGTACTTCTCAGAAGTGGAAGCAACTCTGGTTTCTAGAGAAGAGAAATTGAAACGCGAAATCGAAGCCAAGGTACAAGAGATCGATTTGCTTAAGAAAAAGAATGAACTGCTGGAAGAAAAATGTGCAATTGAAACATTTGCCAAACTAAAGGCCGAGAAGGAACTTGAGGAGTGCAGGAGAGATTGCTTTAAGCTGAAGGAGTTGAATTCTCGTATGACTGAGGAGCAAAATGAGTTTAACGATATATTAAATGGTATTGTGGAGGATAAAAACATTATTATTGAGCTCAAGAGAAAAAACTGTGAGTTGGAATGTGCGAAATTGAGAGCTGAGACCGAAATCGAAGTTTATAAGAAGAAATTCGAGGAGTTAGAGACTCATGTTTTTCGGTTAGAGAAATCTTGGATGCCGTTGAATGGTGTCGAACCATTGGGTTCAACTAGTGATAGGGTTTCTGGGGACATTTTGAGAGACAAGGGTTTTAGTGAAGATCAGAAAAGTTATGAGAAAGATAAGAATGTGGATGCTAATGATAATATGCATTTGGACTTGGAGGCAGATGGCAGTCCTTGTTCTCGGGTACTCAAGGATGGAAGTGGAGATATGGATATTGCAGGTATTTCAGAATCCTTGTATATTCATTTTCCTTTTTTTAGCTGATATAATATAAGTTATTTGAATTCAGAAGATAATGTTTTGCTTCTTGTTTGGTGTGACAGGGGAGAAAAAGATGAGTGACAGTGAGGAAGTTGAGAGTGGACCAAATGTTGGGAAGAAATGTGAAATGCTTGTGAAACAATTGCATGAGATTGGCCGTGGTGTGAATGTCGATTTGGGGAAAAATGCTGGCCCTAGTTGTTGCCCAGTGAAGGATGTAGATATAATTATGGATACTGCAGGTATTACATAATTCTTGGACTTGTATCTCTTTCTATATTAGTTAATCAGTATATTTTGTTGGATATATAAATAATGTTCCCTTTCTGTATCTAGCGGCAGAAGAGAAGAGGGTGAGCCAAAATGGGGAAGTTGAAAATAGAATAGATGTTGAAGTTAAAAGTGAAAAGATTGTGATAAATGATTCAGAACCAAATGAAGGTCCTGGAAGTAGCAATAGGACAGATACTTATAGAGGTATTTCAGAGTTTTTATGTTTTTTTTCTTAATGGTTGCAGAGTATTTTGAGTTTCGTATATTGATTTAATGCAAAAGGTTATTAACTGGGAAAAAGGAAGGGGACTTATTGTAATATCTTTGTAAAGATGATAAAAATGAAGAATATACTTGATGATACATTGATACTCATTAAGATTTTGAAATAAAAGGAAACTGAGTAATTAAAGCCTTCTTGCTTGAAAGGAGTTCCCTTCTCTAGAAGCCTCAAACTCTTATTATACGTCAATCAGCCAATATAACCATTCATGGTATAAATAAACTATTGTTGGTAATAATTAATTTAGTTACTTTTTCCTCTTCCTTCTCAGATTTAAAGTTCCTATTATAAATGTCGCAAGGACATAATTTCTCCTTATGCTATGAACATGTTTTTTTCCATATTTTGATCTACAATGCGATGCTTACAGGTTTATGCTATGAGGATTTTTTTAGTTAGAGAAAGGAAGATTATGATTGTCACGTAGTAATTTGATAAAGATTAGGTGATAGATAACATGCACATGTTTCTAATCCTAGATTGTTTTTTGGGCAAATGAGAAGCTAATTTCCAATATAGATTGATTCCTAATGGGACATAGGACAATCAGAACTACATTTTTAAGAGCCTTTAATCTGCATTAGGTGAATTGATATATAGATAAAATAATAAAAATGCATCTGTTTGATGATGGACTTGAATTCATTTCATTTGGTCTGTTGCTGATAAGATCTATCTAGTTTTAGACAAAATATATGCATATGACTTAACTAGTTGTATTGAGAAAAATTTATAAGTACACTAATTTTTATGAAATAATGATAGTGAAGGCTCCGATTCCCACATATTCAGGAGCAATTCAGAAGGCTGTTGACTGTACAATATTAGGCAATTTGAAAACACTATTGAAAAATTTAAGTTTAGCTTAATTCCATTAGTATAACTTTCTAGATAAACGGACGTTGATTATGTTGTACCTTCATACCAGGCAGTGGGACACATTTAATAGTTGAGATAGATAGTGATGATAATTCTGCTCCACCTGAAACTTCAACTGTAAGAGAGATGGCTACCCCAGTATCAGCGGACAATGTGCATTCAAGGCAAGCAGTTATTAAAAATTGTACTAAAGAAGTGCTGAAAAGAAAAAGGGATTTATGTCAGAAGCGTGACCTTTTTCTAAACGAGGGAGACAGTTCCAGTTCCAGTTCTAGTTCCTCTTACTCGGAAGATGAACTGGATTTGTCAGTTGATTATCTTAGCATGATTAGGAGTTTTCAATAAGGGCATGTAAATAGAGCCCACAAGAAGTGGGAGACTGAATCACAAATGATTGATGAATTTTGCAAAAATGGGGAGCTTTGCATGGAGGCTGTTTGTGCTCTGTACAGGCAACAAATGCAAACCTCTGCGAGAAAATCATTTTTTGGATCTTCAACTTTTCAGAATCACATTTTTAACAAATTAGCTGAAACAAGGTATGAGCAAAAATTACTCGCAATTAGTTTTTTTTTTTTCTTGATTTGGAATTTCATTAATACTAAATGTCAATTCTTGTTGTCAAAATATTTTGCTAATGACTTAATGTGATCTCATTGTTTGCTATAGAACCATTTATCTTGACAATAAATTGTAAATCAATTCCAGGATCAAGTATGCTTTTCTAAATGAAATCAGATGATAAACCAAAAAGAAAAAAAAGAAGAAAGGAACTGGGTTTGAATGGATTTGCCTGTGGAATTTTCTTTCCATCTATGGACTATGGACTAAAGTTTTGCAAATTATTAATTTACTCTGAAACAAAGATGGAATTTTCCATAGTTTGCAAGTTGTATTGGAGATGTTTCTGTTGAGGACTTGATATTTATGTTCACTTCAAGTGATGATCCATGTTGCAGAAACTCCTGGCTCTGAAAGCTATGAACTATAGACTTAATGAAGAGAACAGGCTGGAAAATTATCCAGTGTTTAAATGGTATAGCAAGTTGGAAAATTTAACCAAACAATATGTTCTTATCATTCAAAGATCTTTGTTTAACTTCAAAGGTTGCGTCTGTGACAAAATGTATGCAAGATAAGCATATAAGCTTTTCAGCAGCCAAAAATAAGGGGAAAAGGGGGAGCTCTGAAGGAACTCTTTATACTCGCGTCTTTCTATCTTTGCTTGAGAACTTGTCAAACAAAACAGGAAGATTTCTGTTTATCATCTTCTTCATGTAGGTGTGCTTTCGAAAAGTTGGCTTATGCATTGATAAAAGCTTGTAGAAGCATCATTATGCTAATTTTTCCTATGAATAATGATTACCTCCTGCATTTATTGCTCCTAAAAGAAAAAGGAATTAATGTTGATATCTTCTAGTTTTTAGCCATGATATATGAGTGACAGATTTGTTAGTTGTGTTGAACTATATATAGCAAGTGAACTGCACTTTTCATCAGTTCTATTCTTAAACTGTCGTTACCGATTTGTTTTTAGTTCTGTGATAGAATTGACAGAAATCCAATATGTATTTACCATCAGGAACTGAATTCCATTAACTTCTTTTAGGCCTTTGCTTTATGTTTTGTTTTTAGCTTGTCTAACAAATATGCAGTGTACATTTATCCAGGTGTATTACTCTGGCAGAGTTTCTCATTGATGGTGATCCACAAGGGAAACTGAAGAAATCAAAAGAAGAGTTGATGTCACATGACCCAGAGGGGCTTGATGACTGCTTAAGAATTGCCACAGAGCAGTCTCATCAGTTGTTTGAGATATACCAGAAGCAAGAAGATCCTCTATTCTTGAACTGAAAGTAATTTTATTGTTGTTAGAAGTTAGTTTTTGATCCAAGAACCCAATAGGATTTTGATCTTTTGGGTTTATTGACATTCTACCCTTGACCTACAGGTTTAGTAGTGTAAATAATCACTCAGTTGTCGAAATACATACTTTCAGCTTCTCTGCTCCACCTGAGAGAATTAGAAAGCAGAATTAAGGGATGCAATTATAGGTTATATACTTAAATTTTGATTTTGTGAATGAATTTAGAGTTATGCAGCAAAATGTTATTTTCCTGTAACTGTGAGGTAAAAAAAAAATTTGTTATTTTAGTTAAATTCTATTCTAGAAGTAGTAAAAAAAAAAAAGAAAAAAGAACAAGGCTCAATTTGATTGCTGAACTTGGAAGCAATGTATAATTTCTCCAAAAAAATCAATTTTTTGTACAATTTATCTCTTGAATTTATACTAAAAGAACAAAAAGCTTGTTCTTTAAAGAAAAAATATTTTTGATATTTTAATTAATAAAAATCAAATATTTCATTACTTTTTAATTATATTTGTTTTAAATCAAAATATTTTGTCCCAATAAATATTGAGTTTTTTTAAATGAATATTATGTTTTCTTTATACAAATTTTGAAGGTAAATTATATAAAATTAACTGTTTGATAAATTATATATTTATATATTCCTTTCAAATTTACGAACAAATTGAGCCTTTCTTAAAATAATAATAATGATAATGATATAGGCGGGCGGTTTGTCATAGAGCCTATATATAATAATGTGAACCGGAAGGAATGGCAACAGTCAACAGAAGGTCACTGGTAAAACGAGACGCGATGCTGGTCAAGTGACTGTGATCACCTAATCACCTGCTTCCTGCCACTCCTTGCGCGCTTCCTTCTGTCCTATGTCGGGTTCTACGTGTGTTGTCTATTCCCCTTATTTTTATTATTTCAATATACTTTAGTATTTTTTTTATTAGAATTATTTCAAAATTTTTACTTATTTTTTTTATGATACATCTCTTTCCATACTCGGAACCAAATATATTTGCAGGGGAAATGTAATTCATTTCTGCAAATTTAATGGAAAATACAAAGTAAATTTTATTATAAATAATAAATAAAAGTGTAAATAATATTAATTTAATTATCACATATGATATGGTTGATCCTATTATATAATTCGAGATCTTTTTGTTTTTACCAATTTAACCTTTAATAAATGATGAAAAGTTTTAGTGGGCTTTAATACTATATTTTTACTTCTGTAGCAGTGTAGATTATATCAGATGAAAAAAATATATATAAAAGAATAAACTATGCCTATGCTGAAGTAACGTCTGATATGAAATGGCATTACTGTAAATTAAATGATGGATGAGTGCTTTTTCTTTTAGAAACATTATCCACCGAACCGAAAAATAACTGGCTGCCCGTTATCCTCATTTTCATCTTCTTTTTAATGTGTTATAGTATTAGAGTAACGGATCCACGCGGCGAGAACAGGCCATGTACAGAATAATAATAAATCACCGTATGAGTAATTATAATTTTTTTTTTTCGTTTCCCTAAGTTTTCTTCAGTATTGCTATTTAAATTACTATTTTTATAATTAATCTGAAAACCTTTGCAGCTCAGTCTTGAGAGTTGAGAGACTTTCAGAAAAAAGAGAGTAATAAAGATTTTTTTCCATTTCAGGCAAGTCCTATTCTCTTTTCCCTCTCTAATTTTCCTATTTCAGGGCCTTCTAGGGTTTTCAGTCTCCTCGAAACACCTTTTTGCATTTCACATTTTATACTGCATACAATTCTCCTCTTCAGCTTCGGGGCAGTAGATTGGTGGTTGGTTATTTTGTTTCGGTGCCAAATTTTGGTTTCGGTACGTATTCAGCTAGCTTGGATCGCTGCTTTCTATCTTATCTCTTAATTTCCTGCTCTCTTATTTGGTTTCTACTTGATTGCTAAGAGAATCGATGAGGCGTTTCAGTTTGGGCCTTTATGCGGGGATGATTCTTACCTGTCGGGCATATACCGTTGCCGTTTTTTCTTGTTTTATTGCTATTGTTTTTAGATAATGGTCGACAGGTTTTCATTTGTTGAGTTATGAATTTTTCAATTATGTACTGGTATTCGAATTAATAGTTTATAATAGTTGTTGGATTGTTTTAGCTTGAGATTTTGCTTACTGCCTTCTCTTTTTCCCCTCAAGGAATGAAGTTAATTGTTGGTACGAAAAAGAAATGTCAAGTTTATTTCAACTTTGTGCAGTTGTTCTTAATGATGTGCCTTTGGAACTCTGAACTTTTGTTGTGTAGTGAATTGGTTTTCTCTTTCAATCTCCATTTTGCCTTTTTCTATTGTTACTTCTGTTATCTTGTTGGCTTATTAAAATTATTGGTAATTCACACATATAGTTCTTGAAAGTTTTTGCTGTATATACTCTTGAAGATGGACATACGCTAAGGAGTCATCTCTTTTGATGTTATGGATGAAGCATTGGGTGATGAAGTGCCTCCAGTTGATGTGGCTGAGGGGCCACACCTCCACAGCAAAGAGAGTGAATATTCCCTTAAGCCACCTGGAAGCTCCAACATGCTACAATCTCACGAGGCGGTTATACCTGGTGAGGGTGACTATCCTGGGAGCTCATTGCACATACTTGCAGATATTTTGGATGCCAAGAATGTTACTTGGAATACAAATCCTGTGGATGCATCTGAACAGCCATGTGCTAGCCCTCGGTACATGGATAATGTTGAGAACATAGTTGAAGAGTTAACAGTGAAAAATTATGATAGTTCAAACTTAGCTATAGTTGGAACATCAAGCAATAGGGAAAGAATGCAAACTAGGCAGGGCCAGTGGCAGCATCTTTATCAACTTGGAGGTGCATCAGGAATTGGGAGCTCACACGGCAATACTTCAAATAAGGAGGGAATGCCAAGTGTCTGGGAGGATGTGAAGTATGCATCTTCCCCTGCATTTTTGGGCCAGAAAACATCAAGTGGGGACTGCAATGAAATCATCGAACAATCAGCAAATGCTGAACAGAAAGGAGTGTCAAACAACATGATCTCTCAAGGGGGCATTCGGACAAAGATTTTATCAAAATCAGGATTCTCTGAGTTTTTTGTAAAAAACACATTGAAAGGTAAGGGCATCATTTTCAGAGGTCCACCCCATGAAGGTACAAGATTCACGCCAAAAGATGAGAATAATGGAAACGCTACTAGTGGCACTTTGACGACTTCTAACTCTTTGGTGAATTTAGGTGCAAAAGCTGTAATGCCTTCTTCATTTGTTACTGCTGGGCCCAGGCCTGCTAGTTCAGATAATGATGGAATTAGTTTGCGACATTGGCTGAATGCACAGCAGCATAAAGTGAATAAAGTTGAGTGCTTGCATATATTTAGACAGATTCTTGATCTAGTGGATCGTTCTCACTCTCAAGGAGTTGTATTGCGTGAACTACGTCCTTCATGCTTCAGGTTGTTACAGTCAAATCAAGTAAAATATATTGGTTCTGGTGTTCAAAGAGACCTGATAGAGAGTGCTATTGATCGAGATATGCCTTGTTCAGGGAATCATATTACTAGAAGAATGCCAGCAGAGCAGGGAATGCAGCCAATTGCAAAGAAGCAAAAACTAAGTGAGCAGACAAACTATATTAGGCAGTGGCCTCAGTTTACTGCTAAATATGGTTTCAAATTTGAAACTGCTACTGATGGTGGCATCAATGTAGCCAGTACACAAGATGAACTTACTGAACATGCTCCAAATGTAGAATATGGAATTCGGGGCAAGAGTAGCCATCTGCCCTCAAATACAGCTCAACAGCAGTTGACATTCATTAGTGACAGGCCAGAAGAGAAGTGGTATGCTAGTCCTGAGGAGCTGAGTGAGGGAATCTGCACCACTTCATCAAATATTTATAGTCTAGGTGTCCTACTGTTTGAGGTACATAGATAAGAGTTCTATCTCTACTTATCACACGAACTTTCTATCATGTCTAATAGTGCACTGTTTTTGCTAAGTTATGATGGGAAATGTTAACATTAGATGTTAATTGTGTTGCCTCTTGCATGCATACCTAAAATCCCATTACTCTTTGAAGTTTCACGGTGCAGAATATTCTCACGTATCAGTATATCAGTGTCTTTGAAAAACATACTAGTTTAAGAAATATTATGACTGTTTGGAGTTTGTGCTTATTTTGAATATGTTGAGGCACGAGGTGAGATATTATCTGCTTTATTTATGGACAACTCCATCCTTTACTTTGGATAGGCAGTACGTTGTATGTCTTGTATTCTGTGGCTCTAACAAATAAGTACTAAAGGCATATTCTGAAGTTTCCCAGCTGTCTTCAGTGCAAGGTTTCTCAATTTTCTGGTAATATCTTGATAATTTGCATGATCTCATGCTTTGATACCCTACAGTTGAATTTGAAATCACCTTAGCAAATCCTTTATTTAGACTTTCTAATGCTAGCTGCTATACTTTCTCCCTATTCAACTGCTTTTTGTTGATATTTTATATCCAGAATTATTTGAACTAGTGGTATTCATCTGAGTTTAATACTGGTGTGTCCTCTACCTCTTAGCTACATCTAATGTCAATAGTTGTTTGTCATAGTCAACTTTTTTGATTTTTTGGATTAAAGGAATAGAATATAAGCATTCTGTCCCTTTAGATTAACCATTGTTAATTCTTTCAGTTGCTTGGTTGTTTTGACTCTGTACGAGGACATGCTACAGCAATGACAGACCTGCGTCACAGGATTCTTCCTCCCCGTTTTTTATCAGAAAATCCAAAGGAAGCTGGATTCTGCCTTTGGTTACTTCATCCTGAACCTTCATCAAGGCCAACAACTAGGTAAGACTTGCCCATATTTAAATTTATAAAATATTGAATGTCATTGGATTTTATGGTGCAACTTTCATTTGGCCTTCATAGTTTGCTAGTTGCTCTGTGGTACATAAACTTTCAAAGTTTCAACAATAGCCTTTGACTATGGATCACAAGCACTTGTTTACTTAAACTATTCATCCATTTTCTCCTGAATCCTAAATACACAAATTACAAGCACTTCATATTTTTATTTCTATCCATTCACAAACTGAAACTTAAAGTATTCATCCATTTTCTTCTGAATCCTAAATACACAAATTACAAGAACTTCATATTTTATTTCTATCCATTCACAAACTGAAATGAGGCTTAACTATGATTAAATTTTCCATTGTTTTATTTCATTTAGATAGAAATCTGGTAACTTCTGCAGCATTTGATGCGAGCTGTTTAAATATTAAATTTCAGGGCATACTCTTGTGTAATGTTCTAGTTTCATTTATGTGACAGGGAAATCCTACAATCCGAAGTGGTTAATGGATCGCAAGAGGTTTCTACAGAAGAATTGTCATCTTCAATTGACCGAGATGATGCAGAATCGGAACTGTTATTACATTTCCTTATTTTATTGAAAGAGCATAAGCATAAGCATGCCTCAAAATTAACCAATGACATTAGGTGCATAGAAGCAGATATCGAAGAGGTCCAGAGGAGGAGCTGTTCACAGAGTACCTTGGGGACTCAGTTATCACTTATTTCTGGTACAAAAGAAATGAGGTTGACAAGCAATATCAGTCAACTTGAAAGTGCTTACTTTTCCATGAGAGCTAAGATCCAGCTCCCAGAGACTGATGGTACCATGAACCAAGAGAGGGATTTATTGAGAAATCGAGAGAATTCTCATATAGCTCTGCAGGGTGAAGGAAAACAGAATCCTACTGATTGTCTTGGAGACTTTTTTGATGGTTTGTGTAAGTATGCTCGTTATAGTAAGTTTGAAGTGCGTGGACTGCTGAGAACTGCGGATTTTAACAATTCTGCAAATGTAATTTGCTCTTTGAGTTTTGATCGTGATTTGGACTACTTTGCAAGTGCTGGAGTATCAAAGAAAATAAAGATATTTGAGTTTAATGCACTCTTAAATGATTCTGTTGATATTCATTATCCAGTTGTTGAAATGTCAAACAAATCGAAGCTTAGTTGCATTTGCTGGAATAGCTATATCAAGAATTATCTGGCCTCAACTGACTATGATGGTGTTGTGAAGGTATGTTTAGGTTGCATCTTAGAATCCTTACTGTGAACTTTATGTTGGCAACCTTGTCATATTTATTGCATGGATATCGAGTTTTCTGCATCTGGTTACAGACATGTCATAAATTCTATCTTTTCGTGCTGCAAATATATATATATATATATATATGTTTCTCCATGTGATGTACTGTATGTATATACTGCAATTGTATTAGAGTAGGTTGGCTATTCAAGTTGATGTTCATGCTTGAATTTCTTCTGTTATTATTCTTCATATGCGGACTCTATCTAGACGTAATTCTTCTAGATTCTCATAATTTTTTTATATTTTCTTCATTGAAATTGAGTCCTATACAGCCTCACTGTCACTGCTAATTCTTAAACTGGATCTCAAAAATGGACTTAAATTAACACCAGTAATATCCTCTGATGTGTATTTTCATATCTGGTATTCAAGGTTTGTTGGCTTCTTGAAGCATATACTGCTGATTCTTGTTCTCATATAGTTGTTATCTGCTTATTAATCACTTAGCATCTTAAGATTCTGAACACGCATGGATTACAGGCTGCTTGTTCTTGCTTTCCCTTGTATATTTCAGATGTTCTTTGGAGAGGACATGTTCTTCATATTTATCAACTTTCCTTCTTTGCTAATGACATGATTTACTTGGATGGATTCCAGTTATGGGATGCAAGTACTGGTCAAGGGGTTTTCCAATATAATGAGCATGAAAGGAGGGCTTGGTCTGTTGACTTTTCTCAAGTGTATCCAACAAAATTGGCCAGCGGAAGTGATGATTGTTCTGTGAAGCTGTGGAACATTAATGAGGCATGTTCTCCCCTTCACTTCCTTTTAAATGGAATAGTTCGGAATTCATAAGAATAGACTTGGAATTTTTTCTTCATCTTTATCTGGACTCCTGAACATGGGACTGTAAACAAGCTGAGGTGAGCCCGCTGAGCTCGAGTTCAGCACATTAAAGATATACTCAATCTTGGCTCAACTCGTTAGCTTGATAGTGAAGCTTGTACAAGCTTTATTTCAAAAGCTTGGCTCATTTATGAAAAAAGCTCAATAAGCAGGCTTGAGCACGGCTCATTAAGTTTATCGAACAACCTCAAATGAGCTTTTTTCAAGCCTAACTTCAAGCAGCTCATGAGCTTTGGCTAATTTACAGTCTTACCTGCACATGCATGATTTGGCTACTGCAAATTTTGTGTGGCTAGTGTGTTAAATGATCTGTTCTTGTATTTATGTATTTATGGCTCCTCTTGTTTTAGATATTACTTGAAGGTTTTACTATTCTTCTGTTGTTTGTTTGAATGCTTATGTTTTGCTTGCTTTTCTGCAGAAGAATAGTTTAGGCACGATCAAGAACATTGCAAATATCTGCTGTGTGCAGTTCTCTTCTCACTCTACTCATTTATTGGCCTTTGGATCAGCGGATTACCGAACATATTGCTATGATCTTCGGAACGTAAGAATGCCCTTGTGTGTATTGGCTGGCCATCAGAAAGCTGTGAGCTATGTGAAATTCTTGGACCCTGAAACTCTGGTTACTGCATCTACTGACAACTCCTTAAAACTTTGGGATCTCAGTAAAGCCAGTTCTAATGGTCTATCTACCAATGCTTGCAGTTTAACACTCAGCGGACACACTAATGAGAAGGTTGGTGTTTATGGTGCTAGATTTAACTCTCATGTTTGCTATTGATTTTTAGGGCAATAACCACACTGCTGCTAATTGTTATTGTTATTCCTTTTGTTGTTGTTTAATTTTCCTGTTCTTTTTTTCTTGGCATCTTCTTTTCATTTTCCGTTTTCACTTTCATGAGTTGATTTTGACTTTTTATTTGTTTCTTCTTCAGAACTTTGTGGGTTTGTCTGTTGCTGATGGTTATATAGCATGTGGTTCAGAAACAAACGAGGTATGACTTCAGCTCTTAGTGCCTCAATTAGGTTCCTTTTGGAAAAACTCATGAACAAGGATTCAGTTCAAATTGAAGAAATTGAATTGAATTCTTTATAAGAATTCGAGAGGGCTATCTCTTGGTATTTTAGAAAATACATCTCTTGTTTGTTGAAGTGATGATATTCTCTCTTTTCAGGTTTATGCTTATTATAGATCCCTACCTATGCCTATCACTTCCCACAAGTTTGGTTCAATTGATCCTATTTCTGGGAAAGAGACAGATGATGACAATGGGCAGTTTGTTTCTAGTGTCTGCTGGAGAGGGAAATCAGACATGGTTGTTGCTGCCAATTCAACTGGGTGTATAAAAGTTTTGCAGATGGTTTGAATTCTGAAGTAAAAGATAACCCTCTGAGATCAATTACGAATCAAATTCCTGTTGGTCCCTTTCCAGCTTGGAATCAGAGACTTTTTCCCAGGGGCCTTTTTATAATTGAGAACTGCAAATTTGCATGTGACATGAAGATGGGCTCCGATCAGCTGAACTACAATATTTCAGATGGTGTAAAATTCTGATTCCAGATGAGAAATGCAGGCAGCCAAGCACTTGGCAAGAACTCTGGAGTATTATATTGTCATAAAGAGAGTGGACTCAGGTTGCTGGTTGTGAATATAATACAAAGATGATTTAGTTCGGGGCTGGACAAAAGCAAATCTTTGATAGAACTCTTACAAGAGCGGTGCTAATCTTCTTTATTTGCTCCTCGTACCAACTCTAGAATTGGTGTGCAGTCCTTTCAGGTTTTCAGCAAAGGATTGGCAAGTCTAAACTAGCAATTAGTTCATAAGATAGCTTTGAAGTATGGTCAATGCTTTGACCAATCAAACAAATTCCATATTGCATTATGTTCAAAAAAAAAAAAAAATTATTGAGGTGTACCTAAGGATTGAATGTTGTAAGTACAAGGGCCTGTTATTGTAAATTTTTTGAGGAAAAAAAAAAAAAAGAAATGTATATGATAGTTTTGTATTGGAAAATCATTCTCATTGTCATCTTATTATTATATTCTACTTCCTCGTAATTGTCTCATAAAAACTACAATCAGGAGGAAAAAGCTCAAATAGCAGATTTCCTCAGACGGATAAAAAGAACAAGGAGGTCTACTGTTTAAAATGCTCGAAAGAATGAATAACAAATCAACACCGTCTATTACATGAAAAGTATAACAGACGACTGAACAAAAGCCATAAACAAAATTCAGCTATAAGAAATGGAAAAAGCTGTGGTCCTGCCGAAACTTCTGAGGAGAAACAAAATTTATTCTACCTTGCAACGATTCAATGGAGAACATTCAATACAGTAAAGTGACTAAGAAAAACTACGATTTCTCTCGACCCAAAGCTTGCTTCTTTGGACTCAGAGGGCTTGCCATAACCCTCCAATTATGGCTTGGTGAATTCTGTGGCGATGCTTTTACCGCTGTTGGTGCCTTTGCCTTACCTGCTATATTACAAGTTAACGTTTCACAGTTTAGTCCAAAATTAGAAAGCATCTTTAATAATTTAAACTACAAAACTTGAATTAACAAGAAAATGAATTCCGAAGAAAAAGGTTGAGGGATAAAGAAACTACCTGAAGTTTTTCTGAGCTTAACATTATTAGTTTTCTTTCTCAACATAATTTTCTTCTCTAGAGGCTCCGAACGTACTGACCTCAAATCACATGGCGTTTTGCTTTCCGTATCGTCAGTGCAGGTTGATTTTACATCAAAATAAACTGTCTTCACATCAGGGCCAACTGATCTTGTATCGACTGGATCCTCTACTACAGAGATATTCTCATCACCTTCACTTGCTGTTTCTGTATGCTTAAATCTAATTCCTAAAGAAGTTTTTTCCTTCTCAGAAACTGTGTAAACAAACATTTGAAACGGAATTTGTGTCACCCCACATTTCATCTCTCCTGTTGCATGTTTCTTTAAAAACCCTGCCTCCAATTCATAATAATCCAGAGGTGGTGACTGCATAACAGGCTGCCCGTTGCTCGGATTCATTGCCAGGAACTTCTTGACGTATCTCAAAACCCTGCATATAGATGAGAAACTCGGGCGACAACTAGGTTCATTGTGCCAGCATTTTTTTGTTAAGTTGACAAGATATTTTGGTGAAAGTGATGGGAATAATGGCCTTTCTCCTGCTCTTATGTTTTTGGTCATCTGTTCTCCTTGAAGATGCCCATCCTCGAAAGCAAGTTTACCTGTCAAAAGCTCAAAACATAGCATTCCAAAGCTGTAAACGTCTGCTTTTTCTGAATACTTGCGAATACAAGAACTTCCTATTTTTTCTTTCTCTGCTAGAACCTCCGGCGCATACCAAATACAAGGGTCTAACGCATTTTGATTCAGTGGTGTGTGTTGAGAAGAATGATTTTCAACAGAATTTAGACCGAAACCCGAGATTTTGACATGAAAATAACCTTCTGTTGATTTTCTTGGTTTGAGAAAGATATTAGTAGGATTCAAATCACCAACATAGATTTTTCTTGCATGAAGAAATTCCATACCTCTTGCTACTTGAAGCATAATGTCAACAACAATAGGAAGATGGAACAAAACTTGCCTCCTTGAACTACTGTTCTCCTTCATATATGCATAAAGATCTTTGCTCATTAACTCCATTACAAGGAAACATTCTTTCTTTTCCTCATCATAGAATCCACAAAGGTACTGCAATATATTTGGATGAGAAAGTGATAATAAAGTAGAAATCTCAGTACTCAATGGCTCAAAATCCTCAAAGAAATGTCGCAAGACAAAACTTTCTCCTAGCCATTGTATTTCCTTATACTTACTTCCTCCTCCTATTCGCCGCCTCACTTGATAATCTTCTGCTCCTAACAAAATTGAACTTGATGGAAGTTTCCCATTAATTAGTTGCTGCCCATTCAACTTTTTCTGCAGTATATCTCCAAGTCGTTGCTTGTTTTTTGTAAGCAATCCTGACTTAAGCTTTTCCTTAATTGCTTCAACAAGTAACCATCTGTCTTCTTTCATAGCATTTTCTAATTGGCTACAAATCTCTCTTGACACCAGATACTGCTTTCCAAATCTCAATTGGAAAAGTTCTGAATCATTCCAACTTCGGTCATACTTTTTCGAAAGTATTACCCTTTTCTTTTGCATTTCCCCCTGATCAAGTCCTGAGATTTCTCCTGCAGTCTCAATTGCCTCTATAACAACAGGAAAGTAAGTAAGCAAGTTATGAATGTGAAACTCAATCGAGTCATTATTTTGATGGAGGCTAACAACTTTGGCCCACCAATCTTTGCTATCCAAACAACGCCTAACGTAGAGTTCTCCTTCCTTAAACACCCTATGGAGCTCTTTAAGACTCCCTTCAAGAGGTTTCCATTTGGTGTTCTTTTCTTCTAGCTTCAAATTCTGCTTCATCTCCTCTGCAATTGTTTTGAATGCTAAAGTGTAGATATTTAGCAGCAAACAGCACTGTCTTCGATTGATCTGAATATCATCTTGCAATACCATCAGAGCCTTCAAACTTCCCAAAACCTCCCCTATTTGCCGGAATTGCTCCATTGAAGGCTCCAAATGGGGAATTTCACAATATAGGACCTGAAAGGGAAAAAGGAACTATTTTTATATCAAAAGAGAGAGAATAAAAACAGCCAAAATATATCAGGCGAAATATTCTTCTTCTTGCCAGGTTTTTCAATCAAGAAATGAAACCAAGATTGACTTTGATAATCAATACCTAGAAGAAATTTTTTTTTTTTTTACTAGGTCCGAATTTCTTTCAGGGAACTGTTAACTCCAGTCGGATTCTCCTTGACCCAAAAAGAATTCAAAGAAGACCCTCTTCAATCTGATCAAAAATCAAAAATTTACCTTCATAGAAACCCAACCAAAAATACAAAACAAAAACTGGACAATTAAGGAATCATAAGTCTTTCCCAACAAAAACCTGAACAATCCAAGAAACTATCATAAACCTACAACGTATATGACAAAACCAGAGAAGAACGGAAATTTCAAAGCTATGATTTTTATCTTTTTGGCCAGATTCCCTAACAAGATAACAAAATATATCTGAAACTCCATACTGATTTTATTTTCTTTTTCCTATCTCCTTTTGTCAACTTCTGATTCGTTTTGTTTTCAGCAAAGGAAGAAAAGAAAAGAAAAAAAAAAAAAAAACTGAAATGAAAACAATCCAAGAAACTATCCATAAACCTACAACGTATATGACAAAACCAGAGAAGGAACGGAAAATTTCAAAGCTATGAATTTTTTATCTTTTTGGCCAGATTCCCTAACAAGAATTAACAAATATATCTGAAACTCCATACTGGATTTTATTTTCTTTTTCCTATCTCCTTTTGTCAAACTTCTGATTCGTTTTGTTTTCAGCCAAAGGAAGAAAAGAAAAAGAAAAAAAAAAAAAAAAAAACTGAAACAATTGGAGAGATGCTGCCCGTTGAACGGGTCCAGAACATTTCCTTCTCTCATATACAATAGTTCCCGCGAGTTTTTTCCATTTAACCGTTACTTAAAAAAAAAAAAGAAAAAAAAAAAAAAAAACTGAAACAATTGGAGAGATGGCTGCCCGTTGAACGGGTCCAGACATTTCCTCTCTCATATAAATAGCTTCCCGCGAGTTTCATTTACCGTTACTTTCCCTTCACGCTCTTCAACTGTTAGCGCCGGCTGAAGTCTGCACGATGTCGTTTTATAGATCGTTGGTTGGTGTGGAACGTTGAGATTTCGTTTGACTAATTTTCCGGACAAATGCGATTTCTCCACGTGTCGCACGTCTTTTAAATTTTTGACGCGATCGGGTGACGTGACGGCAAGACACCCCCACGATGTTAATTAATGCTAAAATGGGGGCACTTAATATAATTCGTAATTAGAAGTGGGCTGTTTACGTGCAACATGTATTACGTTGTTGAACTCGAAGAAATTATCCCAACCGTTGATTCAGGATTCAATTTCCTCAAATCAGTTAAATATGTCGTGAAATGGGCCTAAGCCCATGTAAAAGAAGCCCCTACTGAATTATCCAACTCAAGGATGATGATTCGGACTACATGCCGTTTTGTCATTGTGTGGCATTGGCATGACATGGTCATTTCATTTACCTGAATGAGGAAACAGAAAGACAATTAAAAGAGAATAATATATATCAGACGACGGAGCTAAACGGAGAAGAAAAGGAAAACGATGCAGTGGTATTTGGTTGCCGCGCTTCTCACCATCCTCACTAGCTCTCAGGTCAGTCAAATTCACCTCTATTTATGACTAAGATCGCTGTCATTTTCTTCTTTTCTTCGCTATCAAGCTTTAGATCTTGAATGTACAGAAAATTTTTGCTACGGATTGCTTGATTTGGGAGCCAATCGCCATTTGTCAATTTCTAATTGTTTGATATTGATTATGATAACGTAAGCTTTCGTTTTCAAGTAATGAAATTACCTTAAAGTTACTCCATACCTTATTTTGATTGAAAGTTGTATCCCTCTGAAAACGAGGCACAAAGTGTATCGGCAAGTACTGTGACGAGTTAGTTGTCTCCATGTTAATTAATCACAAGATTAACTGTTTACTTTGTAGTATTTTGATGAAAAACTTTTCGAGTTCAATTTGTGCATTTTTTCGGGATTTTTGCTTTATTTAGTAATTTATTAGTTCAAGGTGTAATTTTTGTTTGTTATTTGTATCAATTGATAGGGAATTTTGACAACTCTATCTCAAAGTAATGGAAGGTATTTGTACGACTATGCAACTGTGCCATTTCTTGCTGAAATTTTCAAGGTATTTTCACTTGGTTTATCCTTCTCAAGTAACATTGGACATAGCAGTTGTTGGTTGCCTCTTATTTTGTTTCATGCTTTGTTTAATGTTTATTTCAACCAAAGCTAGTGGTTTCTGGGTTGCTGCTTTGGAGAGAGCACCGGACATCCACGTCTGTGAGGATGACGACAGAATGGAAGAGTGTGCGCTTATATCCAATTCCATCAATCATATATCTAATTCATAACAATGTTCAGTTTGCTACACTGACTTATGTGGACACATCTACATATCAGATAATGGGAAATTTGAAGATTTTTACCACCGGCATATTATTCAGGTGCCTGCTTTGTACTTCTCCCAGTCACTTGATATGATCATCTTGTTATTCACAGTTTAGATTTTACGGCTTACTTTCAACTGGATTGAACTTAACATCATTGCAACTGCTTGTTTGATTATGTTTAGGTTATTCCTGAGGAGGAAACTGTCTAATCTGCAATGGATGGCAATTGTTTTATTAGCTGTTGGAACAACTACGAGCCAGGTAATGAGAAAACTGTCAGTCCCTTTGCTAAAAGTAGCTGTTTTCTGTTCATGTTCTTTTGGTTCAATTCTTGGTGTTTTATTATTTATTGAAAGTTTTTTTGTAGATTAATGCTTCCCACTTTTGACTTCATGCATGCTGTGCCTCATATGCCTTGCATTAAGCTTGTGGGAATAATATCTCAGTCACTTTGGAATCAACGATAACCAATGTCCATAGATATTTCTCTCTATGTAGTTTTGTTACATGGATTGTACATTAGAATCTTGATATTTTAATGTGAATATGTGCTGCATTTTTTACAATTTTCTATTACATATTCATCTGGCTTCTATATTATAATCATAGGATTTTGAAGAAGGAACTACAATTTCACTTCTGTATGCATTTGTGACTCTGTTTTTCACCAACATATGATACCTGCAAGGTTCTTTAATCCCATACGGTTCCAAAAAGGGTCTTGTTGTTGCAGGTTAAAGGCTGTGGAGAGGCTTCATGTGATTCCCTATTTTCAGCTCCAATCCAAGGTTATATGCTGGGTATCCTGTCTGCTTGTCTATCTGCATTGGCAGGTGTATACACAGAGTTTCTGATGAAGAAGAACAATGACAGCTTGTACTGGCAAAATGTACAATTGTATGCGTAGGTATCTTTTCTCTGCTCAATGGCGTGCTTGTAGCATTTTCAATTTAATTATGCATTATGCACAGTCATTGTATTGACAACCAAGACATGTTGAGGTCTCTCTTCCACTCTCATGCTTCATAATCATTATACGTCCTCCTCCATTTTTATATTCTGTTTAGAATTGCGATTGAGAACATAGGGAATTCCTAGTCTTAATTGTAGTTTCTCAAAGTATTTGTTACATGCTTATGGCAAGATAAACTTGTCCTAAAATTTGTGATTCTGTTATCTTTTTTGGTTGCATCAATATGTTCTTATGTGGTATTTTAGGTGTTTTAATTCCTTTTCAGATTTGGCGTTATATTTAATATGGCAAAGCTTATCCTAGATGATTTTAGAGGTGGATTTGAGAAGGGGCCATGGTGGCAACACCTTCTCAATGGTTATAGTACTACTACATGGATGGTGGTTTTGAATCTTGGATCCACTGGCTTGCTGGTATCATGGTTGATGAAGTATGCTGACAATATTGTGAAGGTAAATTTATTTCTATTTTGAATCAGTGAAGGACTGAATTTTCATGCAAGATGCTTTGAGAAATGGACATACCAGAGAAATTTCCATGTCTCTTTATTTAGGGGTTTGGATGGAATATGCTGGTTCTATGTATCGTTAACAATCTTAGGAAAAAGAACCCGTTGAAGAATAGGAAGTAGAAAGTACTTCATTCCCACTTCATTTTAGTTTCCCTTGTGCATTAGAGAAGGCAATCTGGTTTGTCCCAGGTGTTTATAGCCTGGGGCCCTTGGCTACCCTGGTCATAATTTGTAGGTCTGCCTTGATGGCTGCAAGTTGGACTTTGACCTTCTGGTTCTTCCCCATATCACTTTGACTACTAGCTGAGGTGCTTTTCCTATCTGCAGCCGTTGGATTTTGGCAATTAAATTTCATTGCTGCACTGTATTAGCAGACCATTATTTTGCCTTCTTTATGCATGTCTATGCATCTCTAAGAGCAGCAAAGTTTCCCAATGTAATCATAAGAAGTCCCGGAAATTCTCAGAATACCTAGCACAAGTAACTGCCATTTTAGATACCCTGATTGACTGTTATATATGTCAACAAAAAGGATCTACGAGAAAAATTGTTCTCTTATAGAAAAGAGGAAAGAAAAAAAAAAATAGTCCCATTTGTCTTCTTATTTATGGGTCAAGCTTCGTGACTTGTTTTTTTCTATTTGCTTCTTGAATTTTATTTTTATGGTTGGTTGATGTTCACTAACTGTCAAATGCAATTTCTCTGACTGGGGAACATAGTTATGAAAATACATGGAATTTATGTGTTTCTTGAGTGAATTACTTTATGTGTCTGTTGTAATGTTGCGGGGGCATATAAAAGTCTACATTTCACATGGCTTCCTTCAGGTATATTCCACATCAATGGCAATGTTGCTGACGATGGTTTTATCTGTATACCTTTTTAGCTTCAAGCCTACATTGCAGGTAACTCTCCATTGACCCACTAGTTGTGCAAGTCTTAGGATCCTCTCCTCATAGCATGTAGTGGTTTACATTTTATATGATCCATATTAGTTGTTAACTTCCTTGTTCTGTTGCAGCTTTTCTTGGGTATCATCATCTGTATGATGTCACTGCAGATGTATTTTGCCCCTCCAACCATGCTTGTGGATTTGCCTACAGTGGTCAAAGCTCCACCTGAAAGCCTAAAAGAAGTTTCTATTGATCGGCGAACAGATTCCTAATGTTTAACATATCTAGATGCTCATGGTTTTGCCAGGTGCTCCCTGAAAGTTGCACTGCAAGTTGTTTGAAGTGATAAAGACGCAACAAACTAGATGTTATAAAAGAGGTTCTTTACTCGTTCGCCCAGATATCTCCTTGGATAGATTTTGGGACCAATTTTAGAAACATCAGATTCTTTTATGTTACAAGCAAATGCTGTTCCAGGGTGAGACGTTGGTGTTAGTTATAGAAGCAAAAACTTGGTGATTCTTTTCTATTATGTAGTTTAAGAGACGAGATTGTTCTTCAAAAACTTTCTTTTTGAAATTTTCTGGAATGTACTTTGTGACACAAAAAGAAAGCTTGTGCAGAAACATTAATTATGAATTGAATTGATTTATCTTTTTTTTTTTTTTTTTTTTTTTTTCTTCAAAAACTTTCTTTTTGAAATTTTCTGGAAAATGTACTTTTGACACAAAAAGAAAGCCTTGTGCAGAACATTAATTATGAAATTGAAATTGATTTTATGCTTTTTTTTTTTTTTTTTTCTTCTTTTTTGTCCTGGAGTTTTTTTTTTTTTTTTTTTTTCTTTTTGTCCTGAGTTATGATGGAATGGAATATTATAATTCGCCAAACAGAACTTTAATAGACCTTAATGATTTAAAGAAAACAAAATTTCTCTAGAGAGTGGTAGAATATAGTTATTCAAAATATGGCAAATTTGGCCAGCCATTTATTGAGACAGTGACCTAAAATTGAGCAAAGAAGGCAACAACATTTTCTCAGACGTTATTTCGCAACTTGAACCAATATGGTACTGACTAGTACCAATTTTACTGTAGATATGCTGCATCCTATACGCATCGAATCTTACTAAAAACTGCAATTTTTCTGGTTGGTGTATGGTGAGTAGGTCAATAATGCAATAAGAACATTCAAAAAAGAAATTTTTCATCCACACAATTCTTGGGCATTTAATTTAGATTGTGATAGATAGCCTTCAACGCATTTAATGCTATAATACTGCTTATCATTTCTAAAAGACCAAAACTTTAGTGAAGGAAGCAAAAACGATTATAATCTTCTTGATCTAGATGATTCATTTTCAGGCATTAATAGCACCTCTACTCCAAGTTCGTCTATAAAAAGGGTTAATTAGCTCTAAAATGATCATAGTTTGAGACTTGAAAGGTGAAAAGATGAGTGGAACTATTTTCTCAAATACCGCAGCAGCGGGCTTCAAGCCAAATGGGCACCAAAATCAAGAAACCAAGAAAACGGAGAATTGCTTCTTCCGAATGCCACTTCACTATCCAAGATTCAAGAAGAGTGATTACCAGAACATGCCGGAATGGAAGTTAGACTGTCTGCTAAAAGAGTATGGTCTACCTGTTATGGGAGATGTTGACGAGAAGAGGAAGTTCGCAATGGGGGCATTTCTCTGGCCTTCAGAAATGGAGTGAAACAATATGTATATATATATATATATATATATATCATCTTTAATTAGATATATTTATTACTTAAATAGTCTCTAGCAGTCTTTGTTCTAAATATTAGTTTCTCTCATAATTAGCAACATATATATGAGACAAGAACTCGTTGCCTCGCTTCCAAGAAATTAACAGAACAGATAGAATTGATTATAGATGTGTGTAGTGAGTGTAAGAGCTGCAAATGCCGACTCTTAATTCTGTCATTTAATAATACAAGCTTCTGTTATTGGTTGGTAAAGCTATAGCCTTTTTTGCTTTTGAAACATGTCGGTCGATGCTTATAATGTTTTTTTCCAGATTGGAAATGGCAGTTTCAGCACTGTATTGTCTTTGTTTAAAAAAATTTTGTCTCAGAGAAGATTCAATTCCAGTCCTCCCAATTGGAAAGAAAGAAACTTTGAACAATAGAATGTTGGTTGGCACTTGCTGCCTGTGCCTTTCTTGGTTGTAAAAAGAACACTTTGATTGAATGAATCAGAATCTTTGTTGGCCTTTGCTGGCTCTTTAGATTATGATTCTCTCTAAAGGCACCCTAATCATATAACTAATTAACTACAAGATCATAATTAAAAATAATCGTTCTAAAATTGGAATATATAATTGAAATTATAGTTAAAAATAAAATTTAATTTTTTAAGTGTATAACCATAATAAAACCCATTACAAAATTTTATTATATTTTTTCTTCAGAAAATTTCATTAATATGAAAAAAAAAAAAGAAAGAATTTAATAAAAAAAATTGTAAATTTTTTAAGTAGTATACTAACCATAATAAAAAGACCCTATTTTACAAAATTTTATTCATATTTTTTTCATTACCAGAAAAAAATTGTTCATTAATTATAGAAAAAAAAAAAAGAAAAGTATATATTGAATATATCATATATATATATATAAAAGGTTTAAAAATGAAAGTGTTAGGAGAGATAAGGAGGGACATTGTAGTACCGTTGAATAAGAACCGTTCATGATTGCATTATTATTATTGTTATGGTCGCTCATATCGTAAGCGATGTAGAAACAGCGGCAACAGACCTGTAGTTATTTTTTGGACCACATGGCTTTGGGTTAAGGGGAATCAAAAACCACCGGTCAAACGCTCACATGGGCGTCCTTTCTGCACCGATAACTCTTGGGTGGATCCCACCACTCTTCGCAGCGCTTTACCGGTACTATAACCGACAGTTTGTCTTTTGTCTCTCCGACCTTTTCTGGTGTGACCTCTCACCTAATAAATCCGATATTAAGTCCACAATCTATGACAATTGCAATTCTAGGCCTGATATATTCACATTTTTCAAAAGTCCAATCTTGTTCTTATATATAAAGGTTTAAAAAGAAAGTGAAAAAGAGGGACGTGGACGAATAAGAACCGTTGCATATGGCGCCAAGTAAGGGTAAAAGACAGCGGCAACAGACTGTACTGTATGTCTGGAGCCACTGGCGGGAAGGGAATCAAAAACCACCGGACGCTCACATGGCGTCTCTGCACCGAAACTCTCGGCTGGACCCCACACTTCTCGGCTTTACCGGTTTAACCGGTTTTCTTTTCTCTCCGACCTTTTTTGACCTTCCCTAATAAAATCCTGTATATAAGTCCATCTATGACAATTGCAATCTAGCCTGATTTTCACATTCAAATCCAATCTTTTCTGAATCTCGGTTCCTCTCTCCGCCGCTCTACGGCTCTTAGAGACGTCGCTAAGAGAGAGAAGGAAAATGGCGGTTTCTAGGGTTTCTTTTGGAGTGTTAGCTTTTGCTGTTGCTCTCGTTTTCGCCATTGCCTTGCCTTCTGTCCAGGCCCAGTCTTTTGCTCCCGCTCCTTCTCCCACCAGCGACGGTAAAAATAAAAACTCACTTGTCTCTTCCCTTTACATAAATCTTAGATCTGAGAAGAAATCAGTTTGAAGTTATCATTAAAATTAATTGACTTCCATCAGAATAGCTTGTGTTGCTTGCTACATTTTTGTTCTGGAAAGTTTGAATCTTGAAACAACGCGAATTAGATTTTGAGACGCTTTTGGTGCTTTGATTGGGCATTGATAAAGGTAAAATTTGTTTCTTTGCATTTGCAGGGACATCAATAGACCAAGGAATTGCCTATGTGTTGATGCTGGTGGCCTTGGTGCTCACTTACCTCATTCATGCCGCTGATTTTTGCAGCTTTTAATAGTTGCATTGCATCTACTTAGGGTTTTCCTGTGAGAGGACGGATGGAAAGGAGGATGTGAATGTAAAGTCTGTGTTGAAGGGTTTTTTTTATGAATTTTTTATATGTAATAATTTCAGATTTTTTTAGTTATTGAATTTGTTATCTTAATCTTATTGGTCTTTTAGTGCTGTTGTTACTGTTATTTTCTAAATTCTTTCTTGCTTTTACATTTAGAAAAAAGAGCTTGGTGCCATTCAATCATGGAATTCATATCATATCATTTTATATTAAAAGCATTATACAGTATAGCATAGCAATGCCTGAGAAAGTATTTGCAATGCAACAATGTATTTAAGTATACCAGAACAATGGAGGGAAAAAAATATCTACTTTGAGTCGTGTGATTTGATTTATTATTGCTTTGTCCAAACACAGAACAAGTGGGCTTGGAATATGTAGTGGAGTTGAATTGGCTTTGAGTCTTTTCAGGAACAGTTCTATCTTATAATTCTCGAGCAGGGTTTTTGCTATTTTCCACCTTTTCAGGTGGGAAATTTGATGAATCCCTGGGCCTGCTATAGTTAATAAACAAAACTGTCATTGGACAAACACCATACCAGCACCATAGGAACCATATAGAGTACTAAATTCCATACATGGATAAGTTACAATAAGCACTCTAGAGAGAGAGAACTGCATGATGAATCTCTTATGACAATAAGCATAACAAGTACAGTACGGCATTAAAGTTGTATCATGCCAAAAAATTACAAGTCAGCCTTTGTAATTTGAAAATGAATTTCCATTCAAAACCAAATTAGGGTAACTTCTTTGACAACTTCAATCACTTTTTTAACTGTCTACAAACTAAGGTGACTATCACATATGAGGATTAGCTTCAGGGAAAACCAAAAAAGGAAAATCCCACTGGTACAAAATTTTTATCAAGCTTTCTTGGCAACTGGCTTTGCTTCCTGTTTTTCCTGATCATCTAATGAGAACTTCTTCACTTTCTGTGGAAAAATTGGCACAGAAGAAAAAATTAAGCCAGTTTTAAAATATGCAATAAGCGGAAGCATGAGAGTTTAACACAGACATGTAAGAGAATACAGGCATATTCAACCATATTAAGAGAAAAAGAGCAATGGCTCCTAAGAGTCAGACAAAAGACATGTCAATTATGAGTAGCATGCTTTCTTAGCAGTGAATAAGATTCTCTGGTTAAGTTATTTAAAAAAATTATGATCAGTGAAAGGCTTGATTTTCAGATAATCCTGAAAACTTCTTCAACATCTGAATCTAACCCTTGTAGCAAGAATCTAATATTGTCAATCACCAAGTTATGCATTACTTTTATATCATGATATCCAATATTAATCAGATCCTTTGGGGTCAACTTTAATAATTTATTACATATGGAAGCTATATGGCATATTTTGTCAACAATCAGATTAGAAACAAAGAGGAACTGTCAATCAAATCAGAATGTGTACCATGCTTCAAGGCCCGATAGCAATTTAGATACAATAATGAATAATAATCTACCAAGGCCAATCCAAGATGAATGCATTGTTCTCCAATATGGGAAGAAAACAAAAATAAATAAAATCCTCAATAATGCTCACATTTTCAGTACTCTGTTACCAATAGGCTTATGGGTATTTGGAAATATGTAATCACAAGGGAAAAGGACCCCAATCATAGAAAATATTCATAAAACCAATCAGATGGAAGAAAAAATTGCAAGGAAGTAGTCACATTCCACATAGCCATATTTCGCATAAACAAGAGCTATTGCATCAGACAGTACAAGTCCCACATAAACTTGAGGTTTAAGAAGAAAAGAATAAGTAGAAGAGGATCACTGGAGTGATTAGAACAGAAACAAAAAGCAGCAAATAAAATTCGTGTCTTATTTCTGGCTCAAACTTTATTCCAAAAATCACATTTGCCACGTAGCCACTCAAATCATCTAAAGCAAGTAAAGAACCCAAAAATTACAAAGCTTTTCTCAAGATTTCCCTGGTTTTTTCCTCCCACACGGCCACATCTGTTTGGGAAATTCAAAACCTGGCCTAGTTTGGTTTCAAATATCTCCTGACTAGTGCTCCAGAAAATTTTATCCCATCAATCACCTTATACAAATCCAGTTATCAACTCTATAACCTAACATTCAAAGTTATTATTCAACTCAATTGAGCAACTTTAGTTTCCTACAGGAATAACTACCAAAAAAACTCCTAATCAGCTAATCCTATGTAATCTTTTATTCTCCTGATACCTGTTTTCTTTTCTCATTTCCATTTTCAACAGGGCCCTGAATTGAAAAATTGTGTAAAGTAGTAGGATTCCTGATCTGGTTAATTCTTCCCCTATCAGATCGTCCACATTAGTGTACAAAGATGGCAATATATTAGAAATGCCAAACACTCCGTCTAGAGATACATATCAATTCTTGAAGGAATCCAGCAAGACTTAATCCAAGAATTTTAGTCCATCAATATTGCAGCCATCCAACAAACCCATTCAGCCAAATATATTATCCCTTAATTAACATTGGTCAACACTCACTTCCACTCTAAAAAGAAATTGGGGTATCTCCTAAATCAGTAAAAGTTGCAAATTTGTTTCTCATGTCAGAATAAAATCAGATTTATTCTGCACCACAGCCATATACATAATTGCAGTTTGCAAATTTTGCAAATATATCCATCAATTCTAAATAAAAATCAAAACAATGCAAAAGAAATGAAAGTGACAATTACCTTGTTAAGCACGCACTCTCTCAGAGTTTGCAAGAGATGGACGCATTTCCCTTGATCATAAGGCGATTCAACTACGCAATTGAGCAGATTCAACGCTTCTTCAGCACACACGGGCTTTGCACGTGCTTCCTCCATTGTTGCAACTTCTATTTGCTTCAGAGTTGGGGGTTTTAGGTCTTTATCAGGTAAAAGTAAAACTCTTTTTCTCCAAATATTTAATTTCGGTCAGGTCGTCTAACTCTCTGCTTGCGGCTCCCGCCTTCGAGAACCGCGGCTTCAATGGAGCAAAACGCTGCCCGTGGTTTTTGTGGCGAGAAATGTTACAACGACCAATAAGTATACACCTAGAAAACACACTTCTCTCCATTGGCTGCCATTTGTCGTTCAATCTAAGAGGCCCATTGGATCATTATTTTTATTGGGCTTGGAAGCTATTATTAAAAGAAAAGGATTCCAATATAAAGAAGAATAAATCCAACAAGAGGCCCATCTGTCCAAACCTTTCATGGACCCAGTTTTAACTGATCCGAAAGAAATAAGTTAAACCTTTTCTATTTTCAAATTGCTATTTGGTACGGTTGTGTATTAAAATTTAAAATAAAAAAAAAAGATATTGTGAGGAAAATATATTTATAGTTTTATTTTAGGACATGGGTACTTGTAAATTGGAATTTCAAGTCCCACGAGTGGTGCGTGCTGAATGTGTGGGCTTATATTACATTTACATGCATAATGCATTAAAAACACAGTACAATTCATGAGATATCTATGCCTACACCTATTATATTAAATAAAATATAAGTTTTTATTTGTATTTTAGATGATTGAAAATACAATTTATGGATTAATAATTAATTAATAATGTCTCAAACAGTTTTTCTAGTCGGTAGTAGGTGAAATTAGACATCCATGGGCCTACTTGCCCACTTTTCTACGTACAGTAGGATATAGATGGGCTCCATTTCATGTAATGACCCAAAGGCTGCCCATTGCCACTATTCTACATATAACTTTTCTCAAAGGTATTCCCATACATCTTTCACGTGATCACCTCACCCCCTCACCATTTAAAAAAAAAAAAAAAAAAAAAAAAAATATAAGTTTTTATTGATATTTTTAGTCATTGATTGATATTACAATTTTATCGTCTACGTTTTCTAAATGGTGAATTTAATAATTAATATAGTAAATGCTCTCAAAATCCATGTTTTTCTAGTTCAGCCTGGTGAGCGTGAGTTTGATGAAGCTAAGACACCATGGTCCTTCAATTCGTTGCCTCACTTTTCATACGTAATCGTACAGTTAGATATTAGATGTCTCCATTTCATGTACATGATTTTCCCCGAAAAGGCTGAGCCCATTGCCACTATTCTACATTACTAACTTTCTCTAGACGGTATTACCCAATAACTATCTTTCATCGTGATCACCTCAAAAATCCCCTTCACCGCATTTAAAAAAAAAAAAAAAAATAAAAAAGAATATATTGTTTAATTATCTTTCTCCATTTTTCCAAAAAATATTCAAGATTAAAATGTATCTGTGTGTCTCCATCATCTCTCCGCCATACTTGGGAATTATATAAGCTATTATCTTTATATTATTCGATTGATATTTTTGCATACGAATCTCGGGTTAATCTATTCTTGTATCATCGACTATTTAGTTTTGAAGATTTGTATTGCTTTGTGGCTGTCTGTATCATAATGCAAAATGTGTTAACTATATTAGTTCTTACTGTACAGTCATACACCAATTCATTCTATTTTTTTAATATGGTCCTCATACATAACATGGACACGTTGTATGGTGTAATTTGTTTGTGTGATCTTACTTCTATCTAAAAAAATCTAACTTTAGATTTTATTATAGAGTCATCTTACCAAAGAAATTTTTGTTAGATAGAATCTCACTCTATTTGTATTTATTAGCTATAAAACGTCATCTTGAATATAAGAAGAGCCACATCAAAAAAAAAAAAAAAAAAGAAAAATATTGTTTAATTATCTTTTCCATTTATTTCCAAAAAAAGAAAAATTATCTTTTCCATCATCTCTCGCCATAATTGAATATATAAGCATATCTTATATTTCATGTATTTTGCTAGATCTCTTACTATTTGTATCATGCATGTATAAGATTTGTATTGCTTGGGTGTATCATAATTATATATAGTTCATGAATGTCACACCAATTCATTTATTTATAGGCATACATATATGACACGTGTAATGTGTAATTTGTTGTGTTGGATCTTCTTCTCTAAAAAAATCTACCTTTAGATTTTAAGAGTCATCTTCACCAAAAATTTTTAGATAGACTCACTCTATTATATTAGCTATAAACTCATCTAATAAAAGAAAGCCACATCGATAGTAACTTATTTTTAATTCGTTCCACATCGGCAACTCTTAAACTAGAAAAAAACAAGCTGCTGATGTAGCTTTCTTCCATCGGATGAGTTTATAATTAATATCGTGGACTGAGTTTATCTAAAAATTTCCATATTCGTATATTTATTTAGGAATGGAAAAATTAGTCATTGAGTTGGATATTTGTTGGAATAAAACTCTATTTAAAGATAAAATGGATAGTTGATCTTAAAAATAAAATCCAATCTTTCCTATAATCCATCACTTTTTAAATTAACTTTGTATTCTCCCTTTAAAAGAAAATTAAATTTATAATTAATCCACTAAAAAATTAATAGAGAAACCTAGTAATGGTGCTCACAAGTAATTTGCATTTAAAGAAAATAAATATTATAGGTTGTTCTTAAATTCACTTATCATATGACAAACAAATGGAGCATGTGTTGGATTTTAGAATTGTGTTGTAACTTACCTTTTTTTTCTTGGGTCAGTGAGCATTAGTATTATATATTTTCTTATGCTTTGTAATGTTAATAAATTATATATTATTTTTCAAAAATATAAAATATGAGAATAGTTTTTAATTAAGTTACATGTTTAATAAAATTAGATTTCCATTCTCTTTTGCACTGAGAAATGATTATTGAATTTCATATATTAATTAACAAAATGAGAAATAAAACACACTCGCAGCCAAAATGGAGGGTCCAAATCAGCGCAGACACCAGGCAATATACCGTATCATATATCCAAAGGGACCACAAACAGTGCAAGGTGAGCTGGATCATAATGGGACCACAAGATGGGACCAAGGGAGAGAAAGAGTGGGGTCCCCAGGAGCAGCAGTCTAGTTGCACACAAGAATAGATGATGCAAAAACCGTTAACCTGACATGACGTGTACGGCCATGATTGAATGAAATGAAACTAGAGAATAACAAGGAAGATACTGAAGGGATTATTTTTGGTTTTGAATGAATCTGGAAATTTTGTACTTTTGTGCCCAAACAAAGCTTTTCTTTTTTGATTATTATTATTATTTTTTTTTGGTTTTGGCCTCTTATGTCTTCAAAGACCATTTTCTGGTGTAAGGGGACAAAACTGTAAATAAAGTTATGCATAAGCAAAGTTCAATGTTAAAGAGATACATAAATAGATTATTTTGAAAACAAATTAAAATAGGGGATAAAGTGTTTTTATGTTTGGGACAAATGTTTGACGTGGCATTTGTTTGATCATCAATCATGGGTACAACTTGATTTTGGGATGGTGACATGGATTTTTAATTATTTTGTCTCAAGCGCAGTCCATTGATGTATTTTAAACTATGTTAAGTACACTCCACCAAAGTCTTTAAACGACAGAGGATTTGGAATAGATTGAATAAGACCTTGTTGGATGAATTTATGTATTTTAATAGTTATTGGCGGTTTAACTAGAGTAATCAAGCATAGAAAGAAATAATGTTTTATAGTCCAATCTCTTAATACGCAACCGAGTAGGAGCACAAATGAGTCCAGCCGAACTTGAATCTACCAAACTCGAAATTTGGCTTGATAAAATTTAATTTGACTTAAAATTCGAGTTCAATTCAAAAAATTTTAAATTCGAGCCAGGTTTGAGACTCGAATAAGTTTAAAATAAGTATTATATATGTATATATATAAGTTTAATAAAGTTTGACGGGCTTTGAAGCTGAAAATCATTAGGTTTAAACTTAGCTGGTTTGCTAACGAGCCAGCTGGAATCAAACTTTTCTCAAACTAAGTTCGAATAACTCAGAAGCTGGATCAACTCATTTATATACTACCGAGCACTATAAATAATAAAAATAGTATTTTGACGCAACCACTAATTAAAGGCTCGAAAATTATCTCAAATTAAAATTTCAATTAAACGAAGTTAAACTGTTGAGAAAAAATTAGGATATAAATTTCCATTATTCCATGTGCATTAAAGCGTTCAACAAACGAAATGAATATTTTGAACTAAAAAATATACTGCATAGTAAAAATTTTCTGGCTAAAAACTGTTATCAGCTGCTACCACACACATCATTGATTACTTGTTGGTTTAAATGTCAAAGTTGTGGTTGCTTGGATATATGACAATCATGCATAGCATATGACTTTGGGGGACCCAAAATTTTCAAAATCCTCAAAAAACATGACTCAATTACTGTCCTTATGCATCAAGTGGGGCTATAAAGACACAAAAATCCCAGTTACAGAAGTAGCCTGTTGCCCTTTCAATCTACTCAATTATTCATAAAGCGCCTGTAACCCTAGCACTACTTATTTCCCATGATCTACCAGAAAATGACCTTTCCATTCACTCTTTATTATTTTTGTCTCTGAATTTTGAAATCACACCAAGATTTGGAGATGACAGGAATCATAAATATTGTTACCAAACAAAATTTTGTTTTCACATTGTAAATTTTTACTCAATTTGTCTGATTCGAAAATCAGATAGATTTCCGATATTATTAGATTTAGTTTGTACATGTGCTTTTACGCTAAAGCCATAAATGGGATCCCGATAATAATTTTATAAGTAAAGTTTATTTGGAAATATAGTATATTCCTAATGATCCGAAAGTTGTTAGTACTTTTTTTCATAAAGTAAATAATTTTTTAATCTCCCTACATTGCAAGATACAAAATATACCATCAATTGAATTATTAATCCAATGACATTATGTTCTAATCATTGTTCGATAAAAGTTTTTTTCTCATGAATTCTCTAATTTTCAAAATATTATATATAGTTTTTGTTTTTTTTTAATGGGAAAAAAAAAAGACAATATGGGGCAACGGGCATGTTTTGTTGGGCAAGGAAAGGGTTAGAGGTGCACATCATGTAAGGTCAGGTAGAAGACAGTGAGTATTCTTCTAGTGAGTATTGTTTTTAGGATATTGCCAAATTTTTCTGGGTCTAGTATATTAGTTAATGCAATTTGTTGGCTTTTTTTCATGTGAGGTATATTTGGTGCAGGCTAAGGAAAGGTTTTGCCGTTTGGCAGAATGCAAACGGTGCAGTTTTATTGGCAAATCTGGCGGCTTCTCTGCTCTTCCAGCTTAGAAAGGGGACCATCTGATTTTATTGATCACGGCCATTGGAAAACTGTCTTTTGCATTCTTGGAAATTGGGTCCGTCTGATCTTAAGACCTTATTAATAGATCAATTAAATACTTACTACTAGTTCTGTTCCTTTATGGATTAATTGGCCGGTCCAATAGGAGTGATTATAAGCCCAGATAATTGGATGTATCATCTTATTAATACAGTGGAGTGGTCCGTTTACTGTTGAGCCCAATGACTACTTGCAGGGGAGACTCAGCCGTGGAAGGTGCACAAATGGCGTTTCCAATTAACCATTATATACATAAATGACTAAGGCTAGGGCTAGGACCGTATTCTGTAATAACTTTTTAAATAGTTTTTAACTCTAAATGTTATTAAAAGGTATTTTTTTATAATTTTTATTGTGTTTGATAATATAATATTTGAACTAACTTTTAAAATTTAAGATAATATTTTATAAAAAATTTAATTCATGTAATATTTAACTTTTAGCTTTTTATGAAAAACTACTTAAAACATATCCAGTCCATCGAGAGCGTTTTATCTCTTAATGAGCAGACCAGGGAAGGTTTGTTTAATTTTCACCAACAGACACAGGTAGGATGAGGGACCAAAAAAGAGTCTCATCACCCTGGGGAGCGCCTGAATCCTCAAAGGCTTTTCTTGCTCCTGCCCCAATCAATCATGATCCTTCATATGTTCCAAAGGAAAATGTCGTCTCAGACATAATTATTGCCATCTTTTGCCATTTCCACTTATAAACTTGTCCTATTTCAATGCAATCCATCATGTCCCCCTTTGAAACCAAATTTACCATTTGTATAATTGCAAACAATGCCATTCACAGAGGCAACCAGTACAGTAATTCCAAGTTTTTTACTATACAGGCAGGGTGGTGTGCGTGTGGGGTAACGAAACGTGGAAAGACAAGCATCAACACAGACTTATTATCCTTTGAAGGTGCAAAAGGCAAATATCTGAGTCACTAGCTAGACCACCATTGATACTCTCTACAGTAACAATGCCATTTCTTCTTTTAAAACCTCCATCACTGAATTCCGTGCCATTCACATCCCATATACCTTCAATACCTGCCACGTCCGTCTGTATCACACATCTCGTCAATGATTTCCTTTCCTTTTATTTCTTTATTTTTGGGCAGTGATTGGACCGGATGCTCGAATCCAAAAATTATCCGCATTTAAGCGTCTTTAATCACTTTAGCCGTCCGATAAACACCCATTTCATTATTTGATAATATCCATTAGAGATTGAATCGAACCTAAAAATTACCATCTAAATTTTACGTGTCTTATCATTTTAGCCATCCAATAAACATTTATTTCGTGACTTGATATACTCATTAGAGATTAGATTCATTAATTGATATATGATTAGAGATCATATATATTTTTAAATTTTAAATTTAAGTGTCTCTTATCACTTTAGCATCCAATAAATACTATTTCTTGATTTGATATATCCATTTCATTATTCAATACACCCATTAAAATTGAATTGAACCTAAAACAAAATTGAAGCCTGCCTTGTCACTTTTAACCATTCAATAAACACCCATTTCATTAGTTGATGATACATATCTGTTTTAGTGCAAAATATCAAGGTAGACTGAAAACTTGTCTGAAAAGGTTGTTGGTACTAGTTAATACAAAATCTCGTGAGTTGATGTGTGGCAATTCATTAGCCTTCCGATACAAAGTACAAGTAGCTGCTTCTGGTAGAACACATATACTATCATTTAAATGGTAATAGGTAAAGACACAAAGGCCCTAACTTTATTACAGTATCAGCACACTTGTTGGGATTTTATTGTTTATATTTAGCTTCTTAGTCAAGCTTCTCCTTTCTTTTTTACCGCCCCTGTTCCCTGCATGTGTACTCTGTCTATACCACTCGGTCGCTACTCCAGTACTGATATATTTTTAAATTATTTTAATTTATCTTTTTGCTCTGATTGCCCGTCACGTGCCTTCAACACATCAAACATAAATTTATAAAATAAACTGCACCGCAACACGTAACCAAAAACTTGGCTGCCACCGTTACCGTGACGGCCTTTCATTTCTTTTTCTCTTACAATACTCATCTTCACACGTAAATTAAAATAAAAAACAAAAATAAAAGCAAAACTGATAATACGACACATCTGACGGCAAAACGGCAAAGTTACAGTGCCGATATTTGACATAGTATTGTTTCAAAAGGCTATGAGAGGATCCGACCCGAACAAGTCACCAATGTCTTGAAAATCGTCATCCACATTCCAATTTGTGAACCCGAAATCCAAATCTCTGATGCAATCAGTAAACATTTCTCCGAAATCATCTTTCAAAAAACCGTCTTCCATACTCGTTTCTTGAAATATGTCGGATATGGAATTCTGGAAGTCAAAAATGTCATTGGAAAACAAAGTGTCAATAGAAGAATACTCTGAGAAATTCGATAAGTTCTCGGATACGCAGGATTCTTCTTTGATTTCTCGGGCTCCGTTTCCGAATTCTTGGACTTCTTTGCTCGAAAGAACACTTTGAGATTCGGCTTCTTCGTTCGAGGAAGTTGAGGAAGGAAATCTAAGAACCGAAGTTGGTGAGCAGACTCTGTTGTTATTGTGAGATTCCTCACCGGAGTTGTAACCGGAGCTAACCGCCGGCTTAGTAGTAGGAGTAGGTGGGGAACATTTGGCTGGAGGAGTCGTAAAGTTGGTGAGCGCGTCGGGTCCACGCAATTGAATAGCCGCGTTGTCATACACCCTTGCGGCTTCTTCTGCAGTGTCGTAGGTGCCCAACCACAGCCGTACACGTCTAAGAGGATCCCTGATCTCGGCCGCCCATTTTCCCCAAGGCCTCTGTCTCACACCTCTAAACTTTTTCCCCGCTCCTGCTGTTGTACCCCTCACCATCAGCACCCTCGCCGGACCACCACCGGTTTTTGCTGAAGAAGACTTTCTCCGGCTACTTCTCGATGACCTGCTTCTCCAAATACCGTCGCTTTCTCCTGAACATGACTCTATCGTAATCTCGTTAACAAATTTCTTCACTCTCTGTTTTCTGTAGAAGTCACCTTCTTCGTCGCTGGAAGAGTCGGTAGCGTCTGCGTCAGTTACTGATATCCGCACAACTCTGGGTGGTTTGGCCTCTGGCGCCGGATTTGACAATGGCCTTAAAACTTTTGTGTGATTTCGATGTTCGCTGAACTTGACTGGATTCATGGACATAAGACTATTTTGATCCATTTCGAGAAGCGGGCTTGGGTTTTTGTCTGTTGCTTTTCTGCTTACTATTTTTGGGTTCTTTCAGATTCGCATTGAAAGTGAAGTGAGGGAGGAGGAGAGCGTGAAATAGAGAGAATGAAAAAAAGAAAAGAGAGTAGATTCCTTTGAGACTGGACACGAGGGAGAATAAAGAAAGAGAGACAGAGGATATAAAGAAAGTTGAGAGAAAGAACACAACGTTAAAGAGAAGCCTTGAAACGGAGATGATTGAATACTCTTTTTTTCCTTTTCTCTTTCAAAAGTATCATTAAAGGACGAGAAATTTCAAGGAAAGTTACACTAAAAAAAGAGAGAAGAGGGAAATGTTATAGTAAGATTGAAATAAACGAACTCGGGGTGAAGAAACATTAAAGAACAAGAGTACGGCAAGGAGACAGAGAGTGAATGAGAGAGAGTGAACAAAAACTGGTAGTAAGTAGTAACTCAAAGAAAAAGTAAGAAATTTTCATGGAAAGTTGCACAGGTAAAGAAAAGAAAAGAAAGGCTGTGACCCAAAATAGCTTTACCGGAAAAAAGAAGGGGAATAATCGAATAAATGTCTCGAATAACCACCACTAGCGCTGTTGGAGAAACTGCTTTTAATTTATCAGCCACTAGCAACGAGTAGTTCAGAGGAGCTAGAAGTCTGTTTAGTATTATTTTCTTGATAAGATTTAGAAGAAGAGCTGAGATGGAAGAAATTGATAATGAGAGGATTCAGTAGATAGAGAGACTCTGGACTCTAGACAGATAAGAGGAACCCAACAGTTGGGATGCTATTTTATAGGATCCCAAGTAGCCGTAATGAGTAAACCCGGTTTGATATCTCATTAATATTTTAATCACTAAAATTTTCAAAATTTTTGTTTATTTGTTTTTATTTTTGGTAATTACGACCCGTCGTTTTGAAGAGACCCCGAAGGAGGGGATGAGATTCCATGCACGGAGTAGTAGAGTCTTAGAAGATAATTTGACGAGACGCCGCATAAAAGGGCACGTGTGATTCTTACACGTGGCACAACTGGGCCCGGAAAAAGATATTGATCCAATAGGAGAAGTGGACCGTAGATGGCTCGTGCCACTCGGCAAAGGATTTTGCTTCTTGGAATTAGGGATTCAGGTCACGTGAGACCGGACACTTTGGTTCAGTCTTCCCTTTGACTAAGAATGATTAACTTTCTTATTTTGCTTAATTAAACTGCTTCGATGCCCATTGAAAGTCCTCTTAATTACTCCTTAATTGCAACTTTTTGAGGGTGTTCTAGTCATTCCCCGAGGAGAATATCTAAAATCTAAAAGGGCCGTTACACTGTGAGAGTAAAATAAAATTAATAGTATATTAAAAAAATTAATGACCTATAAATAAAAAATAATAAGGTTAAAGAAATATTTTTACTCATTTATTTTTTACTATTTACGTTTATCTTTAGTAAATTTACAGCTGCGATTAACGTGGCACGAGCCAGAACGCAACCTAGGATTTGGCGCCATATATACCAGTATAGTAGTACATTTTGACAAGAATAGAAAAATTCCAGTGTATTCCTATCTCGGTTAAAGGAGTTGAGCTCGAAACGTGGCATGAAATGATTGGTAAAAGGAGGATGGTCACGGTTAACCGTGAGAGTTAACTTTAATGCTACTACAAGAACTGTGGTTATTGTAATGGAACGTTCTATCGTTAAATCATTTTAGCAATTCTATGCATTGGTTTGGTAGACGACAGGTTTGATAATCATTATTCAATCAAAACGTTCCGACACCAGTCGGTGAATATGTTTAAAGCAAAGCAAGTAGTAGTACAGAGAAGTTGATGGTGAATAACACAATACAACGCGTTACAAGATTACGTGTAAATTTTATTATTCAATTGTAAATTTTGAGTAATTTAATTTTATAGAATTCATTTGAAAATTTTTTTTTTTATAGAATTTAATTTAATTATATTCACATTCATAAAATTGAATAATTTTAAAAAGTTATCGCCACAAGCGATCAGTCGATACCGCATCATCTACTGCTTCTCTAGAAAATGTGCATAAATTTTAATTTTTCTTTTTTTTTTTTTACCAAACATAAAAATTTAAATTTATGAATGAATTTTTATAAAATTTTATAAAATTCATTTATCCAAATTGAGGGATGATGTGAAAAAGACGGTGATGATCAATAACATGAAAAGTAAGTTTTATTCCGATTGCAAAAGAAATAAACAAAACAAAGTAAAATGTTTGTAAAAAAAGAAGGCGAGAGAGGGTAATATGGTAAAATAAGAAGGCAAAATCTGCGCCTATATAAAATGGGCCAGGCCTCATTTATTTGGGCCAGAACATATCTCGATCAACGCGTCAAACAAAGAAGCCGCCCCTGTTTGTTTCTTTCTCTCAGTTGCTCTGTCCAATTAGTTTAATTAATTAAGTAATAATTGTTTTTGGGTGTAGTTTTAATGTTGTTATTAACACTAAAAAAATTATTAATTAATTAATTAATAAATAATAGGGTAGCTACAGACTGCAGATACCCATACTACCATCTTCCACTAAGTGACAACAAATGAAGCAAACTCATATGGGCAACTTGCTGCTTCTTATTTATTTTATTTTTCAGTCCTGCCCTAATTAGAAAATAGTTATAATGAAATTTTTATTTATTTAGAATATATTTGTAATAAATGAAGGGCTTTCCTCGTAAACAGTCAACCACTGATAATAAAATATTGAAAGTATGAAAATAATCTAATTAGCTAGCTAATTTGGAAATTATGAAGATTAAAGGGTTTATTATTTATGAAATTGGCCTCATCGAAATGAAGGAAAATAGAGAATAAAAGGTTGGGTTTTGCAAAATTGTCATTTTCATAAATACACATATGGTATAGATACTATTTGTTCTAATTAGTAACTTGTATTTTTTCTGTTCTTGGTGTCAATAAATGATTGGTTGGTAAGCTCTCACTATCACAGCCAAGATATTTTTCCATAGTTGCATTTGACTAGTTAAAGAAACAATGAATATCAGACAATTATCCAATCATTTTGCCGGTTTGTTCTATAACCAGTTTTGGATTATTTAGTGATGGATAGTGTTTACTCATTTATTTGTGTAGTATTTATATATAGCTTTTTTTTTTTTTTTTTTTTTTTTCAATACCAATCATTTTTGCCGGTTTGTTCAAACAAAATATAACCAGTTTTGGATTATTTAGTGATGGAATAGTGTTTTACTCATTATTTGTTAGTATTTTATAATAGCTTTTTTTTTTGTTTTTTTTTTTTTTTTTTTTTTTTTTTTTTTAAGATATGTGCAAATTGAACTTTGGAGTGTAAAAGTGGATAATTGTCAATTTAATTAAATTATTATTATTATTATTATATATTTAATCATTAAATGAAATAAATATATCCAATATATTTACATGAGGGATATATAGCTTCTTGTGGCATAAGTGGCAATTCGATCGGCTTGAGGAAGCAAAACTAAAAAATTAAATTTGTCTTCATTATCATATATTACAACGTGTCCCTCCGTTACCAAATATTTGTTATATTTATAGATTTAACAAATAATAATTTTTTTTTTTTTTTATCCTTTGCATTGATTAATAATAATTGAATGTTTTCGCTCAAATAATAAATTAAAAATAATATAGTCAATACACTCAATATGAAAATTTTTTATTAATCCAAATAATTTTCAATTTCATTGAGGTGATAAGCAATTTTAATTTCTGTAAGAACGAAAACACATATTTGATATTCGAAACATACTTACCACAAAAAACAAAAACATCAAAAAAAGTTCAAAAGATTTTTATCCTTCCAGTTAAAAAAGGCACATATTACTTGAGGGTCCAAAGAAAATAGGCAAATGGGTCAGCAAAGACAAATTCTAAAGCTGTAAAATTTGTTGGAGTTTGTAAAATTACAGAGACATAAGAAACCATAAATAAAACAACAAGCAAAGAAGAACATGGGAATAGACAAAATTGTATATATGAATATGAGAGGTCTCGATCCAAGTTGTTTACGTACATTAACAAATACTACCTTGACCTTTGTTTTCTTCCTTAGCTTCTCAAAATACGATATTAATAAGCCTTTTCAAGTCAAATTATTTTAGCATCATCTCCTAGAAAAGAGTAGAAGAAGGAAAATAGTAACAGGCTTCTTCGAGCCACACAATTCAGAAAAATCATATCATTATATATTTATTGTTTTCATGCCAACATGTTCTAAAGTTCAAGTCAAAAACCACTTAATTTGACCTACATTAACTCTGTGTTTTGTTTTCTAATTATTACTTAATCATAATTAATGTTTTCTACATCAATAAACAACTATTCGAGAGGTCAGAGAATAGCTAATGAAACATTAAAATTTTACAAGTAGTCCATGGGATGTCATCGTATTAATATTTTTTTTATATTATATGAAAGATATGCAAAATGAAAAAAGTCTCGAATTTGAGTCATATACATCACAAATAATATCACCAATCTAGTAAATTTTATTTAAAGAGAACAATTATTCCTTATTATGTAGTACAGAATCTTTCGATACTTATCAGTGGAATTGCAATTTTATTGTTGTGAACAAGATTTCTATATTTTATATATTAGAAAAAATGCTTACTTTTAGTTTTATGCTGGCTGCCTACCATTTCTTACCTCAAGAAATACTTGTATTTCAAGTTTAATTTTGCTACAAATACAAATTATTTAAATTTGGTTTAGTCTAGTTCAATATTGATGTAATTTGACTTTGTTTGGAATATTTGTGCGACTTATTTACCGGTCTATTGTATCTTTTTATTTAAGAGGTTTTGACCAGATTTTTTTTTTTATCTAATATTTTCATATTATATTTGGATGTAAGAGGGAGTGTGTCTAGGGTTAATGCTTGAATATATTAAATTTTTTCTGAACAATAATATATAAATAAAATAAATTTAATTTTGCTAATAAAAAAAATAAAAAAATAGCGTATTTTATATTACTTTTTTTGTCCCAAAATATAAGTCATTTTTGGGTCATTATTTTGTCCCAAAATATAAGTCCTTTTAGTATCTTAAAGAGTTATAAATGATGTTTCCAATATTACCCTTGTTTAAATTAGTTACAATAAATATTTTTACAAATAACTATTGGTTTTGAGATAAAGGATAATTTGGTCAAATTACTCTTGAGTTTATTACTATTTCTATTCCATAATACTTGTCATATTTAGAATTTCCTATTGGTTTTGAAGATAAAGGATAATTTGGGTTCAAATTACTCTTGAGTTTATTACTATTTCTATTCCATAATACTTTGTCATATTTAGAATTTCAACGTTTCTCCTTTAAGAAAATAATTAAATTTTCGTCTAAAGTTATAAATTTGTCTAAGTTATAATAAATTATTGAGTAAAATAACTATATTATCCTTAATTTAATATTAATTCTCTAAAAAAACCATTAAATTGAAGTAATAATTACTGATTATACGCAAAGGCTAAATATGAAAAAAATATTTATTACTTTTTAAAATCACAAATGTGATAAGTATTTTAAAACACATTATTTTTTTAAATGTGATAAATATTATGAAACGAAGATAATATAATTTAAGTGAATTAATTATTTTATTAGTCCTGTGCAAAAATCTTAAAACATTTATATGTTAGGAGGGAGAGTAAAGTAATAACGGAAAACATTTTAGTATTTAAATACAAGGAGAACCGTACAGATACTGTCTCGGAAATCGAAGACAGTGGGATGACCGGCTAGGAGGTGGCGGGACCCACTAACATCTCATAGTCGGTAAGAGTCCCATAACCTCCGCCGTACACGAGTATCGAGTGGACAACTGACACGTGTCTATCCCATGTGACTGTGACGTGGCTCCCGCATACGGAGGTCTGTGTCCTTGTTTAATGCGTGCCAAGGGGATTTCGGATTTTTAATTCTCACCAACTCCGTAAGTTAGTCCGTTGTATATTCAATTGAAGATTCCAAAAAATAAATGAAATGAAGTTCTTCTTCTGAAATATATATCTTCTGAAATTTATTATATATAATATATATATATATATAATAATATTAATAATATATGTATATATATATTTATATATAATATTGAAAAATAAAAAGGAAGCCCGTTGGCTATTAAACACAGTAAAGTTCTTCTTTCTTCGTAATTTCTTTTTATTGTTATTTCTTTTTAAAGCAAAAATAAATTTTAATGGTAGATGTTTAGTTGAAAAGTGGTTTATAAATCTCCAAAATATTAAAGGGTTTTAGGTAGGCCAACATAAATAAAATTGATGATCACCAATCATGGTTGGAATATATGTTACATTTCTCTAAGTGGGATTTAGGTTTCTTTCGGAGTTTTTAATTGCTTCAATGTATGTAATTTCTTTTTATGTATTTTATAAAATTTAATTAACTAATTGTATTATAATTATTTATTTAAGCGTAATATTAATTATTATGCTCCCATCAAATGCAAATTATAGAAAATAGATAATATCCTAAATTTCAAATTAACCGGGTTAATTTAAAATCGAAGTTACTTCTTTGAGACATATTTGGTACTCTTTATAGAAAAATTAAAGAATAAATTGATGACATTAGTAACATATCACCATATATAATATTGAAAATAAAAAGGAGCCGTTTGGCCATAAACCTAAAGTTCTTCTTCTTCGTATTTCTTTTATTTTATTTTCTTTTTTAGCAAAATAATTAATGGTGGAATGTAGTTGAAAAGTGGGTTATAAACCCTCAAATTTAGGGTTTTAGGTAGGCAACAAAAATAAAATTGATGATCAAATCATGTTGGAATATATGTTACATTTCTCTAGTGGGATTAGGTTGCTTTCGAGTTTTAATGCTTCAAATGTATTATTCTTTATGTTTTTATCAAATTTAATTAACTAATTGTATTATAATTATTTATTAAGCGTAATATTAATATTATGTCTTCCCATCAATGCAAATTATAGAAATAGATAATATCCTAAATTTCAATTAACGGGTTAATTTAAAATCGAAGTTACTCCTTTGAGCATATTTGGTACTCTTATAGAAATTTAGAATAAATTGATGACCATGTAACATATCACCTTAATTAGAAGGCCATAATTAGCAAATGTTAATTGAGATGTCTAATTAAAAGGGTAAATCAAGGAAAAATAAAAGTGAAGAATGATTAGAGAATCATTGAGTTTGAGATAGATTTTTTAATTAATTATGTAATTATCTAATATTAGACATATCCACCTCAGCAACTACTTTGCAAACATGTGGCGACTCGACAATGGCCACATCATCCATTATTTGAGATATTATGAGTGGAGGTCAGCTTGTGGGTGTCACTCTTTGTCTTCAGTAGAGACAAATTCTTAATGGTGATTAGGTTAAAAAAACTTATGAGAGACCTAAGATTAATTAGGATTTAGGAAGACTTAATTAGGTACTTTCCAACTCGTGTGCACGACCCTTTTGCCGGGGGTTCTTAAGTTTTAATTTATTATATTATTTTATTATTATAGTGCATTAGGGTTTACACGTGCAATATTCAAATGAAAGAAAATCAGATTACAAATTTAATAAATGTACTTTCATAATTGAAAATAATTGAAAATTAAAATGTTAATAATAATATCTGATTAAATAGTCCAAATGCAATGTTGCTAGACATGAGAAGCATGGGTCACAGTGCCCTATATAAAGAATATGAATTCAACTGTGAGACAACTAAGCTTCACTTGTTTTTGTTTTTCCCCTCCCTTTCCTTTTCTTTTATACATGTCAGGCCTAATGGACCGAAATAACATTATGGACTACACATTAAGGTAGCCTTCCCCTTTGAATAACACTAAAGTAATGATATCTTTTGCAGTGGAGATGACTCAAACTTGAAATCTCTCGCTCTCTACATCTTCTATGAGATATAGGAAGATCAATCACACCATATCTGATTGATTTTTTTTTTATGAGGAAGAAAAAAAATTTTAAAATTCAGTATAAATATTATGCAAATGGGTCTTCTTCTTTTTTTTTTTTTTGTTTTTTCTAAAAAAGAAAATTACTCCTTAATTTCTGGATAGATGCTAGTATTTATTTTTTCAATTTCTCATACAGATGCTTATTATCATTTAACATATATTTTAAATGAATCATAATAAGTATTTTAAGTGGTAACATACACTTGAATTTAATTGATAATCCGAAATTTAATTTGTAAAAAAAATACTTATAAAAGAAAAAATTACAAATCCTAAAAGAGATTAATCTTACGTCTAAAAGGGTGCAGAAATGTTAGTCGAAAACCGAAAAAGAAACTTAGTCTCACATCTAAATGAAACAAGCTATGATTTTTATTCAAAAGGATTTGTTGTTATTAGTGTATAATAGATTTGGTCGGTAAGTTCTTGCATGTGGGTTTAAACTGTTGTGAGTTGATTTGTATCAGTAGATTTGCCATGTGAAATGTGAAATGTTAAATGTTAGAGATGAACATTATTATATAACCAACTGATAAGAAAAGTACTGACTCCCGATTTGAGTTGAAAATGGTTTAAGAATTTAAAATTTGATTTATAGAAACATAAAGTGAGTTGTTGTTTGAATAATAAAAGTAGGTTTTGACCCTCTAATTGGTTTTTTAAAAATGGGTAATGAATTTAAATTTAAAGGGGAAAGATGGGAACTTTTTCAGTGCCTCAAGATCTGGAAAGCCTATTGGAACTTTAAAACGTTGGCTAATGGCTAGGAATAACAAACAATTAATAAAAACTGAGAATAAGATAATATTGATATGTTATTTTTAATAAATCTATATAGGCCTATGATATATTAGATCTCTAGCCCATTCTACCCATGTTTTCATGAAAAATGTCTTTGAATTTCTGGAGAAAGTAACACATTACACTATTAAAAGCCAATGGCTTCATCATTTTTTTCAAAATATTAAAACCGTGACTCCGCATTTTCATGTATTATTCAATAGAAATGTATATTTGGGAAGGAGGATTTAAACATAGATTTATTGTTAAATCGTATTTGTACGTGCACTTATCATTAAACTAGGTTTTAGTGTGCAATAGAAATGTTTTATAAGTTGCTAGTTCGACATAATTAAGATGAGATGATAAAGAGTACGACTAATCAAAAGTGAAGTTCAAGGTCCAAACCTCATTGTTCTTAACCTGCTCCATTAATACTAAAATAGGAAAAAGAAAGAGTTCTCAAAAGAAAGCTATGTTGTCACTAGACATTATTAAAAGGCCAATGGGCCATATGGGCATTTCATTATTTTAGTCCTGATTTTGGGCTTTTCACCACTGATCATCCATCTAATGGCAAACCTAAGCTATTTAATGTTAATATCATCTTGTTCATTAACGTGAGTCCTGTAGTATTAAATATTCAAAAACACTGAAAAATGAAGGAGAATTATAAATACCTATTTACCCTACCATCTTTCATATAATTCACATATTTAATCATCAAAACAATATTGGTACTTATTTTGCACCTCACGTATCATAAGAATTACCAATTTATCAAATACATGTGCTATTACACAGGCTAATTCCAATTGCATCACTTTCCAACTGCAAAGTGTCCATACCCCATGAATGTACATGAAGTGGAGTTGGTAGATAAAAAACAAATGCTTTCAGTGGATTCAGCGGGCCAGGTCCAAGTAAAAAGAGCAAATTTTGCCTTCCAACTCGATTTTCATTGCCCATTCGGCTTTCCTAATTCTTGCCCTACAGAACCATTTTAGGAATGCTAGGACTTCATGAAGGCTTATCCATAACCTCTTCCAGAACATTTAACAAACCGAAGGAAATCAAATATCATCTCTGACCTTGTTGCACGTTTTGAAAATAATTCAGTTAAAGAATAAAGGCAGGTGAGGTGGAGAAACTAAGATAGTTTAAAACAGTTTACCCAAGTTCTACAGATAACTTCCATACAAACAATTAAAAGCAGCAAATTAGACCTCTCCCTTTTGGTCTGCTCATAAGAGGCAGAGATAAACACTTTCATCATTCATACATATATATATATATTTTAACTTAAAGACCAAAGCCACAGGGAAAGAAGCCCTCCCTATCACACATACAAAGCAGCATAGTTAACCCATAGCATACTTCTGGGTCCAGCTCCTTGCTGTTGCCTCGTATTTGCTCCTATCAGTCTTATACATGTGGGCAATTTCTGGCACCAACGGATCGTCAGGATTTGGGTCCGTCAATAGAGAACAAATTGAAAGCAACACCTGAAATAAATTGACAAGTTATTTCATGCGGGTAACAAATTAAAAGCATTCTAATATCCCAAGTCAAAGTACATATCCATTCAAACATGAAAATAATAAGTTGGATGTCACTTGAGCCCCTGCAACAACCCCAACAAAAAATAAGTTGGCTGTTGCATGAAATTAACAGTGAACACCGTCAAATTCCAATTTCAAATGAAACAATTGTGCTTCACATAGCTTCAGAAGACAAATTTCACCTACAAGTTGGGGCTTTTAAAGAAATTACATTCTATTACCAAGCTCTGTGTTAATTTTATTACACGATGAAATGCTATTTTCCATTGCTCACATATCCTTTATCCAATATTCTCACCCCCAATAATTAATGACTACTAATTTGCTACAATGGTCCATGAAATGTAAGGTGTGATGATGACATCATAAGGTATCACAGAATGAAGTCATCCAATTTCCATGTATGTGCAAGCACAGACTGTATGTCAAGAACAGAGAAGGTAATTCAATTAGATCTAAGCTATTAAATTATAATAACCTTGGAAATGGTAAGGGCAGGGCTCCACTGCTCCTTCAAAATATCAAGGCAAATGCTACCATTGCTGTTGATATTGGGGTGAAAGACCTTTGTCCTGAATGCAACCTGTGTAAAAACATAAAAAACAACGAAAAACAGATTATAACAACAAATATACAATAAGATGTGTAGAAACCATTATATAGAACTTTTTTAAAAATGCTGACTCAAATATCAGCAGTCGAATATTTTATGGCACAAAATGAATGCAGTTCAATTTAATGGTGGATGACAGCAAATGCACTGTTGAAATACAGTACAAGTAGATTGCTAGCTAATAAAACAGCAAGCTCGATCTCTCACTTCAACCATTCATGAGGTAAAAATAATGCAGGCTGCTGATTGATAACACTTTTGGTACACTGGCTCAATCTCTCACATTATATCAATTCAGACATGGTGGGAGGATTGCATGAATTTTATCTTCCACGCTCCCTGCTATCAAAACATACCTCTATGAAATGCTCATTTAGCAAACTCTTTTACCAATCTCAACTCCAACCACGCTTCTTTCTTTCTTTTTTATTTGATCACCCTTTTAACCAAAATTGAAACCACTCTTTCTTACAAGAGACAGAAACAAACGCAATGTTGTTATTAGATCCTAAACATGTCTTTCATGAGGCAAGCAGCCTTTTCATGAGGAATATAAAAAACATTGTTGTAGATCCTGCACATCCTAACCATGCATACCTAACTTACATACTACAGCCTCATTAACTATTCCCACCAACCAAAACCATAGGTCACAACTCTAAACCAAACCCAGCAATTCAAGCAAGTTATCTATCATGCTTATGCAGAGTACATGTGTTGATAACAGAATATATTATATATGTTAAGAACCTCACGGGGAAGTTGAGGATAGAAAACTTGAACTTCTTGAATGGGAGGAAAAATATAGGTGCAATATATATAGTACTAGCCTCTTGTTTGAACCAAATCAAGTCAGTTAAATACCTTCGGTGGTTTAAATGGATAGTCTGGAGGAAAATGAATCGTCACTAGAAACACTCCACCTGCATATGGACTATCAGGAGGACCCATAATTGTTGCTTGCCAATGGAACATGTCTTCCGCAACAGGGCCTGAATATGCAAGTCAACCAAAGAGAGAATATCAGATCATGAAAATTGTCAATTGAAGTAACATAGAAACACAAGTTCAGATAATATTCATGAAATATAAAAGGAGAAGAGAAAAGGATGCAGATGATGGTACAGTTTCATTCGCTATTGATAACCACACCTTTACATTTGAAAACCTACAAGGAAAAAGAATATCTAAATTTTAAACAAGGTTATGTATGCTATCGGTCTTTTAAAAAGTTATAGCTTCCTAGCATGTTAGGTTTCATCAGGTTCAATAATACAATATGTGTCTAGAGAAGACATAGAAAATTCCTCAGAAAAATGTATAACGAATATTATAGGAGGAGGTATTCTAAGATTGGAGGTGCAGCTACAGAAGAATAGAACAATTACATAGTTTGAGTTGTTAAGACTATCATGTAAAAGCTGATAAAGGCTTCATTCAGTAAAAGAGCTCCACAACAGGCAACGGCATATACTCTCCTCAATCTTTTTCATGAGGAGAGGAGAGTATAGTGAATTTCCATCAGGAAATAACAATACCTTAAACAGAAATCGAAGGGTGGTTAAATGTCTACAAATCATATGGTTCAAATATACACCACGTGCTTCATTAGATTTCAAATGCACCTCTCGACGATCGCCCTCGTTAAATTAAGTTTCTCTCCTCTAAGAGATATTCAGTGAACTATTAATTCAATACACGTCAAATAACTGTAGCTAAGCAAAATCAAACTCTCACAGCTAATGAACATGCAAGAAAAGTTTAAAATAAAATAAACTAAAATAAAATCTAAAACCTACAAGGCTACTTTGTATAATTTTTTTTTCCTGCTACTAGCAGGATTAAAACCCAAAGATCATTCAATCATACATTATCCAGACAAAAAACCAACAAAAAAAAAATCACAGACTCACAAATCCAGCTAATTCGAAAAATTAAATTAGTCTACCAGATCAACAAAGCCAAAAACAAAAAATAAAAACTAAAAACGTGCAGATCTCCATTTTAAATGCGAAATAACCTGCGCTGCAAGAGGTAGGAGGATCCTTCTGGAGATCCTTGAGCTCCTTCAAGATCCGCTTCGATGCCATCACCAAAAACAAAAGATAAAATCCCTACACAACGCCACAAACCCTAGATCCTCTCAGCATCCAAAATTAAAATCAAAATTAACAAAGTTAAATATATATATATATATATATATAGAAAGAGAGGATGGTAAGGGGAGGCCGAAGGAGAGGCGTACCTGAGAGAGATCCTCCTGATTATTAATAGAATCTGAGAAACGAGAAAATAGAGAGACCTTACAGATAAAGGGGAAATTGGTTTTTATATAGTAAGGGAGTGGGTGTTACACTACTCTTTGCTTACTATAATACCATTGGTTCTTCCACTTCTTCTATTGTTCTATGTGGGACCCCGTGCTCCTTCCCTCTTGTTCATTTCTTTTTAGATTTTTTTAATTATTATTACAGTAATTAATAGTAATTTTATTTTTTACAGACGTGCGTTCTCACCGGTTGACCTCAAGTTCCTTTCTCACCGTATTGTCTTCAAAGTTCAAACAATTAATGATATAATTCTACCAAAAAACATTAATGTTATTATTTTGAGAAAATATTGAAATATACTAATTTTATTAATTGTTGAAAAACTCTAAAAATCACTAAATCTTTAATAGTAATATTAATTTCAGCCCTATCAATAACTAAATTAAAATTAAATTAAATTAAATTATAAAGCAATTAAAAAATATTATCAATTTCATTTACTACTTTGAAAAAATATTAATTATACCATTAATCATAAAAAAAGAAATATTTATTACTTATTAATAAAAGAAATTGAAACGATTTCAAAATATCAATGATGAGTTTTATTAATTTTATTAATTATTAAAAAAAATATAAAATATATCAATGGGCCTGGAATGAGACTGTTGAATAAACCCTGCTTAGAATTGTCTTTTGAGCCAGTAACTTCACTTTGACCCAGAAAACAACTTACATGAAAAAGAAAAGGCACCAATTCTCAGAAAATAGGGCTAATCATAATGGGAACACAAAAGCTAAGTCATGCCCTACCTTAAAAGATTCATTTCAATGTAATACACATAAAGATCATGAATAACAACAGAGATTCTAAACCTGAATAACTTTCTCAGGCATCAACATTTCACTGGTAGTTGATCTAACCTTACCTAGCTAATAAAACGTGGAACACAAAAATATTTATCAGAATTTGTTTGTTGGGAGAAAAATTGAGATGAACTAAACCACAAGTCTGGACTGGACCAAAAAATTGACAAAAAATTAAATTAAGAAAATACAATGCATACACAAATGGCTTTTCTTTTTTCTGATTTTTGCATAATTCAGGATTCCCTCTCCGTCGCTGGAGGTGGCGGTGGTGTAGAACTTTCAGACCTGTTTTCAGAAGATGGCCGATTCTCGGTGTCCACCCGACGGACATTTTCTATCATTTTGACTACATCTTGCATTTTAGGTCTTTGATCTGGCATTCTCACCACACAAGACAAAGCTATCTGTAACATCTCCACCATCTCTTCTTCTATGTTTGGAAACCTCATCAGCTCCACGTCGAACACTTCAGCTGTCCACTCCTCTCGGACTACTGAATGAACCCATCTGACCAAATGGATGATCTCGTCGCCACCAGTAGTATGAATGGGAGACTTACCAGTTAGAAGCTCTAATAATACTACACCAAAGCTGTACACATCTGAAGGTTGTGCTGCTTTCCTGGTGTCTGTCACTTCTGGGGCCCTATAACCAGCAGCACGAGAAATAGGTGGCGCTAGTTGGCTCATTATAGCTGACAAACCAAGATCAGACACACAGCCATAGTGTCTAGAATTAAGAAAAATGTTCGAGGATTTGATGTTCCCATGGACAAATTTTCCACCATTCTCTGCATGGATACGAGCAATGCCTCTTGCTGCACCTATTGCAATTCTCATTCTTGTATCCCAATCTAGAGAAGTCCGCTCGCCTCCTTTTTCACCTGCAAAATTACCAATGCATTGGAGGTGTTATCAGTTATGTCCTGCTAGAAACTTGTCAGGTAGGGGTCAGTTTTCCCACACAATTGAACTATCCCACAATTCCCAACCACATTAAACAAGCTGTGTGTGTTTCCATTATGTCTTGCAAGAAGAAATGACCTTCTCCAGCAATCCATTCAATCTTCTAGGAAACCTCATTTCATCTCTCAGCAATCTCATATCTAAATACAACCACCTATGTCTAGCTAAAAATCGAGTTGATGCATCAATCCAACTTTGGCACCCATTCAATTTTAGAGATAATAGAAACCAAACATTACTCACTTACAAACTTGACATATTTTTAATTATCTCCTGATATTCTCCTTAGAGCCACACTTTGCTAACCCTAGGGTCTACTTTGATATTGCAAGTATGAAATCACCATTTCACTCGTACACTTTCTCCAAAGCAAAAGATGAGTTAAAAGACATTTGAAGCTTTAAAAGTCCATACACAATGCACAAAGTAAGCCCAAGGTTTACCATTTGTAAAGTCAAGACCACTTCAAAATAGTGAAAGAGGTTGATTACCTCATTAAAATCATGACCATGTTTCTATAGTGTATCATATTATTACATAAACGCATGTCTATTGGCATTAACATTATTTGAAATCATCTAGAAACTATGGTATTTTAATATCTCGATTGCAAAAGGAATCTCCTGAAGTTTAACTAAAACAGAGTGCTTAACTTCTCCTATGCAACTAGACATGCGTGTACTGTAAAAATAAGTAAAAAGGATTCATTAGCTATTGATACTTGACAAATAAACATACCATGCAGCATAGAAGAAACACTCCCCCGACTGTAATAATCATAGACCATCAGCTTCTCATCTTTGGAATAGTAGTAAGCCCTCAGCTCAACCACATTCTCATGCTTAATGCTTCCAACGACTTCCATCTGCTGCTCAAAATCCCGCTTTCCGACACTCACTTCCTTCAACCTCTTCACTACCACTGTGGTTGCATCCTCCAGTATTGCCTTGTAAGCCATGCCAAATGTACCCTTCCCCAACACCTCAGCAGAAGCCCTCAATAAATCCTCCAAATCAAAAACATAATTACATCCCTCAAAGAAAACCAATCTATTATTAGCATCCTGAGCTCTTGAAACCGCTTTCTCTGGGGACATTTCTCCTTTCTGCAACTTGTCTGAGTACTCATCTTCACCCTTCTTTCTTGAGCAACAAACAATTATCAAGAAAGCAAATGCCACAAGACCCAAAACACAAGCAGCAATTATAATCCCTAATAATGCAGTTTCACCAAGTCCCTTAGCATTCTTAGATTTAGAATTAGGCACAGTACTAGGAGCAAGAACGGGTGAAGCAGTAGGAGCAGAAGTTTCAAATGAAATATTGTTACCAGTAAAAACAGAAATAGGGAATCTTCTTAGTGAGCTAGGTATACTGCCAGTAAGATTATTGTTAGACAAGTTTATCTGCTGCAAATTGGGCAAATTAAAATCAGGGATCTCACCAGAAAGTGAATTGTTTGCTAGATTCAAAGCAGCAAGATGTGTCAAGTTCGAAAGGGAATGAGGAATACTACCATTAAATCTATTGTTAGACAAATTAATGATAGTGAGATTATTCCAAATAGAGAAATCAGATGGCAGTGACCCAGATAGGTTGTTATATTGAAGATAAAGGAAAGATAAATTCTTTAGGTTAGAGAAATCATGAGGAAATTGCCCACTAATGCGATTGGATCTGAGGCTCAAAATCTGCAATGCCGAGAGTCGACTAAGAGTGTTTGGCGGAATTGGGCCTTGAAATCCAACACCAGGCAATCTAACAGCTATTACACGAGACCTATCTTCGCTGCAAGTGATTCCAGTCCAGTTATTGCAAACTGGATAGCTCTCGTTCCAGTTCAACGAGCGAGAGTGAGGCAAATTGCTTGCAAAATCTAGCAAAGCTCGCATATCCTCCACAGGGTCCGCATTTACGAGAAATAAAGTCAATCCCACAAAACAAATAGTAGAGATAATGTGCTTAGCTTCCATTGAAGCTAAAACTCTAAGCCAAAAACGAGCTGTTTCCGCTGAGTTTTCTTCTCGTGTTTTCTTTGTTTTTCTCTTCTTTCCCTGCAAAATGGTATTATGGTGTTCGGAAAAACAGAATAAAAAAGTAATTTGAAAAACAGAATAAAAAAGTAATTTCAAGTTAAAATAACAGAAAAAGGTACAATTTAAAAATTGAAAACGGAGAATGTGAAGAAGAGGAAAAAGAGCAAGAGCCAGATTCCAAGATTATTGTCGATAAAAGAAGAGACGACTCTGGTTTATTTTAAAACATTAAAGAATGAGCCTTTACAGGCTTTGAATAATGGGTTATGCTCAAAAAGTACGCTTACAAATTTCAAATTCTTATTGAGAGCAGAAATTCCCAGAACTCCAGCTCCTCTTTTTGTTCTTTGCTTTAACTTTTTGTTCCAATTGGCGATGCCTCTACAACACACCCACTTATTTACAGATCCAATAAGCTAAAAAAAGACGAAAAAAAAAAAATTAGTCACAAGAAAATGAAGAGCTATAATTTAGAGAGAGGAAAAAACGTACAAGTTATGATTTCTTTGAACAGATAGAAGCATGAACTTAACGGTACTCAAAGACTTTCTGCGCGAAGGAAATTTGGTGGGTTCTAGTTATGGTACTTGTAATGATACCAACGGCTATATTTCATGGTTTTCTTAGTAACTGAAAGCGAATGAATGACAAAAATGAAGAGAGAAAGAGAGTGTGTGGCCGGCGAGTGAAGTAAAAATAACGGTGACCGGGAAATCAGTGTTATAGCCAGCTCGTGTGAGTGGGTGACTGAGTGTTGGTGGGGGGGATCGATGACGTGGCTTGAACAGTAAACTGACATGTGGGGGCTATCATTAATGAGGCGACCTGTATAGAAAAGTATGTCGTAGGATTATACTGTGTCGTTTTCCTTCTGAAAATGGAGATGGGGCAGAAGTGGGACCATTTGATGCTGTAAAATTTGTGATTGATGTGGTAACTGATGTTGGCCGTTGATAGAGCGTGTTTGAGATCGTTTAAGATCATGTGGGGTGCTTTGGCCGTTGGATTTGACTGGCAAAGAATTTTGTCTGGTCCAAGTGTCATACCCTCCGTTGAGATCTGGTAATTGAATTTGAGTAGGATTTGGTGGTTTTACTCTTCCTTTGATCCTAGCTTAAGACACCATCCATAAACCAAATTACAAAAAAAAAAATATAGGGATCGATGACGTGGCTTGAAACCAGTTAAACTGACCATGTGGGGAGCTATCAGTTAAATGAGGCGAACTGTATAGAAAAGTATGTCGTAGGTATTAATACTGTGGTCGTTTTTCCTCTGAAATGGAGATGGGATGCAGAAGTGGACCAATTTGATGCGTAAAATTTGGTGATTGAAAATGTGGTAACTGATGTTGGCCGTTTGATATGAGCGTGTTTTGAGATCGTTTAAGATCATGTGGGTGCTTTGGCCGTTGGATTCTGACTGGCAAAGAATTTTTTGTCTGGTCCAAGTGTCATCAGTCCCTCCACACGATCTGGTAATTGAATTTGAGTAAGGATTTGGCGTTTGTACTCTTCCTTGATCCCTAGCTTAAGAACCATCCATAAACCAAATTACAAAAAAAAATATATATATATATATATTTTTTTTTTTTTATTATTATTATTTTTTTTTTAAATATTAGGTATAAAGTTATAAATTTGAAACTTAAAGTCATTATTCTAACATATAAATATTGTATTTTCAAGCGAACTTTTTTCTATAAAATTATAAATTTGAAATTTAAATATGTGTAAAAGATATATTATTACTTTTGTCTTTAGAATTTATCTTTTACCCTTTTGGGGAAAGATTGGAAATTTGATTCAAAGCTCAATTTCAACCTTTTGCATTTTTTGTTTTATTAATTTGAATAAAAGTAAAACTTTATTCTTTTAAGCGAAATCAGAAGTTTGTGTGTTTATGCTAAAATCTACTAAATATGTATGTTGCATTTTGTATAATGCATATGATTAGCTAAACAATGAAGGTGGATTTGATTAACAAAATAAAATATGTCTCTAATTTTATTTATAATTAAAAAAAAAGAACATTAGAGGTTCTAAAATTGAGGGCCATATAGAATTTTCTTTTTAAAAAGTATTTAAATTAAGTAAAGAACTAATAGTTAATTATTTTAATAAAAAAAAATATCAGAAAGCAATCATGGGTGGGAGCAACAATATGAATGTTTAACTTAAAGTAGGCTTCCACTTTTTACTTTTCATCTTCATTTGTCCAAAATGCATAAAATGATACCCTCCAAAATAATTATTTTGTTTGACTTTAATACATAAATTAAGAAAAAAGTATGTGAATGAAGCATTATTTAATGGTTCATCAACTTACTTTTACATATAGTTTTAGTAAAAAATAATATATAAAATCTAAAGAAAATTAAGGAATAATCTTATTTCGGAGTGAGAATGCAAATTTAATTTTGAAAAAAATATTTTTATAAAAAATAAAAAATCTTAATGCTTTTTTGATATTAAAAAAATTAATTAATTAATAATGTCAATTGTGAAAGGGAAAAAATATATAATTATTTTATGAATAATAGCATACAATCATTATGCAAGTCTCTATCTTGGTTCAACCAACATTTAACTACCTCCACTGGGTTTATGGCTGCTATAACAAAGCGTTTTAAATCATGACCTAACTTCTCTGCTGAGGGTTTATTGAGAACTTGCCAAGATAGTGCGCTGCTTGACAACTAAAACTCCCTAGCCAATGCTAAGCCTCTTCAAAAATATAATGTCATGATAGAATCAACTAATTAAGAATTGGAAAAAAAAAAATTCCATTATTATTATACAATAAGAACAACAGAGCCAAAAATGATTTCAGATGTGAAAATCCACTTAAACAACTGAAAATTTGCTTTGCTTGAGGCCAATTAAGATCTGGGTACCATAGTGGTTTGATTTGCAATACTAGCTATTCTCAGTTTCTAATCGAAAAATTGAATCAAATTGATTCATTTTGGTTGGATTTAAATAGTTATTTTAAAAATTCAAATTGATTTGAATGCATAAAATTGTTTAGTTTTCAGTCTTAGTTTAATTATCAGATATAGTTAATCGGATTTATTTTTAAGTTTAAAATAACTAATTTATTTGAAATAACCGAATTCAAACTGGTTCAATTCGGTTTGAGTTGAATTTTTATATCATTCGGCTCCAAATTTTATTACCATAAATTACTAAAAAAAATTTTAGATAGATCAAAATTCAAACTATTCGGTTTGGCTAATTTTCTTTACAAGACACGTGATTGATTTTATAGTTCTAATTCATCACCAGGAAATGTTTTATAGCAATCACAGAGGAGGAAGCCCACCTAAAAGAAGCATTCCATTATTAATGATTTCCTTTTTTCACAAAGATCCCAATCACATATATATGTTTTTCTCGAATCTTTGAATTTTCTTGGAAAATTTTGAAATATTATCCAAAAGCTAATCTGGGACGTCATTAATAGGAGTTTAGCGTTTGGGTATTTCTTTAGTATCTTCTTGCTGGGTGGACTGAAACTTATGTGTTTGTTCAATTAGGATAATGGATAAAGAACTGTAAGCTCAATTATTTATTTATTTATTTATTGGGAGACTCAATTAGTAGAAATAACACTATAAATTATACAATATAGATAATTTTTCCATGAACTCATTAAATTGGCGAAAACACTTATTGAGAGAACTCAAACTCAGAAACCTTTCATTTTTCAGATAAATGAAAAGACAGATTAGAACATACTGATTTATTTAAACTTTTTTTTTTTTTTTTGCATTGCTCAGCGCCACATTAGAGGTCAACTGCTATTATATTCTGGTGGAGTAGGAGTTGGGTATGTAATGTAGGTAGGCATAACCAATTGGATTTGATGGATTTTGGTGTTATCTGTTTTAGATCGGGAATATTGAAGTGATGTAAGAATTAATCAAAGCTTTTCCTAAGCCACATATTAAATGGAATATTGTGTGTTGTCCATTTATCTTAATACTATGTAGCCCATTTTGGATTTATATGGGTGTACTCAAGAAAGACAACCCATTAAAATTTTTTGGGCTTTTAGGTTAATACCCTGTCGTAGTTTGGTATGGTAGCTGTTCTTTTGTCTTTCCCGTAGGGTAAATTTTCTTTTGGTTTTACCGGTTGGAATTACGAGACAGGAAAAACACATTTATCATTTAAGCATTCTTTAATTATATTGACTCTTTTTTGTTTTTTGGCAAAGAGAAATCTTCCATTAATAATGTAAAATGTGAGACAAAAACTGTGGAATCGAATTCCATGTTCGATAATGAGCATATTGATAAAATGTTCGGACTAAGAAATAAGAATTTATATTTGCTTGTCTTTTAAACCACCTAATAGTTATGTTAGGCTGCCAAAAGAGTCTTGCAATCCTTAAAATCAATCCAAACTCAGAATTATCATGAATTTAAGAACTAAAGCAAAATTACATTAACTATTTATTCAATAAATTTTAGTAGTAGTTATATTAGAGTTTATTACAACTATAAATAGAGTTTTACAATTACGGGTTCAAAGTGTATGATGGTGATGGAGGAATCAATAGTCTAGAATGAAGAAGATGAAATAAGCCACCAACTAATCAGAGTGGCGCAGCGGAAGCGTGGTGGGCCCATAACCCACAGGTCCCAGGATCGAAACCTGGCTCTGATATGAGTAGCTTCAGTGGCCACATATGCATTGTTGTTACTTCTTATTTTTACTAATCATTAAATAATCTTACATTAAACTACAAATCCATATATACAGTTTTCAAATTACATGCAAGTTTCTTAGTACATTCTTTCTTCTGCAATTGCTACTATGGAGAAAACCTAAAACAAATTTCTCCACTTCACTAATTAAGGACTAATTCATAATCACCCACCATAACCACATTAGAAGGTGATTTATGATTTTTATTAACCTCTGCAGTACAAATACAGATTGACCAGCAACATTAACTCGGATTATTAGTGTTATGTGCCATAAAATATAATATTGAAAGAATTTTGACAGGAAATCAAGATTGTACTTCTTCATCAACAAGAAGGAACAATAGAGAGTTCTAAACGGCCTCTCCATTCTTCACCTGGTTTTAGTGTTATTGGCTTCTCAATTGCTGCCCCATCAACACACAGCATCTGTTTGTACTCTTCATCTCCAAAATCCACCATGGATTTCGACTTCTTCTCCCAGGGATTCCACACCACTGTTTACAAGAACAGTAAGGTTATTTTAACGGTGATTCCAGAAAATGAAGATAGGGAAGGGAAGAAATGGAAAAATAAAGCTTACCAATATCTGGAAGTCCTTCTTTTCTTATTGTATATGTTCGCTTTTTCTGATGATCAAAAACAGCTACAACATTTGAAGAACTAAGATAAACTCGATCTACCTGCAAATTATTATAATTCGATCATTTTTAAACACAAATGGTAAGACATGGTTGAGTTCAGCGAACAATTTTAGGAAGTTCGATATGTGAAGAACCGGTAATTAACTACGAACCCCCAAAACAATATTAATCTCATAAGGACATGGAGTAAACATATTTATTAATTACCTCAGATTCAAATGTTAAGGTATTTCCTTGTTCTGTAAACCTTTCCTTTTGACAAAGGTTGTCAAGATAGTCAAGAGTTTCCAATCCTTCTATCCTTACTTCACTGTTTAATGCACAAAGAGACTGCTTAACAATTATATCACACTAATATCACAGAAATTACAGAAAACAAAGCAGTACCTGATGTCTGAAATGGAAAAATATGTGTGGTAAGCAATTGAGAAACTAAATGGCTTGCAATTTATATTTCTGATGCGCGACAGCAAGATTAGGTTCCCATCTGCTCCTAAACACACCCTTAGTCGAAACTCGAAACTGAAACCAAAAATTAAATTTGAATTTATTTAATTATCATAAGGTGAAGGCATATTGTTCATAATTTAAGGAATAATTTTAAGCGATTAAAGATCATGCATTGATTAGTATTACCTGTGTGGCCAAATCCTCAGATCTTCTTCAGATGGCTTAAGTAACAAGTCAACATAGGCTTTATTACCATTAGAATCATTTGGATGCAATGGTGGTGGATTTTCATCAATCACCCACATTTTCTTCCTTGCAAATCCATGTTGCTCTAGTGCTCCTCGATTTCCAAACTTTTAATTAAAAACAAATATATTAGCCTGAATTTTCCAAGATTGAATTATAAAATATTCTCTCTCTTTTTCAAAATATAAGTCGTTTTGAGTAATTTTCCATGCAAAAATTTAAATGACTTATATTTTAGAACAAAGTGAGTATATAATAAGTTCAGAATACCTGAGGAAAGCAGATAGGGATTCCTCCACGAACTGGGTTTGGGGGCTTGAAAATTGCCTGAAAACCAAAAATAATCGAGAAATAAGCTTGAAGTTGTTCCATTATATTGGATCCCAATACAGTAATCTATCTTATTACTAGTGACCAGTAATTCCAATACACTAATTAAACCTTACCTTACTACTCGTGAACAGTAATTCTTCTCCCTGATCTGTCTTCCATGACAGAACCTGTCCTCCATACAAGCTAACCTGGGTCCACACAACATGAAATTTCAGCCAGAAATGATTACCGAGATTAAGCATCTAATGATGATTTACCAAGTTGGGTGATCTCATAATCAAAATTTCAAGCTTTAAGCATTAATTTTTCATAAAGAACCAAAGAGGTATTAAAAGATACTAGAAAAGAAATTAAACGAGAAGAGAAAATAATTAAAGAGAAGAATCTGACCCGAGCTGAAGCACCTCGAGGATTGCGAAGAACAACCTGATCGATTCCATTTCTATCCTTAGTTACTTCAACTGCTACTCTTTGATCACTGGCTGCTCCAGAATTGTTCATAGTGAAAATAGAATCAAGAACACACAAATAACAGCAAACACACACAAAGTCTCTCTTGGTTTTTGGTATATAATACCCAAAATCCAAATGCTTTGATCCAAAAAAAAGGGAAGATCAAGAAAAGAAAAACTCCTGAGCAGAAAAAAACAGCTGAGCAGTTACTGAAACAGTTGAAAATCTCAACTTTCTGTAAGTTACTTTCTTGTGACAAACCTTATTTTCCCGTGAATGAAAGAACCAGAACGCAACTACCAGTTTTTTAACTACCTTAATTAATACCTTGACTTGTTCTAATTGTTCCCCTTAGCTTGAAATTCAAAATAGACACTGATCAGATGATGAAAAACACAAGATCAGTATCTCTCAAGCCAAACTCTGTACAATTTAACAAGAACCAATCAAATAAGCAAAAACGATAATAAAAGTCCAAAACTGAAACGTTTTCAAACAAAACATTTATGATATGAACAGTATAAATAAAGAGAAGGGAAGAGTCAAGATTGGATCACAACTTTTCTAAGAAAAGAAAAACAAAAAAAGATTCAAGTTTTGGTGAGACCTTGTCCTATTAACCATAAAGAAATATTGAAAGGCCATACCTCAAAAGGAACATTAATAAACAAATATATGTATATCCTATATCATCATGAGGAAGGCGACTGACTGAAAAAAAAATAGTAATACCCACTTGTGTATTTAATATTTATATATACAATAAGCTAATTAATTACCAGCCATGGGTTTTGCAGCATGAAGGTGATATGGTCAGCTTGGCTTCTTATGCATTAGCCTGATGTGGACTCAAGTATGAAACACGAAACCATGATTTACCAGAATTAACGAATAACTACCCTTTGAAAGATTTTGATAGAATATTCAAAGTTTGGCTTTGGTCTTTGGAAAAGGTATTTTAAGAAAGTTAGGTTCTTTAAATGCTGTGGCTCCTTTAGTGCCTATTTTCTTTTCAAGAAATTGTCAATGGTTTACAGTTCTTAGAATTTTCGCTATGCCTATCACTATCTGTGTCCCAATTTATGTTTTACAGGTCTTTCTATGTTTGATTCATCCAACAAAATTTTATATGTTTTCTTGAAAATTAATTTTCTTGTTTGCGGTGAACTTCTGCTAAGGAATCTTGCAAAAAAAAAAAAAATTGCTAGTTGCAATTGTGACGAAACCCTGCATGTCCTGTAGCGGTTGCTTTTATTAATGATTTAGCCTCTAATTAAGAGTTATTTTAATACTATTCATGTTGATCCAGTGGATAGAAAAAAAAAAGTCATAAAATGTCAATATTTGAAGTATGGAATAAATAAAATTATCCTTGGATGATCAACATAAAACCATTTAAAACACACAGAGTAATAGCCCTTTTTAAGGGACATCCAGAGCCTGCAAGAACAAGCGAACCAACAACATGTACCTAAAGTTTGGTGGAGATTTAGAAATATTACATTCCTGTATACACACACAACTACTTAGACCCCACAAAAAAGGAGGCTTAGCGTTGACCTGCTTTCAAGAATCAACAAAAGATAAAAGATATATATGTAGGAAACCTCAAGAGCAAGTGAGGGGTTGGGGGATTACGAGGTTGTGGTTTTGAGTCCTTTTCAATGCAAAATCTCCATGGTGCCTATTCGAGCCTCTCGGAGCGAACAAGGAATATTCGGATTATATGAACCATTAAACGGATATGAACCTGGACATCTCGTGATTAAACAAGAAATAAAAATATATATAGAAAATAATACACATATTGTATACGCATGAATTCCTGAAAAACTAAAGTAGGCGACGGAGAACAGATTGGAGATAGCATTAGAAGCTTAATTTTGACAATTGATGTGCTTGAGTTGTCATACTCAGCCATAGATGCAATGCATTTGCCCTTTATGACTTGTATCCTATAGGGTATAGACGTGGCCTTTCCACTACTTTTATAAGTTTCCCTTTTGACGTAAATTTGCTTTAAAATGCATTTTTGGTCTAACCTTTCATATCAAAGGCCGTAACATTTCACTCTGCAGATAAGAATTCCAACAAAAAATTTCAGTATTCTGTCAGCTAGTGCAAAATTTTCTAGTACACAGCTATAACACTCATCTTGCACTAAACATGTGTTTGCAATTTCAGCAAATTATGGATATTTATTTATTGAAGAAAGCAAATTATCTTAAATAATGGAAAGGGCATGTAACCTTTCTTAGATCGTTAAGGGCAGGGCACCAACAGATGTAATGGTTATAATAAATGATTATAGTTAACAATTGTTTCACCAACTCATGAACACAAAAAATGGATTTTAGTCTCAGAACAAAATTAGGTCAAGAATATTATACTATTTATAGAAAACAATGTCTTAACAAAATGATAATCATTTGATCATATGTTTCAGAAAGAAAAAAGAATCTCAATTGTGCTCAAGGAAAAGGAAGTTAATAAAAATCTAGGAATAAAATTGGGACTCATGGCTATAATACATTGCCATGGACAGAAAACTCTTCACTGGTTTTACAGAATCTTCTTCAAGTTGAAGTATGTTGCCTGCATCCAATGCTTTCTCAAAATCTTGATGGGCTTTTCAGAGCCAGGGGTTAACAAATCAAGAATGCCAACCTCGAGGCACTGCAATCAACTCGTAACACATTTTAATTTGTATGAATCTTAATGTGTATACGTCGAAAGCATTAGAAATAATGCATGAAAGAAGTCCCTCTCTTACTGATTATGAATGTCAATTACTACGGTGAGCCTAATCACACAGCTGCACATATTGCTCCTGAAAAATCACATGATTAACCAAAAAGTTCATTACATTCATCTTACTCTAGTTGATAATAAACAATTTATAATCAGAAGAGTCATGACAGAGAGAGAGAGACCTCTTGACCATGAGGAGCAGCAAAATTTCCCTTCATCAATGTGCTCTACATCAAGTCCAATGAACCATGATCCAGTGCTGACATCATCATGCGCATATGTCCGAAGAATGTGCCTGTGAAGCATACAGTGGTCAAATCACTGAAACTATATGCTTGTACATAGTCTCAATCGGTGAAGAAGAGGAGGAGGACTACCTGTTAATTGAAATGAACTGAGCTAAAGACTGTGAAATGGCATAGATTTCACCTGAGGCATGTCGGAAGTATCTGCACCACAAAGAAGATTCTAAAACTACAGATTTTAAGCGCAAGATGATGTGTAATGATATTGCAGCAGATGCATGTCAATCAATACATAAATTCAAACTGAGCAATAATTATTATGGGATGCAAATATTATCTGAGAAGGCATGGTGCTATTCTGTTTAGCACAATGCTTTTATTAATTAGTCATCTACATATAAAACGACTAAGAAATCACTGAGATCCTTCCATTCAAATAAGTTGGGAAAAATCAAAAATTAAATTACTCACGATTTTCCATCCCCAAATTTCCACCAGTCTGGTTCATACCATTTGTGATTCCTACAAAATGTAGACTGTATAAGGAATTGATATTATTTACCCTCTACTAAGAACAAAAAGTTTATTCCTAGATAAAACATTTTGATGAAACTTACGGCTCAGAGAAAACTTCGCCTGATTTCATACACCCAATATAAGCTCGAGGCTTGTTCAAATGAGTGGAAAGTGTTGCTCCCAGGGCATCTGTGCCACAAAAGAGGGGCAAGCTATAACAATCAATGTAAGATGATATAGAAAAGAAAGAGTTCTGTCACATTCAAGTTTTCCAAGTAACCAATTTAATTTTCTCAAATTTTTAGGACCATAAGTCTCTTTTTCTTGTTATTTATCAGCACTTTGAACCATAGTAATTCAATCTTATATCAACAGTTCAACAATCTGAGTTAAAAAATAATCCAGATGTGAGACGACTAAACTGAGCTATGAATGAATCCTTTTACATAAGACTAGGTCCTTTTTAAGGCACATTCAAGTGATGCAGATTTAACATATTTAACTTATTGGGGTTCACTATCTTGCAAACTCCTAAATGAACTAATATAGACTACATACCAATATTAACAAAAACATCATCATTGACCTTAACATAAAACTCAGCATTCCAGTTCTCTACAGCATGTACAAAGAACAATTTTGTCTTTTTAGAATTCTCCTCAATTGCCTCAACTTGTCCATCCTGTTGATGAAGAATAGGAACGTTAATTACATACTTGCAACCAAACAAATTGCTTCAAATTTCCATATCCATGAACATGCTAGCAACCAAACGCTTATATTTGCAAATAACAAATGAGCATGTACATGAATGTTAAACCCGGGTCTTTAACATGAATATAAGAACTGGAATTTTTTGAAGCATAATTGAAGAGTTGACTTGTTTAAGATAAAAAAAAATTTAAGGCTGGTTAGAAGTTAAATTTGTTGGCTAGTGACCATTTTCCTTTCAAGTTCAACTTTAGTAGAAAAGCCACACATTAAATTTCCAGAAAAAAAAAAAAAAGAACTAATGTTTTAAAGAGTGAGGATCCATTAAGAGCTTAAAACCATGCTGCACATTCTTCAATTCACTTCAATTGACAGGTGAACATACAAGAACAATGAAGTCATTACTCTGCCCATTTTCATTGTCAATCTCCCTGTCCAAACTGTCTCCACGATTTGCACTGCAATATATATGAATGTAAATTAAAAAAATACTGAAAAATGAGCACTTCTATCATCTAAAAAATAATCAACAAAAGCAGAAACCTTCTTCCAATGACAAATCGTAAAACAATGCCCTTCTCATCTTCAAGATTTTTAAGGGCTGCTGCACCTGCACATAAACTAACTTTAAGGTTAACTACCACCTGAAGAAAAGACTTAGATTAATTAGCAAGAACAACGATTAATGGAGACATTGCAAAAAAAAGTACACGATTATAGTGTTTATATGATCAATGCAATCACTTTCTTTCCTCTTTTTGGAGGAAAATAAAATCTCATCGCCAACCTCAACTAGTTTTGGATATAGCTCTGTTAATCTCAGATTGAGCCGAGCATTTAACATAGTTATTAATGGGATTTCCAATCCAGTAGACTAACCGCCCTCTAAATTAACTCATATAAATTGTTTAAATTATATCCACGCACACTCAAAAAAGTAATTAAAAAAAAATCAAAAAACAAAGAGAGAGAGCAAGTTTACTTACCTTTAGGCATCCATGCCTTGCGAATTGCATCTCTGTTTCTCTTGCGGCCAAATGTAGTAATAATTCCAATAAAAGCCAAAAGCTTCTTCTTAGAATGATTTATATCATCCTTCTTTGCTATGTGCTTTGAAACAAAACCTGCTTGTCTAGCCGCAGCTAGATCCATCTCAACTGCTGCTAACTTCTTTTGTTGCTCCCTGAATAACAAATGGACTTCATTGTAATCCCAACCTTAAAATTACCAAATTTAACCATGAAAATTGAAATATAGAATATCAACAAACGAAATTTACCTGCAGCCTATAATTTTTAGGGTATCATCAACTGATACGGCAGACTTAACCTGCAAAATTAATCGCATTTATGAGTTCACGTCAATAAATCAAAACTAGCAACAAAAGAAAAAAATTTCAAATTTACCTGGCCAGTTCTTCTCTCAATCTCTTCAACTAAATGCAATCTATTATCTGCATCCTGCCAAAGACTACAAAAACACTCAATTATATCGAAATTCTGTAGTTAACGTATTCAAAACGTCGATTGCTATACGCATAAGGAAAAAAAAAAAGTTAGTATAATATAATAAATGAATTACCGGCCGGCGACGTAAATCGTGGCCATAGTTGCAAACATAGCCAGTAAAAGAGCCGAAACTCGAGAACCGAAAGCCGAGCCACCGCCACCAGTAGCAGCAGATAGCCGGTTACCCGATCCCCGGCTGCGCATTTTATGTATTGGATCTAAAATTGATTGAAGAGGTGATTTTGTACTGAATCTTAAGGAAAAAGGGAGAGATATGAAGAGCAATTGGGTGATGAATGGGATGTGGTAACCGAAGAATTCATTTAACGCAGAAGAATTTTTTCCTGTTCTTTCAAATTAATGGCGTTGGTTAAATATTAAAGACTTTTCCTTTTGAATGAAAATTGAAAAAAGAAAGTTATGGCGCTTGTTAGCACCTTGTTCTAGTTTCCAAAAAAAAATATTTTAATGTTTTTTTTCTTGAGGAAAATGTTTTTTTTTATGAATATATAAAATTACAAATATTAATTACAATTTAATTCCAACCCAACAAATTAAGGTTCTAATACGACGGCTCGTATTAAAAGTGGTTTTTGCGTACTTTATCATGTTTTATTACGCCATAAGAGAAATTCTCGTTTTTTTTTAATCAGGTTTACACAGCAAAGTGTGAACGACAGCACGTAAAAATCGGTCGTCCGCTAGAGAAACGACAGTGGCTTTAATTATTTTTTATTCGATACTGGTCTGAACTCGGATCTCGGAGGACCTTTTTGGTAAAAGGAGTGAAATTCAGGGGCAATACCGGAAAACGAGGAAAGAAAGGTTTTGTAGGATGGATAAGGTAAAGGAGAGCCCTTTTCAAGTTAGCATTTGTTTTCTCGGAAGGGAAAGGAAAGGAAAAGAAAGGAAGCTATTGCAGGTAGTTCTAGTGAGAATGGCCAGTGCAACTTCGCTTTGGAGCCCTTTCCTCGGGTGTAGGCAACAGCTTTTGGCACCTGTGATAGCGATGCCAAATTCAAGTCCAGCTTTTGTGAGAATCGAAGCCAAAACCAGAACTAGACGCGACAACAGGATTGCCCGCCATGTTCGCATCAGAAAGAAGGTGCTTTATTCAAATTTTCTTAATTGGGTTTTATTAGTTTTTCAATTATTTAAGAAATTTAGTACCTTTTACCATCGGGTTTGCTTAATTGCTACATAGTCCCTCTGACACTGTGTGTAAGTACTTGTTTACTCTCCAATGTGAATGAATCATGCATGGCAATGTGTTTTTTCATGTTTATTGTCTAAGAAATTGCAGACCGAGTCATAAAGTTTGCATTTTTATGTCTACATTGTGTTTGGAACCAATTTGAAACATGAGGTGTTGTGGTCTGAGTAATTGTGTTGTATTGGTATACTGTGCATAATTTACGGGAATAAACCCTGAGATGGAGAGGTGAAAATTCAGTTTTTGGGTCATGGTCAACTTTTCAGGGATGTTATGATCAGTAAGATAATTTTCTTTGCGTGTGAATTGCATTTAGAATTACTGGAACAACCTAAGTCTGAAAATATTAGTGATGACATTCTGACATCATCTTAAAACAAAGGTCTGGAATTTGTCTTTCTGTTTATATCGCCAAACCTCTTGTGGTGATGTAATGGACTATCGGAGTGCAAACTAATTGCAATATCTTGATGTATCTTTGCTATCTTATTAATTGTTCTGTTAGGATGATTCTTCTGCATCTACTCTCTTTACGATTGGTATAGCGTGTATAAGCGTGTTCAATTTATATGACCCTGGGAGAACAATACCTTGAAAGCTAGCTGTTGAAGTTGGAGAATCCAAGTTCATATAAGCCCTATATTGAAATCACATACTTTCAATGTGGAATTGAAGTCACGTAGCATATCTTGTCTTGCAACTAAGATCATAATACCATGAATTGCTAGTATTGACTTTATGTGATGCAAAATCTGCCTGCTTTTAATTCTGATTCTCTCAGGTTGAAGGAACTCCAGAGAGGCCTAGGTTATCCGTCTTCCGATCCAACAAGCATCTCTATGTCCAAGTGATAGATGACTCGAAGATGCACACACTTGCTTCGGCTTCAACAAAGCAGAAACCCGTCTCTGAGGAATTGGACTACAGTTCTGGTCCTACCTTGGTATGTTTGTAAATATAACTTAATTGCTAACAAAGTGTGTCAATGCTTGATTTTTGTGTTGGCATAGCTTTGTTATTATTTAGGAATGCTGAACCATTTTGTCACTTATGTTGCTCATCGAATATTTGGTTTCCCCCTCTCCTGACAGTTGTTACTTATTGCAAACTCCTTTTTTTTTCCTTTCATCAGGAAGTAGCTAAAAAGGTGGGTGAAGTCATTGCAAAAACCTGTTTAGAGAAAGGGATAACTAAAGTTGCCTTTGACCGAGGTGGATTCCCATATCATGGACGTATACAAGCTCTAGCAGATGCAGCTCGGGAAAATGGCCTTCAATTCTAATTTGTAGTTGGCTAGTTTCTTTCACACACATGTTTGCTTTTGGGTTAACTTTCTGCCAGAAGATGTATCAATGTTTGAATGTGACATTTGTAATTGTTAGAAATATGCAACATGAAAAGGCTTTCTGTTCTCTTAGTGAATTCCTTTTATCTGAATTTGATATTCAAATTGGACTTGATGATCCAAGCTGATGGTCAAATTCTTATTAAACTTGCACTAGGAATCTTCCATCTAATGGCTAATGCACACATGCATACAGAACACATCAATGTCTAGGTCTATATATATAATATGTATCAATTTTGTGGCCAATAATACATGAATTCCCAGAATCCAGTTTTTCCATTCAAGCCATACATGCCTTCTGCTGATATTATCCATAAGCATTGACTGCCACATCTGGCATAATCCCTTGCAAAGGAATAAGCATCAAAATGATATTCTTGTACATTTTCCCATCCCAGGTCACAATAAAATAAAGTGGTTCCTGCTACATTGGGCGAAAAGTCCCAGCCAAATTCGCTGCCATCTACAATGCTGTGCTGGCCAAGATCATTGTCTTTGGACTGGCAATGTATTGTCATGTTTTTCCCATTGCCTAGTCGGTTCAGGATACTCGCGTGCACTTTGTCTGAAAGAGCCAGATTACATAAGCTGAATGCTAGGACAAATACTATAACATACTCTGTTCTTGAATTTTGCATATTGGTTTTGGAAACCACCCACAAGCTCAATTATGATTTACAAGTATTGCTATTGTTATTGCTTTATAAATGCAAGTCAAGCTTGATATTAACCTGGCCTTTTGTCTAGTTGGCAATAATTTAGTGTTATTTCAAATGACATTGTTGATCTTAACAAACTATGAATACAGAGTATGTGTTGGAGAAATCAAGGGAATAAGTGATGAAGTAGAGTGTGGCTTCTTGTATATATATGTTTTAATTGCCAGAGGACAATGTTTTGACATTGGGATTGCTGAAATCATTGAAATGCCAATTTTGATCCGGATTTGCATTGGACAGTCCCACGAACGAGCAGTTTGAGTATTTAAAGGAATTCTATATTCATAACTCGAATTCAGGACTTCTAGTTAAGAAAAAAAAAGGATTATATTTACTGTTTCTAGCTAGGATCCATTTTCCAATGCTAAAAAATTTCTTTTTAGTAGTAAATAGGTTCAGTTTTGGTTTGATAATTTTATTATTCCGATTTATCCGGTTCTTTTCTAAAAAAAATTTGGAAAACTCAACCGACCGAAATCGCAATACTATGTCGTTTAAAACGTTGAAAAATTAAAAGGCTATATTGTCATTCACTACGTCGCTTTCCAAATAGTAACAAAATTAGTGCTTTCGAGTTTCAAGCTTGGATTTCGTTCCTGTTTCCGAGTCTTCCTGTCTTTCTCTTTCCTTTGTTTCGATTTTCAATTTGGCAAATCACACCCGTACAAACTAGATCAATCTCACACTCTTCCTCTTCTTTTCACTGTCTTTTGCTTGTCGCCTTTCAGATTATTCAGTTGTCTGCTGGATTTTTCTGTTTGATTTAATCAGAAAAAGCCTTCAATTTTGGATGTTTTTGAAATCTTCTGGTTGTGCTGTTATTATTGAACAATTGATTTGGGCCAAATAAACCCTAAACTTCCGTTTGGGCCAAGTTGTACAAATACTACTTTTTTAAAGCCTGATTAGCCCAATACAGCAATACCATTACCCAGTACCGACATAGGCCTAAAACTTTGTGCCCCTCTCTCTCCTTCTCTCATCGCTGCAATTTTCTCAGTTCAAGAAGCAGGAAGAGGCTTGGCCAACCTTAATTCATAAGGAATACAAACCTTAGTTATATTTATAAGGGTTCGCACTCGCCTATGAATTCCACCGCTTTATCGGAGTAATTGATTGGTAAGTGTTTAATTTAATTTACTTTTGTTCTATTTTGGTGAATTTCCTTATTGAATAATTATGATTTGCTTCATTAAACACTGTAAAGTTGTATACTTTGGAGGACTATGTATATATATGTGTATAAGTTAGAACGAGAAAGTTTATAAATTTTGGCAATTATTTATTAAAGTTTCGAATTTTTAACTTGAAATCTATATGAGGCCGAGAATGGTCTATGGCGTGTAAGGGTGAGAAAAAGCTTGATTGGATTAGATATCAAAAGTTGAATTAATGGATATTGAATGGTATGTTTTTTCATATTAGTTTAAATTTGAGGGTATTGATGTTCATTTATACTTTAATCTCTTGTGTCATGTTAGTTGCTGATTTCTTTTTCCTTTGTGCATTGGGTTTTGTAGAGTTTTAAGAGGCATATGAATGGCTTGGAGAGCAGCTTGGAAAAGGGTAAACTATGATTTTTCTCTCTTTATCTTTTTACTGGTAGCTTTTGTGGATTGAGGATTTCTACTGAGCTTTGAGCATTGTGAAATTTGATTAATTTTTTTAACCGAGTTAATGGAGAGAACATGTGGTTAAGATACTGGCTTATGATTTCCACATATTCATCTTTATTTCTAAAAGAATACTTGCTAAACTTTTAGTTCTATTTCAAGTATGTAATAGTTATATGAATATCATACCTTTTGTCGTTCTGTTTGCCTCTAGCTGAGCCCAAAAAGTGACCCAAGCAGCAACCAACTGGATGTTGATATCCTTGCATGCAACCTTTCTTGGTCATTTTTCACATTCAGATGATGTATTTTAAACCCATCTCTTGTTATATATGTGAAGGATGTTTCGCTGACTCTCGCAGGGTGTTCATGTTGGTCCTATTAGAGCTTGGACTTCAACATCACTAGGGCGTACAGTAGATTTAAGTAATCTTGAGGTTGCAGTAAAAGCAGTTTCTTCAGTCAAAGAGCTACCTGGTAAAAATGAAAACTTATAGATGTTTTTCATGCTTTCACAGTTTCACTTGATATGCATGAGTTTCTAATCCAACTCATCTATTCTGTACTCCCAACTCCATGATTTGCTTTTTGTGGTTTAATTTGAAATTTATATTTAGTTGAAACTTCTAACATGGTTTTGATATAAATAAGTTCTTAAAATTCGTCCTGCAGATTTTCATTTCCGCTCATTTTTATGGGCTAAGCACATTTTCTCTACAAAAGAGTCCTTTACAAGGTATATTGACATCTTTCTTTCTAGTATTGTTCTCTCTCTCTCTCCCTCTCTCTCTCTCTCCCCCCCTTTCTATCTCTATCTCTCTTTTTCCCATTCAGTCCGAGGAATGCTAGGTTTAGTTATTGCCTTTACTCTTTATCTCACCTTTTATTTGTTTCTTGAAAATTACGCTTTACAATAGGTAGTGTAATTTTCGTAAACATAAGTTGATTGATACAACTTTTTTTTAATCCTTTTTAGTTTGGCCTGGTTGCTGTGATGTCACCCTCTTTTGGCAGAGTAATTTGATACCATTCTTACCATGATATATTTTTCATGATGATTCCTGTAATTAGTAGGATGAAATAAGATAAGTCTGCCTAGCCTAGGTGGCAAGATATGGTGGTTGCCTGACCATAGGCTTAACCTTGCCTTAATTTGATCTTGTGTTAAAGATGCTGCAATTAAGGAAATTACAATTTAATGAACCAGATACACATAAGAAACTATCATATATCTTTTCCCTTTGTTGTATTTGTCTTTGAAATAATTCTTCCTATCTTTTATTCTATATATGTGGTTGCTTACATGTCAAATGCAAGTGCATCTTCCTGTTATTTGGCATTGTAAATACATGCATGGTTACTATTCAGCATTCATGCTATCAATGTAGAAGTGCATTTTTGTGGACACTTCATCTGTAAAGAAAATTGGTAACCATCACCAGTGTTTGATGTCAACGCCTGTACCAATTTGAATTTACAGGTTATCAATAAAATGTATTCATTTGGAAACTTGAATTTCGTGGATAACTTCACTACTTGAATGTGTGGATCAAATAATGTTTTCTTTATATTGTTTAGATGCTTTCATGCCACTCCAGAACTATTGGCTAGAAGAAGAAATAATGATGAGGCAGTTGGTCTGAAGATCCAGACTAAAGGAAAGTTTAAGAAAAAGGACAGAAGCAAGACCCAGCCACCTGTCGAAGCTCCATATGTGCCTCCTAAACTTAAAAGAAGTGCCAAGTCTTTGCAAGATAAAACAGTTGACATATTTGAAGGCATGACTGTTGTTGAGCTCTCTAAGCGCACCGGTGAGTCCATTGCCACCTTGCAGGACATTCTGGTTAATGTCGGGGAAAAGGCTGGCTCAGAATTTGATGCCCTCACCATTGATGTTTCAGAGTTGGTGGCCATGGTATTTCCCTTTCTTAGTTGCAAGAATTATATAATGCTTTTATTGTTGCACTAACAGAAAGATAACGCAAAAATTGGAAAGTCTCATTTCATCGAGGTTCTGGATTCTGGGCCTAAAAAGAAATTATGTAAGTTTATGCTGCCAAATGAAGTAATATATTTGTCTGGTACTCGATCATTGGATATCACTTTTTGACTATCACCAGCAGGCAGCAGGGCTATTTATTGAGTAAAAACTTGAAGCATGACTGTGTTTAATTTGAGGATTGTAAATAACAGGAATTATTTGGACTTTTAGATGCTAACTATAAAACCTAGTGATCACTAGGATTCTTGAGCTGGGTTTTAAGGCCCTGGCGTTTTCTTCTTTCCTTTTTCTTTCTTTTTTTTTGGGATTAGATTTTCAGGTGACTTGTCTTTTGGCTGGTTTGATTAAAAGGGGTTATCTTTATATGCAGGAAGTTGGGGTTAATGTGAGGAGACAACACTCCAATGAAGGTGTAGAAATTCTTCCACGTCCTCCTGTTGTGACAGTCATGGGTCATGTTGACCATGGTAAAACTTCACTTTTAGATGCTTTGCGTCAAACATCAGTGGCAGCCAAGGAAGCTGGAGGCATAACTCAGCATCTAGGTGCTTTTGTTGTGAGCATGCCATCAGGGTCATCAATTACATTCCTTGACACTCCTGGTCATGCTGCATTTAGTGCAATGCGAGCACGTGGTGCTGCAGTGACAGATTTAGTTGTGCTTGTTGTAGCTGCTGATGATGGGGTGATGCCTCAAACTCTTGAAGCCATGTCCCATGCAAAAGCAGCTAATGTACCAATTGTAGTTGCAATTAATAAATGTGACAAACCAGCAGCCAATCCGGAGAGAGTTAAAATCCAGCTTGCATCAGAGGGCTTGCAGCTGGAGGAGATGGGTGGGGATGTTCAGGTTATTGAAGTTTCGGCTATTACAAAAACTGGATTGGATGACTTGGAGGACGCTTTACTTCTTCAGGCAGAGCTCATGGATCTAAAAGCACGTGTTGATGGCCCTGCTCAAGCTTATGTAGTCGAGGCAAGACTTGACAAAGGACGTGGTCCATTAGCTACTGCAATAGTGAAGGCAGGAACTTTGGTTTGTGGGCAGCATGTGGTTGTTGGTTCAGAGTGGGGTAGAATAAGGGCTATCAGGGATACAGCGGGCAAGTTAACTGATAGGGCTAGACCTTCAATGCCAGTTGAGATTGAAGGTCTTAAGGGGCTTCCTAGGGCTGGTGATGACATTGTTGTTGTTGAGTCTGAGGAGCGAGCTCGAATGCTTAGTGCAGGGAGAAAAAGGAAATTTGAGAAAGACAGGCTTAGGCAGATGATTGATGAAAGGACAGAAAACACAGAAGAACCATTGGACGACATGCCTGTGCCTGAAAGGGTCGAAATGCCAATGATTGTAAAAGGAGATGTGCAGGGAACTGTCCAAGCTGTCACAGATGCACTGAAGACATTGAACAGTCCCCAGGTATGCCAAATGATACAGTCATGCATAATATTAATGTTTATTCTCATTGTTATTGCTTTTCTTGTGCATGCACTTATTCATAAACACAATGAATGGTCAAAGTGAAACATTTCAGTTAACAGCTTGTGGCTTTGGTTTCCTAGTTGTTGCAGTGTTAGAAGTGGAAGTCACCTGATACCTCTTTCCTTACTGTTTTAAGCTACACACTCATGAAGCTCTTATACATGCATGCTAAGCATGCTTTAAAAGATGCTTCTATGTGTGAAAAATTGTCTTTACTCCTGAAATTATTGTTGTGTTATGCTGGTCATTGCTTATCAGTCTTCTTAATATGCTCTCCAATTCTGCCTCAACATTCTTAGGGTGTTCTTAAATTCTGCTGCCAGGTATTTGTTAATGTAGTCCACGTTGGTGTTGGGCCTATTTCTCAGTCTGATGTGGACTTGGCACAAGCCTGTGGTGCATGTATAGTTGGATTCAACGTAAAGACTCCATCTGCTGCTATCAGTTTGGCTGCAACTCAAGCTAAGATACGGGTACTGATATTTTGCTAATTTTAATCATTGTTTTACCGTTTTTCTTTTTGTTTTTAACTATCCAGCGAATGTAAAAAGAAATGCAAGCTAATATTCTTGGGCATGAGCAGTTGATTAACTTGATTTGTATTTAGAAAAACCCTAGGAAGACAGTTGGCAAAATTTATTATCTGTAATGTTTCTTTTGGTGGCTTTAGATAATGCAACACCGTGTGATCTATCACCTTTTGGAGGAAGTTGGCAACTTAATAGTGGATAAGGCCCCTGGAACTTGTGAGATCCAGGTAGCTGGGGAGGCTGAAGTACTTAATATCTTTGAGCTTAAAGGGAGGAGCAGGTCTGTCGGAGATGATGTGAAGATTGCTGGCTGCAGGGTTATAGATGGCTTTGTTGCTAAATCAGCAATCATGAGACTCCTGAGGAGTGGGGAAGTGGTGTTCGAAGGATCTTGCACGTCTCTAAAGCGGGAGAAGCAAGACGTGGAGAGAGTAGGGAAGGGAAATGAATGTGGACTTGTAATCGGCAATTGTGATGATTTCCAGATCGGAGACGTCATCCAGTGCTTGGAGCAAGTGGTTAGGAAGCCAAAGTTCATTTCATCGCAAAGCGGTGCTGTTCGAATTGAGTGCTGATAGTGCTGCATTTATTCCTGCATTTTGTTGAGGTCAAATGAATCCTTTCCTCATAAGCAGGATCAAACATAATTTTGCTCAATTTTGTAAGCTGTGAGAATTCCAAGTTGGGAATTGACATAAATTTTGTTGTACATTTAGGCACTTAGTAATTATAGAACCAAGCCAACTGGGATATATCTAGTTAGCTACTTCATTCTTTATGCACAGCATGTGATAAATGACACAATGCTTAGTTTTGTGCAATACACTTCGATTGCTTTTCTTAGGTTGTACAATTTTCATAAGTGCCTTTTATGCATTGGCAAAGACTATTAATTTTAAACTTCTCCTCTCTAATACATATTAATTTTTATATTCAAATAATACTTTAGAAAGAAATTTAATGGAGTTGTACATTAAAGTTCACTTGGATAATTGAAATTTTCATTTAGGATATATTTAAAGAAATTAATTAACAAATCTTAATTAATTTATTAAATGTATTTTTATTTGAATTTTATATTTTGGTTATTTATATAAACCAAGATAATTGAAATTTTCATTTAGGGATATATTTCATTTAGGATATATTTAAAGAAATTAATTAACAAATCTTAATTAATTTATTAAATGTATTTTTATTTGAATTTTATATTTTGGTTATTTATATAAACCAAATATTAAAGGACTTATTATTATTTTTATATTTATATTTTAGGTGAATAATAAAAAACAAATTGAAGGACATATTATTTAATAACAAAAATTTTCAAAAATCTACTTTGATGACTCGACGTCATCAATGGGCTGCCAGCCGCTTTGAAAAGCGACGTCGTTGCAACGGTAAAAAACAAATACAAGTAAAGAAAGCGGAGGAAACGTTTCTCTCCAGGCTGAAACGTTTCCCGCCTTCTACTTTGCACTTTAAAGAACGCGCCGTGAGAATCGCGAAATCGCAGTAATATCCCCAGTTGTAACGCATACGTAAAGAAATCCAATAAGGCTAAATTCGTCATTTAAAAGTCCAAACCCCTTTCTTTTCCCGCGTTCTCTCCTTCCACTCCAAGCTACTGTTCAATGTCCTAACAGGCAAGATACTCAAAACAACAAAAACACAGAAAAATACGGAATTTGACATTTTGACACTTTGAAAAATGGAAAGGAAGGAGTAGGTATTTTGGGATGGAATGAGTGATTTGATATTTTATTTAAAGTTGATTTTCGATTGTTTTTTATTTTTTTTAATTCTACTCATGTGGGAATTGTTCAGAGTAAGTTAGACCGAGTTAGTCACTGAGTCAAGGTGCATAACGTGACTTATTAAAAATAGTTGAAATCTTTTTAAAGCTCACCAGCAAGATATTAATCTCTTTAAATATATGTAGCAATAATATTATTCACAGTTTGACGCATGTGAATCACAGTTTACGATGTGAAAAAAGAGAGCATCTTTTGAGATATATAAATGGACAACCTCTGATTATTAATAAAACTTTTTGGACAACTTGTTAATCAAGACGATTTATACATTTCAAGCACATGCAAAACACACCCCCTCAATCATCGTTATCGCGATTCATAATTACTAGTAATCTGTTGGGTTTAGATGCTGCTCTAATCCCAAATGGAAGTTATGCGAAAAAATATCGGTTTTTAGAAGTAAAAATAAAAAGAAGTAAAAATAAAATTACCGACGGTAAAAGTTAATAGCGCTGATAAAAATTTTAATTACTATTACCTCATTTATCTCTAATAATTGTATATTGGATATTGCCGATCGAATCTACCAAAAATAATAATCCCGGTAAAAATTAAATAATTACTGTAAATGCCATAAAAATAGAGACACCGAGATTTACGTGGTTCACTCTTAACCTTTATGGGTTACGTTTACGGGATAAAAATTTTCCACTATAAAAATAGTAGTACAAAAGAAATTATACAAAAAAATAGTGGCACTCTAAGCGTTTCTAAAAAAAAAGAACACCCTAAAAATTATAATTCTAACTATTTTCTCTCTTTCCCAATTTTAGAAATCCTTTCCTAAAATTCTCTACACTTAACTGCGTAGACTTCTTCATTTTTTTTGTACGCCTTTGGTTGGCACAGTTTCTCCTATTTATAGGAGAGGAGGATGCGTAAAATCCAATGCATCCACCGACTGACGCGCACAAATTAACGCATCCATTTTTCAAATTGTTGGCAGCTTCTTTTGATTTTCTTTATCAACGAAAAAAAATGTATTTTCCTTTTTTTATTTTCAAAAGTCTGTGGTCCCACATGTTGTCGAAGGGACCCCACAACAATTCTCTCCCTCCCGACTATATCATGGGACTTTCCATCCCTACTGTCTTGACACACGGCTTGAACTTCTCCTTCGGAACGACCTTTGTCAATATATCCGTAGCATTTCTGTCTGTGTGAATTTTTCGCAACTGGAACTCCTTCTCTTCAACGCAAATCTAAGCCAATGATATCTTACATCAATTTGTTTCGTCCGTGCATGATACATAGTATTTTTGCTCAAGTCTAACGTACTTTGACTATCACAATAAACTGTATATTCTTCCTGATATACACCCAATTCTTGAAAGAACCACTTTAACCAAAACATTTTCTTTCCTGCTTCCATAGCTGCAACGTACTCTGCTTCGGTCGTTAATAAAGAAACACATTTTTGTAATCTCCACTGCTATGAAATAGCTCCCCCTGAGAATGTAAATAAGTATCCTGATGTAGATTTTCTTTCATCAAGATCACTGGCCATATCTGCATCTGTGTAGCCAAGTATTTTTCTTTCATCACTAAAGAATCACTGGCCATAATCTGTCATCTAAGTGTAGCCAAAAAGTGCAGTTCTTAAATAATCAAGCCTCCAAATAAGTATAAGAAACATAAGTTTTAGATGAAGTTCCTCTCACGTAATCTGAACAATCCCTCACATTCCACGATGTGCCCAATGTGTCTTTGGGATATTGACAGTAAATCGGCTTACAACGCCAACTGCATGACGAAATCTTGGTCTCAATTTTACATACCATTGCGTACAATCAAACTTCCGAATTTGCGAAAAGAATATGGAACATTTGACATATCTCGCGTATTTTCTTTCTACTGTTGATGTGAGTAGGAATTTCTACTCAACTTGAAAGTAGACGGCATAGCGGAGTGCTAAACTTTGGTATTGGCAATTCTTCATATGAACCTTTCTAGAACTACGTTCAATATATATTTTTGCCTGTTTGATGAACCATAACCTGCAGGACTTTCTATCTCTGATAACTTCCATTCCGAGAATCGCTCTTGCCAATCCCAAATACCATCATGTCAAATGCTGTGAAAAAAATCACTCTTTAACCTCTGGATATTATTGCCTGCGGTCTGGTCCAGAACAGCCTTTGACGATCAGTCACTTTGTATCGGTCACTAGGTGTTGCCATCAGTTTTATATCAGTTTTGTAACCCACAAGATTTATTTGTTTTTTTTTTGCTTGGATCTTCTCTTCCCTTCTTTAGAAGTTCACGAGCTCATACGTTCCATTTCTTTTTCAAGAGAAGTAAATCTCACCCATTGCATTGGCCTTGTCGCAGCAATCTTTCCTTTTACAAGATTGCACATATATTATCTCTTGAGCTCACCCCTTCATCAGTAATGCAAAATTATAATCAAGAACTGGGGTTACCCTATTAGATTGGTTGGGTTCTCCGGTTGGGACTTCGTTTTTACATGTTATGGTTCAACTCGTTCTGGTGTGTGAAACGGGTTTCTCTGGGCTCCCCCCTGTCAACACCCTCTGCATTCACGCGTATCAATCTACATTCGTCTCTTTGATCCCCCGCGACTTAGCTCTTCTTCTTCTTTTCGTCGATTCTGGCATCCTCTTTCATTATTCTATAGGAATGCTTCTGTGTAATATCAACAACTACATCACCGTGGATTTTTCACAAGTTGTTATGTCAACGATCCTCATTCTCATGGAATACTTATTCGTCTCGGGGCTCTGAAACAACTTCTTTTTCGACTTGCCCATAACCATATAGCTAAAACTCTTTCTTCATAATATGTGTCAATGAACTGGGATTTTTTTTTTTCTTGTCTTTATTTCAAATTTTATAACATGCATTATAAATGGCTTGTAGTTATTTACCCTGTTTTAATAATAATTTCTTGTTTCTCAAGGATATCAAAAATGCATTATATCTGAATGGTTACGGTTGATTAGGGATTTTGGAGGGGACAACAGTATTTGACAGCTTCTCCGCAAATGATCTTCCT